GATTCAATTATCTGAATGAATTAACTGAAAGTTGAAAGGAGAAAAAAGTTCTTAATGATTGAGAGATTAATTGAAATGATAATAACAATAATAATGACAACAGTTTGTGTCAAGTTAATTATATAATCAATTGTGTTGTAAAAGGCAATTAACAATTACCATTGGGACTATTACAGCAATTGCGATTATAGATTCATGTAGAGAGACACATCGATTATTATCAAGTTCATGATTGAAGAGAGAAGAAAAGTTCTAAATTCAGTTTGAAGTTATATTAGAAAAAAAAGAGATAGAGAACTTTTTTTTCTTCCTTTTCTTTCTGTCTTTCTCTCTCTCTTTTCTTCATGATAACTCAATTACTGTTCATTGTTCAGGCTGAACTATCAGAAGGATTAAATGTTAAGTGGTTATTATTGTTCTTTCATCTCAATATTAAAGTTTAGAAACATTTTCAACAATGTAAACAAACAACATCATGATAGAAGTTCATGGGATTCAGAGGAATAGAGATAAACTTGTGATGCAACGGCTTTTAGAATTCACCAATTCTCAAGTAAAATTTTTCGAGAAATTTTCATTTTTTCGGTTAATCCTTTTCTCTGTCTCTGTTCAAATATTTTCTTCGCAAGTTCTCAGAGAAAAATATCCTTCAAATCTCAGATAATTCAGAGAACCAGAACTTTTTCTCTCTATCTCTCTCATTTACCCGAACATCTGAAATGAAAGTTTATATTATGTTGTTTACTTTTGATTGAAATTAAATATATCAAAGTAGTTACATGAAACTTCAAGACTGTCAACAATAGTTAATATCATGGTTATCTTATGAATCGGCAGAACTTTTCTCAGGTTAATCGAACTTATTTTTCCAGTTCTTTTCTCTCTCTATCTCTCTTGTTCTGAACAAAATTAGGTCAATATGATATCTCGATAACCATGGTGATAATATTAACCATCATGGTGGTAAGATCATGTGTCATTCATGGTGGAAAATGTTGATAAAGTTCAATAATAGAGTAAATTATTTGTTCTAATGTTTATAAAAGGAAATATAATACTAAAAGTAATAGAGAAAAAAACTTGGAATTCAAAACTTGAATTGATAAAATGTTTCATATTCTCTGATTCAATGGAAACACCGAGTTCACCTTCAAGTGATTAAGACGATTACTGTTAACAGTTTATCTTATTGATAAATTGCCGATGACATCAAGAAGATATTAATTAGATTGGATAAAAGATGTCGAAGTGATGAGAACAAATTAAAATGAAAGAAAAAAGTTCCAAACTGTTTTTTGTCGATAATTGAACTTGACGGACGAAAATCGTAATATCATTATCATTGTTTACCATTATCTTTATTAGACTAATAACTTTTAATCGCATTTATCATCACCATGGTTCACATTCAATTCCAACTCATCTTTTCCTCCATTAGAACTTTTTTTTTCTTCTTCTTCTTCTTGGTTCCCTGGTTCATGGTGTTCACCATGTTGTTCCTGATTGTTATCCTTAATTTGCTAATATATTTATTTCCATCAGTTGTCAACATGTTTTCAAGAATAATTAACTTGTTACAATTTAGAATACAAAAGAATCAGTGAAACATTGAGAATTCAGGGTGATCATCATCATGATACAATCGCAGATTCAATTGAAAATAAAGTAATGATAATGATAATGATTAACGTCACCACCATGTTTTCATCATGATAATTGATCATTGATCTGTCAAATTGTTTAGATGTTACTTTTGTTCAGGCAACAACAATTTAACTGATTGTTACCTTACTTTTTTGTTTAATCAAATTGTTACAATTGCTTTTGGATTATCATCTTGATTAGTTTCTGTTTCTGATTCTAGAAATTAACCTCATCATCTAATTTAAATTAATGATCATCTTGCTTGATAATATACACACACACACTTGATATCTTACTTTTTTTCTGGTGAACAATTTACCCTCCGGGTAAATGAATACATTCATCTGGGTGTACATTTCATGATGATACAAGAACATGTATCATGATAATAATAATATGATCAACATGATGATGATGATAAGATGAGGATGATGATGAAAATGAAGGAAAAATAAGTGAACAAAAAAAAATTCTGGTTCAATGTTAAGAGAAAAGGATAACAATTATCAAACTTATTAGTTACCATGGTGAAAATTTCATCTCATCAGATTAATCGTGATGAATGTATCATAATTAAGCTTCCAAATGTTTATCGTGTTATTGTTTTGTTATTAGTTTTCTGGGTTGACTCATAATCAGTTGATAAGTTAACCATTCAAGTTAATTCATTATCATTATTATTGTAATTGTGTTGTTGTTGTTAGTTGTGGTTAACAGTAATCAAACTAATAACAAGGTTCAGGTAGTGTTCATGGTGATGATGATTATTATTATTATCATGGTAATGATAATGATAATGATGTTAGGAGTAAATGAACAGTTTGTTATTTATTCACATTCACAATTTATTCTGATTTAGATTCTCTCTCAATTCTAATTCTGATTTTCTGGTTTTTCTGTCTCTTTTTTGTGTTTTCCTTTTACTCTTATGGATCTTAGTTTGTTATTCAATAATGATTCAGACTCATTGATGAATGTATATATGTATGTATATGAGAAAGAGAGAGAGAGATGTGTTCATGGAAGCTTTTCCATGTATTAGCTGAATGAACTTCTGAATGGAAGAAGAAAATAAACTCTCGGAGTTTTATATATGAACATTGATCAAGAGATTTTCAGAGTTATCTATTATTTCCTTCGTTATTCTTATTGTATTGTTTTCATTTAAGATTCACAACAGGCTGGTCACTGGTCAGTGAATGGGTTTGGATAAGTGAAATGTTATTGTTACTCTGCCACTGATACTTTGAAACATTGGAAACTGTTGATGAACTTTTACAGTTACTGGTCCAAGAGATAATGATAGAAATAGAGTGAGAGTTAGAGAGTGAGAGGAGAAAAAACAAGAGAAAAAAAAGAGGAAATAGAAGATTAGGTTGAAGGTGGGGAGTGGAAGATGAAGAGGATGACGGAAGATAATGATAATAAGATAGTTAAATAGTAATCAGATGGTTTGAATAAGAATCGATCGTAAGTTCGTAGGCTAATCAACATAACAACGAAGCGGATCTTTGGATCAAGGTTTTTGACCCAATAAAGTTGCTGTCATGAAAGAGAGAGAGAGAGAGAGACAAAGATGATAAAGATAGTGGTAAATGCTAGAAGATGACTAAAAGGGAGAGAGATGAGGATGAAAAGATCTTGTGAGATGGAGTGAGAATTGGGAGTGATAATGACTTGAGAATAAGATGTTGAAGGGAGAGGAAGAAGAGATATGAAGATGAAATTGTTTGGGATGTGAAATTTGAAGAAAGAGGAAGAGGAAGAGGACGAAAGATGAGGATGAAAAAGAAAAAGAGAAAGACAAACCATAATCTGGTGGAATGAAATTCTCGGTGAAAAGACTGAGATGATATTAGAAAAACCGGAAACAGAATGAAAAAGTCAGAATAAACGTTTGGAAAAGAAGACAAAATTTGATGAAGAGAATGATGATGATGAAAAGAGAGAAAAAAAGAGAAGGAAATAAATAAGTAAAGAATGAAGTAAACAGAGAAGATGAGGATGAGAATGAGAAGAATGATGAAGATGAACGAAAGATATTTTCTTCTCGATCTCTTATTATTTTCATTTTTCTCTTTTTTCCATCCATTTCCACTCATCCTCATCTCTACTTCATTCATTCATCTTCCTCATCATCTTTTTTTATCATCTCTCTTTCCTTCACAATGTCCACTCACTCCCACGATCTCCACCATCATCATCTCACCTCTTTCTTTTCACTGACAAACCAAAGCAAATCTTCAATTCTCTCTCCTTTCATTTAATTTATATTCTTTGTCAGTTATATTTTTTTCAGAGAAAATCATCTCACTCATATTCATCTTCATCCACCATGATAGGTTATACATATATTGAATTAGGAACTGAACTGAAACTGAAAAAAAAAGTTGCTCCAAATCATATTAAGGTGAAAACATTATTCATTATAAGGAAATAAATTGTATCTTTGAAGGGAAAAATATTTTCGCTATTTATATTTAATATTACGATTGATTCTCAATTGTTTTGAGAGAAAAATAAAGTTCTAATATGATTCGACAATTAATCTAATGATCAGTAAATTGTTGCTCGTTTATCATCATAACTTATTAATATCTCATCTCAACTAATGCTTATTATCAAATGTATATTATCAGTTGATGGGTTAAAGATTAGTGGATGAATTTTCAAAAGAATATGGGAAAAAAAGTTCATCATGAACAGAATCATGAAAAAAAAAACTATTGAAATTTTTTTTTCGGAGAAAAGTTTTTGAAAATTGAAAATGAGAAAGAAAAAGTTAATTAGCAATTAGATTGATGATGGACATGAAAAAAGATTTGATATTGAGATAAACACAAAAGGATAAAGTAATTAATGTTAATTTTGGGTTGACAGTTAATCAAATGTGATAATAATTAATATAAACATTAAACTATCATAAGATTATCAATAAAAATTATCTGATAGATGATTGTGATTATGATGTTGGTTGATTTTGATAATGTTTTCTGTCTATCAAATCAACAATGTATCAACATAATCAAGTTAACAGTTAACAACAATCAAGTAAGATTATCAAATGATAACATAGAAATAGTCAACTCAAAGATTGATCAAAGTGTAGATCGGATAAGATCATCATCATAATCATCATCATCTTCATCTTCATCTTCATCATCATCTGAGTAACATCATGATGGTTCACTGAATTTCAACAAAGTGGATTGAGAGGAAATAAAGTTCAATATAATAACAAGTTAGGAAAAAGTTTCCTTTTTCCAATGGGAAAATTGAATAACTTTTTTTTTTCCTCTTCTTCGTCTATTTAAGGCTAAATTGTTGGATATAATTGTGGACAATTAATTGCTTACCTTTGGCTGGAAGGTAAATGTTCAGGTAAAGACAATCTTCACTTTGATTCTTAAGTAAAGGTAATAATCGTTTTAAATTGTTGTAACGGTAACTGGTCATTCGGGTTAGAGCCTCGGTCTCATTTGATAGGTTCGGTAATTGTTGTGGACACACTGGACCATATGAATTGAAATCGCGATCCTCATTCCAAGGGACTGGGGTCACCGGTGGCATGAGTCTCAGTCTACCCACCGGTGGACTTGCATATGGAATACCTTTAGTGTGAATAAAAACAACACAGTAATTAGATTGATTGTTGTGAGTGTTAATTTTTTGATCGTAGTGAAAGTTAATCACCTAGAAACATTTCAATTGGCTGTAAATTATGAGGTAAATTAACATGGACACCTCTTGCTCTACCATATTTTGTATTAATTATCCGATTTGATTGTTTTCTATTGTAATTACTTGAAAGATGATCAACTCCAAGCACATGATTAACACACAATGTGATCACAATTAACCTAATCACTGTTGTCATTGGTTCACTAACACTGGATATACAATATGACACTTTCATTTTAATCACTTCACCGAAAAGTTTAATTGTTTTCAGATGATCACAATTAACTAGATTATTATTACTCGATGATAAATCCATTTCTATTTTGTACTTTAATCCAATTATATATATATATAAAAAACGGAACAATTAATCTTAATTAAATTGGTCACTTGTAAAACTTATAAACTTTAACTAACGATTGAGATTTCAATTAAATGAAAGTAACAATAATCAATCAGAGAGAAAATTAAAAAAGTGAAATAACAAAATTATCTTTAGATTGACAATCAACGAGTTAATCTGATAGTCTAACGATTCATATTAATTGTTACAACAATTAACTAATCACTAGTAAAATTGTTTATTGTCAAATGATTTAAAAACCAATCGGAAAATTGTCAAGATAAACAATCAGCAATTGTTTAAAGAAGTTTTAATTGTTTGAATGTCAAGTTGATTGTGATGATTTAATGATTATCATGATGATAATTGAAATGATGGTGATGTTAACTTGGAGAGAGTTGAATTGAGACTGATTCAGAATCTTCATATTTATCATCAGCTGTTCTCACTCACTTATCATCCTCATCATTTGGCGCAATCTCAGCTGATTAAGGATAAATTGAATTCGTAAGGAGACAATTAAATTGTAATGTGTTTTATTGTTTTAATTGTAATCAGCAAATTGATCATAAAAAAAGGATTGCTTGGTAAGTTGAATTGAATTAAAATCGATAAAGTTAATTTGTATCCAATAAAAACAAAGAAAGATTTTTTAAATTGTTGATGAGAAAATCATACTAATTGATTAACTTGTTTTGTGTCTATTAATCAAGGGAATAGAGGTATTGGGGGAGGTGAACTTGTAACAATTTAAATTAAAACTAAAACATTGATTATTGTTGTTGTTTTAGTTTCTTTTTTTTTGTATGATTAGTTGATTTGCTTGAACCATTTTTTTGTTTTCTTTAGGTTGGTGTTGGTGGTAACGGTGGACTATGTGTATGTTTGTTGGGTGTGATTGGGAAATTTACAACTAATGTTAATTGTGATTGAAATTAATAAATAAATGAATGCTGAGTGGTAGAAATGATGAAAATAATGGTGACAATGGAGATACAAATGATGCAAAAGAAAATTATTGATGGGATTTGGTGAGAGAATCAATTACAATTTGTGTGTGTGTAGATAATAATTTAGTTAATTAACATTAATGTATAGGATTAATTCCGTGTAATTGGAAATCGTCAAAAAGTTCAATCAATTCTTCAATTTTGTATTCCTCTAAAATTACAAACTCTTCCAGACTGGGACAAGCTTTTCGAGCACAATCAACGCAATGAACAACGTGTTTCTTGTCCATCTCTCGAACGAACAAAATATTAAATACTTCAACCTAATCGAGAGAGAGAGAGAGAGAGAGAGAGAAAGAAAGAAAGAAAAGAAAGAAAAGAAAACAATGATAAATAAGATAATTAGTGAAAAAGAATATAATTAACTAGTCAGTTAGCTAATTGAGATGTTATAATCATTATAATCACTTACTTCACAATCAACACAATAATGAGCTGCTTCGTTTTTACCACGGCCATGCCATCTTATTTCACGGCCACAAGAAGCAACAAAATCCATTATCATTTGACAACATTTCAAGGATCGTAATAAGCAGATTCTATGGAGAAATTATTAGATAATATAACGAAGTTATAGATTATAAGAGCCAATGAATTGTTCAATTTTAAAAGTAAAACTTACTTGATTCTACCAAACAATTCCTCTTCGGAGACTTTCAAATTTTTCGCCAAATTCCAGGTAAGATGGATCATAGGAACAATGGACCTAAAGTTTTCCAATTTGTTGAATTCAAATCGCTCGATAGCAGATTGATATTGAGTTGCAGTTAATGGGCCCACGTTCCAAGCGATATTGTTGCACCAACCAACTGCTTGCACCCAGTGAACTGTTCCTGCATTAACCCAAACCATGTCACCGGGCCGCTGAAGGAATCGGTAGACGGGAATACTTTCATTAAGTAGATCTTCAAGAATAGGCCACCATGACCCGTGTAAATAGCTTAAGTTATTTCTGCAATAACGAGAGAAGAAAGTAAAAGAAAAATGATTGATCATTAGTGAGGAAAATTAGACATAATGAATGTGAATTAATTACTTTTGACAAAGGCTATTTATGGCTCCCCAGTAGCTTTCAGGTACACCGAACCATTCACAATCTCCTGGACCAATATTAATATTAACAGAACAGAAATTATTATTCTCCTGGTGACCTGGAGTTCGACATCCTGGAACTTTCATATATAATTGAACTGTATTCATTCCCAGAATAACATGACCAACATGACTTAGCATATTACCCGCCGAAACAACTCGAGCGAACGCTGGTAACTTCATAAGTTCCTGTAATTGTGGTCGCCACTTTTTACTATCTGAAAGATCAACATTAGTACCAAATTTAATTGTCTTAAAGGGTCGATTCTTTTTCCCGCGTCTCATTTTAGAATTTGCTGAAGAATTTGAATCAGAATCTGAGTTGTTTAAAAGACTATGACTCTTATTCTGTTCATCTCTCAATGATTCTTGGAACGAGGAAGCCTGATAATGAGCATATCGAGCTATTGACATGTGAGATCGATGACTTTCACATCTCCAAACCATTTGTCGTTTCTCTGGATCCCAATTTTCATCAGCTAATTGTAAATATTGTGTTCGCACTTCTATCAAATGCTCTGGATTTGCTTCAACTAGTGTTTTTGTTGAAAAAAGGCCAAGATCTGTAATTGTAATAATAATAATAATAATAATAATAATTGTAAGATTTGAATGAACAAATGAAAGAAAACAAATGAAAGAAATGAAAGAAAAGAAAGAAAAGAAAGAAAGAAAGAAAGAAAAATTTACCCAATTTCAATACACTTGCTAGACCTCGAACAACGGCTATTGGATGAGCTAAACAAAATTCTTGTAATTGTGTCGAAAAGGCATCTTTCTTATTCTCAAGAAAAACACTGGGTGTTTGAGGTAATAACTTGTCTTTGGGCAATGGCGGGTACGGAGCTTCAATGGGCGAGGGAGGACGAGGATCATCAGATAATAAACTGGAATCAATTCGACCCGTTCTTCCATACCCTTTACATGCTTCCAATGCACGAGAAGCATTCATATCAATGGATAATCGTATCGATGGTGAATAATTTGAATAATGGTCCCATTTACTATTGTTATTATTTACTACATTATTATTATTATTATTAGTGTGATTGTTGTGATGAGAATGAGAATGATTATTATTAGAAATATTGTTGTTGTTGTTTGTTGATTTACGATTTGAGCATTCGTTTGTTAATGAATCAATGTCGGTTGAATTTCTTCGGTTTACGGCACAATTTGGATTGTTGGCAGTGAAGGTTTCACAAGAGATTCCATCGATTCCTTGCTTATTTTTGCTGTTGGGTTGTTTCTTGTTATTTAAATCAAATTCAGCGATCAGATTTTCCGCAATCGAGGCAGTTGAATTAATTCCATGAGAGGTTGTTAACGATGTTGCTGAATCAACACTAGAAGAAGGAGGTTTTGTCGTTGAGGTATCACTTTGAAAGGCAGTGTCAATTTTCATGGGTGAACTGGTTAAATCACCTCCAATTTTAGTTGAAATATTTGTACTACTATTTGTTTTATTTGTGCGTTTACATCCACTTTTACTGTTATGGTTTGACTTGTTACTGTTTTTGTAGCTAGTGAGTTAACATCACCATGGGTTCTTGAATTAAATGAATTTACATCATGTTGACCGGTGGGACGCTTAGGACCATGAGACAAAGGCCTTGTTGAACTGGTATTCTTACTAAGAGCAGGATCACTTTTGAAATTCAAAGAGGTTTTCAGATTATTATTAACAGGGTTACCAATTGGTGAATCATTAATTTTAACTGATTGTTGTTGTTGTTGTGATTCTATCATATGTTGGGTAGATGATAATCTGTATTGATGTTCTAACTGGGCAAGTAAAGCTTTATCCTGATTATGTAGTGAATTTTGATTCTTTTGTAAATGTGACATTAGTGAAATTTGTTGGGAGGACATGGTGACACTATTATTATTGGCAGTGGGTCCAGAATTTGGTTGGTAGCCTTCGGGATTTTTCATAGAGTTAGTCAATTCCATTCTATCTTTGATTTAACTTTGGTTTAGAAAATTTTTGATAATCATAAACTGGAGAAAAAAAGAATAGAATAGATCAGAACAAGGTGTCACAAATATAGAGGTAAACATGAGAAAGAGAGATAATTACTTGATTAGGTCTTTGAACTGAGAATGAGTTTGGTATTGAATCCATTTGTTTGAGGTGAGTTCCAAATGTCCTCGAAACATAGTAACCGCTGTTCACAATAAGAGGAATATCGGGAATAAGGCGAACACATAGAGAAAAAAAAGAAAAGAAAAAAAAAGATGATGACCAAGATGAGAACACAGAGGTGATTACACTTTCAACTTCGCCACCTATTGGTTTGGATAAATTCTCTCTTTTTTTCTTTCTCTTTCAGTTTTTCTTTCTCTCCCTTGAAAGTTGCTTCAACTAAAGTGAAAGATGATGAAAGTGTAATCACCTCTGCTAGAATAAGAGAGAAAGAGAGAAAGAGAAAGAGAGGAAAGGAAAGAGTAAAAGAGAAAAGAACAGATTATAACCTCTTATAGCTGATGGGATGAAATTTTCTCAAATAGAGTTAAGGTTTTCTAATAGAATATTTTTCTATTGAAGGTCGGGCAAGTCCCTTCTCTTAGTGTATTGAGAGAGAGGAGAAAGAAAGAGAGACACAAGGAGAGAAAGAGAGAGGAAGTAAAAGGGAGAAAAGAAGAAGAGAGAAAGAAAAGAAAGAAAGAAGATAGATAATGGGACTACACTGAAAGGAAGAGAAAAAGAGGGTAAGAGAGAGAGAGAGAGAGAGTGGAAGAGAGGGAGGGAGGCGATGAAGATGGTTCGATGGTTCATCACAACAAAAGAGAAAAACAAGACTCTTTCTTTTTACTCTTTGGTTCATCTTCTTCTCTTCATCCCGATAACTTCTTTTAAACGATTTTTCTTTATTTCGATTGATCGATAAGAATCGATTCTTTTCACTTTCTTCTTTTTCTGTCTTTTTTTTATTCTCTTCGTTAAATCGATTGGCCCAGTTACGAACAAATTAAATGATAACAATCGATTTTTATGTCGAAAACTCGAAACTTCCAGTAAAGTTCACGAAACTTTTAATAGATTTTCTAATCAAATTGGATCATCATTCTGATTGATTTTTGGGTAATTTTTGATCAGGGTTTAAATTATTGGAGAAGATAATTGAAAGAACTACAATCTTTTTGTATTTTCGGTAAAATCGATCGGTTCAAATTTTGGATAATCATAAACGAGAATCGTCATAATTTTAGAAGGTCAAACTTGAGGCCAAATATTGTTGTTGAAAGTATTTCTTTGAACCAAAGACGCTACGTGACTTTTATTACCATAAATGTGACCCTTTTATTGTTAGTGTAATAAATGATTCTCGTCTTAAGTGTCACTGTATCTCCGTTTATTATGATGACCTGAATGGCCTCATAATGAGTTCGTCCAACTTTTTTTGACCTTTCAAAATAACAACAAGTTCACAATTTGAAAGCAACGTTTTCGATACAATCTAGTTACTTTAATTGTCTTTTTGTTGTTCATCTTCAATTGTTCATAATCAGAAATCATACAAACTAATCATATCTACTGATATAAGTTACATTAGGTAACAAGATTGTTCAATTGGATGATTGAAACAATCAAAAAATGGTCTTGTTGGTTAACCATTGAATCTCTAGATGAAGGGAAACAAGTTAATTGTAATCAATTGAAATTCATTCAAAAAATTGATCAATTTGTTTCCCAAAATAAATTGTATGTATTAAATTTAAAGGTCACTTTCACAATGGATAATATCATGACTTTTACAATTTTGATCGCTTCTTAAAAAAGGTCACAAACTGTCAACAATTAGCATGTAATTGTGAATCACTTTTCAGCTAATTACCTTTGTAAATTAAATCCACAGTATAGTTGATACAGATGATTACATTATACAGAACGAGATTAACTTGTCCGGAGTGAAGTTTATGTGATTAGTTGAAATTACCATTGATCATTAAAAAATAATCTCCTGATAATTTGATTAAAGGTCAACAACAATTTTGACTCTTTGTAATTAAAGATAAATTCACAATCCAATCAAATCATAATCTTGCAACAATTAAGAATAAAGAAAATGTAAATAATTCATCATTGAGATTAGTTGAGGTCAAGAGAAAGAAATTAAGTTAATTGATTGATCTCCAAAATGGTTAACATACAGACATCGACTTGGAGTTCACAATCACTTTTAATTTACTCGCGACGATAATGATAATCAATTAGAGATCAAGTTAACCCAAAGATATGACAATAATCAATGTCCTCTCATTAAACTGGTGTTATCTTTTCAAATGGTCATCCGATTAGATTTAGATTTGACTAATTATCAGTAACTGCGCGAGTAAATTAAAAGTGATTGCAATCTCAAAGTCGATGGCTTTATAATTCAATTGTCTATTCAATGCGAATCAAGTGATATGTTGTTTTCTAATGATTCGAAACAATTGAACATTCTAAGCTTCGAACCCAAAATATCGTCGATAATTTTTCTCTCCAAAGGTGGAGTTGGAAAAGAAAATTCAGTTTACTTGTTTTCGATAATTTTAAAACTTTCTGAGTTCGAATTGAAAAGTTTTCTTGTAGTTATTGTTTCTTTTGCTCTTTTTTGTTTCCAATTAATTTTATATCAATTTGACTTCATTAGAATTTAGTAGATCTGATATTTTTATTGAACTTCGATTGACAATAAAGCAGAGAAACAAATGTCCTTCGACTGGTCCAACCTTCAAAAATGATCAACTAGGTGATCGGAGGTTTGATTGATTATCTGAATAACATTAATCAAGGAAAAGTTTTGTTCCTGAACAGTTGAAATTAATAAATGATGAAGATGAAGCGACATTAATGGTTAACATTAAATTGTTTTGAGAGTAACTTGTGATATTAATTGTATTTTTCTAAGAGAAATTAGATTCAATTAGAATAAATCGATTTTGTTTATTTGTAAGTCATAATTTTGTCTCTTTAAATATTGTAATCAGCAAATTGATCATAAAAAAAAGGATTGCTTTGTAAATTGAATTGAATTAAAATCGATAAAGTTAATTTGTATCCACTAAAAACAAAAAAAAAATTAAATTGATGACGGGAAACATGATACTAATTGATTTGCTTTGTGTGTTGAATTTCAATTTTGAAATAAGGTGTGATGGTAATGTAACGATGAGAATGATAATAGTGATGAAGATGAGATGACAATGATAATGATGAGAAAAAGGGTTGATGGGATTTGGTGAGAGAATCAATTACAATTTGTGTGTGTGTAGATAATAATTTAGTTAATTAACATTAATGTATAGGATTAATTCCGTGTAATTGGAAATCGTCAAAAAGTTCAATCAATTCTTCAATTTTGTATTCCTCTAAAATTACAAACTCTTCCAGACTGGGACAAGCTTTTCGAGCACAATCAACGCAATGAACAACGTGTTTCTTGTCCATCTCTCGAACGAACAAAATATTAAATACTTCAACCTAATCGAGAGAGAAAAAGAAAGAAAAGAAAGAAAAGAAAAAGAAAACAATGATAAATAAGATAATTAGTGAAAAAGAATATAATTAACTAGTCAGTTAGCTAATTGAGATGTTATAATCATTATAATCACTTACTTCACAATCAACACAATAATGAGCTGCTTCGTTTTTACCACGGCCATGCCATCTTATTTCACGGCCACAAGAAGCAACAAAATCCATTATCATTTGACAACATTTCAAGGATCGTAATAAGCAGATTCTATGGAGAAATTAATTACACAGAACAAAATCATAGATTAGACTAAGACAAGAATAATTATCATCTTAAAGATCATTCTAATTATCATCAAGTGATTAGTGTTTAAGTTGTCTAACTTTCACTACTTGTTACAGATAAGAGAAAGATTGATTAGCACAATATTAATTATCTCAATTTTAAGCATAATTAACCACTTAAACTTACTTAATTTTCTTAAACAATTCCTCTTCGGAGACTTTCAAATTTTTCGCCAAATTCCAGGTAAGATGGATCATAGGAACAATGGACCTAAAGTTTTCCAGTTTATTGTATTCAAACCGTTCGACGGCAAGTTGATACTGTGATGCGGTCAATGGACCAACGTTCCAAGCGATATTATTACACCAACCAACGGCTTGGACCCAATGGATTGTACCTGCATTAACCCAAACCATATCACCGGGACGTTGAAGAAATCGATAGACGGGAATATTTTCACTGAGAAGATCTTCTAGAATAGGCCACCATGATCCATGTAAATAACTTAAGTTATTTCTAAAAAGTAAATATAATAAAAATAATTATGGAAAAGTTTCAATGAATAAGTTATTGCACTTTGTTAATTACTCAATGAGATAATTGCAAATGTTTAAGTATTTTACTTTTGACAAAGGCTATTTATGGCTCCCCAGTAGCTTTCAGGTACACCGAACCATTCACAATCTCCTGGACCAATATTAATATTAACAGAACAGAAATTATTATTCTCCTGGTGACCTGGAGTTCGACATCCTGGAACTTTCATATATAATTGAACTGTATTCATTCCCAGAATAACATGACCAACATGACTTAGCATATTACCCGCCGAAACAACTCGAGCGAACGCTGGTAACTTCATAAGTTCCTGTAATTGTGGTCGCCACTTTTTACTATCTGAAAGATCAACATTAGTACCAAATTTAATTGTCTTAAAGGGTCGATTCTTTTTCCCGCGTCTCATTTTAGAATTTGCTGAAGAATTTGAATCAGAATCTGAGTTGTTTAAAAGACTATGACTCTTATTCTGTTCATCTCTCAATGATTCTTGGAACGAGGAAGCCTGATAATGAGCATATCGAGCTATTGACATGTGAGATCGATGACTTTCACATCTCCAAACCATTTGTCGTTTCTCTGGATCCCAATTTTCATCAGCTAATTGTAAATATTGTGTTCGCACTTCTATCAAATGCTCTGGATTTGCTTCAACTAGTGTTTTTGTTGAAAAAAGGCCAAGATCTGTAATTATAATAATAATAATAATAATAATAATTGTAAGATTTGAATGAACAAATGAAAGAAAACAAATGAAAGAAAAGAAATGAAAGAAAAGAAAGAAAGAAAAGAAAGAAAAATTTTAATTTCAATACACTTGCTAGACCTCGAACAACGGCTATTGGATGAGCTAAACAAAATTCTTGTAATTGTGTCGAAAAGGCATCTTTCTTATTCTCAAGAAAAACACTGGGTGTTTGAGGTAATAACTTGTCTTTGGGCAATGGCGGGTACGGAGCTTCAATGGGCGAGGGAGGACGAGGATCATCAGATAATAAACTGGAATCAATTCGACCCGTTCTTCCATACCCTTTACATGCTTCCAATGCACGAGAAGCATTCATATCAATGGATAATCGTATCGATGGTGAATAATTTGAATAATGGTCCCATTTACTATTGTTATTATTTACTACATTATTATTATTATTATTAGTGTGATTGTTGTGATGAGAATGAGAATGATTATTATTAGAAATATTGTTGTTGTTGTTTGTTGATTTACGATTTGAGCATTCGTTTGTTAATGAATCAATGTCGGTTGAATTTCTTCGGTTTACGGCACAATTTGGATTGTTGGCAGTGAAGGTTTCACAAGATATTCCATCGATTCCTTGCTTATTACTACTGATGATGTTTCTATTGTTATTTGGTCGATTTTTGTTATTTAAACCAAATTCTGTTATCAAATCCTCAGCTATTGAAGCAGTTGAATTTCGTGAAGATAAAAGGTTCCGAATTTCATTTTCATTGAGACCAAGGGACGGTGTTAGAGATGCTGCTGGAGTTGCAGTTGTTGTTGGAGTTATAGTTGTTATTGTATTTGTTGTAATTGTTGTTGTTGTTGTTGATGTATCACTTTTAAAGGCAGTGTCTATTTTCATAGGTGAGCTTAATAAGTCACCTCTAATTGCGTTTATATTACTATTTGTACTACTATTTATATTATTTGTGCTATTAATTTCAATTTTACTGTTGAGATTTGACTTGTTTGATAATGAATCTAAATCATTACGGGTTCTTGAATTAGGGCTGGTCGTGTCTATAGTAAGTTGACTGGTGGGACAATTAGGACCACTAAGTGAAGGCTTCGTTAAAATGATATTATTACTTAAACTAGGATCACTGTTGTAATTTAAATGGTTATTATTAACAAGAGTACCAGACACAGTTGATGAATCATTAACTTTCTCTGGTGGATTTAGATGATTTTGAAGTTGATGTGGTTGTTGTTGTAGTTTCTGTTGTATCATATGTTGGGTAGATGATAGTCTGTATTGATGTTCTAACTGGGCAAGTAAAGCTTTATCCTGATTATGTAGTGAATTTTGATTCTTTTGTAAATGTGACATTAGTGAAATTTGTTGGGAGGACATGGTGACACTATTATTATTGGCAGTGGGTCCAGAATTTGGTTGGTAGCCTTCGGGCTTTATCATAGAGTAAGTTAATTCCATTCTCTGGCGTTTACTTTGATTTAAAGGGTGATGAGGATCGTAAACTGATAAAAAAAAGAGAGAAAGAGACATTATGTAAATAGTATAGTAGTTAAACCAACACAGACAGAAAAAGAGGGAAACACTCATTTAGAGTCGTAATCAAATAAAACAATGAACAAACTCTATCAGAATCTAGATGGTGAAAATGGTGACAAAGGAGTAATTAGAGATAAAAATAAAGGTTTCAAGGTTGATTTGAATAAATTGATAAACAATTACTATCAGAAAGTAGTCGGAAAGTAAATAGGCAACGTGAAAAGTATTGTTACCTGATGAAATATCTTGATTAGGTCTTTGAACTGAGTTGTGTCTTTTAGCCATTTCTTGGGATATTTGTTTGTTCCAAGCGTCCTCGATACATGGTATTTCTTGGTTGCTAGTTCACCAAAACAATAACACAAATGAGGAACAATAAAAAAGAGATGAATTTAAAAAAAATGACTAAGATTGAGATTGGAAAAAGAAGAACACAGAAAGAGTGAGAAAAAGAGGTGATTACACTTTGGGAGCAGCTAAACTCTCAATGTAAAGCTTAAAAGGAAAGAAAGGAAAGGTGAGAAAGAGAGAGAGAGAGATGGGGAGAGAGAGATTTTCTGGTTTTCGGGGGCTTACATTAGGGGAGACACAGCGGCTTGTACGGAGCCTTATTCTGTCTAATTTAGCCGACGAATTCAATCGGCTGTATATAGATAACGGGAAGGGGAATGAGGACTATTTGCAGGGGCCTAATCTCAGGCCGATAGATTTCCTCTTCTCTCTCTGCACAATGCAGGATCGAAGTATTTGTCAGTCGTCCAGTTTAGAGCCCCAAGTTTATCAAGACCAAAGAAAAGGCTTGACACCGGTGCTAATCGCTGGACTACAGCGGAGAGAAGATAAATTAGTTGAACCAGTAGATGGCGAAAATGTAGAGTGTAATCACCTCTGAAGAATCGGAAAGAACAGATTATACTTGGGATGAAATTTTCTCAAATTTTGGTTTGGGTTTTGAAGGTCGGGCAAGTCCTTTTCTCTTTCTCTCTCTTCTCTCTAACCAAAGGACAAGGAGAGGAAGTACCATGGCAGAAGGGAGAAGGAGATGGGAAAAGATAATAGGACTCCACTGGAAGAGAATAGGGAGAGAGCACATTTAAAAGAGGGTAATAGGGAGAGAAATAGAGGGAGATGGAAAATGAACACGGTTGGGACAAGCCCCTTCTCTAAACATCCCGAGAACCTCAATATTAAAAACCCAAAGGTTCAATTAAAAGGCAAAATTTATGAACCATTTTTTCCCTAGTATATTTATGGATAATATCAGCAATTTAAATATCAAGTTGATAACATTTACCATGTATTCGAATTGGGTCAAAATTATGATGATAAAAAAACATCATATTACTCGGAAGTTGAAAAATCTATTGTCCAATTGTATTTTTTGTTGAAAAATTAATCCCCATTGTGAAACCCGTAATGATAGGCAGGAGAGTGAGAGAGTGGGAGGGATGAAAGTGAAAGTGAATTCAAGTTAAACATTTGATAGGAACAGGAACAACAAGATATGCAATGGGAGGTTGAGTAAGAAGAGGGAGAGATGAGAGAGAAGCATAAGAACAAGATTAAGAGGGAGAGATGTGGTAGAGGGTGATGGGGATGTGGATGATGATGATGGTGGAAAAATGATGAATAAGAACGGAGGATGTTTGAGGAGAGAGAAAGAGAAAGAAAATTACAGATCTTGAGAATTTTTTTTTCTTCATTTGATTGGTGATCTGTCTTAATAGTACCTTTGTGAATTATTTGGAGGGGCATTGGCAAGTTGAGTTTGTAGAAATTTGATTCGCTCATTGAGAGCAGAACTCACTGATCCTGATGGATAAATACGAATAATGAACAGAATGAGATGACGATGAAGATGAAGATGAAGATGGTGATGATGATTGAATGAAGAACAAGAAATAAGAAAAAGAGAGAAAGAGAGAGAGAGAAATTAGATGTTAGAAAATGAATATAAAAAAGTAAATCATCAAATTTTTCTTTTGTTATCAATAGATGAAGATGAGGATTAAATGATGATTGTGGTGCTTTTGATAGATGATAACTTGTTATCTGATTAAAATGAGAAAAAGAAAACAATTTATAAATTGTAAGAATATTGATCAACTCATCGCCCTCTTTTGAGGTCACAAGAAACTATATAAAAGTTAAATTGTTGCGATGAGTATTGGCGATTTAACTAATTGTTAGGTAGTTGGTGATTAAAATATTAGTTAATATCAACAGTGGTGATAATTAATTATTTATGCTTATCATGAATTTGATGATACCTGTAAAAATCGTCAAAATTAATATCTTAAATTCATTGATTAATTTGGAAAAAGAAAAAAAAAATTTATGACCGAAATTATTAGAATAATTAATTATTATTAATTGTTGATGATCAAATTGAATTGATAATAATTTAAATGGTCACAGTAAACTTAATGATATTTTAAAGTTTAAAAGAAATAATTTAAAAAAAAAATTAATCTAATGGGAAAAGGTTAAGGGAACAATTTGTTTGCAAATTATGAATTCAATCAACAAATTGCTTCAATTTACTGGATCATCATCAGTTAATCATCTATCTGATTAAAGAGAGACACAAAACTGGAAATAGTCTTGAATGAATAAACGTCATAAAGTAAATCTAATTGATTTTGTAAATAAATTGATGACATTTAGATAATATCGTCATGTGTTCATTACATTCAATCAGATTTTAACAGCTGAAAATATTCACCTTAACTGATTGACTAGTAAAGAACCATCATGATTACATTGAAATGCTCATGTTTTCAATCAAAATAATGTTCAAAAATCGTTAATTACCTCGTCCTTTAGTTGCATTCATGTAACACTTAAGAGCGTCCTGAGGTTGATTAACACTCTCATAAAGTATTCCCAGATTGGTCCAAGCGGTTGTGTGACTTTTGTCGATTTGAACTGAACAAATATAAGCTTGATAAGCATCGACTGGTTGTGGAAATTTAGGTTGTAGTTGATAAAGTATTCTGATTAAATGTAGAATTGAAACAAAAAAGAACAAGAAAAGGAAAAAGAAATAGTAAGAAGGAAGTTCAATGTTAACAATTAAATTGTGAGAACATGTTGGTTATTGGTTAATGTGAAGTAAATCAATTTACAGTTAAAAGGAAAATCACTCACAATAACAATAAAAGAAATATACACAAAATCACTGATTCGCAAAAATACCAATATCAATATCACAATTTTCCAAGTATTTAAGGTAACAGTGATTCAATTGATACACTTCAATTGTATCGGTGTATAAATTTGTTGTTATTGTTTATTTTAAGAGGGAAAACACAACTAACCCTATTGAACACCATGTATCAGCGTCTATATCATTTTGTTCAACACATGCTTTGTATGATTCAAATGCTTGACCAATATATTCAGGGCCCAGGCTTGAATAACATCGACCCAAAAAGTAAGAACTTTGTCTTGAACTGAATTCCCCTTTGGATGCTGATTCCAAGTAAGAGATTGCCAATGATTGTCGAGAATGTTTATCACCAAACGAATCTACAATATGGAACATCCATCCTAATTGTTTTTGCACATCAGACTTTAATTCACCGGTAACATTTTTATCGGATAACAATTTCTCATAATGTTCTTTAGCTAATCTATATTTTCCTTGGACTTCGTATAAATGAGCTATATGAAATTTGACTGAAAATAAAAGACCAGAATTAAAGTTAGTAATTCGACTTGTCACTTGTAAAAAAAAATATGAAACAAAATCAATGGTGCTAATAGAAAGGTTATTAAAGTCTCCTCCTAGTTACTATTTCACCAACATAAACAAACAGAATCACTCCCGATAGACTCATTGGAAGATACATCTGATGATGATGATGATGATGATGATACACATATGACGAGAACATAACAACATATGAGTGAACACACATAAGACTTACTTTGAACTTTGTTAAGAGTTGATGGACGACTATCAGCCAAGGCAATTCGAAAATGCTAAATTGTTACAAGTACGAGAAGATGAGAAGAAAAAGAAAATTACCAAAAGAAACAACAAGTTTAGATGACAAACAATATCTCGTTGATAAACTATTGTTACAATTGATGGGAAAGGGAAAATCTATATACTCACTTTAAGAGATGAATCATAATCACATAAAATCTTAAAAATTACTCCTAATCGTATGTGTAATTCATTGGAGGGATAAAAAGATGGATTAATATAAAGTATTTGGCGGAATGCTTTAATGGCCCTGTAAGGATAGAAAGAGAGAGAAGGAAATTTGGTTAAACATATGATTGGAAAATGATGCGGATGAAATAAGAAAATTATGTAATTCACTGACCAACGATATGCATTAAAATGAAAATAAACTAAACCCAGTCCGTATAGAGCTTCCAGATCATGGTAATTGTCATAATTGATTTGATAATAGCGTTGATAGGCTGACATTGCTTGATGATAATTTTTCAACAACAAATGAAAATGTCCAAGCTTGGCATATACTTTAGGGTCAATATTGGTCCCACCATTGTCAGGATCATCATCATTATTGTTATTATCCTCACCACCACCACCACCACCACCATCCTTGGTTAAACTGGTTTTGATATAAGTCTCCAAGGCTGCGACACCTTTATTTAAAAGCGTTTTCAATCTAGTATTGCTTGAGACATCGATAAAACCATAATCGGTTGCGTCAATTGTGGAGAGGACAATAATTTCATCTCCAGTTAAAGCCATATCACAAGACAGTCAACAAATACACTCAAGGTGAGAGAAAGAGATACACAGACAACAGTTTAAATTAAATATTCTGTTTGATGGACTTTGGTGGACAACAGTGTTTGTTGATGGAAAATCCAATCGGACTCCGGGTTTGTAATAATCAAAAAAATAAATAAATACAGGAAAACAACGCAAGGGAACCGATTAAAAGGAAATACAAAAAAGATCCGGTAAAGTATCAGGCTTTTTAACCCGATGTTCAATGTCCACCATGAGGCACTGAAAGAGAGGAAAAAAGAAAAGAGAAAAAATTAAAAATAATTACACTTTTTTTGAAAGATAATCTTAAATTTTTCTAATTGTAAACAATCAAAATAAAATAAAATTTTTCTATACAAACAAACAAACAAATTTAGATACCGAAGCTCCAGTGAAACTTAGCCGGTTCCTTGGCGAGTCGAACTGAGGATTCGCTCGAGCCAATTGATACAATCGCAGCTCAGTTGATTTCATCTCTCACTTTCTCTCTCTCTCTCTTTTCCCCGTTCAAACTTTGACTTACACTTGTTTTCCCTTGTTCACCTTTTCCTCTCTCTCTCTCTCGTTTCACCTTTTTCACATGTTCGCGCCACAGACTTTAGCCTAATCCTGACGAGCGAACGAAAATTCATCCAGCTAGCCAATAGTAGCCAATTAAGCCAAGCCGAATGAATCACTTTCGGTATTCAACCAACACATATGATCCGGAGCTCGGGTAAAAATCCGCTTCTTTTTTCGGGCGAATCTCGATTATTCATCAATTCGGTTAATACTTTTGTTGCCAATGGTTACCTAGTGTTGAATAAACTCACCAGATGACGCTACTAAAACCTCTGTCTTCGAACTGTGTCGCAATTTCGTCTCTTTCTTTTGCTCTTTCTTTCTGAACACATGAGTTGAGTTCATTTTTGGCTCCCTCTTTTGGTTGATTGAGTTACTTTTTTGGTTTACTTTTTTTTTGATAACATTTAATTGTTTTGTTTTTATTTTATTTCTTATGACTTTTTTTTTTAAATTAATTTAATAGTTATTCAATTGTTATGTTTGGTTTAGTGTTTAATTGTCGTCTTTTACCTCGAGTGATTAATGTGTCCAGTTTGAGATTTGCAGGTCATAACAAATGGTCAAATATTAAACATACGAAAACAGCGAAAGATGTTGCCAAAGGGCAGTTGATTAATCGTCATTTGTGGGCAATTAAACATGCGATTACTTGTTCAGGAGGTGTTGTTGACCCTAAACTTAATGATAAATTAGCCGATGCTTTGGCAGATGCCAGGAAAGCGGAGGTTCCCGCTGCGACCATAGAAAGAACTCTGAAAAAAGCAACAGAAAAGAAAACCAAACCTTTCATATTTGAAATAGTTGGACCCGGTGGTAGTTTTATTCTGGTCGAAGGAGAATCTGATAATATTGGAACTTCCAGAACTGCGTTAAAAGGACTATTAAGGCCATTTAAAGGGTAAGAAGGGGACTTTCAATTGTAGTTTGTTTATCCTAATTCTTTTTCTTCTCAATCTCTTTCTGTTCTTTTTGTTTCAATAGACATTATAATTGGGCTCGTGAAGGAGCATTGCTTAAGCTTTTCACTCAAAAAGGTGTCGTTAGAATAAATAGAATTGACAAGGATGGTAATCCGATTGATTTTGACAAGGCGGAAGAGGTCGGAATCGAAGCGGGTGCTGAAGAAGTTCGGTCGATTGAAGATGATGAAGAATCAAAATCAAAGGAAACCTCGGAAACTTCATGGGATTTATTGATGTCCAAAGAAGATCTTTTCTCTGTCAAAGGTTATATTGAAAAAAATCGACCTGACGTGGTGATCGGTGACTTCCGACTTGAATATTTTCCCCATCTTTATGTTGAAATAAGTGATCAAGACATAGAAAAATTATCTGAATTAGTTGATGCAATTGATGAATTACCTGAAGTTACAAAGGTTTTTGTTAATATAAAATAGTCGATTACAATGTAATAAATTAATCAATTGAAACAATATAATTAAACTTATTATCTCATTACTATTACAATAATTTGTGTATTTCATTTGAATCAAATTAATTTGAAATAGTAATGGTTACAACATAATGTTAATGATATTTAATTGTAATCAAATTACTGATTTTTTTTCTCATGTACAATGTAATTAATTAAAGTTTTTCGCGGGAAATTTATCCAATGTAAATGCTGCAATTAAAATTGGGAGGGGAACGAGGAAAGGGCTAATGGAGGTGGTGGTCATCGTTAACGAATCGCCTAAGGGAAAGTTAAGTTATAAATTGTGTTCGATCCTCTGGTAAAAGAAACTTGAATAACGGTGATTATTTAAATCGTTACGACAATCACAGTAACGATTTCCTATGGACTTACTTTCCCGTTACTTGTGATGACCTGGTAACGGGTGAACCGTTTGAACCTTTGGGGATCGTTGTTGTGCTTTACGATTACAAAAAAAAAGTATTCACAACAATCAAACTGATTAATTATCATTTCTAAATAGATGTGATAACTTTTTCATTGGAAGAGACAAATGATGATAAATACAAATTGATTTTTCTCAAAATTAACTTATCCAATTTAATATACAAAAGACAACAATCAATTGATTGTCAGTTGATTATATCTTGATTTCCTATTCAAATAACAATTTCACGAAAATTAACTTTGTTAGGTAAATAAATGAATAAATTGTTCATATGATGATTATTTTTTGAAAAATTATAACTTCTTATTAAAAACCAAACGGATGACAATCAATTTAATTGTTCACAACACTGAATGGTTTCTTAGTACCAGGCCAAAACCCGTCATTGTCCATAGAGTCCCATGTTAAATTGAATTAGGCAAATCTTTTTTATTTCTCATCTGATTTTGATAAAAAGTGTCTCAAATTTATCATAATAACCTAAACAATCAATTTCACTAATAAAAAATTCCTACAACAATTTAACAATTAACCAAAAGTTAAGCTAAATCAAAAACTAAAACTTGATTTTCGTTATCCATGATTAACTAATTGCTAAGTTAAACTTTCATCATTCAAGTGTTAAAAACTTTCTCTATTGTTTGTATTAATCATATTCAATTGTTTGTCAACTTAAATTTTTTAATTTAACCGAAAAAATTGTCAAATTATATTATTCGAACCCGAATCAAATGTTTAATTACTCTGCTCTTGATTGTAATTCAATCGGTAACTTTGAGCACATGTAAGTATCGGATCGATTATCTTTTACTCAATCGAATTTGCTGGAAAAGAAAAAGATATTAGTCGATTGAGTCTTGGATTCGAATCTAAATGGTTTGTTTTGATTGAGAGAAAAACAAATTCATCTGAGAATTTTGTTTCTCAACATTTGATTAACTTAATATTCTTAATTTAATTGTGATTTAATTTTCTACCATTAATGTCAATTGTCATTATCTATTCCACCAATTGACCGGAACATTCACTGAGAATCTTTTCTACATACTAATGATATTTTTAATTTATTTTTCTTTCTTTTCTTTTGTTTTCTCTTCTTCTTTTGCTTGATTTGATTTTATTTTTTTCCTTTCCAACAATAATACCATTTGATTCAATTGTTTTTCTATTTTTCACATAATCTAATCTCATTTCATTGTCCATTTTCTTCCTGTGATTAACTTTCAATTGTTGGGTTGTCTCTGTTTCATTTGTTACAACTCTTATGTTTATTTCCTTTGTGTCGCGATGTCAACAACTGAAAATTCTAAATCAAAACATGGAGAACCAGATATTTGTCGTAAAACCGAAGATCTTATTGAGCTTAACACTTCCATTGGTTTATGGTTGAAACCAATTTCGAAAATAAATGTTTCTGTTGCTTTACCATGTACTAAACAAACTGGACAATGTATTGGTACTCTTGCTGTCGCCGAGAAGTTGAAAAAACGGATCAAACCTTATTCATTCAAGAATCTTAAGGTGCTCAAATCAACATTGGAACTCATCAGATTTGAAGGTAACTTGAATAAATTATATTCACTTTGTTCTAATTGAATTGATAATTTTCTTCTTTTTTTTCTCTTCTTCTCCATAAGCTGAACTGGAATCTAAGTCAATCATGGAAACGGTTGTTGCTAAACTTGATCGAACCACGTTAAAATTAAATGGTTTTACTGAACTAATTAAAGTGAAAGCAGCTAAGGTTAAATTAAAATCAAGTCGCCACGAGTGGGAAACCTTTTTTCGTGATGATTCAAGTATGGATGAAACTAAACCAGGTCTAAGAGCTGATACCATTCACTTGAAGAATCTTCCTCTCAAATGGTTCGGTGGTGATAAACCAAAGCCTCAAATTTTATTAGACGTTTTTCAAGTTTTCGGTGATATAAGACGGTATCATATTCCTTGTTTAGACTCAACTGAATCAACTGGCGATGATCAGAATAAAAAAGATTCTGATTCTGGTTTTAAGAGGTTCAATTTTCATGAGATTCTAACCTTTGATGCCTTCATCATGTACAGGGATTATATTGGCTTCGTGAAAGCAATGGACGGACTGATGGCAAAGAAACTGGTCAAAAAGTTGGATCAAATCGATAAATATTTAGAATATGAGTTTATTGTTGATTTTGACAAAACCAAACATTTAAGTGACAAGTCGATTAAAAAGAGAACGCTACTTCGACGCTATGGCCTGAAAGATGTGAAAGAATTGAAAGATTTTAAGGAACATGCCAAAAAAGAGAAACTTCGATATGAAGAAAGGTTCAGCCTATTGAAAGATCGTAAAAATCGAGCAGAGAAACTGTTCAAATTGTTATTGGTCGAGGTGGAGAAACAAGTAAAAGCCAAAAAAGAAGCCGAAGAAGCGAAAAGAGAAGCCGAAAGATTAGTAAGAAAAATTTTAGAAGATGAAGAAAAAGCGAGAGAAAAATTAGCTGAGGAGAAACGTTATGAGATGAAGAGGAAACATTCATCGTCCAGTGGACAAGGTTTGAAAAGTATCGCTGTGTCTCTGTCCAAAGAATTGACATGTCCAAAGGAATCGAACAATAATCGACACAACTTGAAAAGTATCGCTGTTCCATTATATCGAGAAGAAAGTGATCGAAACAATCAGAGATTCGACCAGGACAATAGACGATATCATCATCACCATCATCATAGTAATAACCATAATCAGAACCACAACAACTACACTTATAACAATAGATACAATAATCATCACGGAAACAATAATAGTAACAACAATTTTCCATCACAATCATCTTACCATCACCGATCTCATTCTCATTCACAGAATTCAAATCAACAATCTTCTAATCATCAACAAACAATTACCCGATCGACTCGTCTTGATGTTCCTTATCAAAGAGATTCTAGTGTTCGAAGTGTACAAAGAAAATTGAAACGAAATCGCAATCTACTTGTTCAAGTCACTTGGCGAAATGATGATAATTGATTAAAAGTATTTCTTGTTAAAATTGTGTTTCTATTTTCCGATCAAATCAAATCAAAAAGACAACACAATGATATTATTAATGTTGGAGTAATCTGATTATTTTGAATTAGGTAATATGTTTATACTTGAATCTATCGGACCGACAATTTAATGAGCTGATTGTGATTTAACTTTGAGCAGTTCATTTCCATGAAAGGGTTGATCAACTCGAACTATTTTCTGAGCGACATTAAGGTAAGCCTCATATTCAATGGTGTCCGGTGTTGTATCGTGATGATAATGTCCACCTTCACCTTTACCGATACAATGAGTGTGTTCATCTCTCAGATTGAAACCAGGATCTTTTGAGTGAAGAGTAGTTAGACCAACGATCGGCGCTGAAGCCTCGAAAAAGTGTAGCCATTCATCGGCTTTTTCAGCGGTGTCACATGGAGTCTTCGAGAAATCATTGGGCATAACGTGGATATAAATTTTCCCCTGACGAACCAAAAACAATCCACCCATGGAAATATATTTATCTGGATAAACTTCCCGAAGTATGTCACGAATGGCGACAGTTAAACTTTCACCTCGTTTATCAATTCGTTTACGAGCAACGATCTTAATCACCTTGGAGGTTTGTTTGCTGAGATGAACACATTGGCCAGACAATTGGTACAATCGGAAGCTTATACAATACATTTCTAGTCGAAATATTTATCAAAATGACCTTCTTTTTAACGATTTTTCGAAATGCAAAAGCATGTAAAAACGAAAGTTATTTTGACCGGAGCTCCAAAGCATAATGACCTTTTCCCGTTCCATCGCTAGTTTTGTGCAAATATCTCAAAAACGCAGTTCAATAGGTGAATTTTTATTTCGATTTATTGTATTAGATCATTCGAATTTCTTACATACAATGTGTTTACCGTTTGCAGTAATAATCGAACAGGCCACTTTTAAAGGTCTATTTCTGGTCGCTATGGCACAAAGAGCAGAGATTAACATAGTACAAATAATGAAATTAAATAAAATTAACGATCGATTGATGTTATTAAACTTTCTCTGGCTATAATATTGAATGAGTTTTGTGCGAATTATTCAAATACAAACGTCCACACGTTTGCACGGGACAACCTAATAGTTTGTCCACAAAATCAACTCCAAATTTCCATCGAAAAGTACAAATCCTAAAGAGTAAAGAATTAAACAAAACTTCATCAAATTGACGGTTCTGTAATTGTGAAAATTCAATCGAAAATCGGAGTCAAGGGCATAAATGGATCATGATTATAATTAAGAAAACCTGATTTTCTCTCAATCAAATTGCATTTAAAAAGAGATTTAATTATATTGTTTTAGCTGATTAATGACGTCAGACAATTAACTTAATTGTGACTTGGTTCATCTTCCAACATAAGGTACAAGTCCGTCAATCAACAAAATCATCAGTAGTTTTTGATAACTTTTTCTAAATTGTTAATATGATTGTTATTCTGTAAAATAATAATAATAAAAAGTTTATTGAAAATATTACTCGTGTTTTTTTTTCTGTACGTGTTTAATGAGAATAATTTAATCTAATTGTCCTTTCTTCAATAAATAGAAAGAAACAAAAATTAAATCTCTTTTCTTGCTGAAAATCGCACTCGACACGCGCTCAGACGTCGCTGCTACTGAAATAGGCCTTGAAGTCGACCTAGTTAAATTAGAGTTAATTTGAATTAGTAAAACAATCATCACGATAATAGTAATACACCTATTTAGTTAACAGTTCACCGAGTAGAGATTAATTAAAATGACTTGTCAGATCTTAAATTGTTTTAATGAGGATGATGATTGGTGACTATGGATAATTCAACAGGCGAGTTAACTGTCGCAGGGAAACAAATCACTGATTCATCCACTGGACTGATCGTAGTTGATTTAACAGTAGACGAATCGACAAAAAGACCATCGATAGTTGATTATTTCTCTCTCATTAGTCCCAAGTCGACTCAAGTCTATTTCCTGAATTCGATCAATCATTTTCTCTGATTTCCTCATTAATCGGCCAAGTGAATTGGAGATTTAATTAGATTCGACTAATTGGAGTTATATTGATTCTTCAATTTCATAAAATTGCGAAAAGAAATCAATTGAAATTATTTGTTTTTCTAAGTTTTTGGTCAATATAAAATTCTCTTTGATTTAATTGCGGTGATTAATTGATTGAATCAACATGATTCTACAGGATTTTAATGAACTAATCAATCAGTTGTAATAAAAGGATTAAATTACCAAATGTAATTTGATTTTTTCTCCATAAAATTGTAAGCACTTAGTTCATTTGAACTTTAATCTTTTACTTTCTAAAAGAAAACATTGATTTCCAATGACATCTATCAAAAAGCTCCAGGTTAACTAATTTTGATAATCAAATTGATAAACATTTAATTAGAGTAAACTTGAATAACCAGTCAACCAATTTAATCAACTTTCTAACTTGGAAAAAGTCTCTCTCAATCTCTCTCTCTCTCTCTCTCTCTCTCTCTCTCTCATCTTTGTTTATTTTTTTTGTTTTTTATTCAGAATGAAATTAAAAACTGGACCATAACATAATCTAGAATCATCTTTCTCTCTCATTCCTTATCATCATTATCATCTTAGATGATTGGGTGTGGTGATGACTTTGAAACCAGTGGTGATTCTGGAGTTCTGATGATACCAAATGATAATAATCATGATTGAGATGAACACTCAAGTATATACAATGTGTAGTATTTATCAAATAGCCCGAGGCTAATTTCCCACGGCTTAATGTAAAAATGGGGCCCACTGATCATCATCATCATCATCATTAAATCATCTTACATAGACCTAGATACAAATTCTTAGCACGAACACTTTTGTAAGGATTATGTTTTTCACTTTCACTTTTATCTCTCCCCTGTTCTGATTCTGGTTTATTATCTTTCTTTGTTCTGATAATTTTTCTCCTAGAACTTGATTATCCAGTATAATACCCGTCGTCATGTTGTATTATTGAGAAAAGAAAGATGAAAAAGAAAGATAAATAGCATGGTAGATAATCGGCAGCGAAAGATTCAGAATCACAGGGACCTGAGGTGGAGACTGAAGGAAGAAAGAGAAACATGGAAATTAATTTCTTCTTTCTTTCTGTGTATTTACCTGTCTTCAGGGCGAAGATGCCGATGACGATAACGATTATTACAAAATGATAAAGAGATTCATGTGAGAGAGTAAGAGAAGGTCGAGTTTATGTTCTGAGAATGAAGAAAAATGAGATGAATTAGTGGCCGAAGGTGGAAAAAAAAAAGGAGAAGGGCGTTTACTGTTCCATGGAGAAAAGACCTTCCACTGGATCAATTTTCTTTCTCTCACATTCTCCCTCAACTCAATCGGCTCACTTATCATCTCTCTCCGTTGACTCTCTCTGAGAGTTCAGAATTATATAAAAAGGTGAACCAAACAGAGTTTCAGATCATCAACAGTCGCTCAATCGTTAAACGATCCCAGCTCATTCCAGCCAATCTCAAACTTTTCAATTCTCTTTTCGTTCAACCCGAACAAACAAAACACCTCAAAACTCAAGATGATGGTAAGTTCACTATTCTCTAACGAACATTATTATTATTATTATTATGAAATTTTCCAACGATTTGATATTTGATGATAACTTTTTTCTTCTTTCTCTTCCTTGTGCTCTCCAGTCAAAAATGGTTATCCTTTTCGCCCTCTTCGCCTGTGCTTTCGCCGGTGCCGTCTACAGCCCAGCCTACACATACGCTACTGCCCCATACGCTAGTTACGCTTATGCCCCAGCCACTTATGCCCCATCAACTTACTACGGAAACTACGGAAGCTACTATGGTAACTACGCTCCATGGGGATACAACAGCTACTACGGTTCACCCGCTTACGGTTACAACTACGCTCCATACGCTTACGCCCCATACACCGCCGCTTACTACAAAAAGTAAACACCTCGTCGATCCCTCAACAATGACCACCCTCTTTGTTCCCACTCTGGCCTGATACTCTTTGGGGAATATTTTTGTGACCACAAAAAGTGATCTACATTAATTTCCCTCTCGATCTCTCAAACACACACACTCGCAACAAACACTCTGATATTTTTTTCAACAAACAATTTACTAATTTAGCTTAAATTGTACAATTTCTCGTCAGACAGTTTTTTTTTAATTCTTTCTCTAAAAACCTACAAACAATCACATACACACACATACACTTGGTAGTTCAAAGTGTTGACATTATTTTGGCAGAACTACATCTTAATTGTTACTCACTCGAAAAATTAACATCACTTTCGATTTGTAATGTCGTTCTAACAGTTTGATCATTCACAATAAAAAACAATTGTTCACACGAATCAACAAATCTCTTTGATTATTACAATTTATCTCTTTCTCTCTCTCTCATTGGGTCCTAATTGTTAATCGAAACTCTCAAAGTTCAACAATTAACTTTTCCTCTGTTATTAGTTGATAGTTTTTTTCCCTTTCACAATTTTAAATCTTCCCGTGACAATCAATTAACCACTACGGTTGATACTTAAGTGTTAATCGATGGACATCATTAGTAAATTAATTAGTTGTTAATGATTTACACAATTTACTTCATTATTTAATCCTTTCATCAAACTAATGACAATTTAATTCCTTTAAATCATCAACATTAATCTTAACCGTGACAACATTAAAGTCAAAACTAGTTAATGTTTTTTTAAATCATTAATTTGTTTAAATTGTTGTCATCATCATGTGAGTGCCTCTTAATTGTTGGTCAATAAAAGGAAAAAGTAATCAACACTTGAAACTTACCTTTCCAAATATTGTGAGATTTCAATTGTTGATTGTCCTGATCAATCAACATCTCATTTGATTTACATAAATTAGTCAATATGTTACATTGTAAATCATTAATGAATCTTAATTTACCTTTACAATTTACTGAACAATCAGTCCAATCAGTTTTCAACACCTTCATAAAGTAAAAACCATAACGAAAAGTTTATTATTTCAGTTTTCCTCTAAGATCCCAAATCTAATCAAATCACCAGCAATCCAATTCAATTAACAATCGTAATTTCATCCAAATGATCAAAGATTATCATCAGACTAATTAATTAGATTTCATAATCAATGAAAAAAAAGAGAAAAACCTTCAAAATGATTTAGAGATAAACAGAAAAGAATCACTAATCATTGTGATCAAGGATTTTCTTTCATCTTCTCAATCTAATGTTATCTTTTTGTTAATGGAAATATTATTTAAAAAAAAGTCGCTACTTACATGGTGATGATGAGTTAATTAATCACTAATTGATCTTTAAATCTTAAGCAACAGTTGATTGGGCAAACATTAATTCAATTTCTACGCCTCCATTAATAAGCAAAAAGTTTTTCTTTTTCCTTCTCATAAGCTTTAAATCATCATGATATTATGAAATGCTTCATATCTCTTGACAGTTCTCAGATATTTACTGAGTATTCATTGATAAATTTCATTCCTTTACTCATATACTCACACAATCACCACTCATCATCATCATCATCATCACCATCACCATCACTATTATCATGTTAACACAATTTTCTCGTTGACGTCAAACTCAAACAATAACATTGGAGGATAATTTTTAGACTGGGAGGATAAAATAGATATTGAGATGATAGTAAACTCGAACAGTGAACAGTTCTAATTGCGCAGTTGTTGAGATTCTTGGTTGACGTTGATTAACAGAGAAATAATAGAATAATAGTAATAGAAGAAATTTGTAAATTCGATCGATAAAATCACCTTAGTAACCTTTTTCTGCTTCTCAGTTCTTTACCTTAATTCCTTGGATGTTATTATTGGTTTTCTTCTGTAAAAGATAAAAATCAATGAAAGAAAAAATATTAATCAGTTTGACGATTTAATTTTTAAATTGGTGACATATTTTAGTGAATTTGTTTAAATTAAATTAGTAACCAAGTTATTGAATCAATTTCTTCTGAAAAATTGTTACTGATTATTTGAATATTTTCATAGTAATAATAAAGAAAATCAAATCAACAACAACTAAGAACAGAGAAAAAAAATCATCAACAATAAGTCACCATTTTTACCGATACCGATTCCGTTTGTTAGTCTCTTCATTTGATACTCGAACAATTTATCATTTAATTGTTACCATTACAATTTAATCTTCGTGTTTATCACATTCGAATCATTTGAAAACATTATTGACGCCATATTGGTTGATTATTTCTTCTGATTGTCTTTTGAAACCCTAATCATAATCATCAGCCATTGACATCTAATCCTTAAGTAATCAGCTTATATCTTCAATTGTTGATTTAGTAATTGTTAATTTTCTGTGTAACTGATTAAAACAAATCAAAGGGTTTTTTATATAACCATTTATTTGTCTGTTTAATTTTAGTGAATCAATTCATTTGTAAGATTTAATTACTCTCCAATTATGATCCATTGGACATCATGTTCATTAACTGTGATCTTTTTGGTTATCAATTGTTGTCATGCTTTTCCTAATCTCGGTGAACAATCATCATCAGAATTATTATCATCTAAAGACAATCAACAACAACAATCATCCTCGATTGTTAAACCTTTGCCAGTCGATGCTCAGGTTGAAGAGTTAAAAAATCGTAAACCTCAACCATTTACCTTTAAACATCACAATAATCAAGAGCTTAATCTAGTTCTTCAAGATATAAATAAACGATGTCCTGATATTACCAAATTGTATGAACTTAATTATCGAAGTGTCCGAGGTTGGCCTTTAACCGTCATTGAATTATCCGATGCTCCAGGAACCCATGAATTCTGTGAGTATCAGAATAGATTAACAAGTCTTTGAACAATAACACTTTTTGAATTCCTAAATTATATATAAATAAAAATCGTTAAGAGAAAAGGAATAAGCCAAATTAATTGTTCCATTCGAGACCAATCGAAGCGAAAATCAAACAAATGGTAACTTACTTTGTTAATTTGTATCTTTTCCTAAATTAGTGGAACCTGAATTTAAATTGGTGGCCAATATGCACGGAAATGAGGTATTGGGTCGAGAATTGTTACTTAAATTGGCCGATCATTTGTGTGAACAATATTACAAGAATGATAGTATTGCTTATCTACTTAATCACACTCGAATTCACATCTTACCCTCCATGAATCCTGATGGTTGGGATGATGCCACCGAAAATGGTCCTGGTCAGGATTGGCTGTATGGAAGATCAAATGCCAATGGTGTTGACCTTAATCGTGATTTCCCTGATCTTGATAGTGTTGCCTACAGATCAGGTGATAAAACCGATCATCTTTTCAACGAGAAATCAATTGATCACAAAATGCAACCAGAAACAAAGGCAACAATTGAATGGATCTTAACCAATCCCTTTGTCTTATCAGCTAATCTTCATGGTGGATCTCTGGTTGCCAATTATCCTTACGATGAAACTCCCGACGGAAGTGCCCGTAGATACGCACCTTCACCCGACGACGATACCTTCAGGTAATTTAAAAAAGGAGAAGAAAAAACAAACTAATCAAATAATCAATAAGAATTACATAAGTAATTAAATTATCGATAATTAAAAATGAATCAAAGGAAAATTAAGCGAATCCATTTGGATTCGAGTAGAAAGAGATTATCTTAATAATTTAGAATGAAACCAAAAGGGTTAACTTGTTTTTCCAAATTGAAAGTTAATTAATTGATTAATTTTTCTCTTGTTGATCAAATTGTTCAATTTTGTCGACAATTTAGACATTTGGCTCAAACATATGCTCGAAGTCACAAATTAATGGCTCTTCCCAATAGAGCAAAATGTGAACCTGATGAGGAAGATTTCGGTAAACAAGGTGGAATCACCAATGGAGCTGCTTGGTATAGTGTTTCCGGTGGAATGCAAGATTTTAATTATCTTGGATCAAATGATTATGAGATTACATTGGAATTAGGTTGTGAAAAGTATCCATCAGCTGATAAATTACCACAGGAATGGGAAAATAACAAGGATGCTCTTCTTGAGTACATTTGGCAGGTAAGAAAAAGCGAACAGAATTTTCAATATTATTCTTACCTGAATGATCATTTTTGTTTCTTTTGACGATTTCTTTTTAATTCCATGTTAATCTGAGTTATAATCTGATTCTGATTTTTTTTTCTTCTCAAAACTTTGTCGTCAATATGTTTACTTTATTAGTCTCATATTGGAATCAAAGGAATTGTCAAAGATGAAAGAACTGGTCAAGTTATTCAAGGAGCTCATATCAAGGTGAAAAATGTAACTTCCGGAAGGAATCAAGAGATTGACCATGATGTTGTTTCAGGTAAATTGATTGATTAAAAATGAAAAGATTGTTTAGTTGATTCTCCTATTACATTTTCCTATTTTAATCTCTGTTGAAATTTCTAACATGACAATCATCATCAAATTCATCTGATATTCTATAACATTGATGATTATTTTCTCTTAATTTCATAACATTTTTCCTTCTAATATAACAGTTATAATAGAATCTCTAATTTTGATTCAATTCGATACTTATCCTAATTGTTTATTGATCCAATTGTTACAAACTTTTTCTTCCTAATTTAGTTGCTGATGGGGAATATTGGAGACTATTAACTCCTGGACAATATGAAGTTACCGTTGTCAAGGATTCTTATGAACCATCAACCAAATTAATTAAAGTTGTCAATGAGCCACATAAAGAAACCCATAGAGTTGATTTTCTATTAACACCGAGTTCAGATGAATCTATTCATCCATTAATGTCCATGGGAAATTATCGTAATGATCCACAAATGATGAAATATTTAACTTATCTTCAAGCCAATGGTGAATCTTTGATTCCTCAGGAAATGGATATTGATTCAGTTTTACCTTAATCAATTAACTTGAACACGTTTAAATCGTGAAACCAAAGAGATTATTATTATTAAGAACAATTTAATTGATCTGTGTCATCTTCACAAGAAACTTCATCAATTTGATCTTATTATTATCATGAAAACAATCAAATCAGTCAATCAAATTTACCATTCATCATTATTACCGTTATTTATTTTATCCAAACCTTCAAATACAATTTACTTACAAGAGAAAGTAACTCATCAATCCAAAGAATTAATTTATTAATTGTTCGCAAATAACAAATGTTTTCAAATCAAATTCCTTCCTAATTGTTTGTTAAATTTTATGATTATTATTTTCTTTTTCAATTGCTATTAATTTATATATCATTTTCTCCCGAAATTATAAAAAAAAATGTACTTGTAAACCCATCGAGAGCAAATCAAACAAAAATCAGAGAAGATATTGAAACTATTATATATAAAGATTAATTTTCTTTTCTCAAACAATCAAATTAAAGTGTAACTAATCATTTTCCTACTTTCAATCGATCAACAAATCATCACGATCTAACTAATTTCTCCCTCAATGTTACAACAATTTTCCATCTTCAAATTCAAATTCGAATTCAAATCAACAATCTTCGAATCATCAACAAACAATTCAACGATCGAATCGTATTGATGTTCCATATCAAAGAGATTCTAGTGTTCGAAGTGTATAAAGAAAATTGAAACGAAATCTCAATCTAATTGTTCAAGTCACTTGGCGAAATGATGATAATTGATTAAAAGTATTTCTTGTTGAATTTTAATTTCTATTTTCCAATCAAATCAATTTTGCATAAGGTAATAACTCGATTATACTTGAAACTATTGAATTGACGATTTAGTGAGTTGATTTTGATTTAACTTTGAGCAGTTCATTTCCATGAAAGGGTTGATCAACTCGAACTATTTTCTGAGCGACATTAAGGTAAGCCTCATATTCAATGGTGTCCGGTGTTGTATCGTGATGATAATGTCCACCTTCACCTTTACCGATACAATGAGTGTGTTCATCTCTCAGATTGAAACCAGGATCTTTTGAGTGAAGAGTAGTTAGACCAACGATCGGCGCTGAAGCCTCGAAAAAGTGTAGCCATTCATCGGCTTTTTCAGCAGTGTCACATGGAGTCTTCGAGAAATCATTGGGCATAACGTGGATATAAATTTTCCCCTGACGAACCAAAAACAATCCACCCATGGAAATATATTTATCTGGATAAACTTCCCGAAGTATGTCACGAATGGCGACAGTTAAACTTTCACCTCGTTTATCAATTCGTTTACGAGCAACGATCTTAATCACCTTGGAAGGTTTGTTTTCTGAGATGAACACATTGGCCAGTATGTTGGTACAATCGGAAGCCAAGGGTCTCATTAAATACTTATTATCACTAATCATCTGAGAATAGTAAGAACCATGAGTGACATGAGTTTGCCCCGATTTAGAATCCGTTTTATATAATATATTGGGCATAAATTCAGCAATTGCTCCAGTTAATAAGAAAGGTACACAAGCAGCGCCCATTAAATGAGCCTCATCGAAGCCTACAGATTATTGAGGAAAAAAGAGAGAAAAACATTATTACCCAATTGAATTCAAGGTTCTTTCAACAGATAATCAATGATTAAATGGATGATAAAAGTGTCTCCTCATATGGATAATCCCCCTTGAAGTTAACTGATTAGTGTTTAAATGTTACAAGATGATTCCATTTATCTCATGATAAGATAAAAGTGAAAAACACTCATGATGACTTCGCAATGGTCAATCGATTCACTTGAGTTTCGTTGACGAAACTTACCCATTTTCTGACCAAGGTGGACGAAAGAGTAAATCGGTTTTGGATCAATCGGCATCGGCATCATGTAAGGAACTCCGCCAATATCAGCGATCGCTGTTTTCCCACCAAGCCCAGAACCCGCTAAATTAAATGGCTCCTTTGATAGATCGGGACAATCAACGACCGAAACCTCACAAGAACCATAATATTTGGAAAGGTAAGTTCCAAGTGTCGATGATAATTCACTCAAAGGTAATTGATCACAATCATATGTCTCCATAGGATAAGATCGACTCGATGACATTTTAGATTCCATGTTGATTGTTAAACTAATTTAATCCAAAAAGTTCACAAGTAAACAAAAAAACGAGGAGAAAACAATGAAACCAGCAAAAAGAGACACGAAGTAATTAAAACGTTGTTGTTAATCACTTCTGTTCTGATCATCAAATGACAATCAAATTAGATTAATTAAACAACTGAATATGAAGAAGACTCTCTTTAGGATAGTTGATTGATGGAAGTGATTAAACGTTGATTGTTAATACAATCTCCAGGGTGGAAACAACAACCCACCGGAGGGAAAAGAGGTTGGTCTTTATGAGAAATTGATTTTCGTGTGCAAATTATGATCAAGAAAACCTGATTTTCTCTTAATCAAATTAAATTACCAGAGAGATTTAGTTATTATCTTGTTTTAGTTGATTAATTACGTCAGACAATTAACTTAATTGTGAACTTGGTTCATCTTTCCGTCAAAACGTAAAGTCCATTAATCAACAAAATCATCATTGGTTTTGAATAACTTTTTCTTAATTGTTAATTTGATTGTTATTCTGTAAAATAATGATAACAATTAAAAGGACAAACAATTATCTTGGCAAGAGATTTACATTCATCCAAATGGATTTTAATTGTGAGAAAAGATATTAATTTAAAAAGATCGTTGGAATCGAGAAAGTTAATTGTTGTTGTTTTTTTTACAATACTCGGTATTTATAATACTTGATTGAATTCATTCATTAATTAAATTACAGTTAATTAGTAAAAATAATCATCATAATACTTATTTAGTTAACAATTTCACCGAGTAGAGATTAATTAAAATGACTTATCAGATCTTAAATTAATTAGGGATGATTATGGTAATGATGATGACGATTGGTGACTATGGATAATAATCTTTGATCATTTTGATGAAATAATGATTGTTAATTAAATTAGATTGTTGGTGATTTGATTAGATTTGAGATCTTTTTAGAAGAGAGGAAAGAACTAAAATAATAAACATTTTGTTATGATCCTTACTTTGGAAGGTGTTGAAAACTGATTGGACTGATTTTTCAACAAATTGTAAAGGTAAATGATTAATTAATGGTTTACAATGTAACATTTTGACTAATTTATAAATTAAATGGGATGTTGATTGAACTTCATATCTAATCCAATCCTCGTTATCTTCATCTTCCCATATTGATTCATGTAAAGTGTGTAAAAGGTAAACAAATGTTTCAGTACAACAAATGCGACTAATTAACGAACCAATTATCCTGTAATTAGAGAGAAAATTAATTAATTACAATGTACATTAACTTTAAGAATTGTCATATTTACCTTTCTAAAGTTGCACCAAGGTAAATTTTAGTTGTTAGTAGTGATAGGGAAACCCATGATGTTGATGTTACAGGAATTATTGATTGGATAATATTGATTAACGAATCAATTAGTGGTATTTTCACTGATTGTTTGTGTTTACGTTGAGAATCAACTGGTGATCCATCAAATCGATCACTTCCTTGAGATCGTTTACTTAGATGGAAGAAACAAATTTCTGGTGATGTTTCACCCGAAGCGATTTCTTTACGATTGGATTCATTTGATTGAATTAAATTGGATATGAAACGAGGTTCACTGATTGTCTTTAAGATTTTTGATTGTTTGGTGTGTGACAATTTGGTCAATTTAAGGCACGTTAACGGTGAATCGGAGATTACCAAGGATGGACCTGGAGCAAAAGTTCCCTCGGTTGGATTGGAAGGTTTTAGGAAGGTTATTGCATCACGAACATTTCGATAAACCCGATCAATTCCAAGTGGAACTAAAATTGATTGAGATGGACTTCGAAGGAAACTGGAACGTTCCTCTCTGTAGCCTAGAAAATCGCGAAATTCTCTTGACCTGGAGATTCTTTCGAATTTGGAAAGCTCGTTAAGATATTTTTCTAAACATCGACGACGATGTTCAACAACTGATCTATTAGACACATTGGAACGAAGTGGGTTGAAGGACATTATATTGGCCATTGTTACTTTTAAAGTGGACGGTTTGATAACAGTTTTGTGCATCCCTCTTAAAGTACCTCGAAGGCGAGCATTGTTTTCCAGTTTAGTTTGTAGATCGACAAATTCACGAAATCGATGTTTAATCGTCAAATTTTTCCATATTAACGATGAAGCGACACATTCTTCTCGAGTTTCTTCTTCCTCTGTCGCTGATGTTAGATTTTCCACCGGAGATGGAGGAAACATTTTCTCTGGGTGAACTTCTTCGAAAAGAGCATCAACACTGATGATATAAACGATATACATTTCTCTTGAATTTTTGACCAGTTCCCATTTGTTGATACGAATATTTCGAAATACTCTTGAACTTGGATTGGGCAATGAGTCTAAATCTATTCCCGTTTCACATGACAACGAATCCATTAAACGCTGTTGATTGTTTGCCATTAAATCTAGAAAATAAAGTACAATAAGATTAACAAATTATTAGTAATTACTATATTCAATTGTTTCACAATATCACCTTAATCATCAAACACTCAATTCTTGACTACAATGATTAACTGAGTAACTTAGGGCAAACCCGCAAACTATTCAGATTACAAGGTTAGTTTCAAGTTAATTAAGGTGTTACTATGGATTAAAAGTAATTCAAATAACAGAGAGGGTGGGAAAAAATATCAATAGTGATAATTTGAGTCTCTAGAAATAGGAAGTTTATCTGAACAGATTAACTACTCAGGGCGTGAATTTTGGTTAGTCATATGGAGAATATACAAATGGAAAATGAGAAATAAATTTGAGCTTCTAATATTAAGATTAGCTAAGATTCAGATGAATTGAATTTACCTGCGGTTGAGAGTTTTTTGGGTTGACCCATGTTACCTGGTTGGGAGAGACTTCGTTTGTGTAATTTGAATTTTTTATCATTTGCCTCGGAATTAATTTGACTCAGTTCTGATATGTTGGTTATGTTTCCATCGACACTGATACTTCTCACAGTTCCATCGGGTAGATTTTTCAATAATAAATTTGGAAATGGATCTGGATTATTTTGAAGAAAATCTTGAATCCCATCGAGCTCATATAAAGCATCATCTCGTATTTTAATACCAAATAATCTGGCGACACATGAAGTAAGAAACTCTGGATCGGAGATTAGGTCAACAATCGGTATTATAGCAGCTTTAGCAAGCAATTCTTTAATCATCAGGATTAGTGGATCATTGAATTCATTGCCATATAATTTATCTTTGATCTCGGTTAATGAAAGAGTAGAGGCTGAACAAGATTTCAAAACCTTCTCTGTACACGTTTCCAGGAAAATATTCATCTCTTCATCATTAAGGTTTATTTTATCTCGATTTGAAGGTGAACAAATTAGCTCGAACCAATCAAGTATATCTTTACTAAATTCAATCACATCGGTGGACGATAATTTCCTAAGAATAGTATGTATTAATTCAAAGATTGCCCGTTCAGCATCAGCTGGAAAAGCTGAATCGGGACTAATGGTTGTACACCAAGGGACAATATAATCTTTACATATATTTTCACTAATCCGAAAGGTTTCATTTTCCAGTGAGATTTCTTGACCACAATGAGTTATATTGGAAAGGTCAAGCTTTTCATTGACCAGGGTGATTACTTTATGGTGAGCAAGTTCATCTAAAATAGAGAGAAAGAGAGAACAAAGGAGGAAATATGAAAGAAGAAAAGATTAGTAAACAGGTAAGAACAATCAGTGAACAATAATAATGAAAATTTTCTGAATTAAGGAAAAAAGAAACAAGAAAAACAAGAAAAGAAAACCAAATTTACCTAACCAATCATATGGTACAATTGGCTGTTTAGATGTTAAATTTGAGATCCAGATGATTAATTTTGAAGCATAGAAGACAAGACCAGCAATTAAGATAACCAGTGTAGTTGAGAATGAGAAAAATGAGATTGAATTAAGAATTAGAATTAAGTAAAATCCAGAAAATAAAACACAATCATGGTTTGTCAATAAGTCGATCAGTTGAGCAAACATTGTATTCACTTTTGTACATTCACATAATTAGAAGCAACTTTTTTAACACAACTAGTTCATCTTTTAACCACAACCTAATCATCATTGATTACACAAACTAATAGACTTTAATAGTAGAAACACAATTAACAATCATCAAAACAATCTAATTGTCCCTTTAATTGTTAAGTGAAACATCAAAACCTTGAGTCAATTTGTTTCAATCAAAACAAAACAAAAAGTGTCACGTGAGTAAATTTCAAAAGGAGCGAAATATAAATTCAGTTAATCAGTTAATTTAATTGAAAGATTTTCAATTCCTCCAACAATTTAACTTTCAAACTATTAATCAACAAATTACAAGAATTTACAATAACATTACATGTGTTGTATTTGATTAAGACAATTGTTTGATTACTAAGCTCATCGTCTAATCAACCACTTGATACAATTGTTGAGTTGATTGTTTAATTGTTTGTTATCTACAATTAGCTAATTGGATGAAAAGATTTCTGTTAATTGGTTGAACAATCAGTAGGAAGTACATTTTAATTGTTTCGGTTGTAAACCTCTTCAATTAAGATTCGTATCTAACTTTTTATGTGAATTAAAAGTCGATTTCTAATCAATTCAGTTGATTTGATTTCGCGTTAATTTAAACAAACTTTTGATTATATATTTTAACTCCTTCGGAATATTTAATTTCTTTTAGATCCTTTTTTTTTCAATATGTACATAGATTGATTGGTTTTTGTTTTCAAATGAGTGAATTAAAATCAAAAAAGGTTAACTATGCTCGAAATAAGCAAGGTTGTATAAGAGGCTAAAATCAATTGTGAAAAAAAATATGATTGGGAAAAGATTTAAAAACAACAAGTGTAATAACAAAAATTAGTGGTGCAAAAATTTACAATTAGAATAAGATTTTCTCATAATTAACACTGTACTTTGTAAGTGACAGCAAATCCTTTACCATGGTGAAGTCCTTTGTTGAAAACGGTTATCATGAAAGGAGAAAACGAGGAAACAAGTTCACCGCCAAAGTGGAATTCATCACCACAGTGAATTGGACTGGTACCATCATCGGGAATTGGGAAGACAACAGTGTCTTGATCAGGGCAAGATGCAGGGAGGGAAAGTTCAGCGGACGGGTTAAGACCTAATTTATCGCCTAATCCTTGCAATTTATCTAATTTATCATCTAATTTATCATCTAATTTGCCTTCCAATTTAGCGATGTCAACATCGGGCTTTTTCATTGGTGCATTGTACTGGCCAGTGAACATGTTAGGGTAAAATGCCAACGGTCGGTTCATGAAGGGTGAGACTGCACCATACGGAAGTTTAACCAAGAAGGGTGAATATGGGTAACGTTGAGCCTCAACGAGAGATGGACGGTGGTAAACAGGAAGACGATATCTGTATGGTGTGTATGCTCCTTGTGGCCTGAATTTTTGAGCGTTTGAATAAGCCTTCAAGTACGATGCAGGTACATTGGATGGAGCGTGTAATCCAGAAGTAGTGAAGTATCTGTTGTTACTTGGACGATTCGAATAAGTGTTTGGTCGGTAAACGAAAGGAGCAGCGCGGGAAACTCTTGATGGAGCTGATTCCAGGGTGTGACTTGAGATTTTTCCACCGAGATTGAAAAAGATTGGCTTGAGTTTAATGGTACAACCTCCGTGTAAATTGCCAAAACATATTCCATACTTAAGACCATCGATATTACCAAGACCAGTTTTATTTATTAAATCGAAGTTTAAACTTGTAATAAGTCCAGCTTCTTCTCGATAATATTGAGCACATCCAACTGGTGGTTTCTCGGGGCTTTTAAACTCAATCATTTCAGCTCGAATCAACCAACGTCTTTTAATTGAACCATCATCAGCTAAATCGATCTTGATAAAGATGTCAGACAATTCAATCACGGTGGGAATGTAAATGTGAGTCTTGGAGTTGAGGCCACAAATTTTATTGATTCCAAAGCCAGGAAGGACACCACCGGATACGGAAAGAGCATCGTTCTCACATTTACCAGTGAGTTTATCAGGTTGAGCCAATTCGAGATCTTCAATCAACAATTTAATATGAGAAATACCAATGGGTTTAATCAATTTAACAACACATGAACCAGTTTGAACGGTAGCACCAGGGAAACCGGGATTAGCGAGAATCGTGTTGTTAAGGAGGGAAATTTCCCCACACTTGACGGGCTTAACACAGCAAACGGCTTGACCGATACATAGACTTTTACCATCACCGAATCCACCCTTGGCGGCACATTCATCAAAATCTTTACAATTACCGGCCTTAAGACTTGTTTGTCCAAGACAAGGTAATCCACCCTGAAGAAAGGCAAATGGTGCCGTTAATTTGTCCAATAGAGACTCAGCCTTGGGAGGAGCAGCGGCATCGGAGGATGAAAGGTCCAAGGAAGCACCAGGAACAACATTGGGAAGGACGACAGGATCGGGGGTAACTCCAAGAGCCAAATTCAATAGGTCACCGGTACCAGAGGCAGTTGATAAGATGGACAAGGTAATTACTAAACTTGTAAACACAATCATGTTGATGGAGATAATTGATTCTTGGTAGAGTAGAAAACAAACAAAAAACCACAAAAATTAAGTAAAAATGAAGGAGATTTTTTTCCTCGCCAAATAAAAGGGATAACCTGAAGAGAATGGAAAAAGAAAACAAATATTCAATTAGTATAAACAATTAACTCAAAAAATTTTCTTATTAGTAATTAGATCAACTCACCTTGTTGATGTTTCACAAAGAACTGATGATCAACTGAGAAAAGAAAACAGTTTATATACAATTTGGATTAGAATCTTTTCCTTTGGTTAATTGTTGCTTCTTCCAATCAGTGTTCACTTTGTAACTGTTGACCAATTAGTTAAATTCACTTGTGTCACAATTAAGATGATTGGTTAAAATTAATTCTCTTCAATTTGGTCAACATTCATTTCTCTTGGGAGACAAGAGGAAAAGCAAATCTTCCAATGGTAAACAAAGAGATTTTTTTTCAATTCGAATTTTTTTTTTAATTCTTTTCTTCTTTAATCAAATCAAATGTTTCCATCAGATAAGTGATTAGTTAATTTGATTATTCTAATTAAGGAAATGATTACGTAAATGAGAAGAAGAAACAATTTTCAAATTGTTGCTAACGAATTTTATTAACAAAGTAATGGGAATAAATTGTTTGGTTGATTGTTGGAAGAGTGAAAATAATTTTTTCTTCATTTTAATTGAACAATTTAATTAAATAGAATTTAAATTATTAAATTGTTTTAATCACAAAATGGAAATTCATTTAAATAATAATAAAATTTATCAGCTTAATTATTGTAGCGATTGATTTTTCTTTCTCATTAACAATTAGACAAGTTTTGATTCTTAATCAAGTTAATAATAAGTTAATCAAAGAAAAGATCACATTTAATTGTGTTTTTGTTATATTGGCAATCACAGGGTGTGAATGTGTGTCCGTAATTAAAGTTGATTGTTCAAGAATAATAATAATCAATTAATGATGATAATCATTTGTGAGTCTCTTCATTATAAGTCAACAAGAGTAACTTGTTCATTAAGTGTCAAGTTATTAACCGAAATTGTTGATCGTTGATTGTTGTTATTATTGTTAATAAACCCAATGAAATTGGTTAAACTACGACAAGGTTGTCTAATCTGATTACTTAGACGATGAAAGAAATCACGATCAACAGTAATTGAACGATGTAATGGCCTAATTGTGGTTGTTAATAATAATGGTCGACATTCAGTAATTGCTTCTTGATAAGTGGGCGGATTGATGAGATAATTATAAGAATGAGTATTATCATTATCATGATTATCATGATTATTATTGCTATCATTGGAACTTGTCTCACAATATAAGCTTGATGAGGTTGATATTAAACAATTTGCTGACGATGGGTCATCTAAATGGACAATATTAGCTTGTCCATGGCCCAATGGACGAGGCAGGTAAACAAATTGACCATTAATTAAGGAGGTACGACTACATGATTGAACAATAATGTTATTTGATTGTGACATTTGTATGGACGTTGTATCACCAGAGACCTTTGGTTGATCTTCAATTGTTGTTCCTGTTGTTGTTTGATTGGTTGTAGTTGCAACTAAATTACCTGGTTGATTGTTTATATTGGTGGTATTGTTATTGTTTACATTACAAATTAGTAATGCTTCCGAATAGCTTGGTGCAAGTGTACAATTGTTGACCAACTCGAATGAATCAATACTTCCCAAATTACCAATACGATTGTAACCTGATTGTGAATTTAATTGATTTACACCAAATAATTTGGTAACCTGATGAACGAAAATGAAATGGAAATGGAAATGGAAAAGAAAAGTAAATTATATACAAGAGAAAGAGAGAGAGAGAAAAACACTAATTAGCTTTGGAATTACACATAAGAGGATAGAATATAAACTAAATTAGATCAAACAATTTAATTTTAATCCAGCCAAGTAACGATAATCATTAGAGGAAAGAAATTAGATTAAGTTTGAAGGACCAGATTCGAGAAGATCAGAGAACCAGAAAAAGGAAACAAATCAGGCAAAAGAAAACAGAGAAAAATGAACAAGAAGATTGTTCAAATAATCAAAACTCGAACCTTAAAGATCATATTTGTTGATTTACTATTTTCATCTAATCATATAAAGGATTAATTAGGTTGATGGAGAAGAGTTAATTCAATTAAAATGGAAAAATAAACTTGGAAGAAGAAAAAAAATGAAAAGATTAGCAAAAGTAAAGAATTAGATTAGAAATTCTAATCAGGATAAAGTAATATCTACATGGATAAATTGTAACAATTAAACTGGAAACAAGGAAACATTTGTTATTTGCTAGATTATCAACAGAATCAAGTAATCTGCTAATTTGAATAGCAATGAACATTAATCACAATCAAAGGTTTAGACACATGGAAAGAATGAAGGAAAAAGAGACATTCGGATTAATCTGATGTTCCCATGGAAAAGAATTTCAATGAAAATGATTGATCAACATTAGATGGAGATTATTAATCAAACAGTTCACCTGATAGTTAACATGAGATGTTTTAAGTTCAATTGCGATTCGAATTGGCCAAGAAAGGAGAGCGAATGAGAATAACCAGAACGCTAAGTGAGAAAAATACCTGAAAGAGAACCAAAAAAGAAGATCAATTGTAACGGTAAAAACAAAGGACCAAGAGAAAGAAGATGAAATCAATGTTTTCCTTTTTGTTTATTGTTCTTTTCATCTGATGTGTGAATAGATAAAAACAATAACAAACCAAAGAGAGAAAATGAAATAAATCAGATCAAGGGAAAAGAAGAAGATGAATTAAAATGGAAAGGAAAACGATGATTAATTAAAGAAGAGCAAATGAAATGTTGATACTAACCAAGGCACAAGCGATTGATCAGCAGAGGAGATCATGTATTCTTGAAAACTCGTTCCAATTAAGTCGAGACCTTCCCTCATTTCAAGATAATCATCATGTCTTTCACATTCATGGAAAAATCGATTCCGTTGAGATTCAAATTCATTGGCAGCTTCAATGGTAGCAAAGGCAAATCCTTAATCCAAAGAGAGAGAGAGATAATAGAAAACCATGAAGAAGAAGAAAAAAAGAAAACGAAAATCATGGAGAACAAGAAAATAAGAAGATAACATTGGAATTACACCGAAAACTGATTGTAGATAAACATTGGAATGATGGATAAATGGTCTAAATTGTTGTTAATCACTCACCTTTGGTAAATTTAATTCTTGTCGATGGATGTTTATCTAAATCAATCAGAATTTTGGAAACATCTTTGTAACCACATTCAACATAAGAGAAACAACTTCCAGCAATGTGAGTATTAATCCGTTCGTAATAGATTTGGGTTGTTGTTGAAGCTTCACCATTACGATAACGAGTTAACTGTAATCAAAACGAATCAAGATAAATGAGCAAAAATAAAACAATTGGATTAAATTTAATTACTAGAAAAACAAAAGCGAAACATCAACATCCAGGCTTAACTTACTGTTCGCGACCTTCTTATGTAATGGTAACAAACTGCCTTCCACCATATGATTGGTTGGGATTCTTTCATTTGCTGGATATAATTGTCCACCGTTTTGGCATCCACACTGTAGACCTTTAATTAAAAATCACATTAATCAATCACAATTAATTGGTAACACAATTAGAACCAAAATCAAACCGCTCGAAACAAAGAGTCAGAAACAGTTAACCAAAGTTGAGAAAAATTATTTCTCTTTGTAATCGGAGGATTGGAAACAATTATTTCCATTAAAACGAATACAATTTAACATTGGTAACAATTTAATCTAAATTAAGAAAGTAAAAGAAATTGGATCAACCAACCAATTTGATTATTGACAATTAGCCAAATGGAAAAGTGTTCACTTTGTATTCATTTATGTTGAAAGAATCTGATACTTGGAGTGGATAATATTTCATTGGAAGAATATTTTTATTTTTTCTTCCATTATCATGATAATGATTCCAGAATTTAAGAGATAATATTTATATAGAGAATCCCTACTGAGAATTAAAGAATTGAATATTTATCATGTTCTAATAGTAAATAAAGAGACATTGAATAATGGGTTTATCTTAAACCTAAAGAATTACATCTCGTCCTCATGAATCGTAATTCTAATTCAGATTCGGATTCAGATTCAGATTCTTGATTCATTTTTTTTCTCTCTCTCTTTTTCCTATTTTTCTTTATTCTGTCTGATTTCAGGGTAATAATAATAAGAAAAGGAAATAATATCTAAGTAGCAAATAATGTTCCAAAAAAGGAGAATTGGTGAAATATAACTAAATAGAAAATGAAAGTTTATCAATGTTTCGTCTTGGGTTGGAAATTGTTCAGGAATAAGTTGAGTTGTTGTTCATGTTTTTGTTTCCCAATCATCATGAACATCATTACTTCATGGTTGGTTGATTGTTGCAACTTGAATATCTACTGAAATGAAGAATAGAGGGAAAATAATCATAGGAACCAAAAAATTCGAACAAAAAAAAAGAATCGAAATCTAAACAATTCTCATTGGTAATGCTTTTCACGAGATTCTTGTTTACGGAAACATTTCATGATGATGATGATGATGATGGTCAATCAATGTTACTACTTCTGTACTGACCCAGATAAAAGGTCATCATCATGATCATCATGAGAAGAAGAGTAAAAAGATTCTTGGTCAGTCCTCGAAATGTTCACAATCGCTTAGGAGAACCAAAAGAAAATGGAATATCTTTTTCCCCCTGAAACTTTTTCCACCTTCTTCAGGTAACAAAGTTTTCTGAGTTTCCAATAGTTGATTATCTTCAGTTTAAAATCAATGTTCAATCAACTGATAATATAAACAGTTACTTGATTACATTATCATGAAAGTTATCACATTGGAATATAAATTGACAAATCCAGGGGAAAAAAACTTTTCTTTCAACGATAAACAGAACAGATAAAATCAAACCATTTGAAACTTAATCTTCTCCTAATTAAGTTAATTAGTTTAACTATAATTAACTACGAAACTGTAATCAGACACTTGATTAATTGCTGTCTAAATAACAACAATAAACAATGAAAAAAAAACCAAATTAAACTTAATTGTGTTACATTATTTTACTTTTTCATATTTTTATATAATAAAACTCAAGATAATCAGTTGATTTAAAAGCAATTGTTATCCAGACAAATGTTTACCATGAAAATAAAGGTTAATCATGAATTCATGGCTGTTAATCATTTTGAAGAAAATTTAATTACAATTAGCTCGATGATTAATATTTAATTACCTTAAGTATTAATAACAAGGAGAAAAGTTAATGGAAAGTTGAGTTTATTTTTCTCGTTCATGAGATAAATTGAAAAAAAAGTTTTTCGATAAAGAGAGTGAGAGAGATGAAGATAATGATGAAGATAATGATGATGGGAGGATGAGGGAGTGGGTGGTGGTAGTGAGGGTGATACATGAGCATGGAAAATGAAATGACCTAGAAATGTCTGATGGAAATATTTTTATATATGTTTATCTATTTCTGTTGATGTCTTAAACATTGTTGTTGTTATATTATCATTGTTAACATGACGATAAGAAACTGGGAGTGACTTTTACTATGAGATGATTCTGAGTCGGAAATGATAAAATTTCAGGGAAGTTGGGATGCTGGGGATGGAGAGAGAGAGAGAGAGAGAGTAGTTGAGTAGCTTCAATGTTTTCCAATGATGAGAATGATAAAAAGTAAAATAAATAGTCAAAGGAAGAGGAGGAATAGGAACAACCAAATAGAGAGAAAAAAAAGTAAATGTAATATTTTTCTTCTTATGGTTTGACTTCAATTCTTTTTTATCGAATAGCATTTCTTTTATATATTACAGAATTTTACAGAATTTTTTTGCTTCATTCTATCATGTGAAAGATAAAAATGATGATAAACATCATAAAAGAATAATATTTCTGTTCTGATGATGACAAATGATGAAAGAGAGAGAGAGAGAAAGATTATATTCAAAAAGCTTTAGGGTTTCTGTTTTTCTCGATTCAGTCACTTTTCAAGGGTTCACTCGTTTCGAGAATCAGAATAAGACGATAAAGATCATCATCATCATCATAATCATGATAGAATCTTCATCTTCTTATCATCTTTGCAAATAGAAGGTTTTTTTTTGTTTCTCTCTTCTTCATCTTCTTCCGCCTCCACCTACTTTTCCTCCTTTGTTTTCATTTATCTTCTCTCTATCTCCCTCTCCATCTTCATTCTGAATACTTAGCATGCTTCATATCATCAAAAAGCTCATCATCATGAAAAGAAGAAGAATGAAAAAGATAAACAAAGAAAAAGGAGATCAAGAAGGGAGCAATTTCTTTGGAAGTGTAAATGATGATAACTTTTTTCCCTCTCTCCATCTGAGTAATATAATGAATCCAATGAATGTGTAATAATAATACTTTTTGAATGTTGTTTCTACAACTAAATGGAAAATTGTTATCATCATGATAATCATGATACATGATGATAATTGTATCAAAAATGAATGAATGAATAATGTTATGGTTATCATTTCTTGAAAATTTTCATCGAATGAAACAAAAACAAAAAGTTGATTAGATTTTTTTTTCCTTCAAACTTTCTTGTATTAGAACAAAGTAAAAGAAAAAAGTTATTATTATTATCAAGATGAGAGTTTCAATTCCATCATCAATATTTCATGATATTATTAATTTAGATGTAAAAACGTGACTGTGATCTGAATCACCCTGTTTATTTCATTATAATTGTTAAGGATCAAAGTGTTTTCAGCTTATTGATCCAATCGATTCGTAGGCTTAAGCTTTAGTATAAATACCAAACCTTATATACTTTCAGGGGTTTGGTCGTGTTCATTTTTCTTGAGGAAACGAAGATGAAGATGAGGATGATGATGAGGATGAGGATGAGGATGAGGAGGTTGAGTAGGAGGAGGAAAGATGAAAATAGAAATAAAAACATCACCTCGTACAATATACCGAATGAGATTGTAATATATCACCATGAAACTGAACTTGTTATAGTTTTATTTTTCCTTCAAGTTTATTGTCAACAATCAATCTTGATTCTAATGATTATGATAAAATTTTAATCATTATCATGGAAATTGTTTCGTAACTTATTTCAATTGAATCTATTTATGTAACATTATCATCTTAATCAATAATCTCATCTATCAAATCTAAACGGTAACAGTTTTAATTGCATTGTTTTTGTATCATGGAAACTTGAATGATATCAAATATATTCATACAGTTATCAGATTATCATAGTGTTGATTATGATGATGAGAATCATGATTATCATGAACATGATGCAGATTCTGAGCAGATAATAAGGGAAATAGAGAAGAAAAAAAAAATCGAAAATGAAAACAAAATTGAGGTCACCAGAAAACTATGGTAATAAATATATAATTTATGCCTCAATAAATGATGGCTCATTAAGTTATCATTGGTATGGAAGGATGAAGATGAAAATAAAGATGAGGATGATAAAAAGGGAGGATGATGAAGATGAGAGAAAATACTAAAAGGATGACATCTTAATGATGGTGATGATGATAAAAAAATCATGATGATCACATTTTCCGGGGAAGATTTTTTTTCCTCCAGAATAACTTGACATCCTCTCGATTGTGATAACTGAGTGTGAATCAATTTCTAGCTCTTGATTGTGATAACTTTGATTCTGGTTTAATTCTGGTTCATTGATTGTTATCTCAAGGTTTCTACCTTTTTTGATTATAAGGTGTTAATTGTAATCTAATACTTACTAATTGTGATCGAGTTGATGAATGCCAACATTCAATCAAATAGGCAAAGTATAACATGACCACAAAAACCATAGGAATGTAAATATAACCATCATCACATGGACTGGTCCTTTTCCGTTGACCATTAATCTGTAAAGACTGTTGTTGACAATCAGTTGATTAATTGATAATATACCAAAAGGTTAATTTAATTGTTACTGGTTTTTGTTTCATCTTGATAGTTAATTGTATTCAAATTTTGATGTTCACTTTTCTTGGCTCATTATTATTAACGTTGTTAATTGATGAACCAAATTAATGATAATAATGAATGAAACATGAGATGATTAAGTGTTTATCCATGTTGAAAAATATTATCCCCATGAAGATGATGCTTAATCATCATGAAATCACAATTTGAATTGTCAGGCTAATGAACAGTTTGCTTATTATTATTGATTTTCACTTTTTTTCCAGTTTTTGAACGGAAATTTTGTTTTTTTTTTCATCCAAATTCTCAGTAGTTTTCACCTAACAAGTTCAATATGATTTATCATTATCAATGAACTTTTATCTCCTCAGTTTGCATGGGATGATTATGAATCTTCCTCATTCTCTGTCATCAGAATCATTTTCTTAATGTGTCTTAACCTTCACACTCCCTGTTGACTTTTTTTTTCATCATGAAAAATGTTCACTTACTGAAAATCTAATGGAACTTTTTTCCTCTGAAAATTTTGACGATATTTTAATTTTTTTTTATTCTTCATCTTCTCCTCTTCAGCTTCTTAATATGAATAAATTCTGGTGAACTTAAATTCATCTTCATGTAACCATTATGATGAAAAATTGAATAGCAAACATTGAATAAATTGACAATTCAATCCATGGTTCATGGTAATGATAAACATAAGGAGATTTGTGATTCAACTGATGTAATTTACACAAGAAATTTAAATTTCTCGATTTACAAGATGTATTAAATTTAGATTAAATTCTGAATTCATGGTTAATATATAATCTTAATCATCTAGCCTTCTAAGCGTGTTTAAGGTCAACTTGGACATTGTCAAGTTCAATTTGATTGGGTTTTGTGATTGACAAGCGCAAGGTTAATGGTCGTAATTAAATTACAATCGATCAAATAATCAACTGTCGGAAAACGGATTCAAGAAATTACAGTTTCCATTTATTTTCATGGAAAATTAAATGATGATAAAAACTTTTTTTTCACTCGGAAAAACAATAATAACATGATATTAACTCGAGACTATTACCTGGGATAATAAAGTTGACAATAATAATAAAAAAACAAGAAAACATGATGATGACAATTGTTGTTGAGAATTTAGTTTAGAACAAGAGAAAAAAGTTCGAAAAAAAAATTCGAGACTCGAAAAATAAAACTTTACTTCTAATAAATGTTCTGGTATTTTTCACTTGAAACTTTCGATTTAAAATTGAATAACTGGCTAAATACTCTGGAACTATTGATTGTTTATCGATTAAAATAGAGTTTCGAGTTAATTGTGATTAGATTTACCTGAATGTTGAGGATTAAATGGGTTATCTGACCGATTTTACACCAAAGAATAGTGACCAGTCCAGAAGAGATCAGGAAGGTTAGAACGAGGCACTTTAGATGAAGATTAGTTCGAAGGCAATCGAAAAGATTTTGACGTGAAGGTTTTTGCTGAAATCGAGAGAAAATTTCGAAAACAAGATGAGCATGAAGATGACAATAGAAGATAAATATTCGTGTATATTATTGATAGAAAAAGAGAAAAGAATAAACCAAATAAAGTTTAGAACAATCAATCAAAAGGTTCGATTAGTTTTCTTTTTTCATTTCCTTCGAACTGTAAATCAGTTTGAAAGAAGAAAAAAGTTTGAAAAGTTTTTCTCATTTTCTTTACCTTTCAAAAAGGTTAATTGCTTTTCTTTTATTAATGATTAACAAATTTCGCCCTCAGGGTAGAAGAAGTTAATTTAATTAATAATCTGATTGTTTGAATAGCTTTCATCAAGTCGTAACTTATATTACAAATATACATTATAATTGTCTCTTTTTTTCATTTTAATTTGGATAAACTTTAATTTAGACTCAGAAAACTCAATTGTTTTTTATATTTAATTTGCTCGGAGGCTTTTAAATTGATTACACAAGAGTTAATCAATTAAAATTAACTACGAGCTAAATTTTATGAGACAATCGACTAAAGTTTCATATTATTTTCATCAGTTCGAGATATTTAATTGTTCATATTATCATTGTGATGATTATCATTTGCGATTTGGTAGATGAGATGATCAATAAATTGTTACTTAATGGACTGAGCTTCGAGCATGAATATGCCCCAAGGGCTTAACATTATCTTCATCTTTTTCATCCTTCCATTTATCCTTTTTTTCTGGTAACATATTTCATCATAATCATCTTTATCTTCATCATCTTCATCATCATCTTCTTGACCTCCTCTCTCTCTCTCTCTCCATCTCTGGCAATTATTTGATTATCATGGAAAATGAAATGAAGAGATTTTTTTGTCACATCAACAAGATTAATTATCTTGATTTTGATTGGATTTTGTCTCTCTGACACCAACAATTAACCAAAAGAAATCACAATTATCCATTACTGATGTTGAACATTTCACCATCAATCATAATCTGTTTCCTATTGATTTACATTTACTTTCATGACAATTAAGATTTTCCAATGAAAATATCATTTGCTTTCAGTTTAATTTCATACATTAAAAGTTAATCAGTTAATTATACTTATGAAATCTCAATTTACTTTAATTTATTAATGATTAAAACTAACAGTTAGCATCACTTTATTAGCTAATTAAAGCATCCAATGGATTGTTACAATTTATGAATAATTTAAAATGGGAAAACTTTTAGCTTCTTTTGTATAATATATGATTAAGGAAATTTTCATTCTCATTAACAATTAACCAATTAAATGTTTGATCTTGGTTTTTTGATTGATTTGCTTTTCCTTTCAATAAAATTAAAACTTAATCGTGTCAAGTATTTAGCAATTAAAACTTACCTCATCAACAATCCCATCTAAAATGGTTGTCATTTTATTGTTTTGGAAATTAATCACAATTAGAGGAAGAAAAAAAAACTTTCACAATTAACTGGATCAGAAATAAAAATTATTCCCAATTAACTTGATCAATTTGATTTTCGTTATTTTTTTCATACTTTAAGATTATTATTGTGGTTAATTGTTGGCAATTTCAATCCGGTGAGTTTATAATGGTTGGTAAAACTGTTAATCGGTTCATTTTGATTGTTTATCTTATTCTTCATAGTTAATGAATTTTTTCTTGATTATTTTCGTTGTTGTTGTTAACTCAATCAACTCCAACAATCAAATGTAATTTTTATTTCATCACAAAAGTGAGAAAATATTCCAATCGATATTAACTTAATACGCAAGACTAAATTGTCTCACTGATTGTCTGTTCATTTTAACTCATTAAATTGCTGAGAAAACTTTTATTCTTTACAATTAATAAAAATATTATAATGATTTGATTGTTAATCATTTAATCCTAATTTTATTCAAATGGAAAATTAAATTTCGATTAAAATTTTTGTTTCGTTTCATTTTCTTGCATAAATGATTTCATTAGGAGATGGATAGAACTGGCATCAGTATGGTCCTTTTAGAAATGAATATGATGCTTTGATTTTTGTGATTAATTGATTCGATGTGATTCTCAAAAGTTAATTAAGTTTTAATTGCAATAAATTAGATGGAATCGTAGGTTTGAACTACGCGGTTATGCTATTTGAATGAACTGCGACTGCGCAGAAGCTTTTTTGTCAATTAGAAAAATTTTTCCCTTTTTGTTTTTTATAATTGATTTGAATTATTTTTTGTTTGACTTTGATTATTTTGATTTCTTCTTAAATGGTGATTAGTGATTGATTCACTTCTTATAATTGCTTATCTCCACAAGTTAAGGATTGATTTTTTGTGTTATTTGGGTTTTAATAGAAAACTATTATGTATAAATATGACAATATGCGAATGCCTCCTCCCCATGGTCCTCCTTTTCCTCCACCAGTTTCTCCTCAGCGACAACCAGTAACATCATTTCGACAAGGATTACCACCTTCACAACCACCACCTGATCATGTTATGATGCCTCCTCCACCCCATGGTGGACCACCTCATCCACCACCAGGTCATCCTAGAATGGCACCGCCACAACAGCAGCAACAACAACAACAATTACAACAACAGCAGCAACAGCAACAGCCACTCCAACCTCATGGATCACAACAAAGACCTATGATGCCTCCTGGTAACCATCAATCCGGTGGTATCATGTCACTCGGTGGACCACCACAGGGAGTAAATGTTGGACCAGGAGTAGGAATAGGAGTGGGAAATATTCCAAATAATGTTGGAGGTCTTGTTAATGTTAGTTCCAATATCGGTATGAGTAGTGTTGCAAGTGGTGGAATTGTAAGTGTAAGTAATACCGGAGGAAATGTAGGAATAGTGGGAGTCGGAGGAATGCCACAAGGAGGACCAATTGGAGTCGGTGGTGTGGGTGGTGTGGGTGGAATGAAACGTCCATTAATCTCTACCATGATGACTTCATCTCCAGTTCCATCTGCAACAATATCATCGTCAATATCAACATCATCATCATCACCTTCTCCATCATTAGTTGGTGGTGGAGTTGTAGGGGTTCCACCAGGAATTGTTTCTAGTGGAATAGTTGGTGGAGTAGGAGGAGGAGGAGGAGGAATTGTTGGAGTTATGGGACCAGGACCAGGACCTGGACCTGGACTTGGACCTGGACAAATAGCAGGACAATTAACAACGACATCAGCATCAACATCCACAACAACACCATCAATGAAAAAGAAAAAGAAACTTGGTGATGTTAATTTACAATCTAAAGTACGAGATTTAGTTCCAGAATCACAAGCTTACATGGATTTAATTTGTTTCGAGAAGAAGCTTGATTTTCATCTAAAGAGAAAAAGATTGGAGATAATTGAATCTTCGAAAAAACCAATGAAACTAAAACGTAAATTACGAATTTTCATCTCAAATACTTTTTTCCCCGGTAAACATGAAGTAGATGGAAATGGGGAAGAGTTACATGTTCCTTCATGGGAGTTGAGAGTTGAAGGTCGATTGTTGGATGATCAAAATACTCCTAAAATAGATCAGAGTAAAATCAAGAGGAAATTTTCCTCCTTCTTCAAATCTTTGGTGATCGAATTGGACAAAGATCTTTATGGTCCAGATAATCATCTTGTTGAATGGCATCGAACACCAAACACAACGGAAACCGATGGTTTCCAAGTTAAGAGACCAGGCAACAAGAATGTTCGATGTACCATTTTACTTCTTCTCGATTATCAACCGTTACAATTTCGATTGGATCCTCGATTAGCCCGTTTACTGGGTATTCACACACAAACACGACCAGTTATCATAAATGCTCTTTGGCAGTACATTAAAACGCATAAATTACAAGATGCTCATGAAAGAGAGTTTATCAATTGTGACAAATATTTAGAGCAAATATTTCAATGTGCAAGAATGAAATTTGCCGAAATCCCTTCCCGATTACATACACTTCTTCATCCTCCCGATCCAATTGTTATCAATCATTTGATTAGTGTTGAAGGACCAGAGACCAAGAAAACTTCTTGCTACGATATTGATGTGGAAGTTGATGATCCGTTGAAAGTTCAAATGAATAATTTTATTGTTTCCACACACAATCAACAAGACATACAAAATTTGGACAACAAGATTCATGAAACGGTGGAAACAATTAACCAATTGAAAACAAATAGAGAATTTTTCTTGTCATTTGCTAAAGATCCACAACAATTTATACATAAATGGTTACTTTCTCAAATGCGTGATCTCAAGGTATGTTTACTCTAATCACAATCAATCAACCCAACTAACTAATAATTACAATTATCTTTCTAATCATAGACAATGACTGATCAAGCTGGTAATCCAGAAGAGGAGAGACGATCAGACTTTTTCTTCCAACCCTGGACACAAGAAGCTGTTTGTCGTTACTTTTATGGTAAAGTTCAATTAAGAAGAGCTGAACTTGAACAAGCATTAGGAATAAGAAATGCTTAACATCATTAACTAATTACAAAAACAAGCTTCATCTTCATTAGATAATTTATACATAACCACTTCATCAGAATTGAAACCTTGTATCATCTTTTAAATTAGCATTTCATTTCTTTGTTTCATTGTGACTTCACCATTTTATATTTGTGAATAAAAGATTAAAGTAATTACTATATTATCAAGAATTTTCCAATTTATATCAAACTAATCAACTTTCAATCAGAAAATTAAACTTTTTCATTCGAAAAAGCGACATCTATTGGCCTAAACAAAGAAAATTTTCTAAAAATAAACTCACATGTTTTCTTGAAATGTGTTTGTTTTGATTGTTTTTGTTTCTCTTAACTATTTGTTTTAATTGTGTTTTCCTTAAATTGTTCTTTGTTTTGTGTTTTAATTAAGAATCTGATTCATATTTTCAAAGGATGACGTCCACTGAATACAAAACGTCTCGACTTGTGGTTAAAAATTTACCAAATACTGTGAGTATATTTGATTAAAAGGATTTTTATATCGATAGTTGATTTTATTTATCTCAATTATTTTATCATCTTGTTTTTTAGATAACTGGGGATAAGTTGAGGAAATTATTCTCCAAGGATTGTGAAGTTACTGATTTACAATTAAAGTTCAAACAGGGAGGTAGATTCAGAAATTTCGCTTTCGTTGGTTACAAGAGTGAAGATGAAGCGGAACGAGTTAAAGAAGCGATGAATAATACTTGTATTGGCCAGAATAGAATTTGTGTTGAATTTTGTCGGAAACTTGGTGATGGACAAAAAGAAAAGGGTAAAGGTAAAAAGAAAGATGGAATCAAAGGACAAGAGGCAGTGGATGAAGATGAAAAATCTCTTGATTCTAAAGGAAAAGAAAAGAAAGAATCAATTGTCAGTGAATTTAATGAGCTTGAAAAAGATCCAGAATTCTTGGAGTTCATACAAACTCAGAGGAATATCAGCTCGTTGAAACAGAAAGTTTGGCAAAATGATGATGTTCCAACTACTAATGATACTAAAGTGGTGGAGAAGAAAAAGTCTAAAGAAAACAAAGAAAGTAAAAAAGAGGAAAAGGAAAAGGAAACAAAAACTAAACCTTGTGTCAAAGGAACCTTCAAATTTACTGTAAAGATCAAAAGATTCCCCAAAAATAAGTGTAAGAAAAGTGTAATCAAACAATTCATGGCACCTTTGAAGCCAAAAAGTGTCCGAGTTGTTCGTAATCCAAAAGGAATGGCGTTTGTATCCTTCGAAACGGAGGCTGAGATGAACAAGGCCTTAAGTAAAGATCGAAATGTTTTCGAGGGTGAACAGATTTATGTTTGTAAATGTCAGAATGAAGAAATGAAGGAAGAACCCAAGATGAAAAATCCTAAAGATCGAGTTGAGAAACAAGTGTCCGAAGATGTTCTGGTTGACACTGGTCGTCTTTTCGTTCGTAATTTATACTACAAATGTACAGAAGAAGAGCTGGAAAAGTTATTCGCCCAATATGGAGACATTGCTGAAGTACATTTACCAATCGACGTTGAAACCAAGACAATCAAAGGTTTCGGTTTTGTTACTTTCGTTTTCCCGAACATGCAATCAAAGCTTTTAGTGAATTAGATGGAACCATTTTCCAAGGGCGAACCCTTCACATTATACCGGGTGAGAGTAAAATTGAAGGAAGAGGAGCAAATTTAGAAGGTAAAAGTTCATACAAAAAACAACAAGAACTAGAAAATAGGAGGAAATCTGGTAAAGGATATAATTGGAATTCACTGTTTCTCAATCCCAACGCAATATCGGAAGTGATAAGTGAACGTTACAATGTGAATAAAAGTCAATTACTCTTGGAAGGTAAAAAGGAAGAGTCGATTATCGTTCGAATGGCCTTGGCTGAAACTCAAATCGTCAACGAAGCTGCTCGATTTTTGAAAGAAAATGGAGTAAAACTTGACGCTTTCAGTGACTCGGAAAGCACTCGAAGTAAAACTGTTTTTCTCATTAAAAACATCCCCGCCAAAACCGAGGCTCATGAACTCAGAGAGATTCTTGAACCTTATGGGACAATTAAAAGATTCATTTTACCACCGTTAGCAGTTACAGCGATTGTTGAAGCTGATAATCCAGTGGAAGCGAGAGCGATGTTCAAGAAATTAGCTTATCTTAATTTTAAATTAACTCCATTATACCTCGAATGGGCTCCGGTTGATGTATTTGATCAGAAAGAATCAACAGATTCGAATGGAAAAAATGACCAACCAACTGATGAATCGTCAAAATCGGAATCGAAAAGTGATCAAAATCACCAAACCGTTGCAATCGAAGATGATTGTGAACCAGAAACAACCATTTTAATCAAAGGATTGAACTTTGCAACCACCGAGGAAGGAATATCAGATCACTTTTCCAAGTGTGGAAAAGTCGCTAGTGTTACTATTTCGAAGAAAAAAATGTCCGATGGAACATTAAAATCGCTGGGTTATGGGTTTATTCAATTTAAAGAAAGAAAAGCCGCTCAAAAAGCGATGAAATCTTTACAAAGTTCAGTTTTGGATGATCGAGCAATTGAATTACAATTATCACGAGTACAGAAAGATAAGACCGATGTTATCAAAGCCGAAAGAGCGGCTAGGCCAAAGATCACTGAACAAACGGGAAGTAAATTAGCCATTCGAAATATTCCATTCGAAGCTACTGTTAAAGACATTAAACAACTTTTCGAAGCTTTTGGACAGTTGAAATTTGTTCGACTTCCGAAAAGACTGGCCGGTGAAGGAACTCACAGAGGTTTTGGTTTCGTAGAATTCGTCAACAAAGAAGACGCTAAACGCGCCTACGAAGCGTTAAGTCTAAGCACTCATTTACTCGGACGTCGATTAGTCTTGGAATGGGCTGCACCCGACGCGAACGACGGAAAAGAAAGCGAAAGCTTAGAAACGGCCACAAAAAGAGTTCGATACTTCATCGACACCGAACCAGCTAAACAATTTAAAAAATCAGCGCTAGTGGAAGATTTGAATAAATCAAAGAAGAAAAAATTTGCCGATGATTTTGACGACATGTGAAGAGAAATTGTAACAAAAGATTATAATTTTTTTTTCTATTCCATTTTTTCATCAATTAACAGAGAAATTAAATTATTTGTTTCAATTGTTGTGTAATAAAGTTAAATTAATCTACAATAACAATTTAGAATCAATTGTAAGATTTATTTTCATGTCACTTTTGGGAGACAAAAGTTTTTATGAGAAATTTTCGTTTTCAATTAAAACAATTCAGCAATTTGACTGATCTTTGATTAAGACAATTTGCATTTTCGATGATTAGTAAGATAATTGTGAATGGAAGCAAAAACAAAATGTTGTAAAATTATCATGGTAAATGAGAATTGATTGGAAATCGATTAGTTAATTGATTCCATGAGAATCTTGTGATTACAAAATTTCATAATTGAATTTAATGTTACTATAAATATTAGAGTAAATTCAATTAGCTTATTTACAAGAGGAATTGAGGAAAAGAAACATTCTGGTTGTAAATTTTTGGAATGAGAATCTCAAAAGAAATGTTTAAATTTAAGTTAATACGATTATTGAAATTAAAATAAAATTTAGACCAATTTAATTTCTTTTAAATCATCAAGAGTATATATGCTTTTCCAATCAAACTTTGGTGTACGTAATGATGTAATACAATGCCAATCACAGAATTCAAATAAGTTACGAGTAATACCATAGCTGAAAAGGAAAAAGAAAGAAAAAATTGTTAGAATGTAATTAAATTTTAAATTGGATAATTAACTTACTGGAAAGGACTGATTGGATCTCCTTGAGGGCTTTTGATGAAATAATGATATCGATGGCATTTCATCCGTTCGTTTGTAGTCATACCTAAAATACAAACCTAAATAAATTGAAGTAAAACGATTGATTTAGATGATTGAATAGAAAATTAGCGAGCAATTAACTAACTTGATATAATTGACAAAATAGAAGACTAGAAACCCAAATGAAATGAAGTAATGATAAGGAAAATCCAAGAATAACCCAACCACTGGCTCTTAATATTTCACCAGCATAAGATAAACCGGTGATCTCTTGATCAATGTTGGAATCCCAAACTAGGAAAGAGAAAGAAATTTAATAGCAAACAATTAGAATGGTTGGAAATATATTTGAGTGTAAAAAAACTCACAAAGGATTGATGAGTAGATGAAAATAGCACACATAATCACTACGGAGATTAAATACCAAACAAAGTATTTATGATTATCGGCACCGACACAGTTCTTGACCCAAGGGCAATGATGATCAAATCTTGCGACGCAAACATTACAAAAGGTACAATGTTTAGATCTCAAAGGCCGTTTAACTAAACAGGTATAACAATACCAAGCAGAGTCAAAGTCACTCCTTTCAGCCAATTCGATGATGGTTTTAAATTTTTCCTCGCGATTACTTGATATTATTCCAGGATCACTTTTCCATGTTTTATAAAAACTATAGACTAATAAGGTAGAAAAGCCAACACATAATATCAGTAACCAGGGAGGCATATCTATTGATAGAGAGAGAAAAAGAGAGAGTGAAAGAGAATGGAAAAAATAATAATTCCAATATCAGATCACCAATGTGAGATTAGTTGATTGTTTTGGTGAGAAATAAAAAACTTACAAAACATTAGAGTAAAAATAATTGTCATATATAACCAGAATTTTGTCGCAAGGTAAATTGAGATGGGCCAATAGTGACAAACATCATCGTGATGACTTAATTTGCAGGTAATAAGGATCATACTGAAAAAGATTAGTGATTTCCAAAAATATATCAACTCTGAATTTAAAATGGTTCCCAAAGCGAAATAGATTAAAAAAGGTACACTACTGAGTGCATAGTTTTTGTATTTCTGTGAGAGGAAGATAGAAATGACAATAATTAGTAAATGATACGAAAATTGATCAATGTTGAAATTGAAACTACGATTAACCTTTTCTTTGTACAATCTTATATACCAAGATTTGGAAGGAAGTTTCTTTTCATCTGCAGCCTCTTCAATCCTTTTCGCTAACCAAGTGACATTTAATCGTCTTGCCATTTCTTGAGGTGTATCACCATGAACATTTTGAATGAAAACATTGGCTCCAGCGTTAATTAGATTGGAAACTGCATTACTATTTCTCGAATAGATTGCAAGATGAAGAGCAGTATTGTTCTCTTTAATATCACATATATTGAGACTAGCCCCAAGATTTATTAGTAATCTAGTAGGATCTTGACTGTAAAGATGCAGAAAACAGATTAATTACGATAATTTGTCAATAGTGCAAAGAAATTAAAATTGATTGTTAGCTTACGTTGTGGTTCGAAATGCAGCCCACATTAACGCGGTTCGACCGAAATATGCGTCTGGCACATTAATATCAACTCCTTTAGCAAGAAGATAAGCAACTATGCCAGTTTTACCGAATTGAGCGGCAAGATGTAAACAATTAAAACCCTCTGAGTCCATGATTGTTGGATCAGCTCCATGTTTCATGAGCAACACAACCATTTTCAAATGTCCTACACTGGTGGCCCAATGAAGAGGAGTTGACTTGGTTTCACCTCCAACAGCATCGACCACTGCCCCTTTCAATATTAAATATTTAACAATCTCCGACCTATTATTAATTGCTGCCCAATGAAGAAGGGTAACATTTTCAGTATCTCGTTGATTAACGTCAAATCCTGATTCAATTATCTCTTTAACTTTATCATAACCACCATAACGTGTTGCCTCAAAAATTAACAACGATGGTGATGAATCTGTACCATCCATTGTCCAACTGTATCAACTGGTATCATAAGAGATTCAATTATCGTAGTAATTTCTTCATTGAACTTTTAACTAATTGTTGTCAAAGAGAATCACAATCAAAAGGGGAAACAATCAACCAGATGGGAGTAAATCACAATTACAATGGAAACATGAAAATTGAAATGAGTCAATTTTCAAATAGAAAACAAACCGAACATCAGGTGACATCTGGTGGAGAGAAATTTTTTCATTAAGTTTGTGGAGATTTTTGAATTTCTATTAACATCCCGCTTTCTGTCAGCTGTTAGTTTTAATTGTTACAATTAAGATAATGTGGATATTTTAAATTAGAGGGATTTTTCGTTTTACTTTTTGTTTGGTGGACAATTTTTCTTTGACTCAGTAAATTTGATCGATAGATTTTCAATCGAGTAAAAGATTTATTTTGTTAAAAATTGTTGTATGTAAACATTAATTATTATATGAGAAAATGATTATAAATTATGAAAGTCTTTTAATAATTAGTAAATGATGTTAAGCATTTCTTATTCCTAATGCTTGTTCAAGTTCAGCTCTTCTTAATTGAACTTTACCATAAAAGTAACGACAAACAGCTTCTTGTGTCCAGGGTTGGAAGAAAAAGTCTGATCGTCTCTCCTCTTCTGGATTACCAGCTTGATCAGTCATTGTCTATGATTAGAAAGATAATTGTAATTATTAGTTGTTGGTGGATTGATTGTGATTATAGTAAACATACCTTGAGATCACGCATTTGAGAAAGTAACCATTTATGTATAAATTGTTGTGGATCTTTAGCAAATGACAAGAAAAATTCTCTATTTGTTTTCAATTGGTTAATTGTTTCCACCGTTTCATGAATCTTGTTGTCCAAATTTTGTATGTCTTGTTGATTGTGTGTGGAAACAATAAAATTATTCATTTGAACTTTCAACGGATCATCAACTTCCACATCAATATCGTAGCAAGAAGTTTTCTTGGTCTCTGGTCCTTCAACACTAATCAAATGATTGATAACAATTGGATCGGGAGGATGAAGAAGTGTATGTAATCGGGAAGGGATTTCGGCAAATTTCATTCTTGCACATTGAAATATTTGCTCTAAATATTTGTCACAATTGATAAACTCTCTTTCATGAGCATCTTGTAATTTATGCGTTTTAATGTACTGCCAAAGAGCATTTATGATAACTGGTCGTGTTTGTGTGTGAATACCCAGTAAACGGGCTAATCGAGGATCCAATCGAAATTGTAACGGTTGATAATCGAGAAGAAGTAAAATGGTACATCGAACATTCTTGTTGCCTGGTCTCTTAACTTGGAAACCATCGGTTTCCGTTGTGTTTGGTGTTCGATGCCATTCAACAAGATGATTATCTGGACCATAAAGATCTTTGTCCAATTCGATCACCAAAGATTTGAAGAACGAGGAAAATTTCCTCTTGATTTTACTCTGATCTATTTTAGGAGTATTTTGATCATCCAACAATCGACCTTCAACTCTCAACTCCCATGAAGGAACATGTAACTCTTCCCCATTTCCATCTACTTCATGTTTACCGGGGAAAAAAGTATTTGAGATGAAAATTCGTAATTTACGTTTTAGTTTCATTGGTTTTTTCGAAGACTCAATTATCTCCAATCTTTTTCTCTTTAGATGAAAATCAAGCTTCTTCTCGAAACAAATTAAATCCATGTAAGCTTGTGATTCTGGAACTAAATCTCGTACTTTAGATTGTAAATTAACATCACCAAGTTTCTTTTTCTTTTTCATTGATGGTGTTGTTGTGGATGTTGATGCTGATGTCGTTGTTAATTGTCCTGCTATTTGTCCAGGTCCAAGTCCAGGTCCAGGTCCTGGTCCTGGTCCCATAACTCCAACAATTCCTCCTCCTCCTCCTCCTACTCCTACTCCACCAACTATTCCACTAGAAACAATTCCTGGTGGAACCCCTACAACTCCACCACCAACTAATGATGGAGAAGGTGATGATGATGATGTTGATATTGACGATGATATTGTTGCAGATGGAACTGGAGATGAAGTCATCATGGTAGAGATTAATGGACGTTTCATTCCACCCACACCACCGACTCCACCGACACCAATTGGTCCTCCTTGTGGCATTCCTCCAACTCCCACTATTCCTACATTTCCTCCGGTATTACTTACACTTACAATTCCACCACTTGCAACACTACTCATACCGATATTGGAACTAACATTAACAAGACCTCCAACATTATTTGGAATATTTCCCACTCCTATTCCTACTCCTGGTCCAACATTTACTCCCTGTGGTGGTCCACCGAGTGACATGATACCACCGGATTGATGGTTACCAGGAGGCATCATAGGTCTTTGTTGTGATCCATGAGGTAGTGGCTGTTGCTGTTGCTGCTGTTGTGGCGGTGCCATTCTAGGATGACCTGGTGGTGGATGAGGTGGTCCACCATGGGGTGGAGGAGGCATCATAACATGATCAGGTGGTGGTTGTGAAGGTGGTAATCCTTGTCGAAATGATGTTACTGGTTGTCGCTGAGGAGAAACTGGTGGAGGAAAAGGAGGACCATGGGGAGGAGGCATTCGCATATTGTCAGGTCGATGCATTTCCAATTAACAAATTCGATTACTTTAAACAGATTCACATGAAAATAAAGTTAACACTCGAAAGAATAATGACAAACACTCTTTTGACAGTAAATTAAATACATTGGTTATTAAGTAATTAACTTGGAAACAAACAAAATCAAACCTTTGTATCTGAGCTTCTTCTTCAACCCAAGAGATGTCTACACGTGCGAAAAATCAGCGTTGTCATGGTTACTCCAAATACGCGGTAAATGTAATCATATGAAAAATTCTCGATCATAAATTAATCATTTTCTTTTCGAAAATCAATTTGTTGGTTCAGTCATTTTATTGAATTACATTCATTAAAATCGTTTTTATATTATCGCAGGATGAATTAAAATGTTGCCTTCAATAGAGTTTATCTTGACTTGAGAATGTAATATAAATTAATTTAGTGATAACATACAATTATTTCATCAACTCATTTGATAATTTGATTGTTTTTTGAGTGAAATTAATGATCTTTTTTTGTTGAAGAGTAGAGACTGTAGTTAAATTTGACTATGGGCTGATATTTGCAGAAATTTTGATCAGCATTTCCGTTACATTCGATTGATGAGCTTTAGAACCATATTATTATAAATGATACTTTGTATCAAATTGATATAAGAAAAGGGTCATTGCAATTTTCCGACTACAATCAAGAGCCAACAATCAAATTAACTGGAAAGGGAGAGAGAGAGAAAGAAAAGAGAAACAAAGAGAATAAATTATTATTAGAAAAATACTATTAAGGGGCTGATGAGAAATGTAAACTCTTGGAATATAATTCAAAACATACATATCATTATTAACTAAATAGGAAAAATTAATAATAATACAGATATTGCATGTGATGATAATGATGCTGATGATAATCAAAGAAGCGAAAAGATAAAATAAAAATAAGAGAAACAAAAAAAATTCATACAGAAAAAAAGAGAATCTATTTTATACTTACAATCAACAGACTCCGAACATCATCAACCATTAACCATTTTTTTCTTTGCAGCTAATTCCTCTCTCTCTCTCTCTCTCTCTCTCTCTCTTTGACCATTATCCTCCATCAATGTTAACATGGCTCCTCCTTACCTATCATTAGGTCTAATCAAGGTAATTACGGGATCATTAGTCGATGATGATCAACTGCAGAAGCACAGAATCAACATCAACAGAGCAGAGCTTCAGTTAACCAATTCAACTTCTTTCAACTTTTCTCTTTTGGTTCCAACGCAGCAACATGATGATGATGATGATGATGGAGAAGAGAAGAAAAAGAGAGAAACTCATCCAACTCTAAACCAGATCTTACACAGAGATTCATCATCATCGTCTATGGATTGTGTGTGAGGTAAAATGTTGCACCCATTTATTGGCCTTTAGCAAGTTACCAAAGAAGAAGAAAATAAATACAACTATACATTCACCGCCCAATCGTTTTTGAGAAGGCCCATTATCACTGGTCATTTGGGGAACCACGAATAATCATCGTTGGGAGTCATGGGTGGTAAAAAGAGAAGAGAGAGTCAAGAATAAGATGATGATGATGATGATGAAGCATCTCAAGAAAAGGTGGAAGATGCTGGCGAAAAAAAAAGAAAAGGGAGAGAGAGAGAGAGAGAAAAAAAAAGATGACGATAAGAATGAGAATGAGAATGATGAAAGGTTGTCTTAGAGTAGAAAACAAACAAACAAACAAACAAACCTGATCCAACAACAAGTTATGGTTTAATCCTGATGATTTTTATATATTATTACTGAAAGAGTAAAGAAAAGAAGATGAAAGAAGTAAAAAAAATCATCAACACAGAAATAGAAGAAAAAATTAAAAAAACTCAGAAAACATAATCATAACGTTTGACTTGTTGAACCTCAAACTAAAGATTTGAAGGTAAAGAAAAAGATTCTCATTCAGGTTAGATTGTGATCAACTTGATTAGAAAATAATTACAACAATCAAAATGATACGTACAGTTAATAGTTTCCAAATAGAAGAGAATAACAAATTAAAAAAAGAAAACAGATTAAAGAGATTAAATTTTAATCTCTTTCAAGATTCGATCACATGTTAAGATCCATATCCGGATCAATTAGATATTCTAATGAGTCCGAACAATTTGATTCTCCAATTGTTTTGGTGTTCGTTTGGTTAACAATTAAATTGTTTATTCTCTTTAATTGTAACTATTTGTAATCAATTATTCTTAATTCGTTATAAAGAGAAGAATATATTAAAGGATTACCCCAATTCTTTTAGTATTTTTATCGCTGGGTAAGTTGTTTGTTTTGTTTCGTTTCCATTTGTCATGTTACCTTTTTACCTTTTTCTTTTTCTTTTTTTTGATTGTGTTTTCTTTTCTCAACAATGGTGAATATTTGTCTTCACTTATTTTTCTTGACCCGTGTTTCGTTTTGATTGTGAACGATCAAAAATACTTAACATTGACCGATTATTGTATTTACAATAAACTGTTAAAGGTAATCATTAAGAAGATGATGATGTTGATTATGATGGTTAATCGCAATAACAATAAGATGACAAAATTTAAGACCAACACACAACATTCTTGATTGTTATTATAATTCATTACATTGTATTCTTGTTTGTTAGTGTGTTAAATATTCAATGTTTTTATTTTATTCTCTTCTCCATCATTTCATTTATATAAATAATGATAATAATTTTTTTTTCACTTTTCTTCCAACAGTTTTTTTCTCTTTTTTTGGCTCTTCTCTATTCTCTCTCTCTCTCTCTCTCTCTACTGTTGCAACATTGGAAACAGGAAAATAACAATAAAAAAACTGGATTTCTCATCTTCTCATCTCTGGACAAGATTAAGCTCAATATTTATATTATTATTTATCTTCAAAAAGTATTATTTATATGTGTTCATCGTTGTTACTTTCTAAAAGCTTAATCTCTTACCGAATCATTTAAAGTCGATCATCATCAACAACAACATCACACAGAGAGGAAAGATAAGGATATAAACCATTGGATTCTCTCATCTTCTTATGCAAGGATCAATATCGACCGTGTAAGTTACTAGTAAAAGCCGTTGGAGAAACTGAAGAGAAAGAAGAAGAGAGAGAGAGAGAGAGAGAGATGATGAGGATGAGGATGTCATATAGTAAGAGAGAGAGAAAAGAGCGAGAAATGATGATGAAAATGAGAGAGGAAAATGATGAAGAAGGAGAGAGGTTTTATCATCTTTTCCCCTTTAAACTCCCTTTATCTCTCTAGGCCGTTACTCTTGTTCAATAACAAGGCTTGAGGCTCACAAGAGTCCTTAGGGTGTACATTTTGGTCCCCGGGCCCAAAATTAGGCTCTGACAACTCACCCGTCATCTTTTTATCTTCTCTTTCATCCATCCCCTTCGCTCTCTCATTCTCTCTCTCTCCTTCCATCTCCACTAGTAGATTTGTGGATGCTCCCTTTGCATCGGAGCTTTTGGTTGTTTCAACATTTGTGATCAAATTTGTAATTTTTTTTTACTCTAAATTTAATTGATTATTTATTATTACTCAAAGTGTTGAATGAATTTAATTGCTAATGCAGTGAACCTAATATTTTTTCCGTCTCATTGTGTTGATTAATTTTTCTCTGCAATCATTTTTGTGTAAATTGATGATTCTTTAAGTTCACAATTAGGTTTACCTTTATCTTTCTCATTCTTCTCTTCTCTCTCCTTTCTATCTTTATTTTTTTTTCTCTTCTCATATTTTTTCTTCTTTTGCTTCATCTTCTTGTTCAATAATAATCTTTTTTTTTCTCTCTTCATTTTCTTCATACCGGGTAACATAATTTCCTTTTCCATCACCACCAAAACCACCATCAACATCACCATTCATTTTGCTGTATTCATTTTTCTTGCTTCGTCTTCAACTTTTACAACTTCAACATAAACAGCATCATCACCATCACCATCTTTCATACTCCCTTTCTTTATAATCTCCTTACCCTAACCAATTATTTCACCATTCACACTCCACCATTATACTTTTGCAACCATTGAGTTGATCAATTTTCTAGTGTATCATTGTGTCATCTTTATCCCTTAGATGTATGACCAACAACCCACCGGGCAGCAACAATGCCCGGTTATTGAACCAACAGTGGAAAACATTGAAATGCTCATTTATGAGCTTTATTATTGTGGTGAGAGAAATGTATTTGCCAATAAACAGTTGACTCTGTTCCAAAATTCAAAGGAATCATGGGATTTCTGTTGGTTACTACTTTTACCCAGTAAACCTGTTGAGGTTCAACATTTTGGTGCCTCTTGTATTCACCATAAAATAGCCAAATGTTGGCATGAACTGGATAACAATGAGGAAATTAAAATTGCTCTACGTACCAAATTGTTGGATACCCTTTGCAAATACATGATGGATGGTAATCTACGTATTGTTCAAACCAAATTGTGCGTTGCCCTTTCATCTTATGTCATTCGAACTGTAGACAATTGTTGGCCCACTGCGGTTTGTGATCTCATTGAAAATTTGCATCCTGGCAAATTATCTCACATCCCGGTTCCTAAAGTCATTAATACCCTTGTGGAGATACTCACTGTAATACCTGAGGAGTTCAACTCAACCAATATGTCCTACACCGAGAAACCAATGATTCGTCAACTGTTTATCCAATCAATTGATCATATTTTCAGTGTAATTAAAACAATCATGGAACAACCAAATTTAGGTGCTGATGTTAAACACATGGCGATTAAATGTTTCGCCAATTGGTCACAAAATTTTGGTTCCCTTATCTTAAGTGATCTTCATGATACTATTATTAACCTTATACTCAATGAGATCAGTAATGAAGAGCTGTCAGTTTGCTGTGTTGAGGCGATTACCAACATCTATTCCCACCCCGAGATACATCGATATCCTAATACGGTTCTCAAACTGATTGACAAGATAATACGATTTGAAGATCTTCTCAATTCAAGTATTAAAGATCAAAACATGTTCCTTTCAGGAACCTTATACAACCTTTATATTAGTATCGGTGAGACCCATTCCCGTCTCCTTTTGGACACCATAATTGCACGTGAACAATGTCGAGACAATATCCTCAAATTATTAAGAATAATTTTACAATGTTCTGCCACCGCAGGCTATTATCCAATAGATGAGACCTGTAGTGAGCAAGCATTTAACTTTTGGTACACCTTTCAAGATGATATAATTGGAAGTGAACAGGAAAAAATTCCAACCTTTCTAACTCTATTCAATCCACTTTATCATTCATTGATTGATACACTTCTGGTCAAAGTTCAATATCCTCCGGATTCTGTTTACTCAAATGATTGGACTAGTGAGGATAAGGAAAGTTTCCGATGCTATCGACAGGATATTGGCGATTGTCTAATGTACTGTTACAATATGCTTCGAGTCTCCATGTTATCCTCCCTCATGTCCCATTTTACCCTCTCTCTTAATCACATGAATCAAAGTTTGACCACCGGCTCCGAAAAACCCTGGCAATACCTGGAGGCGGTTATGTTTGCTTTTAGTTCAATCGCTGAGAACGTGGACATTACGGAAAGTGTTTATATAACAAAACTATTCGAGTCACTAAATCTGATTCCTTTTAATCAGCTCAAATCACCTCGTCTCATTGCAACCATCATGGAGATGTTTGGATCTTACTGTGAATGGATCTACAATCATCCCGAATTTCTACCCGGGGTTCTTTCACTTCTTCTCATGGGCCTAAAAAGTGATCATATCGCCATTGTTACCTCAACAATGGCCCTGAAAGATATTACCCGTGAATGTCAACCCCTTATGGTGCCCTATGCCCATCAACTGTTAACTGCCTGTGAGGAAAGTTTAAGGCAAGAATCTCCCTTAGCAAACAAGGAACGATCCCGACTCATGTGTACCATTGGTCAAGTTTTAACGGTTATGCCTCATGATTATGTGATGAACTATTTAAATGTTATTCTACCTCCAATCCTCCATAGTCTCCAAGAATCTCTGGATCCCAAAATCTCCGCTTGTACCAATTTACCCTCAGTTCGTAATATTGTTGTTGCTCAGGTCAACATGTTGACAATGTTATTTGCAACCCTTGACCCTGACTTCAAACAGGTCGACCCCGAATCAAATGAACAAATTAAAGTCAGATTTAAAGAAGAGAAAAGAGAAATGCATCCTGGTTTCCCGGTTTTCAAAGAGGTTTGTTAACTTTATTCTTATCATTAACTTCATCTTCTTTTCATCTTCATCATCTTCATCATTTTGATAATCAAGAAATCACGAAAGCATAAAAAAAAATTGATAAAAATGATTTATTGATTTGAACTTTTATTTTTTCTCCCTCTCTCTCTTTATCTCTTTTTAGATTCTCCCTCTACTTAATGGAGTGGTTACTAAATGGTCAGCCGACGAAGCGGTTATCGATGCAGTCTCTGAGTGTTTTAAACGATCCTTAGCCAATCTCCTTGACCATGTGAAGCCCCTTGTTATGGACATTATCTCCATGATTAACTCAGTCTACTCAATTTCCTTCCAACCCTCTCTCCTTGACATTCTTAAACAAATAATGATTCTTTTTGGAACGGATAGTGACCTGCAACCCTACCTGATACCCTTTTATGGTCAAATATGTAATTTAACGGTTGCAAATTGTGCTGATGTGAGACAAAATAGTTCCTTAATTGAATTCTTTTACTCGGTGACCGCTTTAATAATGAAAAAAGTGCCCATTGTTCACAAATCGATGGATATTGATTCCCTTTCAATGTTCCAATGTGCTATGGCGGCGCTTATAGCTGCTGAGAAGCCCACTGTTCGAGCGGTGACAAGTTTTATCACAGAATTTATCCACAAAAGTCGGGACCAAGAGCAATTACAACGAATAGTCTTGTCGGAAGGTGAATCCCTGGTTGGTCAAGTGTTAAACGTTATCGGAGGCGATTGTTCACCTCGAATCAATGTTGACTTAATGACCGATATCTTAGTCGCTCTTAATTCAAAGTATCCAGAATATTTTTCCCGTTGGTTATCTGTATATGTAAATAAGCAAGATTTTCCAACCGCCAAAGCGTCGACCGGAGCTAAAGAGCTTTTTGTTAAATCAGTTCTTCGAGAGAAACGAAGTAAACGAAAGATCAAAGAGCTTGTCAACGAATTCGCACTAATCTGTCGAGGTCTCATTGGAACCGAATATGCTCAACAACAAATTAAGCTACCATACTAATTAACTAAATTTGAAAATCACCAATGAAAACAAACAATGAAACAAAAAGTTGCAGTTAGGAAATAATTACTAGGAAAACCAAACAATTAAAAAGAAACAAAAAATCCAACAATGACAATGACAATGACCATGTCAATTGATAATGATGATGTGTAAAAGATGAGATATAAATATTTAATTATATATTTATATTTACACAATTAATTACAGTATTTGATCACTTGAACTGTTTTCATTTCAACAGCAATTAATCTGTACAATTAATCGTGTTCAACCAATCCACAGAGGAAGAGAGATAGAGAATCAACAACAGAAACAACAGAGAAAAAGTTAATTGTTATCATTCATTCTAATTGATATTTGATCACTTTTAATCATTATCAATACGATGATAATAATGATTAATTTATCCTTCATTTCAAGATGACAATTTAGATGGAAAACAAAAATTCACCAACAATAATCATCATTAACATATAAATGAGTCTCTCAAATGATACAACAAATTTGCGACTAATTTACTAAGCATAATAATTTATAATCATATTCACAATCAATTTAATCAACTAATTACCACAACACACACACAGAGAGAGAGAGAGACGGAAACAATTTAAATCACAATTTTTTTTCACACAATTTCAATGTAAAAGCTTTTTAAATATTAATTTACCTCTGTGTCTCTATCTCTCGGTGAAGTTAATTATAGAAATTTATTAATCAATTTTCTGTTGAAAAATTTAATTTAGTTTTTCCTTTTGTTTTCTATTTTTAATTCTGTCATAAGAATTGGTGAACAATCAATTTCTTTATTTCTATTCACAATCAAATCTAAAATTTTGTAATTATCAGTTGAATTAATTTTGTTTTCTTTCTTTTGGTTTCAACAATTAAATTTTTATTTAATTAATAGAAACAGAGGTGAACTTATTTAAATGAACTAAATGCTAATAAATAATTATAACAATTAAACTTTAATGATCAAAACTTTTTTTTTTAAATTAATGTAATGATTGAATATAAAACATAAACATAAAAATAATTACTTTGGTACAATTTATATTAATAGTTGATTAAATTTTTTCAATTTTCTTTTTCTTTTTGATAAGTTAATTGTTCTGATTGTTGTGATTAATATTGTCCCCAATCCTCTTGATCATAACGTTCAACTGGTGTGTCCAAATCTGATTGTTGGGGCGGTGGGATTGATGATGATGATGATGATTGAGTTTGTGGTTGTGGTGGTTGATTGTAATCTTGATCTGATTGCCAATTATTATTATAATCATAATTAGCTGGTTGAGTTGATTCACCATTAGGTTGATCATGATAATCAGCGGGAGGTGAAGGTGAAGGTGATGGTTTAATTTGATTGTTGTGATAGTTATAAGGATAATGTCGTTTACCATAATCACCGTTGTTAAGATTATCAATATGATTTTCCATTGAGTTAATTGGTGATGATTTAGATCGATCATTGTAATTATCTAAATATGGATCACCCGTTAGATCAAATTGATTTATTGGAGCGGCTTGATTGTTATCAGGTCGGACTCCGGGCTCAGTGCCAGGATTATGAGGGATTGAGACCATTGGTGTTGAATCAATTGGAGTCATTGATGGTTGATTGTTGTAATTGTTGTAATTGGAGTTTGGGTAATCAATTAGACGACCTGGAGTTGTTAATTGACCGGTGAATTGATTCATTGGCTTGGGAATCATCGGATTAAATGATCTGTCAACAGAATTATTTTGATTTTCTTCATCTTCATCTGTTGGATTATTTTGATTGTTGTTATTATTATTGTTTTCCTCTGATTGTTCACCGCTTGTCCCTTGTCCATTATAATCATCACCATAATCACCTTGATTGTAATCAGCTTGTTGAGGAGATGCTGCAACTGGAATTGATTGTTGATCATTTGGTTGATTAACAACATTATAAATGTGATCTTGTCCAGGGACATTCTGGTAATCAATTGATCCTCCTGGATTGTGAAAGTTAATTATTTCTTGAGAGTCGGAAGGGAAATTAAGGTTTGCTTGGTTTAAAACTTCACCGACCGCGGGTTTAATTTGATAATCATGATAATCACGAGCAGTTTGAAATTCTTGATAATAATCATCTCCATTTGGATTACCTTCTCCTCCGCCCCCGGCCATTGGAGTTTCATTTCCTGTTCCTTGTTCACCTCCCCCTGATTCACCACCTCCATCATTGGGCTTTCGTTGATAATCCTCACGATAATCATTATTGTTTCCGTAATCTGGTCTATCGTAATTATTTTGATAATCTTGTTCGTCGGTTGGATATTCAACACTATTGCCTTCGCCTCTTCCCTCGTCACGACCTTCGTCGGCCATGTTATTGTTTCCCTGATTGTTTCCATTTCCAGCGGAATTTTTATCATCGTAAACGGGATTTTCTCCTCCTTCCACTTCACCGGAAGTGGACATTTTGAGACTGTTTTTATTGGTGTTCGAATAAGCCGGTGGCCAAGGTTCGTGTAAACTATAAAAACGATTATCAGGCTCAGAAACTTGAGCGGTGTTTGGCATCGGTTGGAGAGGAGGGAAAAACGATGGCGGGTTAGTGGCCACTGATGGTCGAGATTGAGATAAATGCATTTGTGGCGGAGGCGGTGGTGGGATAAGTGCACCAAGTGGAGGTGGTGGTGGCGGTGGTGGCAATGGCACCAGAGAAGGCGATTGAGGAGGTGGTGGTAGTTGTTGAGGTGGAGCGGGCATAGGATTTGATGCCCGTTCATTTGGTGAAGGGTGCATTTGTAATTGATGACGATAATTAGGGTGACTGGGTGCAAGTGGATAATGATTATCGGGAGGAACAGTTCGAAATCTGTTGAAAAAGTTACTCGGCGTCGGTGGTTGTAAATGGGGAGCTGGTGATGGAACATGAATGATTGACCTTTGGGTTAATCGAAAACTCGGTAACGATGGATCTGAATGGATTCTTTTAGAAGAAATAAATTTTAGAACAAAAGATCGATTAATGATTCGCACATTGGAATAATTAACAACCAGGAAATTGTTCGCATCTCTACCAGTCAACAAATGATGATCATCACAACAATTAAAGGATAATCAAAATAGTCTAGAAGGAGCGATTATTGATCATGGAATCAGGTTAATGGACTATTAATACTTACGGGTACAAATAACTTGGATTACCGATCGACTTTTTTTGCAATTGAAGTGGAATCGGTATCGGGATTGTTGTGTAAACTATCCGTTCGTCATCGTCGTGGTCATCGTGTCCACCGCCACTTTGTATCACAATAGTGTTTGATGTGGTCCTCTCACCGGTCGAAACAATTTCAATCATCAACGATAAGATAATTGTGACAATTAAACACAAAAGAAACACAATGTTTGATCCAATAAACATCGTTTTTTATATAAAATTAATTAGTTTGATTTAACAGAATCAACGCAATTAAAACACAATCAATTTTCGAAAAGCAACAAATCAGATAATTGTAATGTTTAATTGTTCCACTTTAAAAGGTTCAACTTATTCAATTAAATTCCAATGGTGTAAGTCCATTGGTTATTCTCATCAAGGTTCATGTTTAACAAATACAATTAAAGATGAAATCAAATCGAACCATTGATCAAACGAATTGGTGAAAATATGAAAATTTTTGAGAATCAAGCACATAACGAAATTAAATCAACAATTAAACCGATTTCATTGTTTCTATTAAAAGAGATGACAATTAAAAAGACAGTTGATCTTTAGATTGGTCACTTCGTAAGGTTGAACTGAATGATTGAGAAACGCAAAATTTAAATTGTTTACAATTTAATCCGAAGACAATCTGGACATTTGAGATGTCAATTGTTAACTGTTGGTAAATTGCTGGTTAAACTTGGAAAATCAAAAGGGAGTCGATATGATTAACCAAACGAAACAAAATAAACAATCAACAAGTTGATGATGAGATGAGTTTCCGTTGATCCAATAATCTGGTGAAAATTACGCTCTGATTAATAAATATGAAAATAAACAATTCTAATCAAGTTATTTGGTGAAAATTTGATTAGCAAAAGTAGAGGGAAAAAAAGGAAGACAATTGAAGTGATTATCAAAACGCAACAGAAACAATTTAAACGTGTTTACGATTAAGGGTTAAAGTGAACAAGTGACACCGCGAATTGTTTATCATCAAAGTTATATCTTTGAAATTGAAACTATTTAAAATGGGATGACAATTTTTAAGGTCGATTGTCAAAAGTAATTGTTACCTTTAATCACCACCGAGGATCGTTAAAGATGATCATTAAGATGGGATTATCTTGGAGATTGTGATTAAACTGAAAATCAGTCAATCGGAATTAATTGGAACTGGAAGGAAAAAGGAAATGATAATGATCTTTGTATTTCTACATAATGATAGAAAGAAGTCATTTTTATTTGATTATTCACAATAATCTAAGTGGACATTGTAATTGTAACAGCCATTAGAATGTTGAGAAATCCAGAATAGTATTTTAAATAAATCTAACGGTTGGATTTGGCGACACGTTCCAATTCGTCCTTCTTCTTAATAGCATAACTGTTTGATGACCCCTATGATAGAAAAGGAGAAAGAAATCAACAGATTATAATTATGACCACAATAAAATAAAGATTAAAGGGTAGAGAGAGAGAATGTGTGAACATTATGTTAATTTGATGGTTTGAGGGATGAAAGAAAATAGGTTAACTGAATAAATACCTTAGCGGCATTGATCAACTCATCGGCTAGACATTCAGCAATTGTCTTAATATTCCTAAAGGCGGCTTCTCGAGCACCAGTACACAGTAACCAGATAGCCTGGTTAACTCTTCGAAGTGGAGAAACATCAACAGCTTGACGACGGACTGTACCGGCTCGACCGATTCTGGTTGAATCTTCACGTGGTCCACTGTTAATAACCGCATCAACTAAAATTTGTAATGGATTTTCCCCGGTGAGCAGGTGAATAATTTCAAAAGCATGTTTAACAATGCGAACGGCCATCAATTTTTTACCATTGTTACGACCATGCATCATCATTGAGTTGGTTAATCTTTCCACGATGAAACATTGTGCCTTTCTGAATCTCTTGGCAGCATATCGACCAGCAGAATGAGGAAGATAACGAGAATGTTTCTCCTTAACAGCAATGTAATCCTAATCCAATCAAAAAACAAAAACAACAATCAAATTAGAACAACCAATAAACAAATATACACAAGAAAACTAATCAATATACATTCAACATCATAATAAAATACTTACACCTAAAGATATGTCAGAAACCTCAAGATCGGTTGTTGTCCACCGTCCGAAAAGCTTAATTTCGGGTTGGTCGCCAATAGCAGCGTTCGCTGAGTAGACAGCTTGATCATTCCAATCATCCATAATTGAACAATTAATTTAATTTAATCAATTACCAAAAGAAAACAAAGATACAATTGCTTTTACAATAAAAAACACAAAACCAACAATATGAAGGAAACGGAAGTTTTGACAAAAACTCTTTAAGGGACCGTTTCCTAAGTACAATCTGCAAATTCGACTCTTTTTCTTTGAGAAATTTTTTTCTCATCAATAATTAATTTCTAATTTTAAGTTTGAAACAATTAAATTGATTATGGAAAAAATTAATTGGAAATTTTGTACAAATGGAAAATGAAGGAAACGATGTTAGTCTAAACAGAATTGTAAGCGAAATTGGTTAATAATTTGGAAATTTAAATTTTCAACAATTAAGGTTAATCGATAAAACTTTTTAATTGTTTTGGTTAAGTTGATTAGAAATTGTGATTTAATCATGGAAGTGATTAAATTTGTGTATAAGTTTGATATTGATTGTTAATTGTTTGAACTTTGTGAGATAATCAATTCTAATTTAATTGAGATTCTTTTTTGTTTTTAATTAGTTTTAATTGTTTTAAATTAAAATCACAGATTAGCGAGACAATGATAAATAATATAAATATTTAATTGTGACAGTTGATTATAATTATGATTATAACTGAAAGGATTTAAATTAGATTTGGTGATTAAAAAAAAGTGATCCATTTAAATAAATTGTTGAACAGAAAACAATTTAAATAAATTGTTGTTTCAATGGCAATTGATTGATGATTAACATGATGATGATAATAATTAATTATTATGAAAGACAATTAAATAAATGCTAATAATTTGATTACATATTTTTTATCCAAATTGTTGAGAGTTACAATTAAATCTCAAAATAACTTTAACTTACATAACAATTAGATATTATTTCATATTAATTGTTTTAAACATTAAACAATTTAAATTTTTATACATTTCAACGATCAAATTAGTTGATTAAAATGAAGATCAGTATGACAATTCAATTAAAACTTTAATTATCAATATGGATGAAGGATTAACTCAACGAAATGTGAATAAAAATCTTAAACAATTAGCTAATTGTAGATGAACATCAATATAAATGATTAGGATGAGATATGGAGAAACTGAATTAGTTGAATGATAATGAACAATTAACGGGAATTAGCAAAGGAAAGTTAAATGAGTTGTAAGGAAATGATTTCAGGCTTAAATTGTGACGATGATCATTCAAACAATTAACGTTTTCGCCTTGATTGGAGTAAAAAGTTTTCGATGCAAGGTTGTTGATAGCAGATCGAAGGTACTTTTTGTTTGTAAAAAGTGCGTCGGGATTTTAACGGCATTAAGATCAATCGAGATGCGGTCTCACATGAGGCCGAATCGTTACAAGCAAGGCGACTTTGCTCCAGGAATCCCATGTCACAATCGCTTGACAAAAGTCCAAACAATTCACCCTGAAATCAAATGAACAAAAAAAAGATCAACCAACAATTAGAATTAAAAATTTTCTCCAATAATATAAACAAGCAAAATCTAAAGTTAAATTGCTAGAAATTAAGTTAATCATGAAAGTTTTCATCTTCCTGTTGACGAAAATAATTGTTCTTGATATATAATGATGATTAACGTACGAATGTCAAATCAACGGTTTATTATTATTTAGTTAACCTTGTTAACCATTTCGGTGATTAAGGTAAAGATGATTAACAATCACAGAAATACAATTTACAGTTAACAATTCAATCAATTTAGATTGTCACTTGATAACCTTGATAAATTATCTCTCTCTCTCTCCATCCTCATCTTTTTTTGGCAAAAATAGATTTCAATTGTCATCAAGTTGATTATGTTTTTCTTATTTTGATTGTCATCTGATTAATGATGTCCAGTGAATTAAAATTAACTTATCTCAACATATCAAAGAAAGTAAATCATGTTAATGGTTGGAAAGGATAACCAGACAAACAATATAATGATTTTCTCAGGATAATAAATGATTGATTAAATTGCTGTTTGATTGTTTGCTAGATTGTCTGAATTGTGTTAATTATTCATGAGAAAAAATAATCAATAAGATTTGATCAACTTTCGATGATCAAATGAAAAGACTCAAGTTAATGAGATAAAATGAAAGACCCAACGTATGGAAATTGTTATCACAATTAAGCAAATCATCCGATGATTTAATTAAACAACCCCAAGATTAAACAGTGATAATTATTGATATGAATAGTTAATAAAGCAAATGAAGGCGAAATAATCAGAAAGAGTCAACAACAACAGGTAATTGTTTATCGTTTAATAGTTAATTAAATTCATGGACATTGTAATTAACCGGAATAAATTTATTCACCTCATTTGATGTATTGTTATTATCGTTGTGGTGATAATAGAAAAGTGATTAACTGAGAATAATAAATGTTAGATTAACTATACACAACAATCAAGAGTAAAGATTAACTGAGGTAAAAATTTTCTACAGGTAAATGGTAATATTAATATTCGATCACATTTTCGACATCCTCAGAATCCTCAGAATCTTCAGAACTTTTTTCTTCTCATCTTTTCTTCATCTTCTCTCACAATTTTTTGTTCTATTTATCTCCAGAATAAGATGAACATGAACATGTTTATTCAATTTATTTACTCAGCAAAATGAGAGAGAGAGAGACCAAAGTTCTGAAGATGAAGATGATGGATGAAGAAGACAAATTGATAAAAAATGTTTTTCTCTTCAATTCTGAAATAAACTAATGAATATCAACACAGAATTCAAGTCACAAGGAATGGAAAATATTTTCAGGGAAAATAAATGAAATCAGAATAAATTGCAATGATTTATCTATGATACATAATAATTACGATTCTAGATTAAGTGGACACAAATGATTAGATTTTATCAAATAACCATGACGATGATTTAATTGAATTGAATTCAATCAATGAAAAAAATTCTCCCAAAAAATTGAACTCAACTAATTCCAATTAAAAGTTTTGATAGTTTAACAAATTAACTATTATATTCACATTTTCAATATTATGTTTCAAATATTAATTTATATCAACTAATTGAATTTAGATAATCAATTGCAATTTTTGATTAAGGTCATCAGAATGTTCAAATATCGGCTAATATAATTAGATTACCATTCGAGTGATTGACAATATCGAAACAGAATAAACAATTGACATTCAATTGATTCTTTATATTGGATGAATTTACTTACATACTAATCTATTAATGAATTATTTAGATACTTAGAAAAGGATAGAAAATTGTTGACCATTGGTCAGTTTTCTTGAAACTTACACATGAATAACAAACTTCATGCCAATTACAAGCTTGTCCGAAAATCTTTTCCAATGAACCAAAAGGGACAACATCTTTAACGGTTGAACAATCAGTGGTCAGTGCTCGAACTGCTGGACATTCATCTGAACAATTAAACAGAAAGAAACAAAAATCAAATCAATCAGCCGACAATTAAAATCATTACAACAGTTAACCAATTGACAATCTTGAAAAGCAATAAAACTTGATTGTCACCTTTTAGCTGATTAGCTTATTGGTAAAGATGGAAATGTGATTAGTGATTGATTAATGGTAATTGACAATTTAAGTTAATCAAATGGTAATCAACCCAAATTATCATACATTTCATCAATTAAATGGTAATCAACATTGGTCAAGGTTAACAATCAATAATCAAAGGAAATGAGATTTCAACATACCCATTTTAATTTGATTTAAATGATGATTTTTGTTAATTGTTGTTGGATGACGATGATTAATTGGAGTTAAATTTGATGGGAAGATTTTCAGATGACCAATTTCTTTGTTTCTTATTCCAGTATCACCTTTGAGATTCTGTTGACCATCATCTTCATCACCATCTTCAGAATCCAATTTAGTAGAGATGGAAAGTTTATCAATGGAATCAAGGAAAACCTCTTGACCCTCAGGTCCATCGTCAATTTCATTGTAATTATCCAATTGTCGATCAATAGTTTCATCATTATTTTCATCTTCGTTTGAAATTTTCTGCATTATCTTATGTAAATCAGTTAGAGCTAATCTCATATCCTCCAAATCATAAGCGGCATTTAATCGGGACTCAATTCGACGTTTAAAGTTATCATCATCGGACACTAATTGACCAGTTTGACCATTAAGATTTCCCTTAATCAAATCTAAAGCTTCCAAAATTAAGGTTTCCTCAATTCGCTCCAGTTTATCATCTACATCAATAAATTTTTCCGCTTCTTGAGCGACCAACGATGACACCGGTAACGATAATGACGATGGTTCCTGACCACCAACTTTACCGAAATAGGGATCACCCGTTATACTGCGTTTACGTTTATTGTTAACATAAAGACCTTTGCTAATTGTTTCCATCAACAATTGATCATCAGAATCAATAGAACCATTGACAATTTGATCATCAGCTCCATTGATCTGATCTACATCAACAATGGTCAACCATGTTGGTGGTGAAGTTGATCCAATTGGATCAGTTGGTTTACTGTTATTTTTATCATTCATATCATCATCATCATTGTTTTTACTGTTTAATTGTGAATTATTTTTGTTCAATTTGTCTAAATCATCAAGATCACCAATGGAAATTAATCCTTCAGAAAAATCCTCTTCCAAAAGTGTTTCATTGTCTCCATCAGAATCTAATCCATCTACAAGACTTTTAACTACTATGGTCGATTTTAATTGTGATCCATTGCTTATTAATTCTTGGTTTGATCTTTTCTCATTGTTAATTTTGTCGTTTTCGTCTTGATCAATATCCGGGTGACCTTCGGTCAAGGTGACACCATCTTTCTTGACGATTCTTGCGGAATCTCATCGATATCTTCAAATTCAATGATCTCCGTTAATTGTGGTTTACCTGATGAACTAGTTGTCGATTCATCGATCTCATTTATCTTCAATTGGTCATAATTACTATTTTTACTATTTGAATGAACATCCTCATCTTTATCTCCTATTGAGGTGGTGGTTGTGGTGGGAGAGGTTCTCATCTCTTCATCATCATCGTAACCAATTAATGTCAATTGATCATCTTGATTGTTGATGTTTCCTCTTTTCCGTCGTTTAACTGTCAACGATCTCATTAATGTTCGAGTTGCTTCATCAACTAACCATGGATTTGATTGAAGTACCATTGGTGATGATGATCTAAATTCACCTTCATTAATTTCTGATTCAATATCAGCCTCTCCTCGTCCACCATTATTCCCATCAAGAGAATCATCATCATCATCATCATCCGAGTCATTAACGTTACTAATGTAACCATCAATCGAATCATCATCTTGTCTCAATCCAAAATCAATGGAATCACCCGGAGATCGGGAAGAAATTGATCTTTTAGCTAAGCTTTTAGGTCTTTTCGGTAAATCGATCTCATTGAAAAACTCTTTCATACTCTTTGATTGGAGACCTAAAGGGTTAGAGTCTCGTTTCTCTTTTCGGTTAAGAGTTGGACTCCGATGTGTAGTGGCCTCAGTTTTACGGAAATTTTTCGAAATGAATGGTTGTTTCTTCTTAATTTTGTCCGATTCTTTATGATTTAGAATAGTTGAGTTAATTACTTTTGAATGGATCATCATTGGTGCTACATGAACCGCTTTACCATTCACTAATTTAGCGAAATCACCTTTGACCGGTTGATGACCAACGAGCGTTGATTTTAACGGAATCCTGTTGAATTTAACCTTCTTACTATCTCCAAATTTTCTCGAAATTAATTTTGAATCTTCACTAAGCCCATGGTTCGGTGACGATGATGACGACAATCGGTGTTTCGAATCGGTTATTGGTTTGTTGTTTGTTCGAAGATGCGGTTTACCTGACAAATGTGGTGCTACTCTCGAAGATCGAGCTCGATGATTACCTCCAGCACTTGGACTACCTGATAAACCACTTCGATGATTTCGCTTAACCAAAACGCGTTTTCGTTGAGGATTATGTTCATTTGATTCTGATTTCAAGAGTTTAGCAATTTTGGTCGCTAATACTTGGAAAAGTACATCCGATGAACTTAAATCATCACTTTCGTCAACCTTACCCTTGAGTGAAGGTGATCTTTGTTGATTAGAAGGCCACAACTCAGGATAAAATTCATACGGAATATCAGATGTATACTAAGAAAATGAAAAGAAATGATTAAAAAACAATCAAGGTGAGAATCGATATTAACACATATTCATGAGTGGAATCAATTTCCTTCATCAAATGAAGACAATTATCCAAAATTTAACTTAATTATCGTGTTTTTAATCATCGATTGCTAAACATTATCATTGATTTGAAATAAATTCTGTATTAAAGGTTCCAATGTTATAAGATTTATAATATTACATGATTGAATTATCTTTATAATACTCTGAGGGAAATGTTCATTTACTGAATGTGAAAAACAAAATAACATCAAGACGAAGATAAAAGTTGATATAATTCAGTTATCAATTAACGTTGATCAAATTGTTGCAAGTTCATGATCATCAACAATCAAAATACCATTAATAATACATTTCTAATTCGCATTTTCTTCATTAGTCTCAGATTGCAATATAAACGATTGAATTAAATCAATTAACTTCGAGAGAGAGAGAGAGAGAGATTGATGATTCCAAGGACATGGTAATGAAAATACATGTGAGAACTTATCAAGAAAGTTGATCAGAATTATATCATGAAAGTCAAAGTTATCATGTATTAATATGAGAACATGATCACAATTAAGCAAATACCTAATCAGTTGAATGGAAAAGTGTAGTTGAGGAAAAATGAATTAATAGTAAATCGGGTAAATATTAATAATTGTGGAATCAAATCAATCCAATAGGTCAACAACTGGACCATTCAATTGAATTAGAGACACGATTAACCCTTGATATCGTTAAATTAAATGTCACCAAACAAGATTAACATGAAAATCAACTAACCATGATTAAAAATTACAGAATTTGTATCAATAACAATATTAACCTCTCAAGAAAAAGGATTTTAATCCAATACTAATCTTAATTGTGAGAGTTTGATCTTCACTAAAAGGAAAGGTAATTCCAGTTGATTTAATGATTATAATCAATTGGTATTAATCAACTCTTTTGATTTGAAAAACTGAACCAAATCTCAACATGATGATTTTATAATCATCATCTTCAGAACGATTATCTTAATCCAGCTTATTTTATCATCTCATTTAATACACTTTGGGATTAAGTTAAAAGACAACAAATCCTTGCGCTTTAATTTGATACAATTTAATTGTCAACAATTTAGATGATTACATTTATATGTCTTGAAGGTAATACAATTTAAGATTCTGATTCCATGGTAAAGATAAATATGAAGATAAAACTGAATTATAACTTAACAACAATTCTAATTAATGAGATGCAATGAATTTTAGATCAAAATTGTATCAAATTAAGTAATTCATCTGAGGCAATTACTTAAATTGTTGTTTAATCATCACCTTTAACACATTAGAAAATCATATTATCTCTTAATCATTAGCATCATTTTTGATTACTAACAGACTCCGAACTAAATTATGATTGTTATCCAAACATTTAACTGATTAATGTTTGGCAATTTAGTTTTCTCACTTGATTAACTTGATTATCTAATACTTTAATATTATCAATACAATTATGTTAGTTCAATGAAATATTGATTATGGCAATAAATAATTAATTGTTATTATGATCAACATTTATAATCATCATTATTTTCATCAATACGATAAATGATCATATCCAATTAAATCAATCAACTGTTGATATTAACTAAATAGCCAATAATCAATTAGTTTGATTAAAAAATTGTAAACCAATTGAAACAATTCAGAGTAGGGAAAAGTTTAAATTGTTACAATATTGTAACAATTGATTGTGATATTATCCTTTCAGTTACCCGATTAAATTGATTTCTAACAATTAAGACTTGGATTCTGGTTAAAGTTAATTTGAATCATTTAATGATTAGATTTCTCGTTGGAAAAAAAAACTAATTTAAAAGGAAAAGCTAATCTACCCTCAGGCAATCAAGAGTAACTAACATGACATTTAATATTTAGATAACGAAACTACAATTAAGTTGCTCTGATTAATTAAACACCAAAAGATGATTAACTTTTAATTACTTTCAATCAATTTCTTAAAATACTTGCCCATTGAATGATTCCAATGATTTTATTAGTTTCTCAATTTCTCACCAATTAAATCATAATAATCGGATTGATTGATTGTCGTTAATTGTGATTGTCTCTTTTATTTTTGTTTCCAATAATCAAATTAATCTCGAACTATTTTCCGGAAACAATTTCCTGATACAATCAACAAGTGACTCTATTAACTGATTTTACTTATTAATCATGTGATTGTTTCGTATTTCCAATTGTTGATTTAATCGATAAAATCTGATAATTCCAACAATTTGATAACAATTAACTGATTATTCTGATGGAAATTCTTTTTCCAATTTTCTCCATTATCATCCATCAATTCCACAACAATCAAGCTCATTCTTTACCTTATTAACCTTCCCAAGAATTAATATAAAACTCATGAATTGTGAGATAATAAAATGCTGATGATGAAGTGAATATAATCATAAATATGAATTTCATTGAACATTTTACTCTGACGAAGGTCAAGAATGAAATATATCTCTCTCACTTGGTGGATCGATTTATTGATTTTATCATTATAATTGTTACAAGTTATATATTAATAACCATCGACTGTGTTTAAATGTATTATGTTGTTAATCAGTTGATCACCAACAGAATCTAATAAATTGATTGGAAGCAAAAAAAATCAATCTCATCACATCAGAAGAGTAAAACTTTAAATCTGAACAATATTGTTTCTCATTTCATTCAAATGATTATCGATTTTGATGATAATAATCAAATTTTTCAGACTGATCATAAATTGTTATAATAAAACAACAATCATAATGATAATTTACTAACAATTTAAGTGGAAAAATCTCCAACGAAAAGTAAATATAATAATAAGTTTATCAAAATCGATCGAGTAAATATTGATACTGATTCTTTGGTATAACTATTTTCCGTTAACGATTAACAAATTTACATGGTAATTGTTACGATCTAAATTAGTAGAAATTGATTATTCCCTCGTTGATTTAGATGTAACTACAATTGGTTTAATTTAATTGTGATTCTAAATCTTATTATCAATTGTGATTAACCATTTAATCTGATTATGTTTTGTTTTTGTTTTTGTTTCCTTTTGTATTAATAATAATTGTTGTTTTTTTTTTCATTCACAGGAAAAACTGATTAACTGATTAACTGATTTACATTGATGGTGTAAAACTGAATTACTTAATGATTAATAATCAATGGGAGATTAGGAAAATGTTTCTAATTAAAATGACATTAATATTTAAATTGTGATCAAGTTTGCATGAGAAAATTTAATAACAATTTGATAATCATGACAACGAATAACAAATTAATAACAATCACAATTTTCAATGGAATCGTAATCAGTTTAATTTATTACTTTATTAATTGTAATTCAATGAGTTTAATATAATTATATAAACACAAGAACAAGATTAATATCGATCCAACAATTTAATTAACACAATCTACTTTGATTTCTGTTAATTGTTATTGGGAAAATTTTCCATTTGAAAATATATTAAATTGTAACAGTTAATAATTTTGTTTCTCTGGTCAGTTAATTAACAAATTGTATAACAAATCATTGACTTGGTTTCATCGGTAGTGATTAACTAATCAAGATAATTAAACAACAGCTTTCAATTTGATTAGATTGATTAAAAGGATCAGACATTGTGTAATTGTAATTAAGTTAACAAGTTAGTTTGATTAAATTAGTTTAATTTATCGTTCATCTGATTTAATTGTTGAGCAGGAAAAAAAAATCAATTAAAACTAAACGTTTAAAAATAATCATTGGTTTTAAATGTAAATTTAAATACAAACCAATCAACTAATTGTATCAGGTGAATTTAATTTGGACAGATTAAGTTTTTGTATAATCGATACAATTGTTAATCACTTTGAAAGTGATTAATTGTCGCAATTTAATCAACTGTAATCGCTAAATTAACCTCAAGACACTGAGAAAAGCCATTATCATGATTAAATTTAATCGTAAATAAAAAGATACAAGTTATCGTAATTGTTGTTAATTAACAAAGTAAGATTAACTTTTTTAATTGCAATTGAAAGGTCAAACTAATCATTCATAACTGTTAATATTAACAGTAAATATTAGATGATTATAATCATGATAATTGTGTTAATTGTGAGTTAAATTAATCCATTTATATAAATACTCTTCATTCATAATTAACTGATGATTAGTATTTACGTTTTGAAATTTACTCTAAATGTTGAGTTGATTTAATTAAATTAATCTACTGTAGGTTGATCCTATTCTAATCCAATGATTGCAATTTCATTATGAAAGATAATTAAAACTCAATTTTGATTGAGTTGTGATAGAGAATTGAATTTATAATTTACAAGAGTAACAATTAACACTTTGATTTATTTTAATCCAATTAACTGAATGATTTTGGATAGTCAGTGATTGTTTATTAATCAAAGTGTACAATTGTATTTATGGATTAATTAACTTTGATTGTAACCAAATTTACCTTTACTTTTGATAGTTGACATTCAAACTGGTCAGTTAACTTGATCTAATCAACTGACCTCCAACAAAACAATAAAAATGATTTAAACAGTTGGTTAATTGTCAGCATGAAACAGAAACAGAATTAACTGTTAATCTATAATCAACCATAAAACTAGAATAATTAAAGATTCAAGTTCATAAAGGTGATTGAAATTAACGAGATTCAATGAAACAATGAATGAAACAATCAACAACAATCAATTTCCATCATAAAATTGACATCGTTGATTGTGAAAATCTCACCCAATGATCAATACAAATGAATGTTGTTACAATCAATGAATCTCAAATAAAATTAACAACAAATAATCAAATTGATTGTTGATTGAAAAGGTAACTTTATTTGAAAGAGATGAAGACAAGGATGATGAGAATAGTCTGTTGACCTGGTTCGAAAAAAAAGTTCTAATAACTCGAAGATATCGATAACCTATTCTAACCTAATTCTATGCTCGAATTTGTTGATGACCTTTCAGTGTCTCGAGATTTTTTTCTGTTCGAACTGTTCAGATAACTATTGTTATCCTCTGAAATTAGATAATAATACTAATAGTTGATCACCTTTCATGATGAAATTTCGTCTTAATTACATTCAGAATGATTGAGATGAAAAAGAAGAAAAAAATTCCAAAGTAACTGTAAATTCATTTATCAACATGTTAAGTTAATCTTGTTATTCTGATGATACAATTAACTTTTAAACTTACATAATCAGCGTACAAAAAGGCGTTTAAACTGTTAACAATTAATTTATTCTCATAGAATAGTAAATTGTTGAAATACAGTCAATCGTAAAATGTTATTGTGTTTTGCTTTGCGTGATTTAAATCACGCGAATTGATTAACAATTAGTGTTTGTAACTTTCTCCTTCTAATATTTATCATAAGTTAATTGTTTGCAAATAGTGTGAAATAAATTGATCGTTTTCTTGTGATTAAATTAATTTAATTGTCATTTCTTACCTCTAATGGGATATCCATAACAACTTCATCTTGTCTTTTGTTGATTCCGTTAATTGTTGGCGATTTAACAATTAGATAATTGGGTATATTTGCTGGTGAATTAATATCATCATAATCATCATTAGTAACTGGAAGACCAGGAAGATACTGTTGATTTAGATGATTATCAAAATCATCAACAATTAAATCATAATTATTACCAATTATTGACTGTGGATGATAATTGTTACTATTAATAATTGAATCTCTATTATTTGCTAATTTCTGATGATGAAGATGATTTAAATTACGGATAACATCACGAATTGATTTCTCTTGTGATAATCTTGATTTGAATCGATTATTGTTTTGATTGGAAGGCAACGTTGAGTGTAATTCAGTCAATGAGAGGCAATCAATTAAATAACAAGATTGGCTGATAATCAACAATTGAACAATCAAGGGAACCATGAAAACAGATGAGACCAGGAAAGAAGGACAATTTAGATTACTGATAATCGACATGATCCAAGTGATCGGGTAACAATTAACTGTAAATCAAGTCTCACCATCAAAGTCAAATTAACAGAATATAATCAAAGGTAATCAATGACAATTAAATGAAGACAAGAAAAAGGTTTAAGATGAGTGACACGAACACATAAGATTTTAAACTGAGGCAAGATGAAGATAAATGTATTTAACTAATTGTAATAATATGTATTCATCTGATGAGGATGAGGATGATAATAAGGGTGAGAGAGAGTGTGAGAGAGAGAGAGAGATGGAAGATGAGAGAAGAAAAGAGAAAAATACAAACTGGTATAAAGAGAAACCAGGGAGTGAGAAGATAAAACTCACAGGGAATCAATGGAAGTGGAAGATCAGTTACCAGGGTAATGATGGAATGGAAGATGAAGATGAAGATGAAGATAATCATTCTCTCTCTCTCTCTCTTTTTCTCTTCGATTTCGCCCACACACATAAATTTTCATCTTTTGTTCATCTTCCAAAAAAGAAAGAGAAAAAAGAAAGACTAATATTGTTCATCTTCTTTTCTCTTTACTTCAGATCGATAGATGATGAAAGCTCATGCTCTGGATTCTCATTCAATTCAGTTCAATTGATTGTTGGTAGTTCGTATTATTATCAATCAACTGGGAGTTGATAATTATAATCTAATAATCAAGGTTACTTTTCGTCAGGTATTATTAGTGAGATCGCCATTGATTACTAGGCAGTAATTATTTTCTTTGCTTGCAAAATGATAACTGATAATCAAAATGTTTATCAAATATCGTTGACGTCAAAATGATACAAGTAGATGGTCATCGTGATGATTGGTTAATTGTTGGTTAGTTTTTTTGGTTATTTGTTAATTGTTTAAGCAATTGGATGAGTTTAATTTTACTGAAAATTATCAATGTTCACGTTGCTATCGATTTGGAGATTTACAACTTTTTCAATGATATAAAATTGATTTCAAATTATAAATTAAATGTTTGCAAAACTTTTTTTTTTTTGCTTCGAAAGGTTAATTGTTGGTTATGACAATGATTAATATCTCAATTACTTTTACATAAGATTAATAGATATAACGTTTGATTTTGTCATTAAAGTTGGTTGGTGATTGAGATGTAATTTGGTACCTAACATGTGATTTACCTGGGATGATGAGGATGATACGTGGATGAGTAGACCAGAAAAAATTGATTGAGAAAAAGGGAAATGTGAAAAGAGAGTAGAAGAGAAAAATGTTACAATAATTAAGGTGAAAAGATATAAGTTGAGCATTTATGAGATCGTTGAATTGTGATGTTAAATCACTGACATAGAGGTGTAGGATTGATGATAATGTTTTTGACAAATTTAAGTGAAACCAAGGAGAGTTTATCTTTTCAGGGGATAATCTCAATTCAATTGAATATTCTTGTTTTGAAGAAGATTGTAATTGATGAAAGAATTTTTTCCATAAAATAAGAAGGGTATGTAGAAAGATCTCCAAAGATTGGGTGATGATTCGTGGTCCAGTAAAAGGTCCGATCTGACTATTGACCAATTCTTAGTGTCTTTCGAGTATTGGGGTTCACGTGGCGTCGCCCGAGGTGTATCTGAGTCAATCAGGAAGACACATTTCTCTACTGGAATATAACGAGAAGGTTCCTCTCGGTTTAGGTCATTCATGTTTTCGGGTATAATTCGAGTAGATAAATGCCCTTGCTTGAAGGGTTGGGGTAGTTGACCGCGGAAATCAGATTGGATGAATTGTAATTGCCACCGGTCAGAAGAAGGTAAGAAAAAGCTACTAGGAAATCGATACCATTCCTTTCCAACACAGACATTGATTGGGATATTTTTCGTTTCTCCAAGTTGCTGATCGATTTGAGATAGATGCATAAACGTATCCATAGGTGCATGATAGCCTGTGACAGTTATAAAAGAAACAAATGATCAGTTGATTAATCTTTCAAGTCAAAGTTAATAGTGTTTTTCATGTGTCAAAAAGTTACCTTTGTAAATAGCAAGGGATCGAGAAATTGATAGAGCTGAGAAAACAAGCATGAAGATAATCACAAAGATAGAATAGATTGATGACAATTTTGGTGTCAAACTTTGAATTGCTCGATGGATAAAGTCAAAGGTGAAACCAGATAAAATAAAGATAAATGGATAGACAGGGAAGAGGAACCTTTCCTCTTTATGGGCTTGGACTGACATCAAAGTAAACCAAAGGATAAATGAAGAGAGGACAATCCAGTGAGATGAATTGACGGTGATTCGACGTGATCTTATTAGATATTTGCAAATAAGCTGAAAAACAAAGTAAAAATATTTAATTTAACGATCAATTATAAATTTAGAATTGAGCTTAACTAAATGAACATTAGAAAACCTACCATTATTGGCGCAGAAATTAGAGCAGCGATAAAGACAAAATTAAAGTTGAGCAAACAATTAAGTAAATAAAAATACCAAGGTTCAGTTCCATAGAGATTAGCTCCATGTGAGGTGAAAACATTATAAAGCACGATGTTGACTGGAGCAATTACAATTTTACCATAATAGTAAGAATCGATTGCAATCAATGGTAACTAGATTAAGGAAAAAGTGGAAATAATAAGGTATGAATTAGTTATTAATATATTTACAATATGCTACAGATAAAAATCAATAAGTCAATAACTTACGATCACAGATAGTCCAATAATTAAGCTCCATTTGATAACCTGGAATCTTTTTTTTCGAGGAACAATCAAGTCAAACGCAATAGGGAGGCTGGAAACAAGAAAATAGAATATTTAATCAACATATTCAAAATTTAATACGAATAATATAAAAGTTGAAATTTTACTAACCAAGTGATCGCTGAGAAAGGCCATCCGATGAGCGTTGTCAAAGCCATACCAAGTATCGTTATCCGGTTGTGTTGTTGTAGCCAAGCACCAAGAACAATGTAAACCATATACATTGAAAAAGTATTGGGCAGGACAGCAGTTGATGAAATGAATAATCCACTTGACAGTATCATGAAAATACAGGCAAACCGACCAACACTAGGGCCATATTGACGGATAATACCTCTGAAAATTGTACAAAAAACATATTCAGATTAGAAGAGAGCAAAGAAAAGTTGTTGTTGAGGAAGACATGGCAACCACAGAGACTATGGTGTATCTATTATGCCACCGTGTCAATTTCTAAGTGTAGAAAAACTTACTTGTAAAAATATGTTTCACAGAGAGAACAAAATAATGCAAGGAAACACCGAGTACCATAAAAGACTAGAATTTTGTTGTTTGGAAGTAAATGAGTATAAAACAATGCAGGTAGTGCATAGAACCATAAATATGCAAAGGACCGGATCGCATATATTGGTGAATATTCCCAAGTTTGGAAACCTTTACCATGGATGAGATAGTGAATTGGTTCCCAATAGTTGAAGGTTTCATCACAATCAGTGATTATACTCCAAATGGCATAACAAAGTCTCGCGGAAAGAAAAGCTTTAAAAGCTGTTGATGGTTGAAGGGTAAAAGTACCAGGCCGATTTTTCAAATGTTGTTGTTGAGGATGTTGGAGGCCTCCTCCTGGTCCATCATTTGCTCTGTAACCAAGATCAACAAGAAACATTATAAGAAAACAATTCTAAAAATAGATTTAAACAAAGGAAGAGAGAAGATTAAAAGAAAACAGAAAATGTGAGAGAAAGAAAATAACATGAAAACTCAATCTCGGTGAAAATTAAAGTGAAATAAAGGAACATTTTAAAATGAGAAGAGAAAACTGGTAACATTGATTAACATCGGTATGAATAAGCAAAATAATTCAATGGTTATGAAGAGAAAGAAACAGGATAAAAAGATGCTTACTTAGCCTTGCCTCCAATCGAACCAGATTTTACCTGTGTATTCAATTGTTGTTGATGATGTGATGATGATTGTTGCTGTTGGTGGTGATGATGAGCCTTAGAATGTCCAATTTTAGCCCCAGCTTTACGATTTCGAGCTCCCATTGAAAGATGTACCTGAAAGATGGATACGAAATGATAAGGATGAAAACACATGTAATCGAAAAACAAGGTGAAAGGATGAAGACAATCAACACATGGAAAGGTGTAATTGTCAATAATCATAATAATCATGAATATTCCATAGAATAAGCAACAAAATCAAAGAATAGAACAAAATATTGAAGCGAAAAAAAAAATCAAAGAACAAGGTACTAAATAGAAAAACAAAGAAAAAGCTCAACATTGATCAAGGAAAAAGTGTAAATATAAATTCATACTTAATGATAGTGTTCGGTTTTCCAAAATGCTGCCTCTTTGCAAGTAAATTAATTAGATAGAAAGTTGATTAAGGATAGAAAATTTTTAGAACAATCAATTAAATAATAGAAATGTTAAGAAAACAAACCGTTACTCTCAATGAAGAAAATGGTTTGAGAAAATTGAGAGAAAACATTAGTTGGTAATTTTCCACAGAGATGGCGCTTACTGTTCTTTAATTCTTTTCGAATTTCTTTTTAAAGTTAATTGTTCACAATTTAGCTGATTGTTCTTAATGTGTATTGCAATTTTGATTAAGCAATGAATCGAACATTCTGGGTTCCGATTCGTTTTGCCTGTGTCGATCAGCTAATTGATTAGAATCATACTGAACCATAACAACATTATGAACTAAATGTGATTAACTTTGATTGGGATTTTGATTTTAATAACAATTAACCCGATGCTTAAGAGAAAGTAAGTTTATCTGAAGTGTTCAAAGTGATTCGAAAATAAGTTGGTTTTGATTGGCTATGAATTTGTCAAATCGATGACCGACGATTGATATCGAAATCTGAATCATGTTAAGTGATCAACTAAATTGTTACATAAGAAAAGTTGATATTTATTCATAAATTAAGAGATGAATTTACATCTTTCATTGATTCATATCGATTAGCAAGATCATTGAGAATCTTTTTCAATAAAACTGGGTCAATATTAGAGCCCAACATATAAAGAAAAAACCAATCACCGAAACTTGATTGTTCAATGATTGTCTTAATTTTACTAATTGATAACCAAGGAAAAGCACATTTAGTAACAATAACCCAAAGAAATGGAGTTGAGATGACAATTAAATGGTAGAAAATGCTAATTGTTGAAAAAAGAGACAAAAAGAGGAGCCAAAACCAAAGAAAAACGTAAATTTTTTCATGGATCATATTCAAAGGTAACAAGCAAAGGGCATCGACTGTATCCAAACCCGCTGCGGGCCCAAAGCGTTTGAAACTGCACTTAGTGAACTTTGGGAATATCCGGTACATTGGGTCAAACCTTTGGTCATCATTTAGAAAGAAAAAGTTGACCACTTTGAAACCATATTGGAGAAATTCACCTTGAAAAAGTAAATCTAAGAAATACGATTGACCGACAATATTGACCAATGAAATTAACTCACAGAAAATAAATCTAAGAAAACAAATTGTCACAAATTAAGAGAAAATTGAAACCATCATGATTATTATTCATTGACTCACCTGATTGTGTACAAATTGTGATTACCTCGACTGTAGACCAAATAATCAACTAAAGTAGTTTGTCTTTCAATCAACTTACCAGAATAAAGAGCAAAGTTAATTGGTTTGGAAAGAGTTTCCAATTTTCCGGCTTCCCATGATTTCCAGAGCCAGTGGGGCAAATAAAAGGAAAATGCTTGAATACAGAGAATCAGGGGAACCCACTGATAGTAACCATGATACTTTAATTGTTGATTGTCTTGATTAGCATCGATTCCTGGATAAGATGCTGATGTATGATAAGTTGTGGTATTGTGTAAGTTGATTGGACCCAACAAAAAGCGTTAATTATTTGAGGTTTAATCTCAACATTAGATAAACACTGAATTGGATCACCGACAAATTGTTCAGCAGTTACGATAACACAAAAAGCGAGCAATATGATCACCGTAACGGGATAATTAAGTCTCATGACAAAATTATCAATTTTAATTTGTTTTATTTTAACTAAATTTTGTAAACCTCCAAATATCCTAATCATGATTGTTGATTGAAAATTAACAAACTGTGATCAGTTAATCAATTTAACTTTGTCAATAACAAACAAAAGAAATAATTTAAATTGACTTTTTTTGCATCAATTTTGATGATGATGATGATGATGATTGAAGATGACAATAGATTTGAATCAAATCATTTGATTGTTGACTGTTAATCTTACAAAGTTATATATGTACAAAGTATTCCTGATAATTAAAAATGCCTCTTTTAGAATCTTTATAATTATCTTTGCATTTTAAATCATTGGTTGTTTATACATACCCTTTGGATTAGGATTAGGAAATTTTGGATATTTTAAGTTGGTTAACAATTTAGACTCAATTTGATAATTTGAGGGAAATTACCAGAAAGATAAATTTGTTTTCTTTCATCAACAATAGCATAACTAAAATATTTATATAAATTTCTTCTTTATCCTTTTTGACCTTAACGGTATTTTCTTTATCCATGCAATGAATTAATCAACAGGACGATAACAAGTAAGGTCTTCGGCAACCTTTTTATCAACAACAATTAGAACTTGACAGTCACCGGAGCTCAATTTATCTCGAAGAAGCTGAATCATCTCATTTTCCTACAATGAAAGAACAAAAAAAAGAGAGAGAAAAACAAATAGTGATTAAGTTGCAATTTGCTTATTTAAGGTGGAAAAAATTGATATTTACCTGTCCCACTATTTCCGGTGAGTTTAATTTAGAATCTAAATTGTAGTATTGATCACCAACTTTTCTGAAAGCAATCCAATGTTTCTTTGAAGAAAATAGATTGGCTGGATTTAAGATTGACAACAAACTTGAGTTGCCTTGTAAATTGTCAACATTCAAAATGAATCCAAATATATGACTTAAATTGAGACAACTTGGATCCCTGGATTTTTGTTTACAATAGAAAGAGAAATAAAAAAAAATTAATTGTTACATGGAGCCTCAATGATTAATCTCGATTGTCACAATTAAGTATTTACTGACTTTCTCTGATCAAACCAAAGAGCTTCAAGACCTTTCGTCTGGAGAGCGGCCATGATAACATTGACATCATAATTTCCAAGACCCAAAAGTGCTCGATGTGGATTTAAAAAACGACTACCTGGAGCTAATCTAATAAATGGTGATAAAGAATAAATGAAAAGTAAAAAAAAAGAATAATTAATCAATGAAGAAAAAACGAAAACAGTTAAGACAATAACAAACCATTTGAAGTTTTAATTGTCACTGATTTGATAGTCTTGAGTAAGATTATCGTTGATTTTATTGTAACATTGAAAATTAATTTGTTAGTTTGATTGTTAGAATAATTATAAGAATTTTATCATCAGGAATAATATGGACTCACCTTAAACAAATTTCGTCTAAATCTTCTTGTTTAAATGAAGCAGTTTGAAGTAAATTGTTCAGAGAGTGAAGAGCACACAATTTTTTCCGTTGTTTCTCATGGTATAAATTAATTGGTGATTTGGACATTTCATCATCAGGTGGATTAGCTGATTTACAGGCGAAACATTCAATAAAAGTGGACATTTTGATAGATCAAGTTGATGTTGAAAATATGAAGATACAAAGGTAATCACAATGAAAACAAAGAAAAAGAAAAAAAGAATAGATTAAGAATAGAAGGTAAGTTATTTATCTAAAGACCGATAGTGTTTAACTGTGATATACGTTCACTCACCATAATTATGATTAACTAGATGAAAAGATTTGATGATGAGAGAGAATAAAAGAGAGAGAGAGAGAGGAGAGAGAATAAGAGAGAATGAGAAATGAAAAAAGAGAAAAATATGAAGATAAACAAAAGGTAATACACCAATTAAACGCTATTACATGTAAATAATTTTTCTTTTCATATTTTATCATCTAATTAGACACAATCATTTATAAGATAACGATAGAGAAACAATTCAATGAAAGAAGAAAAAGAGAATTGGTGGAAAACTGGTAGTCTGATAACCAGAGATTTTCTTGTTCTACATAATCACATGTGAAGTGTGAAGAATAGAATTTTTTTTTGTTCTATTCTATTGTGGTGAACATTTTCTATTCTCTTTTAAATGTATACGCATGTAAAAGGAAACTCTTTTTTTCTTCTTAGTTATCATTAACTCTCTGGGATTTAATTGTAATAATTAAGTGTATCAATGTTATACAATTGTATCAGTTGATTAGATGGATCAATTAATTTTACCTTTTCCAATGTAACGTAGTGTTAATTAGTTTATGATGTTAATGAGAGAAAGTCAATGTAAGGTAAACTCTCAGGGGCACCATGTAAACACAGATTAACAATAAATAACATTGAACACTTATCTATTTTATCATGAAAAATGATGATACTTACAATTAAAAGGTGAATCTAAATCTATTCTTAATCAATTAAATTAGATGATGATTAAAGCCCAATATCCGATGAGAGAAAACATTAAGACAAAAAAGAGTCTCAATAACATCAAACAAGAAGTAACAATTTGAATTTATAAAAACATTTCGTTGACAATCAAACGAAATGATTAACATTTATCATCGTAAACTGTGAATTGTGACTAAAAAAAGTGAAACAACAATTAAAACAAAACGAAAATCAATTAACAACAATCACTTTTCACTCGATTAATTATCCCTCTCATTTGTTTGTTTCTTTCTTTTCTCTTGGCGCCTTCGCAAAGTTTTCCCTCTTTTTCCCTCGTCAAGAGAAGGGAAAAAAAGAATAGACAGTAAATCGAAAGAGAACATCAGAGGGGAAAAAGAATAGGAGGTAACATGTTATTGTGATTCTCTTTCGTTTATTTTCATATCTTGTTGAATTCTGGTTGTTTATGTTTTCTTTTTGTTTCTCATCTTGATTTGAATTTTTCTTCTTACAATTTATTGTTGGTTAATTGTTAATTCTTTTTCTATTTGTCTTCTTGTTCGAGTCAAAATGAGTGATAATCGAGTGGAAAATGCATTGGAAATTCCATCTCTGGTCCATCGTTTATGTTCAAAATTACTTCCATGTAATTCTGGTGAGTCTAATTGTCATTTTGGTCTTTTCATTGTTTTCTCGATCATTGCTAATTTAATTTATCTCTTGTTCATTTTTATGGTCTCATCTTCTATCATCATGGATTTCGCCTTGAATTGCATCTTTAAATGTTTCCATTCCTTTGGAACCAATAGACAAGGTTTCTACAATTTATTCCACTACAATGTCACTTATTTACAATGAAAATCAAAACATGAACCTCGATGATATTGAAGAGCTTTATTTCATTATGAGAATCAAGAGATTACGTAAGTTTCTTCCATATTAAACTATCATTTACACTTTTTACTTCAGTTCTAATTACTCTTGTTTCTCACATTTCAGTTGTTCGCAATAATAAAGAAAGTGATGCTCTCAGGTTTGAAGAGCTTTATTATAAACTGAAAAGAGTTGGTACCTGTAGAAATCCTATTGCTATGGTTGTATTTTTATACGAAATGTCCACTTTAAACAAGAATAAGGATGAGAAATTGGATCTTCACGGTCAAGATATTGCAAGTATGTCCAATCGGTTTGGAGGTACTAGTAACATGGCTTTTAATAATATTCCTGGTATGATGCTGAATGGTATGAATGGTGATAACCATAGACAGCACTCTCCTATCGTCCCTATGGCACCGGATATCATGCCAATCATGGACGGTGGTAACAATTTACCAGGACATCATAATCAAGCCTCCGGTGGAGGTTATTTAAGAAACAGAACAAATAATGTTAAAGCTCAAAGACCCTTCTCCTTACAAATAGATGACAAAGACACTGGGAAAATTTATTCGGAAATTGATCTGTTTCGTGAGATACTTTTCGCCTTTCAAGGTTTAAACGGTCGTATACTAGTCCAAGATCCTGCAAACGATGGCAGGTACAAGATTAATCCTCAATATAATATCGGTATCTGTGAACGACAAATGGTCCATCGTCTTACTAACATTGGTTGGTTATTCAATAAGGTTAACAAATATTGTGAACACACCATCAAAAATGAGACACTTGGTTATGTGTGCCAAAGTTTTGCCTCAGCCTTACATGAGGAAGTCTTGAAGTTTTATCGACTTGTAACTATCATCGAGCAAGAGTTACACTTCTCAGCTATGGATCCAGATTCTGCTGCAGGTCTAACACTACTTGGATTACACGCTCGAACATATCCCACAGCATGTTTATTAAAAGTTCTCACCAATTTGATTGAAAATTGTCGCAATAAACGTGGCGGTGCCTTGATCAAAGAAGTTCACAAATATAATCAACACGGTGATCAAACCGTTCGAAGTTGTATGACACAGATTTTACGTCAAGTTGTTCTTCCAATTCGCCAAATGCTCAGCCAATGGATTTTCCATGGAGAAATAGATGATCCATATAAAGAATTTTTCATAATCGCCTCACGTCCAACATCCGAAAGTCAAGATCCAATGTGGCATGAAAAGTATCAACTTAATCGATCGATGTTTCCTGGTTTCATTGACCTCGAACAAGGGAAAAAAATTCTTGCCACAGGCAAAGCGGTTAATTTATTGAAACAAGTTTTCGAGGATACATCTTGTGTTCCTGGTTATGACATTTTAAGACGAACCTTTGAATCAACCGAAGTTGGCCTACTATTTAACGATAATCGTCGAAATGGTCAAGAAGGAGAGTTTCAAAAACTATTGACAAGAGCTTATCACGAGACCAGTAAACGAGCATTAGAATTACTTTTTGATAGCTATCATTTTATGGATCATTTGAAAGGACTTCGTAAATTCATGTTACTTGGACAAGGTGATTTTATCCGTCATCTAATGGACCTTTCGGTGAAAAAGCTTGAAGAACCTGCACAAAACTTGAAACCTCTCGAATTGAAGAGTTTACTTAACACTGCAATTCGAGCGACAAATGCTCAATTTTTAGATGAAGATGTTACCGAAAGGGTTGACGTTCGTTTCTCCGATTCTCTTCAAGAAACTGGTTGGGACATTTTCATGTTAGACTACAGGACAAGTGGACCCATTAAAATAATTCTTAACTCACAAATAATGCAAAACTATCGGTCTTTATTCAAATACTTGTGGCGCTCAAAGAGGATGGAATATGTTCTCGTTTCCTTGTGGAAGCAACAAATTATCCATGCTCGAAGTGCGAAAATAATACCCAAGTTAAGGCCCGTCTTCCATATCAGTCAAATACTCCACGCAGAGATGATGCATTTTATTCAACAAATGCAATATTATATTGAATTCGAGGTGATGGAATGTTCATGGGATGAATTAATTCGTAAAATGGAGAAAGCATCTGATATCGATCAACTAATCGAAGCTCAAGAGAAATTTCTTTCCACGGTTATATCACGATCCATGTTGGATGCTGAATCGCAAAGTTTATCTGAACAATTGCGAGCAATTTACGATATGATAATCCAATTTCAAGGCGTAGAAGAAAATCTTTTCAAAGCGATCGACAATGAGATCAGTGAAAGGTCTCATTTTGAAAAGCAACGACGATTAACCCAAGAAAATTTGGAACTTACAATTCGCAAAGATTCCGAAAGACGTAAAACTTTTGAATATCATAAAATTCCCGATTTCAAGTTGAAAATTCAACTTTTGGGTAAAACCTACGAAAGTATGGTACAGAAGTTTCTTCTTCTCCTCGCCGTTCACCAAGATGCCGATCTAAGATTTCTCAGTTTTCGACTTGACTTTAACGAACATTATGCCAGAAGAAATCCTCATCTTGAGACATCTTTCACCTATTCCAAACATCGGTCTTCCTTGGATTCTTCGATAATCCAACTTCGAAGTGTATAAAAACAAATCATGATAATCAACCAAATTCTAATAATAAAGAGAAATAATTTATTATTTTAAAAGGTAAACGAAATAAAATAAATACAAATCTCATTTGCAATCATCATTTAGACAGAATTAAACTGTAATTGCAATTAAAATGATTAACTAATCAAGGGGACCATTTATCATCGAACATTAAACCATGATTTTATCTCTCATCTTAGAATGATCTCATTTACTTATCATTCAACATATCTTATGGATATGATAGAAACATTATCGATACATTCCAACTCATATAAGATCAACTGAACAGATTACCCATGAAAACTAGACAACACATACAAATAAAAAGAATATAAAATGGTGTGAAATTGAGTATATTCTGAGTATTTGATTTCTGAGTATTTGATTTCTGAGTATTATATATGAGAGAGAAAAGAAATTAAAAATAGAGCAGTAGAACACATTTCAGGTATCCAAAGGCTTCTTGTATGACGGGCATCCCAAAATATGAGTTTACTACATTAAGGAACAACTTATAAATCCCGATGGTATTTTGATAAGGGGCCTCCTGAAAACAACCTCAGTTCCATGAGTATAGAATTGGTGTAATTGATCCTGTAGTGTCAAAATAAAACGGAAAATTAATATTTAGTACATTACGAACTTACCTGAAGATACGAAAAAAATAATTTCCGTTTCCTTGGGGATCAAATATCGAGAAAATATCGTTACCAGGTGAGAATCAATTCCATGAATCAAATACCCGGAACCGAATCGAAAACGAGAAAAATAAAATAAACAAAAGAAAATGTCATAATTTCTAAACGAAAAAGAGCAACAAATCGATGAGAATTTTTCTCTCTTAACTCTTTTACCTTCAACTCCAATGATTGGTGACAATTAGAAAACAATTAATTAATTTTTTGCCGAATTTATAATCGTTGATGATACGAACGCCATCTGACGAATTTGAATGCAACCGATTTTACTTGTTTTCTCCCAATAAAGTGAATCAACTTCATTTGGATTCGGTTCTTAACCCGAATGAGTAAACGGATCCGTGTCAGTGACCCGGATTCTGTTGACTTTTAACTCTCAATTTTAAAAGACAAAATTGTTCTTAATTATTGTTACCTTGATTAATTTGTTCCTCTGTTTATGGTGATTAATTTATTTATTTTATTCTTCATCTTCTAACCTTCCTGTTACTCTGTATTTTCTGTTCATTCGGATCCATGAAAAGTTAAAGGTAAGCTTTTTATTTCTATTCTATTCTCTTTTATTTTCTCTTTCACTTTTTTTCTTCTTCTCGTTTTGTTGTTTTTCTTTGCTGAGATGGCTTAGTAAGTGCAACCTTTTTCTTTCACTTCTCTTTCTATCTTTCTGTCTATCTCTTTCTGATCTGTTCTATTTCTCTTTCTTTCTTTTTTTTCTGTCTGTTTTTTATTTCTTTCTTTTTCTCTCTGTCTTTTTCTTCTCATATCTTCTGGTAAAGAACAAGTTACAGTTGATTAGAAACCTGAAGTGTTATTTTTCTGTTGTTTAAAAAGGTAAAGTAAAATGGCCGGTCAACTTTGCTTCTATTTGGATACTTTCTTTCTCTTGAATTAGTTTAATTACTGTAAATTAGTCTACCCTTTGTTAGTCCTTTTGTTTTATTTTGTTACATTTGATTTATCTACCATTTTGTCGTTGACACCCTTATCTAATATTTAGCTTCTCATTTTTCAGTTCATTCAATTCATTTTTCTCATAACATACAAGTGTCATTCACTTCTCACTTCTCACTTATCTCTTTCTCTTTCTACATTTTCTTCTATTGTATTTTCTTCTCTGTTTTTTTTTCTCTTCAAATCAATCATCTCTAACACTTTCGTTTCTCTACTTTTTTTCTCTACCATCAAGACAATGACGCTATTATGAGTGAAAAAGAAAATGAAGCTAAAAAGATTAAACTTGATTCCACTGGTATTGGTTTGATAGGATCATCCGACTCTAACGGACCTAGAATGTTGAACGATTCTACATCCAATTGTCCATCTCCTTCACCATCCAGAGTGGTTCACATTCGTAATGTGCCCATGGAAGCAACCGAAAACGATGTTCTCAGTATTGGAACCCCTTTTGGTGAGATAACCAATGTTTTACTGATGAGAGGAAAAGGTCAAGCTTTCCTTGAGTTTGTTGACTCATTCTCAGCTCAACAAATGGTTAACTGTTGGTCGGACCCTAACAACTCACCAATGCAACTTAGTATTCGAGGTAGACAAGTATGTGTCCAATTTTCAAAGCACAAAGAACTTAAAAAATCTCTTCTTGGACCTAGTAGTGCTGGATCAGATAGTAGCTATCAAAGTATCTCTCCTACAAATAGTAGACATATGAGTAGCAATGGTGATTCTGTTGGAGCGAGTTCAGTTTTCTCTAATCCAAATCATCCACTTAGTGGATCTAAACATCTTTGCTCCATTTGTGGTGATCGAGCTTCTGGTAAACATTATGGTGTTTACAGGTATTTAAATGTGTCTATTTTTATCTCTTTATTTGTTCCAATTTTCCTTGAAAATTTCCTTTTTCTTCTTCTACTTTATTTCTATTTGTTCTTGCTCCATCACTTATCTCGCTTTACTCATTGTTATTTTTTCTTTCTCTAAATAGTTGTGAAGGTTGCAAAGGATTCTTCAAAAGGACCGTGCGAAAAGATTTAACCTATGCTTGTCGTGAAGAACGAGATTGTATTATAGATAGACGACAAAGGAATAGGTGTCAATATTGTAGATACCAGAAATGTCTTACCATGGGCATGAAAAGAGAAGGTAATTATTATAATTACTTGTGATTTATAAGATTTTTTAGCAATCAATGATTTACTAATTTCAATTTTCTATTTCTTCTATTTAAAGCTGTACAAGAAGAAAGACAAAGAAACAAAGAAAAAAATGAGAACGAAGTTGAAAGCACTAGTAATTCTCAGAATGATATGCCTGTTGAAAGAATACTGGAAGCTGAATTACGAGTAGAACCCAAAAATGAAGATCTTGACTCTCACGATGCAGTTAATAACATTTGTCAAGCTGCCGATCGTCAACTTTACCAGTTAATTGAATGGGCTAAACATATTCCACATTTTAGTGAGCTACATGTTGATGATCAAGTCATCTTGTTGAAATCTGGATGGAATGAACTTCTAATTGCTGGATTTTCTCATCGTTCTATGAATGTGAAAGATGGAATAGTTTTAGCCACCGGTCTAATTGTCCATCGAAACAGTGCTCACCAAGCAGGCGTTGGTGCTATTTTTGACAGAGTATTAACTGAATTAGTAGCTAAAATGAGAGAAATGAAAATGGACAAAACGGAACTCGGATGTTTACGCTCTATCGTTTTATACAATCCTGAAGCTAAAGGACTAAAATCAACCTCCCAAGTTGAAAATCTACGTGATAAGGTTTACGTAATACTGGAAGAGCATTGTAAACAAACTTATCCTGATCAGTCAGGACGTTTTGCTAAATTACTTTTACGATTACCTGCTTTACGATCAATTGGTTTAAAGTGTTTGGAACATTTATTTTTCTTCAAACTGGTTGGAAATACATCCATTGACAGTTTCTTGTTGTCCATGTTAGAATCTAATTCAGACTCTTAAGTTTGAAAACAAAACAAATCAAATATTAATATCACACACTCAGAGAGAAGGAAATTTGATGGTTATAGTTAAACAATTACAACAATCATGAAAATTTAAGTTTCTGAAACAAATTTTTCTCCCCCTGTTATCAAGTATATTTACATCTTCTATTTAATCTTATACAAAATTTAGTGAACTGTTTTAAAGACAAACAAAATCAAATCTGTTAATCAAACTGTTTAGTGATCAATGTGTGTGAAAGAGACAAAGTAATTTATTATTCGGAGACACACACAAACTTATCAACCCAAAAAAATTAGAAATAAGTTTGTATTCTTATGACAAGATTCTAGTTTTTTTCTTCTGATTAATATTTTGATTGAGGTTATAATCTGTTGAAACAGTTTGTTGCAAAAGCAAAAAAAAAAGATGAAGAGAAAACTTAATTTTCATGATTGTTATCCTCATATATCCCCCCCAATAGTTAATCCAATTAATCAATTCACTAACAAATCAATAATCTGAAACGTTATTTAAATGATCACTTCGATGAAAAACACGAATGAGAATACCAGCTTGATCCTGCCTAACCTTTTCATCATCTCTCTCTCTCTCTCTTTTTCTTAATCTCTTTCCCTTTAATCTATTTTCAATTTCACCCAATTACCTTGATAATTTTCCCATTTCCATTTCCTTTTCCTTTTTCCTATTCTCTCATCCACCATGTATACAAATACCAATATCAACAATCCTTTTGCTATCTCTCTATTTCTCCTTCTCTTTAAATTCAACTGATTGGAATTTTGAACCAACCATCATTTTTTTGTCACCATCATCACACACCATCAACCATCATCATTATCATCATCATCATTTCCACAAGGAATTAATTCATTTTCATCATCATTCCCAGAGACAAAACAAAACACTCATCATCTTCAAAGATAAACATTTGTTGGACTCAGTGACCATTTTTTTTTGTTTGCTTATTATATTACCTCATTATTTTGAAACCAAAAGATAATTACAACTATAAAGTTGTCAAGCATCTGAAAGCTTGAGCATTTATTTAAGGGTATTATTATTGATTGTAAACGAAATCCCTAATTACAAACAATTAAATACAATAATGAAGGCAATACAATCAATTCCAATTGTTTCAATTTTTCGTCTCCAATTGTTGTCTTTTAACACCTTCCCTATCCAATCAACATAATACATCATCAATCTCTCCAAAGCAACAACCCGCAATCGCTGTTTAACAATTTGCACAATTGTTTGTAAAGAAAAATTAATCTCCTTCCAAATGTTTAATTAATTGCGAAAATCAAATATTCTAATTGCATGTAAGTTTTTTTTTTCCCTCCCCAATGTTGTCATTTAATCTTCAACCTGTTAATCGTTTTTCTAATTATCAATTGTTTAACATTTACTCTTTCATCAAATTGTAATCCAAGTAAATTGTAAATGTTTCATAATAAATTGTTTCTATTTGGGCTATTCAGTGATAACAATTAAATTGTTACAATTAAAACTCGAATTGTGAGCGAGCGCCATCTCTTGGCAGAGAATGAAACTAATGAGCTCAATTAGAATGAAAGAGAAAAAGAAAGAAAAATTTTTCGATTGACCATCAGCGCCTCTACCCGAGGAAGAAGAAGTAATTTAATTTTTCTTTGTCAAGTTTAGTCTCTTTTCTTGGTTTCTTTGTGTCAACGTGTAAAAAACTGGAATAATGGACAATCCAACTGTGAGAGTTCTTCATATGACCGCGGAAACAATCCCTATGGAGCTACTAATTGTAAAACAGATGATAGACATGAAATGGACAAATGGATTGAAACTACAGGCAATGGTCAGGAAAATCTGTGACGCTAGGAATGGCTTTAAAGTGTATCATGGCGCCGAGTGTGCTAAGTTACTACTTCCATCCAAATATCAAATAGCAGACGTGATTGGAGACCTGAAGAGAATTCGAGGTGCGGTATTTCACTTAACGACAAAATCAAAGCCTCTCATAAAAATGGTTATGAGAAGGCAAGGTAACTTTGACCCGGCCCAGCTAATAGTCATGCTTAAAAAAGAGAATCATTGGCTTGACTCGGATAGCGTGATAAAACACATCTTCTCAGGCAATGAAGTTACTTCGGTAATAATTGAAGTAAACTCAGAGGTAAGAAAACAACTTGACCAATACCTGCCGGAGATATGCCTGGAGGGAAGAAGATGGCCGATATCTGACCACTTTAGGATAAGGATATGCGAAATATGCTCTAGATACAATCACAGCAAAAGTAATTGCAACAATAAAACCAAGTGCTGCTATTGTAATGAGAACCATTACTACGGAAAATGCAATAAGAGAAGCAATAAAGATTTATGGTTATGCCCGTCTTGCAATGAGAAAGGACACTCGATCTTTTGGTTTTATTGCCCGAATTTTCAAAAAGAAATGCTGAATAGAATGAGCAGAATCGATCATCAATATGTGAAAGTGTTTGTGGAAGAACGCAACCTAAAATAACGGATATAAACAACTTAAAAAGAATAAACAACTCATAAACGAAACAACTTTGCTTGTGACAACAACTTAAATACAACCAACCTTCTATTGTGACACTACTAATCCTGAAACCCTTTCCTTTCTTAACCCAAAAGTTTACACATAAGCTCCTTTAACCCTCCTCATCTTATTTAGAGCAAATCAAGTTGTCGAGATAAACAATGTCTTCATCCAAACGTCTAAAACGTAACGTCGAGTCTATGGAGGGCTGTGACAGCAACTCACAAGAGGACATCGATCTAGCAACTATTATCAAGTTCATTGAAGAGATGAAAAAATCAAAAATGATAATTGCCGAACAACTCACGATTGAGGAAGTGAACAGGTACAAAGAGATCTTGACTGATTCCTACAAGCGCTCTGGTGACGGACTTCTTTTAACCTACATCCAACTTCTCGAGAATGACAAAGTAACAACGGAGACTTCAGCCCTGAAAAATCAGATAGTAGGAGAGAAAAGAAGTGAGGTAAACATCAGATATAATAACAAATGGAGAAAACCGTTGAATTGGATTAACGTTGAGGATGTTCAACAGCACCCTATCCTGCTAGTTTACACTTTCGATGAAGAATGCCTGGAGACCGGTTTGACGACCAAATTGCGATTAAAGAAATTTCTGATTCAATCGGAAATACAGGTAAAGGACATCTTGGAAATTGCTCCGGCCAAAAACTGCTGCAAAATAGCATTTGCAACTTTGCACTCGAGAGACAGATTGGAAGAAGTTCTGCGAAATCAACAATGGGGTGAAAGAATTAAAATAGAAACAAAGAAACCTATTCTGACAGACCCGTGTATCTCCTTTGAAATTGATATGTTAGAAAATGCTGAAACTTTTGATTGGAACAATTGGACTATGAACCTCATCAAGTGGAATGAATGGCCAAAAGACTCGAAAATTAAGCTCATCCACTCCAGAGTTACCAACAATAAGGCCAGGGTCATTATTCAGATTGAATCCAGAATAAGAACCGAACTGGAAAACGTACCGCAAAAAGGAACAGTCTCAATTGCGTGGGGTCGTGTGCCATTTAATGACAACATGGGTATAAATCTATGCAGGAATTGCTTCAGGTACGGTCATAAGTCGACCAACTGTAAAGCACTTATACAATGCAAATACTGTGCCCGCACTCACAAATCAACGACGTGTGACAAAAAATCCAAACCAGATGAGTGGAAATGTAACCCGTGCGGTTCCTCAGGACACATGTCAAATTCCTTTGAATGCCCCCAATTCAAAAAACAACTGGAGATTGAGCTGAACAAGATCAACCATTCTTACGTACATGTAATTGTAAACATTGAGGAATGAACATGACAATAGATGTCACCACATACTAATGGAAAGCTTTGTTTATCTATCACAACAAAATTGCTTTTTTTATCAATTCCTAAATACCTTTCTTTTTCTGTGTGTGTAAAATCAACCTAATTTTTTTCTTTTTTCCCTAAACCAATTTAAAAATAAACGTAAGCTTGTTCATCTGAATTGAATTAAAAGAACTAAAATGGAAATTGTGAAGTGTGAATTCATTCCCAAATTGTTAATACCAAAAGAAAAAAATTTGTCCTCTTTGGAAAAGACAAAAGCATCACTTCTGGATGGGAAAGAATCTGGAGAAGCTATCATTTATGTCTACTGTGAAGAACCTATGGTAATGTCAAAAAATAACCTGAAAATGATGATGTGGAAACTCAATTCACTCGATGAAAAAAGTATTAAAGATGTAGAGATACTAAAAGAAGGTAAGATAAATATACTCTTCATCAAACTGACCATGGATGCGAGAAACATTTTGGCTGAAAATCAGGACCTTTTTGTGCATGTAAACGAGCAAATGCTACCAGCCTTTGACCTGGTCAATAAGGAATTAAAATCCCTGATGGGTCAGCTCTTCATAGAGAAGAAAAATAAAAGATTGGTAAGCGGCCTTGTGAAGGAATGCATTGGGATCAAATTTCGTTTATATGTGGAAGAACTGGAGAGCAAAGAAGAAGCCTCAGGCCTCTTTGTCTTTGAGCAAGTAAACAAAGGGGGAGTTTGTGCATATCGATACTCGATTTCGATGTAACAATCGATAATCGGAACTCATGTGAACACCTAATCGATTTAATTTACACCTCGTGTTCACCAACACTACTATCAACCCAACAACCTTTTCTTCCTAATGACCCACTCCCATGACCTCTAAACAAGTACATCTGAACTTAAATAATTAACGACCCCTATAAAGTAAGTAACTTGACCTCTTCCAATCTTTGGAAACAATAACATGTTTTATGACCATTGGTAATAAAATGAAAACAATCTTTATTATCACATTAACCTCTCCTTGTTCTTGATCTCTTCCTTATCCCATACAGCAACATACATTATCAATTAGAAATCTTTAAAATATGAATGTGACCCCGAGAGCCTGCGATATCCCAAAAGCTGTTATTGGTAATCGTTTTGTTGAAACTGTTCCCTTTGTCCAACTATCGATGGCGGAAATTATATGTGGTTCTCCCCAACAGGCAGTGCAAATTGAGAAACATTTAAGAGCTGAAGAAGCCATTTCAATTTGGGCTATCAAAGAATCAATTGAAAGAAATGAAGCGGTGATATGCCTAAATATAAAGAGAAGATTCCTGAGTGAAATGAGAATGGAACTTTTGGGAAAGAGCTGGTGGAAACCTACGATGGCTTTTCGTTTAACAACAAGTGACCCACCGAAGTTTGTAATGATACACAACCTACTTGAAACCAATGCGATAGGTCCCCATGAAGATCTTCTGAAGGAAGCGGACTTTGACTTTAGAAATATAGAAATTGTTAATGTCTACAAGACAGTCGATGGCCTCTCCCAAGTTACCTTCACCTTCGATAACATAGACGCGATGAAAGAAAAGAATTGGACCCTTAACATTAGAGGAATGATCTTCTATGTGGCCGATTCAACGAATGTTGAACAATGCTCTCTGTGCTTCAAACTGATGACAAGCAACAACTTTAAACGCCATTACAACTGTGGACCCCAAAAATGCTCGGTTTGTTTGGAGCCAGATTGTCCATACAAGGATAGATGTAGAAACGCGCCAATTTGTGCACTTTGCCTCTCGCTAAATCGAAATGATTTATTACATCCTGTAAACAGCTACCCACTGTGCCAACCGATGATGAAACTACTACAAATGGGCTTGGCTAACGTTGAGCATGACTATGAGGAGAAGATAAGAATCTCAACTGTTTCTCCAGTAATGTACAACTGCGTCAATAGACCATCATAAATCAGAGGGAACCATAAAAGATCTTGGTTCCGAGCAAAGTTCATTCTTTATTACTCACTCCTTATTACTCACTTCTTATTGTGCACTTAACCATTATAACAATCTCTCTCTCACAAATATTCCTTCATTCACTCTCTTTCTCTTATACTTGTTACATCAAAATGTTTTACTCGTCAAGTGACATTACCTTCTCAATTGAAGACGAAGCTATGCTAATGGTGGAGCTTCGAGGCCCCATGGACGCTTTCACTGAACAGTTGGATTCCAAGGGGATATGGACGAGAAAAGACGATGGTTTTATTAGTCTAATCTTTGGCCTCGGTTACTCGATCGATGTCACTCTAGTGCTAATGGACCAGATAAGTGATCTGCTTGGCAAGGGCTTCCAACTGACAATCTTCAACTGGAAAAAAGTGGAAATTGACCTCCTGGCCCTAGACTTCAACTACTTGTCAATGATAATTGATAATTTTGTAATGCTTAAAAAGCAAAACAAGAGAATAATCTTTGTTAAAAGCGAAGAAGATTGTAAAGCCATTGACGAAGCAACAAAAGCCTCAACAAAATCAGAATAACAATAAACAGTTTCTTCCCTCAGCTTAAAACATAACTGTCTCATTTCTTTTTTCTTATCTCTCAATTGAAGTTGTGTGAACAAATAACAATAACGTTGAGTTGAACTATCTCTTTAATAGTGAAAACCATGGATATTAATATTATTTGTGTAAACTTGGGAAGAAAAACTAAGACGAACCAGATCATCGAAAAACTAAGAGACACAGGATCCATTGTAATTGCTTGTGAAGATGGTGACAACGACCCGTTAGCAGGAAAAATCATGGCAGACCAACTGTCACTCACACTTCCGAAAGATTGGTTCGTCCTGAAGAAATTTCTTATCCATCAACGCATCATCGCGACCATCGTAAAGAAAGGAAACTGTGTGATTATGATTATTGGTGTGTATAGATCACCATACAGTGACATTGTCTGTAAAAGATTAAAAGAATTAGTAGACGAATTGGACTTGAAGCTGCCTACCTTCATAGTTGGGGATGTCAACATTGAATGTGGGATATGGTGCAAAATTCCGAGGAAAGATAATGGAATCTCAAGAGATCTGGTGAAAGAACTAGAAGCAGTGCTCAAAGAGAAGGGAATGGTGTCGCTGATGAAAAATGACACACCAACGAGGAAAAATAACAATGGTGGATCTTCAATCGATATAATTTTAACCAATGCGAGAATACTTAGCAACAAATGCTTCTATGTTGAATCAAATCTACTAGATCACAAGATAATTGGTACGAGTGTTAAAATCAGATACAATATTTTCAAGATGAACCCCTTTAACAGGAAAATTCCGGTATACAACCAAACTTTAATCCCTACACTGATGACAGATCAAATGGTATGCAACATTATGAAATTGGCAAGACCCGTGGGTAGCAAAAAGATCACCAACTTAAACAGAAGATCAAAACGATTGAAGAAGAGATTAAACAATACCACTGGCCCCTGTCGAAAAATGATAATCGAGAGTCTAAAAGGAAGTATAAATAAGTCTAAAGACATTAAGTATCACCAAATGTCAGGGAAGAGACTGATTGAAGTAATTGGCGAAATGAAGATAACTGAGAGAATAGAAATCGAACCTGCAATAAGCAAGAAGATGTGGTTAATTGGGGAAACTAAGACCATAGACCCTGTGAGACAAAACTTCTTCCCTTCGAATACTGGTTTAAGAAACGATGAACGCAAACTTCTAGAAAATCATCCTTTCAAGAAAAGCTCTGGATGGGCCGATGGTTTTACAGTTAAGCGATGGAATCAAGTATGGCAACTACATAAAGAGACTATAATCTGGACGATTGACAACATTCTTAAAGAAGGAAAAATACCATGTCAATTACTGATAAGTGGTGGAACCAAATTGCCAAAACCCGCTGGTGGCCACAGGCTAATAAGGACGCAATCATTTGTCGGAAAGCTTGTAGATATCGTTTTGACCAAGCGACTAAAAGAATGGGCGATAAACCAAATTGATACTGACCTTCAATTTGCATATCTGCATAGGGATAGAATGGACATGATGATCAACATCTATGAATCCAAAGATGAATACAACGAATGCCTTGCAGTCGATCTCTCAAAAGCATTTGATAAGATCAGTAGAAAGGCGATCTTCGAACGATTGGATAGAATGGAGGATAGAAACACCAGACAGCTTATTATCAACTTTGCGAGTAATAGGAAAGTGAGGACAATGGATGGAGGCAATATAACTGTTCAAGATGACCCTGAGGGACTACAAGGTTTTGGCCTCGGCCCTGTGCTTTTTATTCTTGGAATGGATGAAATGCTGCGTTGGTTGAACCGTAAACCATATGAAAAACGGGTCTGGGCTTTCGCTGACGATATAATAATAGTAACCAATGATGCACGATCAGCAATAGAGGAAGTGAAGTCGGCGATGAATATGATCAATCTTGACATAAATGAGAAGAAAACGAAACGTATACGAACTGGGACAAAATGGTGGAAAAACATTGTTCTAGGCTATGAAATGGTTCACAAAAAAAGTGAGAGTCTGGTCATAAATGAATGTGTTGGAAGAAGCAAATTAAATTCGATACAATTAGGGTTATTCAAGAAAGTCAGAGTGGGACAAATGAGACTACTCTATAACACTTACCTCTCTCACCTTATGGATCATATTGGCCTGGCCCCTTGGTTGAATAACCAACTCTTCGTGTATCAAATGGAACGGTTATTGAAAATTGGCAGACAGATAACCAACCGGCTGACGACAAAATGCAAACTCTCGATAGGATGGTTCGAGTTTGTGCATGGACTGCCGAATCCAGCCATAAAATATATGGTAAATGTCATATACAAGCTGCTTGAGAATGAGGCGGATGAAGAATCGTTCCCCGTGTTGAAAATGTTCGAAGATCTGAAAAGAAAAACATATTGGGATAAGAATGACAAACTTAGCGATAAAATCAATGTGATAAGACCAGGTCTGGTGGTACTGAGGAGGACGTATGATGGAATCTGCGTCGAGGATAACATAGAACACAGACACTGGTATCTAAAAGATGAAGAGATAAAGATATGTAGCTACAATAACGAAAGACTATGTCATCGTCTCATCCTTGAGGATGTTATAAACAGAGGGAAAATGATTGTTGGGCTCAAAATGCATCCGAGTAACGAAAAACTCTTATATCAACTCACTGCTGATAAAGGGATCGATGTGTGTATAGTAACAGCGGAAAAATGCAGTGAGAATATCGATTCTGAGCCATGTGGACCGCTGGTGAATCAAAAACAAATGAAAAGAATTATAAGAGAAAGAATTAACAAAATAGAAGAAGAATTATTCATAAAAGATAGAAACATATGCAACTTAATATTCAGACCAGGTAACAAGACTCTACAGCATGAGAACCGTTTCTTCTCCTCGAAACTGATGAAAGAGTTAGTGTATATTAGAATTTATGCATGGCAACTGAAGCACAGATGCAAGACACCAATGACGATTAATCACTTAAAAAAGTGCGATGATTGGACGCCAAGGGGTGGTTGGATAATAATGAAAAACAAAGAGAAAACCATCAAGGACTGTATAACGAGAATATACAATGAACTGGCTCGAGAAGCCGACAAATATGCTCGCCGGAGATACACTGTATCGACTCCCAATGAGGGAGCCGCGGATAGCGGGAGCAGCTGTTAACTCAGCGCGACTCAAAGAGTTGCTTTTAGTAGATTCACTTGGTTTCTTTTGGTCCTTGGTTTGTATATGAACAAACCGCAGCGGTTTCCGTATCCGGTGTATGATTTCAGTTTTTTATCTTCATCTCTCATATTTTCTCATGTTTGTCTTCATCCTTTTATCAAATTAATCATCACATCCATCATCATTTATCTGTTTTTTCTTTCTCTTTTTCTTTAGGGTGAAGTAAATTGTGTCTTGTGAAACAAAAGAAAAGCGAATCTTCCAATTTCCTCTCATGTTTGTCTAGTTTTTGTATTTATTTTTATTTTCTTTTTTTTTTGATTGAACGTCGATAATCAAACGTGCAACCTTCGTGTATGGTTCGAGCTTTGGACATCGATGTCAATTAAACGAGGTTCTGAAGATCTTCTCCACCCTGACAATGACGTTATTATGAGTGAAAAAGAAAATGAAGCAAAGAAGCTTAAAATTGAATCGTCTGGTGTTGGTACAATAGGATCATCTGAATCTAACGGCTCTAAAATGTTAAACGACTCTTCATCTAATTGTCCCTCTCCTTCCCCATCTCGTGTGGTACATATTCGTAATGTGCCCATGGAAGCAACCGAAAACGATGTTCTCAGTATTGGAACCCCTTTTGGTAAAATAACCAATGTTCTCCTTTTAAGAGGAAAAGGTCAAGCTTTCCTTGAGTTTGTTGACTCATTCTCAGCTCAACAAATGGTTAACTATTGGGCTGACCCTAATAACCTACCAATTCAACCTTGTATCCGTGGTCGACAAGTATATGTCCAATTTTCTAACCACAAAGAACTTAAAAAATCACTTCTTGGACCCAATGCTGATGGCAGCTATCAAAGTACCTCACCTCCAAATAGTAAAAACAACAGCAGTAATGGAGACTCCTTGGGAGCCAGTACAGTTTTAAGAGTCATTGTAGACAATATTGTTTACCCTGTTAGCTTGGACACCTTTTATCAAATATTTTCACGCTTCGGAAAAGTGACCAAAATTGTAACTTTCACCAAAAATGCCACATTCCAAGCCTTGATACAATACGAATCAAGTTTCAATGCGTCAACAGCTAAACAAGCCTTAGATGGTCAACAAATGTTCTCATCTGGAAATGTGCTACGAATTGAGTTCTCCAAATTATCAAACATTAACGTGAAATATAACAATGACAAAAGTCGAGATTTCACTAACCCTCTCTTACCTCCTGGTTAGTTAACCTTTTCACTATTTCTCTTTTAGGAGAAAAATGTTCTCCTTTCAAATATGTTTACCTATACTCTTTTGACTGTTTTATTTTCTAAATATTTCAACTTATGCTTCTCTTCCCTCTATTATTCTCACAGGGGGATCTCTCCCTGGTTCCATGGCTGTCAATCCATCTCATGCCTTTTCAACTTTATCCTCACCAGGACTTCATGGAATGGGTAGTGTTCTGTTAGCTTCAAATCTCAATGAACAGGTAAGTTATCATTCACTCATGTTAACAGTTTGTTTCTAGTGAGAGATAAGCAAAAAACGATTAAATGTAAGAGATTATCTTTTAATTAGTTTCCATCAGGCTTTCGTTGATATTTCATAGTCGACAGTTTTTAGGTCAGAGAAATTTAGATGTTAGAGATTAGAAATTAGACTTGTTGAGTAAGACATTAAGACGGGACAGAGATATAGTTTGTACATTCAATATAAAGTTCGACTAGGATTCCCCCGCCCTTTACCTTTGCTTCACTTTTCAACCATTTTTTTGTTTTCTTTTCATCTCTTATGTTTTCCCTCTTATTTCTTCTCTTACTTTTGTTCTTTCTCTTTTTTCTCTCAATCTCTGTCTCTTTCTTTACTCTTTCTTTCTCTCTATCATTTTCATCTTTCCTCTTTTCTCTCTTGTGATCTCTCTCTCTCTCTCTTTTATCGCTCAGATAATATTTATGTTTTCAACTTCACTCTCTTACTTTTCCTATTACTTTTTACTATCTCTTTCTCTTTTCTTTCTCTTTACTATACACTCTTTTTCTTCTCTTTCTCTTTCTCTTTCTTTCTTTCCATGTTCTTTCCTGATCCTTGCGACAAATATACATTTATCAAAAAAATATCATGTCTTGACCCTCCACCATGTTGTATATCCTATCATTAAAATCCCAACACACGAAATCAACTTTAAAATAATTTCTATGACTAGATGGTCACTCCAGACGCTATTTTCACTCTTTTTGGTATGTTTCTTTCTATTTCATATTCACAACTTTATTTTCTTTTTTTTTCATCTTAAACGATCTCAAAAATAAAACCGAATCCTACTTTCCCCTAATCCAAAATTAATACCCTTCACTATCCTTTTATCGCTCATCTTTTACATCATCTTCATCGTTGTCTTCTCAGGTTAGACTTTAGAGCTATCTTGAGAATGACTTACTCCTTTTCTGGCGATTTTATGATATGATAATCTATTGAGGCTCCCTCACCTTTCATATTTCTATTAATCTTGAAAATATCTTTAATCTCAATATTTTCTTCCCATTTCTACGTCTTCTGTTTTTTCGTTCAATTTTTATATTCGTTAGGTGTGTATGGTGACGTCATGAGAGTAAAAATTCTATTTCACAAAAAGGATAATGCTCTTATTCAAATGAGTGAACCTCAACAAGCTCAATTGGGTAAGTTTATTGAAGAATCGTCAGCAATAACTCTGTTTTTTAATCATCTTCTCTTTCTTCCTCTCGACCGTTATAGCAATGACTTACCTTGATAAAGTTAAACTCTTTGGCAAGCCCATGAAAATTTCAGCATCTAAATATTCATGTGTTCAAACGCCTAAAGAAGGTCAACCTGACTCTGGTTTCACAAAGGATTTTACAAATTCTACTCTTCACCGATTCAAGAAACCTGGTTCCCGAAATTATCAGAACATTTATCCACCCAGTTCAACGCTTCACCTTTCTAACATTCCTTCATCAGCGAACGAAGAAGATATTCGAGAAGCGTTTGAGCAAATAGCTGGCGTCCAAGTGGTCAACTTTAAATTCTTCCCGAAAGATAGAAAAATGGCCTTGACTCAATTAGCATCTGCTGAAGATGCAGTCCACGCATTGATTAAAATGCACAATTATCAACTGTCTGAAGCGAGCCATTTACGAGTATCTTTCTCCAAATCATCCATATAATCAATGGCTATGAGGGTTTCTATCACTATATAATCACACATATTTATCATCTCATCTCTCCTTTCCTCCTCTCATTTTGCCGTGTATATGAATCCCGTACAACAAAGGCAAGTGATTCGGTGGTATGGCGATGGTAGCTGAACCTGGAGCTAATATCATCAAAGGAAATACAAGAACGAGACTCTTTAGGAATCCAAATTATCATCGGACGTGGACCTTATTCATAAGGATAAATATTAACTTCTAATTTTTTGAGAAAAGCTGATATTAAATTGGTTATTTAAAAGGCTCCTGTATCTTTCGTCCTTTCATCACATTTATCTTCATCTTACTCTTTCACATCTTAAAGCTCTAAAGGATCAAACAACAAAAAAGCAAAATCACAAAAATGCAACTTCTATTTAAGATCTTACATTACTTAACATTTTTTCTTTTCTTTTTTTCTCTTCCTTTATCTTTTCACTTTTTTCCTTTCTCTCTTTATCTTTCACATACTTTTCGCAATCTATTCAGTGTATATCTTCTCAATCTTATTAAACTTTGCTTCTTCCTTCATAACAGTTTGAATAATTTTTATTTAGAAATTGATTCACGCGAATTTCGATATTCGAAATGCTGATTAGATGCTCGATTGGTAGAAAAAATGTTCTCTTATACTTCCATTAATCTAGTGGAAAGTTTTACTCTGTTCCAAGCAAATGAGCTGAACTTTCTTACCATTAATTAAGCTCAACATTAGAATTTGAATGATTATTTTATCTAAACATGAAAGTCTCTTGTTTCGTTCACTAATCAACTCTTGCGAATGGAAATTATTTCGGTCCTCAATATTTAGTCTCTTGAAATGGGATCAACTTTTGATCAATAAAATTAGGGAACAACCTACACTCACAATTAGTGGATAATCAGTGGTAAATGATAAAATTACTGCTAATGAAAAGATGATTAAAAGTGTTGGTTTCTTCATTTAGTCTAATCAAATCAAAAACATCGAGTGATCAGCAAAGAGTAATAAGTTACTGAGTTATCAGTCAATTGATAATCATTAATGATTATGAAAGGATTGTCAACCTAGTAACTGAATTAGGGTTAATCAAAACAAACGAGAACCAAAATACTGAAAATTCTGGTAAATTTTTTGTTCCATTTGTAAATTAAAAACGGTCCCTTTGTTATCTTTGTTTACAAAAAGTGAACTTCACTTAATTGTTGTTAACTCATCGTTTTCAATGGTTTAACAATTATTGAACATTTATTTTGCTTTATTTGCACTACCTAGAGAGTGATTAGCTGAGTATTTCCCTATCGCTGGCTGATAAATTGGGGCGGGTTGATGATTTGTTGCGGACTTCCGTCACAATGTTTTGGAGGTTGGCTCAAACATTGTGAGCCACCAGAATGTAAGCTAATTATTATTTTCACAATTTATTTAATTGTCTTCATTATTTTCTTTTCTCTTTAACTCCTTTTTTATTGATTAAAATGTCCTTTCTTTTGGTAGGTTGTTGTGGCTGTTGTTCTGCTTTAAGGCCTCGTTATAAACGTTTGGTTGATAATGTTTTCCCTGACAATCCTCAGGTAAATATTTTAATTCTTACCTTTCCATTTTATTATTATTATTATTTTCGTTTCAAAATTATTTTCTTTTCATCTCTAAATTGTCAGGATGGTTTGGTTAAGAATAATTTGGAGAAGCTCACCTTCTATGCATCATCTTCACCTGAAAAATTGGATCGAATTGGAGATTACTTAGCTCAGAAAACAGCTCGAGATCTTTCTCGACATCGAATGGAGTAAGTTCATCATCTATCCTAACCTTTTATGATGAAAATTTCCACATCTCATCAATCTAATTACGGAGGCTCATCTCAAATTGACCGGCCCTTAATCAAGATCAAGTGTTTTATTATTGATTTTTGACCATTTGGTGGTTTTCGTTGAGATTTTTATAGGTTTATACCTATTGTCTAATACGATTTTTGTTTGTCTTTTGTCTCACTCCAGGTATGTCAAACTTGGAATGGAGGTCATGGATCAAATATTGATCGTTTGTCGAGCTCAATCGCTCAATCTATTCGTTGAAAGTTTTCTCAAAACTGTCCAGCAATTGTTAGAAAGTCAAGATCCTCATATGCAACTTTTAGCTACTCAATCGGTAACAATCATTTCTAAATTACTCTTACTTCCTATATTTATGTATCTTTGTACTTTAATCTAATTGATATTGAATTTTATTTTCTATGCCACTCATCTCATTCATGTGGAAATTTAGTTTGTCAATTTCGCTAATATTGAAGAAGATACACCGTCTTATCATCGACGTTATGATTTTTTCGTTTCCAAATTTTCTGCTCTTTGTCATAACAATGATCTAGATGAGGAGATTCGGCGAATGTTACGATTAGCAGGTCTAAATGGAATCAAAGGAGTCATTCGTAAAACTGTTTCTGATGATTTACAGGCCGATATTTGGGATAAAAATCATATGAACAAAATTGTCCCATCGCTATTGTATAACATACAAGATCGAGATATTCTTGCCAACCTCAAGGCCAAGGGAACAATCCGAATAGAATTTGAAAATGATCAAGATCCATCTCGAATTGCTGAAGTTTGCTTACGTGAGCTTGTTGGTCGAGCCTCGTTCGGTAATATCGAGTTCGTCATCAGGCCAGTTTTAAAACATTTAGATAATCACATGCTCTGGGATTCCTCGTATCCTGACGGTTTTGCTCCACTTATTTTCAAAATCATCATGGATTCAATTCAACCTCAACATTACCATGAAGTGATACAAAAGCTAATGAATCACTTGGATGAAAAGTGTCGAGCCACAACGGATGATACATCAATGAAGACTCGTGAGAAAACAGGAATTGTTAATGTGCTCTCACAAATCGTTGCCATCGCTGCTTCCGAGTCGATTGGTCCCTCGGTTCATGTGACTATTAATTCACTTCTTAACCATTTAAGAAATTCAATTCATAATTGTGAGAAGGGAAATGAAAGCACTGAAGATGAAAAACGATTCCAAGATTCAGTGATCAATACACTTGCTGAATTTGCCAACAATTTACCTGATTTCCAAAAAATAGAGACAATGGTTGTCATAATTAACAAGGTTCCGCCCATATCATCTCGAAATCCAGCTGACATTGAATTACAAGATATCTTGTTGAAAAGTTTACTAAAAGTGAGCTCCAAGTATCGAACCGTAAACATGGCCCAAGCATTTAAATATTCATTTCTACGACCTTTACTCTCAATTTCCCTCGCCGCTGATGCAAAGGTCCGTTTAGCAGTTCAACACATTTTCCACCAACTTCTTGATCGACATGAAAATTTGCCTAAATTGTTACGACCATCAAGTTTATCATCGTGCCCTGAACTCACTTTAGCCAAAGCCTATCGTCAAGATTTAATGTTCATGAGTAAACATGGATCCGACTTATTGATGCATATCTACGAGAATGCCAGATTTGCGAATAACACTCAAGATCATTTCGACGCTATTTACACAACTTTGGCTCTTCTATGTGTAGAAATGAGTTCTGAAGATGTTTTATCTGAACTATTCCGAATGGCCTTTGCTCTTCAAGATTTAACCCTTTCCAGTTCAAATTCCGCTACAGGTGAACCCAAAGGTCTATCTGATTCTCATAAATCAGCAATTCATGGGACTGTAGCTGGATTTTTCCATCTCACTGCCGGACTCACTGCGATTCCACTTCTCTGTTCTCATGTCGAGCAAACCATTGCTGCTCGAAAAGAAAAGTGCCCCTCCATGTTACCTGAATATCATCGTTCCAATTCTAGTGGTAAATTAAGTCTCTTTGAATTAGACAAGGAGAAAAAGATCTCAGATGAAATATCAGAAGACCTTTTATTCAGTAAAACAATTATAGCTGAATCATTAAGAAGCTCTGGTCATGATACAACTCGATTATTAACTCCGTTTGTATCAAGTAACGTCGGTAAGTATCACTGATTCTAAACAGTAAATAATCAAAATATTAACAATTATCCTGTTAATCCAATTCAGTTGTTGATGCTTCCATGTCTCGAAGTACCAGTGATTTAAATTCAATCAATGTTGATGTAGATTCAAACAATTCATCACCACGAACATTAAGAGTAAGTATTAACAATTTACATTGCAAATTTTGATTCAAGTGATTTACTAAAATTTTTCATTTTCTTTTACATCTTTAGCGTTTCCCAAATGAAGATATTACCTTTGAATCTATCAGGAGGATTTTGTATGAACCACCAAGTGTAACGCAAGAATTGAGGGAGGAAAGAAGACTTCAGATTCTTGAAAGGTTCGAGAATGAATCTTTCGAATCATTGATCGCTCGAACCGAGGATAAGGTAAATAATATCTCACCATTAATCGGTTAACAATCTAATTAAAATCCACTAATATCAATTGTATCATTTTTCCTCAGGGTCTGAATTTCCAGCATCAATTGAATGACATTTTCAATCGAGTGATACATGAGGAGAAAATTGCAACCAAATTATTAACTGAAACTTATTCATCGGATAAAATTGAGATCACCACTAATCCATTTGCTGGTTTATGTAATTTTACAATTAATCCAAGGAAACCACCATTGTTTGCTATCCAATTTCCGGATCTATTTGTTTGTTAATCCAATTGGATAGATTTTCACAACTGATCAACAATTTACAATAAGATTATTTTCAATTGCAATGTTACCTCTGTTATCTTAATGAAAGTTTATTGTTAACCCTTGAAATCCAAATGATTATAAATATTTACTTCTGAGAAAACAGAGGTTATATCACCTTGTTAAATGAGAGAAAGAGATTATTAATTTGTTTAATAGTCTACAATTAAGTTGATCACAATTTCCTTGTCCCATTTAAATTGTATTTCTAACTTTTAATCACAAACCTTGAAAGGAAAAACTATTTTCCTTTCCGTCATGGAGTCAGTTCCTTGAAGAAATGAGAATCATATGAATTTAATGAGAAAACAAATTCTTCTTTCACTATTCATACATAACAATTAATTTAACAATTTATTGATTAAATTAATATATCCAATCGAAGGGAATTTCAAAAAAAGACCAACAATCAATTTTAGACTTGAAAAAAAAATCACTTCGATTCACATTTCCAATTTTAATTGTCATTCTAATTTAATAATCAGTTTAGTCAGAATTATTTTCAATCTGTAATCTCTGTTTTTCTTATACACAAACATTAATCAGTAAATCCACTAATGATTAACTTTGTTAATTACTCCAATCAATTGTAAAACCGAAAACCAATCAACTTTAATTGTATCACTAACAATTGAAGTTTTCTCATTCTATTTGAATTGTAAAGCTAATCATTGTTTCCGCTTCTATGTTAATACAAGTATAATCTGTAATTGTAAATGTTAATCAATTTCTGTCAACTAATTTAACTCTAATTACATTTAATTACAATTAGATTTCCAATGTAGCGCCACAATTTGTTTATCACTTGCAATTGGGTGTGGGTTAAGTTGATTGGTACCAACAGTTGGGGATCCATTTGTTTTGGTTAACGAGCAGCTAATCAGTCAATTATTAATTGTTAATTGTTAATTTATCTTCCATTGGGATAATCGTTGATCACCAGGATAATGAATTTAACTAGAAAATCGTATTAATTGGGATAAACATCACAATTTGTGCGAAAAACATTGAGTAACAATCATCTAATCTTCCAGTTTATTTTTTTCTCTTTCTCTTTCTCTTTCTATTTTCTATTTTTTTTTTCATCTTTAACGTTTTCAGTGTTTCTATTTATTGCTTTTACTGGGTAATCAACAAATCACAGAAGATAATTACAATTCATTAGACCTGAAGAGAGAAAATTTTTCAATTTATTACAAGTCTTTGTTGTCTTTAAATTGTGATACAATTTCAATAGAATCGTTGATTGTTGTTGCCGCTATCGTTTGGATCATTATCGTGTTGTTATTATTGTTGACTTGTTTTCTCCTAAAATTTTTACCAAAACCCCTGATAATCAATCAAATACACATGGGTGACAATCTACCACCGATATCGGATAGCCCTCGATCTTCAAAGGGCCTTGCCTCCCGACGAAAAGGACCTTCGTTAAAAACTGGATTCACTTCAATAGAGCAACAAGTTGATACACCTCGAGAAGCGATCGCTGCTAATACGGTAAACAAAAGTACCAAAATCACAATAGATGGACAAACAATTTCCGTCGATCCTTCGGACATTGAAGTTGTCCGTCAATTAGGTAAAGGTGCCTATGGAATAGTTGAACAGGTTCGCCATAAACCTTCATCTATAGAAATGGCTGTCAAGGTAAATTAGAGTGAAGAAGAGAAAAATTTACCATCGATTATCAATTGCAAATCAATTCGTTACTTTAACTGTCAATCAACCTTCAATTGAATCATTTAAGCTAATTAGATGTTCATTTCTTTTGTCTTTTACCAATAGAGAACTGCTGTTAGTCAAGAGCAGAAACGCTTTCTAATGGATATGGATGTTCTAGATAAAGCTGATGATTGTTTGTATATCGTTAAATTTTATGGAGCACTTTTCTGGGAAGGTGACCTTTGGATATTCATGGAGATCATGGATTCTTCATTAGATAAATTTTACCGCCAAGCATATGAAAAATGTCGCAGAGAAATTTCAACAACAACATCATCATCATCATCACCTCTTTCTTCATCAGCTGTAACTACATCAACATCAACCAAACAACCAACAAATTCAACCTCAGATTCATCATTTTTATCATCATCTTCCTCTTCATCTCCTCCTCCTCCGATTCCTGAAAATGTTCTGGGAAAAATGGCTTATTGTATAGTAAAAGCTTTACACCATCTTCATGGTATACAAATAATTCATCGAGATGTTAAACCCTCAAATGTACTAATCAATCGTCTCGGTCAAGTTAAACTGTGTGACTTTGGTATTTCCGGTCCACTCGTAAATTCAGTTGCCAAAACCATGGAAGTGGGTTGTAAACCCTACATGGCACCCGAACGGATTAATCCTCCATCGAACACCTCAGGATATGATATCCGATCTGATGTTTGGAGTTTGGGAATGTCAATGTTGGAATTGGCAATCGGTCAATTTCCTTATCATTTCGATAGGAACAATTTCTTCAACCTTCTTAAAAAAATATGCACCGAAGAACCGCCGAAACTACCACCCAATCGTTATTCATTAGATTGTGAAGATTTCATTCATAAATGGTAAGTTAATTGAAGATTAACAATAAACATCAATTGGCTAAACTTTAGATCCTAATTGTTGCACAATGATAACCGTTTATGGTCATAATAATTAAATGAAACTTCCTTCCTTCTTTATTGGATTTGCAAATCAACTAATTATGTTATTTTCTTTTTCCTCTTTAATTGTAGTTTGCAAAAAAACTACAAGGAAAGACCTTCGTATGCAATGTTATTGGAACACCGATTTTTAATCAAACATATGAATGAAGATATTTCCGATTATGTTTCATCGGTAATCGATTAGTTTCTTTGCCTTTTAATTATCATGTTGTGCCTCTCCCCCCTGTTAATCACAATTGCGATTACAATCAATCACCAGTTGCCAAGTTGTCATCTCTATCTCTCTATGGCTTTTAATCTGATACAAAATTACATCTAAACTACTATACTAATTCAATTTGCTTGCTATCAACAAATCAACATGAAAATCAACAGTAAAGGAAAAAAATTGAACAACGTTTACAATTATAATCACATCATTGTAACAATTTGATTGACAATTAATGTTGAAAACAAAGTTATAATCAAAAAAGTCACTTGAAAACTTTTATCTCAATGTTTTTCATTAAATCAACACAATGACAATTACTAATCAACCTGGTAAAGTTAATTATAATAATTAACAATTGTTAACAATATAAAATTAACCAGAATTTTAAATTAATCGATTTAGATAATCAACTGGTTATCTTACAATTAATAAAACAATTATTGTTAGTTGCATATTTAACACTCCGAGAGTAATTATATTTCATTAATTGATAGTAATTATTTGTAATTGTTTGTAATTGTTTAATTTTCATAAAGACTAATCAATTGTTAACATTTATTACAATCGTCAATCAGGTTTAACCACAATCAAAGATTAAGTGACGCATTTTTAATCACGATTCATTTGAAAAGATTAACTTTGATTTAGTTAAATCTTATCAAAGTTAATTAACTATCTCATAAATCTAATCACAATCAGATCAAACGGATTCGCGACTAATTAAGTATTCATGTAATTAGCATTATACAGAAAGAAAAATTTTAAGATCAATGAACAATTAAACTCTTGAAAGTTGAAACAATCCATTAACTGAATTAAAAGTAATTCAGTTGTTCAAACTTTGAACAAGATGTAATCAACATATTGACACTTATGATAAAAACAAAATCAATAACAAAAACTGTTGATTGTTTGATTACTTCAAGTGTAATTATTTGGATTACTGTCAATTAGCATTAAATTATCAACATGATTTAACTCAACAGTTACAACCATTAAGTGATTATTAATTTTCAATTAATTTGGTTGATAAAAAAATCAATTCTTTTAACTTGTAATCAATCAAAATCAACAAGTTTCCATTGGGATGACAATTAAAGAGGTTCAAACAATTTAGTTTGTAACAATTTAGTTTGTAATGACAAAGGAAAATGAAATCAATTGTTGTCTAAGGTTTTCCCTTAATTTTGACAATTTAATATCAGATTGTTGTCATTATAACAAATCATTGACAATTTAATGTAATCAACTATTTAAATAACATTATTTTTAGATTGTGGTGATAACTTTAAATTGTACAATTTGAATTCAACTTTTTGTTTGTTTGATTTTCAATTAAATCAAAAAATTTCCTTCAGGGTAAAAGTTGTAATTATTGATTGCAAATAGTTGGAATAACAATTAGTAGATTATTCTGTTTTTTTTTGCAGAAACTGAATTAACTGTTAGCTTAGTGATTAGTTAATTGTATTTATTTTCTGATTTATTTAATCTTAGACGTTATTGAGAAAAATTTATCTTTCAATTTTTTGTTTCCTCTCATTTGATTAGTTAATTGTTGGAAACTAAATGTAATACATTTATATTTAGTGATTAACAACAACAATTGAATTGTTTGCTGATGATTGGCAGGGAATAAAATTTACTGATTGTTGTAGGTTGATGATTGTTTTTGTTTTCTAAATTAAGAATTGATAAATAAAATTAATTAACTTAAATTTGTTACTCTTTAGTGTTTAATGAAAATTTACTTAATTTAGTCTGGGATTGTGACAATCAAGACACTAAATTATATGATTTATTTTAATAACTATCGTTGGTGGTGAAGTTAATTGTCAAGTCAATCATCGTTTCTTAAACATGGTAATGATCATGATCATGATTAAACAGTTAAGTTAATGACAATAAATGAATATCAATATCACCGATTAACTTGAACGTGTTGATCAATTTAAGTAAAATAATAAAATTAAAATCAAATGTTATTAAGTTTCAACAATCAAAGTACAGTAAGTGTAGTTCGTTTCAGGTTCACTTATTATGAAAACTGTTGGTTGTTGTTAATGATTAGTGATCATCATCATCATCAGGATGATCAAGATGATTAGAATTGAGAAAATGATGAAAGAAAAAAAAATTTCCTTTTAGAAAAATGAACGACATCTTCCGTATTTTTACCTGAAATTATTTCGTTTGATGACGAAGAAAAGAAAAGAAAAATAAGGAAGAAGAAGACGATGATGATGATGATGATGATGATGATGATGGAGAGGAAGAAGGAGGGTGAGGTGGTGGTGGAGGTGGAGGTTGGGGAGGTTGATTCGGCGAGAATGAGAGAGAGAGAGATGAGGGAAAAGGGAACGTGGCGTTAAGGTGAATTCAAGTAGAAGCCTGGAGAAGAATTAAAATAGAATTTTAAAATTGAATGAGGAAGAGAAAGAGAGAAAAGAAAGAAGAAGAGAAGAGAACAGGTAATTTAGAGAGAGAGAGAGAGAGAGAGAGAGAGAGAGAGAGAGAAACAAGGACAGAACTGAGAGTTGTATTGGAGAAAAATTTGATTCTTAAAGTTCTTGTTAATTTTCATTCTTTTGCTTGACAATAGTAAAGTTTTCATCTCATTTCATCATCTATTTAGTTCTAATCAACTAATTTGTTAAATCTACTTGCTTGGACTTACCTGATATTTAAATTGTGCTGTTTCCAGAAGTAAAGTTCATTTAAATTGTTATCAAGAGTCAAATTGGTGTCAACAGTTATTTGTTATTTTCCATCATCATGTTATCACCAACTGATTTAGAGGTTGATGAGCATTTGGATTGTATTCCCGATTGGCCATCAGGTCCACTTGATTCTGCTCGAGCCAAGGGAACATTCAATTGGAAATTGATGAAATTAGTTCTTGATGGTGATTCTGTTGTTCGTTTTAAACATAAGGTTTGGTCCGTTTTGGCCTCTGATCCGATCTTTAAACGTACACCTTGGGAAGAATATAGTAGAGATGAGGAAAGACGATTGACTTTTGCTCGTTTAAAGAAACTGGTCGATTATAAATTGGCCTCAGAGGAAGAGTATCTTAATCAACCTCATAAAATTCCAGCCTTTGTACAGGCGATTGGTCAGTTTTCTTGGTCACTTATCGTTAAACGAGTTTTGTCTTATGAGTATTTTATTGTCTCTTGTAAAATGGATAACGGTGATCGTGACTCCAGCCTAGTCGATGATATAATGAACTTTAATGCCTTGGGGGCAATAAGTATAACCGAATTGGCTCACGGAAGTAACACTAAAGAATTACAAACAACAGCGACCTATGACCCGATTAAACAATCGTTCATATTGAATACTCCGACTCTCGAAGCAACCAAAGTTTGGTCTGGTGTCTTGGGACAATCAGCTACTCATGTTGTCGTTTTTGCTCAACTGTACACACCCGATGGTTCATGTCACGGTCTTCATTCATTCATGGTACCAATTCGTGATCCGAAAACATTTCAACCTTATCCTGGCTTGAGAATTGGTGATATGGGCGGAAAAGTGGGATTAAATGGGCTAGATAATGGATTCATGACTTTCCAAAATTATCCCATTCCCAAGGTCGCTCTTATGAATCGTAACTCTGATGTGACCGAAGACGGAAAATTTGCTTCCAAAGTAAAAGATGAGTCCAAACGCTTCGGTATAACTCTCGGTGTCCTTTCTTCCGGTCGTATCTTCATCATCTTATTCAGTATCAGTAATATTCAATCAGCACTGACCATTGCTGTTCGTTATTCAGCCGTTCGAAGGCAATTTGGTCCAACTAATGGAGAAGAAATTCCCGTTCTCGAATATCAAAGTCAACAATGGCGTCTTATCCCTTACATCGCGGCTTCGTATGTGTTGCATAACTTTTTCGGCTCTTTATTCTTAGATTATGTTGACTTTTTCGTGACCGCTTTTAATGCCACTTCGGACGCTCAAATGGACATGGGAGCCGAAATTCATTCACTCTCCTCTTGTGGTAAAGCAGTGGCCACTTGGATGGCTCGTGACGCTATTCAAGAGTGTCGTGAGTGTTGTGGAGGTCATGGTTATCTAAAAGCAGCGGGTTTCGGTGAACTTCGTAATGACCATGATGCCAATACGACCTACGAAGGAGACAATAATGTCCTCCTTCAACAAACGAGCAATTATTTGATCAAGTTTTATAAAGAAAAGGTTGAAGAGGGTCGACCCATCTCATCGTACTTTGGATCAGTTAATTATTTGGATGATATTGAAACTATTCTTGCCACTCGATGTTCAGGCCATTTAGATTCAATTCCATCCGTTTTATCAGCTTATCGATTCCTCGTTTGTTATCTCTTGAAATCATCTTACCTTAAATTAGCCGATCAAACAAACAAATTGGGTGATCCATTTGTCGCTAAAAACGCAACCCAAGTTTACTATCTACGGAGTCTGGCGATTATATTTTTCGAGGCCGAAGCACTTGATCGATTTCAACGTTTTCTAGACGAGTTTTCAGTTCCCGATGAAATTTCAAAAGTTCTACAACAATTAGGTTTACTTTATGGCCTTTGGTCCATTGAAAAACACATGACGATCCTTTATGAGTCCGGTTACTTTTCATCAATCCAACTAACACCATCTTCTTGGATATCATCACCTTCATCCTCCCAATCATCATCTTCATCATCTTCATCATCACAACTATTAACAGGACCATCGACTCATGTAAAAGAGACAATAATTAACCTGTGCAATCAATTGAAAGACAACGCGGTAACTTTGGTCGATTCTTATGCTCCACCCGATCATATACTCAATTCGTCCCTTGGAACTTCAGATGGCAAAATTTACGAAAATATATTTTCCGCTCTTCAAAACAACGCCGGTGCTTTTGTGAAGCCCGAATGGTTGGAAGAATTAGCTAATTCTCCAGCAATCAAATCTAAATTGTAGAAAATTTTACCCAACATTCAATTTTCTTCCTCCATCATCATCATCATCATTGTCTTTTCATTCACTTAATTGATGTAAACTAAACTGTCACTTCTTTAATTTTCACTTTCATAATTAACTTTCAATTAATTGTTCAGATGTCCAAATTTCCATCGTCACCTTAATTCAATTTGAAGAAAAAATTTCCTTTGTATTTTTTTCCAACAAACTAATTGTAATTTCTTTAATTGTAAATGCCAGAGGCTATCAAATTAATCGCTTAAATTTTAATTGTCATTTTTTCCCCATTTTCTGTCATTACTATTTCCTAATTTGCTCTCATGTATTGTGAAAAAAATAGATAAATTATTAATTGTCTACGTTGAATTTTAACTAACAAAACTGTTAATTGTTTGAAATTAATTCTTCTCACCTGAATGTTTAATTATTTTCCAGTTTTAATTGTTTGAAACCAATTTTCCATCGAAAAATTAACCCTTTCAAAATTCCCGCTTCTCTACGAAAGGTGGACAACTTAATCTCTAACAACAATTAGTCATCCCATTTAATTAGATTAATTAATGAGCAAAAATGATTTTGATTGATGATGAAAATCACTATAAAATACGCATGATAATCAAGTTAATCATAATTACAAAGTTCGTAATTGCTGAAGCTCAACATTAATGGAAAAAGTTAATTTTAAATTGTGACTATTTAGTTTTTCTCATTCATTATTGTAAAGTTAATTGTGTTGATTGTTTTGACTTTTTCAATCCTTTACTTTTATATTGATAATGTAACCAACAGTATTGAGAACAGTTGATTCAATGGAAACAATTAGTGACCTTTTAATTGTTTGTTTGATCAGATGACGAACATTAAATTGTGACAATCTAATTGACAAAAGCAAACGAATGGAAATCTTTTCATCCCAATTAACTAAATTCACCCACATTCATTTTATGATTTATCCCTTTATCTAAATTGTAACATCTAATTTAACGTAAACTCATTCTCGTCGTCACAATAATCACAATCACCGTAAGAATCATTAACATCATAACCTTAATTAACTTCAATTCTCTCATTTTAATCTTGTTTTTTTCCTCTTTTTTCTGGTTAACCCTTGGATTCTATTGGTCCAGCTGATCATAAATCACATTTTCTTCAATAGGTTTGTTTGTTTTTCTCCTTCTCCCTCTTGTCTTCCATAAATATCTTTTTCTCCCTAAATTAATCTCTTTCATATTTTGTCATCTTTGTCAGTTAATCAACTGAGTAATTCCACAAATCGTTTTAATCGCCAACAATTTATCTTAATTGAATTACAATTAATCACCAATAAACAACAACATGTGAGTATGTGATTTGTGATTTGTCAATGAAAAGGTTACACTTTGATTGTGGTTAACCTTTAATTGTCTTGATGTTAATTTTGCCCTTTCTCCAATTACATAATCTACTTGGAATACAATTGTTATTAATGTAATTATGTTTTCTATTTCGTCACAGGGAAGGTGCTTTTAGTCGTGGTGTTCATACATTAACTGTTCATAATAAATTGCATCAATTAAATCGCCGCCGGTTAGTGGAGAGGTTGAAACAAGTGGATTCATTGAAAAAGGGAAAATCAATTGTGATTCTTCAAGGTGGACAATCAGAGACTCGCCATTGTAGTAAGTTTCATTATAATGCTCTTAATCATTTCTCTTCTCGCATGTAATCTTGATTGTTTTCATTTTCTTTCATTGATTATGTTATTGTTCAAAATATAAGGTCAAAGGTGATGTAAAAATAATCTAATCTCTCTCATTTATCTAGTTGTTTACATTATGTTAACATTTGTTTTCTTTTTCTTTTTCTTTAAATTCTAAATCTCAGCTGATCACGAACCCATTTTTCGACAAGAATCTTATTTCCATTGGGCATTTGGAGTTGAAGAGCCTGATTATTATGGAGCAATTGAAATTGATTCTGGTCAAAGTCATTTATTTGCTCCTAGATTACCATCAAGTTATGCTATTTGGATGGGCAAATTAAAATCGCCTGAGGATATAAGATATAAATATGGTGTTGAAAATGTTCACTTTTCTGACGTGGTAAGAATTAACTTTATTGTCAATTTGATTGTTTCATTGACAATTATCATCATCCTTTTAATATTTACTCTCGACTCTTTTTTTTTATATCTTTCAATCTTTTTGATAGTTGATACTTGATAATTACTGAATCAACTTGATAATATCTTTCCTACTACTGTTTAAACGTCACTTACATTATTACTCACAATTAACTGGATTGATTGAAATGATTAGGTAAATTGAGAGGAATCACTGGAAAACATTGCTATCAAATTTACTGTTTATCATTTAATTAAGTGTGTTAATGTTGAGAACAATTTTATTACCAATTTTAATTGTGTGTGTGTTGATAATATTATCATATTTCAATGAGAGAATGTAATTCAACTAATTGTAAACTTTTTTTCTTCTTTCTCTTTGATTAGATGAAACAAATCCTGGTGAATTTACATGCTGATAATTTATTATTATTACATGGAGTTAATAGTGATTCAGGAAAAGTGACTAAAGAAGCATTTTTCGAGGGAATTAACCAATTTAAGGTTGACAAGTCGATTCTTTATCCATTGATCACCGAATGTCGGGTATTTAAAACACCATTTGAACTGGAAGTCCTTCGATATGCAAATAAAATCAGTTGCGAAGCTCATATAGATGTAATGAAAAAGGTTCGTCCAGGAATGAAAGAATATCAATTGGAAAGTTTATTTCGACATTATTGTTATTACAATGGTGGAGCTCGACTTTTATCTTATACCTGTATTTGTGGTTCAGGTATTAACAGTTCCGTCCTTCACTATGGTCACTCTGGAGCTCCAAATGACCATACCCTTAAAAAAGGTCAATTGGTACTTAATGACATGGGCTGTGAATATTATTGTTATGGAGCTGATATAACTTGTACTTTTCCGGTTAACGGTGTTTTCTCAGACCAACAGAAAATCATTTACAATGCTGTTCTTGCCTCATCACGAGCGGTAATGAAAGCGGTTCGACCTGGTGTTTCTTGGGTTGATATGCATCTTCTAGCTGAACGGACTCACCTTGAACATTTAATTGCTGCTGGTTTAATTCAGGGTAATATTGATGAGATGATTAAGTTAAGGATACCAGCGATTTTCATGCCTCACGGGTTAGGTCATTTTCTCGGTATTGATACTCATGATGTCGGTGGTTACCTTGAACATACACCTCCCCGTCCATCTGAAGATGGATTGAAATCTCTTAGAACATCTCGAGTCTTAGAACCAGGGATGGTTCTAACCATCGAACCTGGAATTTACTTTATTGGTGTTCTATTAGATAAAATATTAGCTGATCCAGTTAAATCTAAATTCTTGGTCAAAGAAAAGATTGACCAATTTAGAGATTTCGGTGGAGTAAGTTAATCATAATCTCAATCAATCCAATTAATTGTATCTAATATTTTCTCTTTAATTTAACTATAACTCTCAGGTACGAATCGAGGATAATATTGTTGTCACCGAAACAGGAATGGAATTGTTGACCAATGTTCCCAGAACAATTGAAGAGATTGAAACTCTAATGGCCGAAGGAGCAAAACTAAATGTTCAATTTCCTCAACAAAATCATAAATCTAATTAAACTCATTAGCAGCATCTTTGATTATGATTCTCGTCTCTTGTATACAATCGATTAATATAAATAATTTAAATAGAAATCAAATTTTGGACCAATGATAATAAAATTCTGACAAAATTCATTTGGATAATGATGGAAATGATCAATTATTATTAATATAAGACAACAAATTTGTTTGTAGTAACTTAGATAAATTTAGATCAATTTATTCATTTTGGCTCAGAATTTTCATCTTTTCCTGTTCGAAACATGAATTCAAACGAATTGTCTCTTGATTGAAACACTCAATTAATATTGTAATTTTTAGATTATCAAGGTTAAGGTTAGAATGACAGTTAAATTGCTACATCGATTGACTTTCTAATTTATGAAATTAATATTAATACATTGTACTTGTGACCATTTTCATTGATGAATTTACTATTGTCTTAATATGATTTTTTTAATTGTTATTTTGTCTCTTAATTTGCCGGGTTATTCTTATAATGCAATTAAAGGAACAACTGATCGATTTGCTGAATTAAATTTACTCAAAGATTGTAAAATCTTTAATTGTGGAGCAGGAACTTGACTCTTGGGTCAAGCGTTAAGTGATCTTGGTTATACCAATATTGAAGCGCGTTAGATGGATGTGAGAAAATGCTGGAAAAGCTAAACTGGTAAGTTAATTGTAACATTGTTATTGAACAATTAACTGATTTTCTCTGAATTTTTCTTTGCAGAAAAATATGAAAAAATGTAATTATTTCCTATGTTGGAGCTGAGATTGAGCTTCCAATTGAGGCAGAAACTTTTGATGCCTTAATTATCGTCGGAGTCTTTTGTCCAGGCCACTTTCCAATGGACATTGGAACTTATAAACAATTTTTAAAGCTCCTCAAGAAAGGTAAGCAAATGCTTATTAAAGTTAATTAGTATTTACTAATCAATTGTCTCATCTGATGAAAGGTGGTATCATTTCATGGGGAATGGCTAATCCAGACCGTTATTCAGAATGAGATTCAACTTATGCTGACAAAGGATTTGACAAAATCATTGAAGGATTAGTTTCGGAGGGATTAGTTGAAATTGTCGCTGATCATCCAAAAAATTTACCTGATTATCTTAAAGGAGAAGATGGTTTTTTCTGGGCTCTTCGTAAATTGTGAATAGTTAATTAAACAATGATAATTAACGTGCTCACAATTAGATGAAATTATCTTTCAATTAAAGCTAAACAAAAAAGCAACATTGTTAATACTTTGCTGTTGAATGAGCAAAGTACAGAGAAAGAAATTAATTAAAGAGATAGATTAACGTTAATTTGTTTCCAAAATGATTAAAAATTCTAATTAATCGCGATACAACAATAAAAGTAATTAGCTATTTACTATGACATTTGTATAAATTTGTTCTACATAAATGAGAGGGTGATTTTTCTCGTTGAGATGTTCAATTGATCAAATTTAAATCAATCAGTTTATTCATTTTGGCTCAGAATTTTCATCTTTTCCTGTTCGAAACATGAATTCAAACGAATTGTCTCTCGATTGATTCTCAAAACAAAGCAGATCAATTGTAACAGCAATTGAGAACAAAAATTATGTTAATTGTTGATTTTCCTTTTCATCATTTCTCATGGTGATTTAAGTTGATCAAGACTTTTAAGAATAGCAGCTTTTTGGTTTGGATCACTTAGAACTTGAAGTGATCGAACAATTAAAGATAAACCTTTGCGAACACTTGCTATTTTTCTATTTATGTCATTGTTTCGCTCATCGTAAATTCCTCTGAATAATTGATTACAAAGTTCTCTTCGTTTATCAGCATGAGGTGTCCGTTGATCTTCAGGGAGAGCACCCATTTTCTTATCTTCCTCATCGATTTCCAACATGACCACGTAAAGTTGTTCAATATCCAAAAGTAATCGACGAAAAGCGTTAAGTTCAGCTCGACCTACTGGTGTTGTTGGCCGATCTTGACTTGGATCGACAATTTTAGATTTAAAATCAACATCTAATAATTTTCTAGGACATTTCACATTGGCCACTTGAATTTTACCCAATGATCCTTCAAATTGTACTGGAACATATTCAACTATTGTACTTTCATCGACTTTTCTTTCCGGAATAATCACAGAGGGAATTTGAAAGTCACCATCTCCTTTTTCAGCTTTAGCGGCGGCTGCTAATTGTTTAGATTTAAATGAGACATAATAAAAATCCTCTCTATATGGATTAGCAAAATTTAAACTTCCTTTGAGTACTTTCAACAGCCATTCTTTATTGCTTTGAGTCATCAGTCCAGCATATTCGTCTTCGTTTCTTCCGGGGTTGGGATAAAATCCTCCAGGTCGATAAGTAAATTGTCTTCTTTCATGAGGAAATCGTCGTTGTTGAAATTGAATCAGTGAAGGATTACGAATGGGACCTGGTAGAAGGGGTAAAAATGGAGGAATCATCATGCGAGGTATCCCTGTTATTGGTCGGTTTATATGTTCATTAAAAGGCCTAAAACCGTGTAAAAGTGGTGGAGGATTTTGATAAAATAAAGGTCTTGTTTTGTTATGTTCATTCGTCGAAATAATTGGAAATTGAATATTATTTGGTGGATCAGATGAAATTTTCTTCTCTTGTTTATCAATTGTTACCAAGTTAACTCCAGGAAAAAATTTTTTCAAAGGATCATCAGGCTTATCAACTGGCTTTAAATTATTAGAATTCGCGTTATCATCTTGACTATTATCGGACAATAATAGTTTCTCTAATTCGTCTAGAGTCATAGGTTTAACTGGTTTACCATTATAACCTCCAGGAAGTTTTGATTGGGGAGCAGGATGAGGTAATAGCGAATCACCTGATCCCGGTTTACCGTGACATATTGGAGCAAATAACTTATTATTTTGGTCATTGGAACACATATTTGGTTTAATGTTGAATGCGAATCCATCCATACTAAATGGCGTCCATCCACTTTCATTGTGCTCACTGTCAACAATAACATTGGATCTAAATCGGTTTAAATGATAATTGATTGTTTCTTTTACATCTGGTGGGGGACCACTAACTATTGATGCTAATTGTTCATGTGCTTGCTCCCAATCTTCATCAAATGTGGCAGAATCACCGAAAGTTTCATCATTACAAGCATCAAATTCATCACCATTTTCAGGAGCAATTGCAAGATCATTTGTAGGCTCTTCACTGTTGAGATCCTCCGAGGAGACACCAAGGTACTGAGGAACTGAAGCCATTGCTTGGCCGTTTAAAATATTAACAATCTTTAAAAACACAGGGTTAATTTAAAATGATCTCGATGATTAAAAGTAATTGGCCACTTGAATAGATTAACTGAAAACGAAGGCTTGAGAAAAATTCTTGGATCTTTTTTTAGAAATCAGATGAGATTTGGATCCGAAAAAGTGACATCTTGTGGAGAAAATTGGACCGATTCCTGGTTCGATTGTTGGAACAATTTTCTGGCCCTTAGACTCGACATGTTCGAAGAGCTTTCGAATTACTAATATTTACGAAGACGAGATTACACTCGTTGAATAGTTCGTACTCTCAAATGGACATGGAAGCCGAAATTCATTCACTCTCCTCTTGTGGCGAACCAGTAGCCACTTGGATGGCTCGTGACGCTATTCAAAAAAGTCGTGAATGTTGTGGAGGTCATGGTTATTCTTACCACTTGATGTTCAGGTCATTTAGATTCAATTCCATCCGTTTTATCAGCTTATCGATTCCTCGTTTGTTATCTTTTGAAATCATCTTACCTTAAATTAGCCGATCAAACAAGCAAATTGGGTGATCCATTCGTCGCTAAAAACTCAACCCAAGTTTACTATCTACGGAGTCTGGCGATTATATTTTTCGAGGCCGAAGCACTTGATCGAATTCGATATTCAATCTCACTTGGCCTTTGGTCCATTGAAAAACACATGACGATCTTTATGAGTTCGATTACTTTTCATCAATCCAACTAACACCATCTTCTTGGACATCAACATCTTCATCCTTCTCATTATCACACCAAAACACCATTCGAACGGGAAGTCCTTCGATATGTAAATAAAGTTTATTTCGACATTATTGTCATTTCAATCGTGGTGCTGATCAACTGAATCATAGATCTAATGAAAACGATTGACATGGTCGTGACTCTTATAAACAGCCAATTACATTGCAATATAATAAATGATAATTTTAAAACAAAACAAATTTGTGAATATTTCGATCAATCAGTTCAAAATTTTCCGCTTTTGGTTATTAGAAATAAGTTCAAATTTATAAACACTTGAATCATTTGTAATTCCCAAATTAGATTTGTAAAGTTGTATGGTACATAATTGAGGAAAATTATGATAATTTAAGTTGATCAAGACTCTTAAGAATAGCGGCTTTTTGGTTTGGATCACTTAGAACTTGAAGTGATCGAACAATTAAAGATAAACCTTTTCGAACACTTACTATTTTTCTATTTATGTCATTGTTTCGCTCATCGTAAATTCCTCTGAATAATTGATTACAAAGTTCTCTTCGTTTATCAGCATGAGGTGTCCGTTGATCTTCAGGGAGAGCACCCATTTTCTTATCTTCCTCGTCGATTTCCAACATGACCATGTAAAGTTGTTCAATTTGTAAGAGACTTTTTCGAAAATCATTCAGCTCGTCTCTACCTGAGGCTTGATTATTTCCTGGTGGTTCATCTTTAACAGAATCAACAACCTTGCCCTTTAAATTGACATCCAACAATTTTCTTGGGCATTTGATATTGGCCACACGAATTTTACCCAAAGATCCTTCAAACTGTATTGGCACATATTCATCTTTCTCACTTTCCTCTCTTCTAACCGGAATGATCACCGAAGGAATTGGAGAGCCGTCGGTGGTAGCAAATTGTTTCGACCTCAATGAAACAAAATAAAAATCCTCTTTGAAAGGATCATCAAAATTCAAACCTCCTCTGAGTACTTTCAAGAGCCATTCTTTGTTTGATTCGGTCATCAGACCAGAATATTCATCGAATCTCGCCATTAGTAACTGGTTCACGCAGATCAAAAGACTACTAGTCGCACTTGAATCGCAATAATTATTAATTAACAATCAAATAAAACAGTTAAATGTAACATTCGAAATGTTTATCGAAAAGTTTTAATCGAAGAAACCAAACAAGTGGTTCCATCTATTGATCCAAGGAAAAGCGGTTAATTTGAATGTCGAGACGATCGAAATTGTGATCGAAATTAATTTTAATTCAATTATCAGTAGAATAAGTTAAATTGATTGATTCAATTTAAATTATTCTAAATGGTCTAGATTTTTGTCGTTTTCTGTTTGTAAATATTAATCAATTTTCAATTATTTCATGTGAAAATATTGACAATAAATTGTTGCAAAGTTTAATTCAGTTTTGTAATTTAATCAACGAATCAAATTAAATAGACAAAATTAATAAATTATCTGAGTATGGAAAATATTAACACCCATTCATCAACAACAGTTAACTTATTGTCCTAGTTAACTTTTGATTGTGTAATTGGGTATCAATAAGCTGTCAATTAAAGCGATGATTAAAATCATTCGCATACGAAAAATACTTCATCATTTGATTCACCAATCATTAAAATACAATCAGTTAATAATTGTTGTTTTAATAAAGTAGATGAAAGAAAAAAGTATTAACAATTAAACCAATTAACAGCAACGTTTAAATTGATTACCATCATGTTGAAATTATTTCAATCAAAGTCTCCAAATGAATGTAAATCGGTTAACCAACAGGTAGCAAAAACACAAAGTGATAAATTGTTACAAGAATCATCGATAGCCAAATGGATTGTTAATAATCAACCACAACCACAACAACAACAATCAAATATCTTTGATGGAGGTTCATCTTCATCCATATTTGATGAATTCAGAAGAAGAAGAAAAGAAACAACAACAACCGGTGATAAAATGAAAGGAGGAGGAATCGGAGGTGGTGGTGGATACGCCTCACCTTTTGCAACTATTAATTCACCTCTAGAGACAATTTATAGTGATCTGACCAGTATCAATGGTCAAGGTAATCCAGTGATTAAACAGCAATCACTTCAAGGAGTGTCATCGCCATCATCATCTTTACCAATAGTTTATCACCATCACCACCAACAGCCATCACAATTTACAACAATATCACCAATAAGAAATAGAAATCAACTGATAGATAATAGTTATCAGGTAAATCAGCAATGGACAAAAAATTATCCATATAATGTTAATCTTGACCAGGAGAAATTAAATCAAAATGGAAACAATAGAAAACCATCATCATTGTCTTCACATCTTTTCTTTCCTTCTCCTCATGAATCTCTTTCCCAAACACCAAAGGAACCAAAGAAACAATCAACCGATCCACCACTAATGGAGAAGAAGAAAAAACAACCAACAATTAAATCAAATTCTAAATCAACAAGTAACAAAAAGAAATCAAAAAATATACAAAATGCAAAATCTACTCACCAAATTAAGATGAAAAGCAAAAGAATCAACCCAAAGGTTAGTATATAGAAAATTAATCTATTTTCTAATTTCTTTTAATTAATCAAACTACTAATTAAGATATTCCAATCTAGGTGACAATCAGCACATTGTCTTTAATTGAACAACAATTAACCGAAAAATATCAATAGTTATGGTGAAGAACGAGAAGAGAAAAAGAGTTAACATGTAAGAGAGAAGAAGAAAAAAGAAAACAATGTAACCATATGAGAGAAGAAGAGGGAGAGAGAAAAGAGAAAAGAGAAGAAAGAAAAAGTAAAATGATGAGAATATTCGTTGTGACCGTTGGAAGAGAAAACGCTAAGCCCTTTTAACTAAAATTCTTTTAAATGGAAGAGAAAAAATCTCAGTTGTTCTCTTTCATCTTCTCTCTTCTCATCTCTTCTTCTCTTCGTTTCTTCTCACCCTCTTCATCATTTCTCTTTCTGATCCACGAGTTTCCCAAGTTCTCTTCGTAAATCGCATCCGGTCTCTTTCTTTTCTTTCTTACCTTTGTTTCTCATCTTCATCATCATCATTTCTCTCTCTCTCTCTCTCTCTCTTCTTCTTCAAAATTCCAACATTTACCTGGAGTAGTAACTAAGCTTTAGAACTTGTTGCCTTCATCATCTTCATCTTTCTTACTTTTTTCTTCTCTTCTCTTTCTTTTTTTCTTCTTCTCTCCCTCCTCCCTCTTTCTACATTCCTTTTCTTCTCTCTCTTCTACCCTGTCTGTGTTTCTTTCTCTCCCTTTTCATCCTCCTCATCATTTTCTTTTTTTCTTTTTTTCTCATTTTTGATTCTTAAATTTTTTTCTCTTCTTTTACAATTCTCTCTCTTTCTCTCTCTTTCTCTACTCTTCTCTAGATTTTCCATCTTTTCTCTGCATCTTTTTAAGCTCTTTGATTTTTCATCAATTCGATTCAATAACTGTGACAACTTTTACTTTTCTCTCATCTCATTCAACAGTTTCTTTTTTCATCTTCTCTCCTCTTCAATGACCATTTAATTGGATTAGTCTTACCAACTAATTAACTCTTTAATTGTGACATTTTCCACCTCATGTTTAGTGTTTATCTTATGTGATGTTATCATCTTTACTCTCATCTGAGGTATTATTTAAATCACCATCAATTTCATCAATTGTCTCTCTCATCCTTTTTTCTTATTGTGATCCATTGGTTCAGTGATTTTTTCTCTTTCATATTCGGATAATAATTTGTTTCCATTTTTCTTTTCCAATGTCTTTGTGATTAGAGATAAAGAAGAAGAAGAAAAAACAAGAGAGAAGGAAGAAGAAAAAAAAAGTTATAGAGAAAAGAATTTTTTATTTTCTATTCTATTCTTTTATTTTCCATTTTCAATTTTGTTGACATTTTTTCCCTCTCAATTTCTTATATTGTTAACTTATTATTCTTCTAATCACTTGTCATCATCACCTTTTTTTATGTGATTCTGTTGTTTGTGAATGTGTAATATCTTCTTCTTCTCGTTGTTGTGGGTGTTTAAGAAAATTATTGTTCTCTAATTCTTATAACCAACCCTGGAGGTTCCTGCTTTTTTCGATATCTTTTTCAAATCACTTTGCTCAGAGACTCCGGATCTGATGAACTCAACGGATGTTAACAGTAATGATGATGGACCATCTTCATTATCGGTGCGATAATCTAGTTGCTTTGCTTAATTAACCCTCTTTCTCCCTTTCGTCTCATCCCTTCCTCTTCATTGAAAAAGACTCACACACCTTCACCTTTGGTCACAATCCTTTTTGCTCATTCAAACAAAAGTTAACTTTCAATTTAGACTAATTCATATTCACCATTTTCCATATTTCTACCTAATTTCTTTTAAATAACTTCCACAACACCTTTGGGATATCATCATCTTCTTCCATCGCCTTAAAATTATTTCATCATTTACTTTACTATAACTGTTGTTTCTTTTTCTTTGTTATTTTCTCCTAATTCACTTGAAAAATTTTCTTTTTCACAATTTTTTCTTCTTCTAATTCGATGTGATTTTTTGTTTTCTTTTTGTGACTCTGTATCTTTTCCTTTATTTCCTGCTTCATCCTTATTCTCGTTTCATCTCCACCAACATGGAACAACAGGGTAGTGAAAAGATTGGCTGGGAATATAAAGATGTAACATTAACACGAATTCCTCGCTTTGGATTTGGAATTGCTGTCAGTGGTGGTAGAGATAATCCACATTTTCCAAGTGATCCTTCAATCGCCATTTCTGACGTTCTCAAAAATGGTCCAGCTGAAGGGAAACTTCTGTAAGTAAACGAAGAACTTTAAAAGAAAAATAATCTTAAACACACAATAACCTCTTCTCAACTGTGACCATAAATCACTCACACAGTTTCTTAAACCAGTTGTGGCCACAATTTAAATAGTAAAAAAGAAAACAAAATAGAGAAAAAAAGACCAAGAGAACCAACATATCATGTTCTCAAAAGAAAAAAAAAGAGAAGAACAAAAATACCAAAGAGAAATTAATGTGTGAGGCCATCTTGTCTTTCTCTCTTTTCCTTTTCTTTCTGATGAGCAAGTGTTGACCTTTTCTCTCTTTTGTTTCCCACTAATTTGTTACTCATTAACTCAAAATCATCTCTTTCTCTCTCTTCTATTATCTCAATATCTTCTTTGGCGCGACAAGATAAAAAATAGACAATTATCAAAGAGAAAAAGAGAGAGAGAGAGAGAGAGAGTCAAATTAACCAACTAGCAAATGTGAAGTTCACATTGTGAACCAACAAATAGCCAAGCTTAATTTAAGCAGAGTTATTTGCTTTATTCATTCATTGATTTTATCCTCTCTCTCTCTCATTTTCTCTTATCATGGCTCCTTTTTTACTTGAAAAATATTATATTTATTCAATTCTCCTGATGTTTTTTTTTCAAAATTACTAAAGTAAACTGTTGAAACCACGCCGGTATTTTTCTTATTTTTTCTGTTCATCAACATATCAAGCTGAATGAATTTTGTTGAAGGTTCAAGAAAGAAAAGTTCCTAAGACCTGTTTAAAAAGATATCGCTTGAGGTTCAAAACCTTGAATTCACTCAATTCAGGCCTAGATTCAGTCGTTGGAAGAAGTTAAAAGATGATGATGAGAGAAAGAAGAAGAAGAAGATAAAAGAGGGGGTCATAGAGAAGATGATAGGAGAGAGAGAGAGATGAAGACGATGTTTGGCCGTAAACTGGTTTGCTACTTTAATTAACTCTCTTGCTTTTTATTTTTTACGTTGCTAACTTTTTTTCTGCTCTTTTTTGTCTCCCTCCCTCCCTCCTTGTGTGTTTCTTACACCTGTGTTTCCCTTTCCTGTTTGGATCAATGTCTCTCTCTTTCTCTCTTACTTTGATACTGATTCTCATTTTTGGAACTACCTTCTTGGATTGACACAGTCCTTCGGACAGAGTAATGAGCGTAAATGGCGTTTCACTGGAATGTGTTGATTACAATACTGCCGTCCAGGTATTACGAGAATGCGGTAATACAGTTAACCTGTTGATCAAACGACGGGTTGTCCTACCTGGACATGATCTTCTTAAAGTGACCTTAACTAGAAGTAATAAGAAAGATGGTAATCATAAGTCTTTTCATTTTATTCAAAACTTTTCTCGCATATTCATGATACCACCATTTTCCCAATGAGAGAAACAAAATATTAATATAACGATAATAACTTTGTTCTCATTATATTTTTTCTATCAACTTGATGATTAACTTATATTCTAATTACTATTATATTATTACAGTTAAAATGATATTATCTACCTTCAAGGCGATAATATATTCATAATAATAGTTTCTGTTTGTTTTGATAATTTGTTTCTTTCTCTCTCTCTCTCTCATTACTCTACTGACCTTTAATTTATCTGTTTACTTTTTTTTTATTCTTTTTGATTTAATTTTTTTTTCTTAATTTCTTCAATCATTCATGTAACTATTTGGAACAGATTTTGGCATAGTTTTGGGGTGTCAACTGTATATTAAGGAAATTTCAAATCGAAGTTTAATTGACAAAGAATGTAACATTGCCGAAGGTGATGTTGTATTAAAGGTGAGTGAAATTTTTTTCTTCGAAAACGATTATGCAATTGTAATCTATCAACTACATGATTATTTAAAATATTTTTTTTTTCTTCAACTTTTTCCTCTCTTCAGATAAATAATACAAGCACTGATAATCTTAGCCTGAAAGAGGCTAGAAAATTGATTCACAGTAGTAAAGATAAGCTTAATTTGGTTTTAAAGCGAGAACAGAATAATAATAATAATAATAATAACATCTCTAATAATAGTATTAATAACTCCAATCATGTAAATGAATTTAATGCACGTTTTAACGGTTCTATGTCAAATGGTTACAAAGAGAATGGGGTTACCAACGATATTGCCAATCAACGATCAGCCTGGTCTAATCAAAATGTTTATGTTCAACCACCCACTAGAGGTACTTTTGGAAGGTTAATGACATCAACTAATGATGACCATCGGTCAAATAGTATGAATAGAATGCAACAACAACAACAGCAAGCAAATTCTAATGCCTCTGGAAGACATCGAGGTCCTATTACTGATTTGTCACAATTAACCTCATTGGATCCCAATATACCGGCTGTCAATTCAATATTGAATAATTCACATACCGGAGGCGGAAGTGAGATTAATGGTGAGGGTGTTTTAAGCCCTTCTGGTAGACCTCCGATACCACGACCTGGTAAAGGCGGTGTTTTTGGTGAAGATGAAATGTTATCCATGAGACGAACCAGTATGAACGTTTCAAGTGAACCTCGTTTAATATCCTTCAAGAAGGAAGGTTCAGTTGGTATTAGGTTAACTGGTGGTAATCAAGTTGGAATATTTGTGTGTGCCATACAACCAGGTAGTCCTGCATCTTTACAAGGTCTTCAAACGGGTGACAAACTGTTGAAAGTTAATTCTAAAGAGATGAGAGGTTTAACCAAGGAAGAAGCTGTGATTTATCTTCTTAGTGTTCAAGATCAGGTTGACCTGATTGTGCAGTTTTGTAAGGATGAATATGAGGAAATCCTTGCCAATCAAAAGGGTGACTCTTTTTATGTTCGAACCCACTACAAGTATGATGGCTCCTCAAAAGGTGAACTTGACTTTCAAATGGGTGAAATTTTCCATGTTGTTGATACTCTTCATAATGGTGTAGTTGGTTCTTGGCTAGTGTATCGTGTCAATGGTAAAACGGATGTTCAAAAAGGAGTAATTCCAAATGAAAGTCGAGCTGAAGAACTTTCTGCTCTCAACAGTGAGAATAACAAAAAAGATACTTCAATGGGAAGCTCATCTCGTGTTGGATTTTTCCGTCGACGAAGTGCTCGTCGATCAAAATCTTTAGGTAAAGATCATTGGGAAGATGTCATTTTATCTGATGGTGGATCCAAATTTTCAGCCTATGAGAAGGTCTCTCTTAAACATCCTGGTTTCATTCGTCCTGTTGTAATGTTTGGTGCTCTTGCAGACATTGCTCGAGATAAACTGTTGAAAGACTATCCCGATAAATATGCGTCACCACACACGGAAGATTCAGACCAAGATCCCGATTGTCCCGGTAAAAGCCAGAAATCTCTTGGAATTATTAGATTGAGTGCCATAAGGGAGATTATTGAGAAAGGCAAACATGCTCTTCTCGATGTTACCCCAACTGCCGTTGATCGTCTTAATTACGCTCAATTTGCTCCCATTGTAATATTTTTACGAGCCGAAAATAAGACTATTGTGAAAGAATTGCGATCACGTCATGTTAAACCAAGTCAAAAATCTTCTCGTAAATTGTTTGAATCATCAACCAAATTGGAAAAAATGTATTCTCATCTGTTTACATCGGTAATTAATTTGGGAACCGCTGAAATGTGGTACAAAAAGTTACGTGAAACAATTGAAAAGCAACAACAGATCAACATTTGGATTAGTGATTCAAAGCCACCAGAAACTATAACGGATGACTTTTTATTACCCATGACTTCACGTCTAAGTTACGCTTCATCACCCGAAAGTGATCTCGATTTGGCCAATGAATCAAAGCGTGGAGATAAAGAAGATAATTGTGGCTCTTCAAGATTAGTTAAAGCATCAAGTGACCCTTCCATTGCCACAGTGGAAGAACCAAGTACCTTTGGACCTCCGCCATATAATTCACGATCTCATCGTTCCGATTTAAGCCAAACAATGTCCCCTGCAGCTTATAGCAAGAAAAAAGAAGCTCTTGAACGAGATGAATATTTTGCTTCCATGAAAGATCCTTACAATGCTCTCTATCCAAATGAAAGGTATCCCAGTAGCAATGGAAACACCAATGGACCAACTGTCACCGTGGCTGACATTCAGCCGATCTATATGAGAACTTCTGTATCACAGCCTCCATCTGCTACAAATGGTCCCGAACCACCTCCGCGAATTGACCGTGCCAATAAACCCAATCGTTTCCGAAGTGCTCATGAAGCTTTGTTTGGTATTTCTGATCGTGATGCTGATAATCCACCGGATTATATCAACACCGCAATTACACCAACAGGAACTTTACAAGCTTCAACCAACGGAGGTGGAACTAAAAACTCCTCTTTAGATCGACATTCGGCCTTGGTCAATGGTCGTACCAGTTTAATGATGGACAACTCATCGCATTCCAGTGATTCCTACAAATACATCAGTCCAACAAGTACATTTGACGACAGGAGGTATGGCTCAATTGCCTCAGCCAATTCAACATTAAACATGAACCCTCGACAAAATCATGATACTTATATGTATTCCCGTGGTGGTAATCCTAAACACCCAATCAATGGATCTCCCTCTAAATCTATGGATCCTGATTCAATTAAAGTCATGTCAAATTTAATAGGTTCCAATTATTCTGGGGACAATTATAGACAAATTCCACCCTCTCCACCTCCTAAACCATCAAATTACCAAACACTGTAAGTTATCATTCCAATTTCGGTTTGACAGTTCAATGATCAACTCTCTCAATAATTCATTCTGGTTTTAATCATTAATATAATGTAACTTTGTTACGCTTTTACTTTTTCCCCCTTCTACTCTGATCTGTTAGACGGATGAATGATGGACGACCTGTGCCTCCTCCAAAACCAATGCATTATCAACAAGTACGATCTGGTTGGAGACCTGAAACAACGGATAAGGATCAATTGAATAATAATTCATTCCAATTAGTTAAACGTTCCAACTCCTCAGCGATAGATATGTCAGCTGGTCCTCCAGCTTATTTTCCACCCACACAAGATCAACCTCCAAACACGCGAGCTCCCGAAGTGCCAACAGCTTCTTATGTAAATCATTCATCTTTAAGTTCACCTACAAGAAGGTTTGTTTCTCAAGTTGAATGAAAATCTCCCTGTTAATTATGATACAATAACAGTTGAAAAGCTTTCATTGAGTCACCTTCAATTAGTTGATTATTCTTGATAAATTTCAATTAGTAAAACTTAAAAACTAAATCAAAGCAATTAATCAACCCTGATCCACCATCATATAATATATCTAATGATAGAAATTTTAATTCCAACATTCAATTTAAAGTATCTCAATGAAGGTGGAAAAATTTTCTTACAAATGTGAATCTTTTACTTTCCTATGTATGGAAGAGATTCTCAAAAGAGATTGAGAAAACTTTCTTAATTTAGAATAATTTATTTACTCCAAGATAATATCAAAGAAACTGACATTTCTCTCTCTCTCTCTCTCTCTCTCTCTCTACCCAGGGCTCCATGTTCAGATACTGACAGTAGTAATGGTTACATGGCTGGTAAAAATAATTATGACCCTAGGTCACCCTACTCCTCAAGTAAATTATCTTCACATTCATCTTCAATGCTCAATGGTAACAGTGCCTATTTAAATATCCCCTTCCCTCCTCGAAATCGTGACTCAATTGCCTGTTCTGGAAACGGGCAACAATCAAACAATGTAATCATTTCAGCTCCAGGATTAACCTCAACGACTCCTCAATTACAACAACAGCAACACGTCCAGACACCGCCAAGCCTTATTGACCTTTCCTCTAATCGTGAAAACCGAGGAAGTGCCTTTGAATTATATCGTAAACCAGGAGACTCTTTGAATCGAGCTGGTTATCCTCTTCATGGTCTCCCTCCTCCTCCACCTCTTATATCAGATCATGAAGTAAAGTAAGCACCAATCGGTCACTCATTAAGTGTTATCTCAACTTCAATCATCGCAAATCATAATAACAATTAATCTAAAAGTTACAGAAAAACAAATCAATTGTTAGCTAATTCACTTTCTTTCATTGAATAAGTTTTACTCTCACCAACACAATATTATTAATATTTCGTTAAACACAAACCGAATCAACTACTATCAGAAACAATCAATTTTTTAATTTATCTTCATGATGATCGGAATAAATCATCTCAAAACAATCTAATTATCTCGCTGGTAACTTTTATTTTCATTGAGAAAAAAATTGTCAAAACAAGATCAATTGTATTATTTTTTCTTAATTTGTGTTTGGATTAATTAATTGGATTAACTTCTTAATTGTTTTTCTCAGCACATGGATTCATTTTTATCTTAAATTGATTCACATAAAAACAAATGTCTCATTATTTTAATCATTTCTTAAGCTGAAAGAAAATTTAATTCGTTGCAATAGTTATTAAATTGTTGAGTTAATTTTAAAAAAGTTTTCACTCAACAATTTGCATATACATAATATATTTAATTTAAGCTTTTCTCATAGACAACAATTAGTTAATTAACTTATCATTATGGTGTCAAACTTAAACAAAGATTTGATTCACAACTCGCCACCAAAATAATTAGTATTAATTGTTTGTCTCAATTGTTTACCATTCATTAAACATTTTTACCTGAACTTTTTTTCCGTCAGACACAATAAGTGTCAGATCAAAATTTTTACATCCTAATCACAATTAAAATTATCTAATGATAATAAAACAATTCCCATGTAAATGAAACAATTAAATTTTCTTACAGTCAATCAGCATGAAAAAAAATATCAACTGTTTTTCAAATTTATTTCCAATATTCGGGCTCCCAATTAATTTTAATCGCTTAAGGTGATCAAACTTGAAACGTTTGAACCACTCAAGTTGTTAATTGTTACAATTAAGTCGTTAAATCGTTGACATTGAACTAAATATTTCGACAATTATTGTAAGTAAGTTGATCTCTCATCCACCTCCCAACCTTTTTCCTCCATCCTCATGGTTCCTTTCAAAGTTATCGTAACCCAATCATCTCCAAATTAACAATTAATATCCCTTTCCAATTAACTGTATCTAAATTAATGGTTAACTAAATTTTTCTTTTTTAATTTGATTTTTGTTTCTTTTGGTGGCGGGTTGTGTATTCATCCTCTTTTCCCACACTTGATTTTCTCCTTAATTGTGATGATCGTATCTCAACAATTCCCTTTTGTTATTAAATGATGATTTTCGCAAGTTCAATCAGTTAATTGTTTATCTCTTTTCCTTTGCCCATCTCTCCAGTGCCAGTCCTTCAATCTCTGTAGATAGCAATCAGAATGTGATCGCAATGGCCAAAGGTACTTTCGGCTCTGCTGGTGGGACACTTCATTGTGAAGACACTGGTGTTACCATAATTATACCGGAAGGAGCGATTCCAGTGGGAGTTGAACAGGAAATATATTTCAAAGTTTGTTATGACAGCGATATGCTCCCTCCTCTTGATAGAGACAAAGAAACACTGACCAGTCCGATTGTTATGTGTGGACCTCATGGAATTAAATTTAATCTACCAGTTGAATTACGATTACCACATTCGCCTACAGTTAATCCGGCGACATCTTCATTCTCACTTAAATTAAGCGATACTCCGAATGGTAAATTTCAATCGACTCAATGAAAAAAATTACGATTCCACTTATCAATTAATCTTTTACTTTTTTTTCTTATTCTCAGGTAAACCAACCGAATGGCAGAATGTCGCATTGGGTACCAATGAATGGATGTCGGCGAGCAATCGAGATGAAAATTACTTATCGATTCTTTTGGATCATTTTTAGTCAATCAAATTAAGGCCAAATTCTCGTACTCCAATTTAGTATCGCACAAGTTGAAAATCTAACTATCCAAAAAAAAGCTTCGATCTGTAATAACTTATTTACCTTTTCCCTCTCAATCAAATTAACTAAATGTTCACATGGGTCAATAAAATTAATTTTCCAAAACTTAAATTGTTTATTAATTTCGATAAAATTTTATTGATAATCAAATCGTACCATTGATTTGATCATTTTCTTCAACTTGATCAGGAATAAATAATCTACCAACTATATGGAATGTAATTGTTTTCAGGCTAAAATCTGTTTTAGAATTACAATTGACTTTTTTAGTTTCACAATCGATATTCAAAGACAGTTGATTTCGAGTTAATTATTGATAAGTTTTCGAAAATTGGATTATGCGCTTTTAGAAATTATTCGCTAGATGGAAGCACAAGTCGAGATTTAGAATTTGCAAAAATTTTCTCAACAATTTGTCTCTGTTTTTGTTGGTTGAATTTTCTTGGTTTTGGTTAATTTAATTGTTCTTTGATTTAATTGATTTTTTTTGTGTTTCGAATTGAATTAAATTGTGTCATAATCATGCCTATTGAAGATTTAGCTGAGGAAAGTCTTGCCAAGAACCCGAATCTTGAATTGGCTCAGTATTTGTTCACCTTGACCACTGAGTCTCGCAATGATGATGCAAAATTAATCGGTTTGTTGATGGAATCAATTAAGGAAAATAATATGGCTCCTTTTTATGAACAGGTAAATTTCTTTTCTTTTTTAATTGATAAGGCTCATCATCTTGAGATTTGTTCTTTTCGTATTCTGGAAGTAGTTGTTCTTTCTTCTGTTTTCTTATGTGGTTGTTTCTCTTTACTTTTTATCCTACAGGTTTATACTACTTTGAACAAGCCGATTGACAAGCAATTGTTGGAGCATATGAGAGCCGAAAATCAAAAGCAATTGAAAAAACTGGAGGAGGCTATTGAAGATGCGAATAAAAATCTGGGAGAAATGGAGGTTCGAGAAGCCAATTTAGCTAAAGCTGAATATCTTAGTTTGATTGGTGATAGAGAAAATGCTTTGGAAGCTTTTAAAATTACTTATGATAAAACGGTTTCTCTTGGTCACCGTTTGGATTTACTTTTCCATATTATTAGAATTGGTTTATTCTATCTTGATCATGATTTAGTCTCTCAAAACATTGAAAAGGCTAAAACTCTCATTGAAGAAGGTGGAGATTGGGATCGACGAAATAGATTACGAGTTTATCAGGGATTATACTGTATGGCAATTAGAGATTTCAAGACAGCAGCTCAACTCTTCTTAGACACTGTTTCAACTTTCACTTGTTATGAACTTTGTGATTACAAGACATTTGTCACCTACACTGTTCTATGTAGTTTAATCTCATTGGAACGAGTTGATCTCAGAGAAAAAGTTATCAAAGGAGCCGAGATTCTAGAAGTTCTTCACAGTGTTCCCAACATCCAAGAATTACTTTTCTCTCTCTACAATTGTCGTTATGCTGATTTCTTTCGTAAACTTGCCTGGGTAGAAGATTACATGAAAATCGATCGATTCTTTGCTCCTCATTGTCGCTATTTCATTCGTGAGATGAGAATCTTGGCCTACAATCAACTTCTCGAGTCGTACCGAAGTTTAACTCTCCAATATATGGCAAATGCTTTCGGTGTTGACATTTCGTACGTTGACACTGAACTCGCAAGATTCATCGCCGCAGGTCGACTTCACTGTAAGATCGATAAAGTAAACGGAATCGTTGAGACCAATCGACCGGACACAAAGAACTACCAATATCAATCTTGTATCAAACAAGGAGACATTTTACTGAATCGAATTCAAAAACTCAGTCGGGTAATCAACATTTAAGAATCAATTTCTATTTGTAATGTCATTTTTTTTACCATTAACAAACAGTCAGGATTAGAATAACATTGAAACAATTATAACACGAAGATTGTAAAATCTACTCTAATAATAATTGGAAAACAAAAGAGAAAAAAAATAATCAACAAGTTAAATTGTCTCGTTAGAAATTTTTTATTTTTCTCGAAGACTTTGATTGGATAATAAAATTGTGTGGAAATGTAATATGAGTGTTTTTTAGTTCAATATTTTTAAGTGACATTCTCTTAATAGGTAAAGTGCAGTGCGATTAATTAATTGGAATGAGAATTAATTTTCACAAAATCGTCAAAAGTAAATTGATGAAGAAATATAAGTGCGTTAATTTGTGTAAATATTGATTCCCTTGATTTGAAGAGACAATTAAAAATGGATTTAACTTTCAATTGTAATGTAAGGTTCAAGAAGCAATTCTGTTGGATCTAAATTGGCAATCACATTATCGGATATGATGATTTGAGTTAATTGTTCACAGTTATTGCAAGCTTTGATAGATGATTTTTCGGTGAGACCTGAGGAAAGATGAAGAAACAATTAATTAATCATGATGGAAGGCAGTTGATTAAGTTAATACTTACGGTTCTTTTTTAGTGATAACTTTTTTAATGAAACCAATTTGAATGATTGATCAATTGATGGAATATAATTGTTGTCTAAAATTAAAGATTGTAATGCTATGAGTGAATTAAAACAACCATTGATACGAGTTAATTGATTGTTGCTCAAGTCCAATGATCGTAAATGCGTAAGTTTGGAAGTTGGATGAATACAAGTAAGTGATAGATTTTGGAGATTTAATTGTGATTCCAATTGATTTTCACGTAATTTATTCTCGATTGTATGACGTGATTCTGTATGAGAAATACAATTAGTGTGAAAATTAACCTGAGTAATCAAACGTGGGAATCAACTTACGTAAATCATTGTAAAAATTACGACGAAGAGGATCAATTGCAATTGATTCTTTGCAAGATCCACCTAAAAGTAAGGCCTTGGTAAGAGTAAAATCTAATAAAGAGAAATAAATTGTTAAAATTGTTAATTGTTGAATTTTTGTTCACTCACATCTATTTGATTCCATGATAACTTGTGAATCTTTTGAATTTTCACTAATATCATTGAACCAATCGATTGACTGTGTTTGTCGAATCAAATCAAATCTACTTTTAGGAAGCTCATTGATTGTAGAAAATGATAAATTTGATTGATTTAATGGAGGCAATTTGATGAGATGAGTTTCTCCTAGATAGTTGAACGTTATCTCGTCAATATTTTCACAATTAACTTTCTCGTCAATCTTGTGATACAAAATATCTGATGGAAGTTGACCAATTGACAGCCATTCGTTAATTGTGTGAGTAGATTTATCACCATTTCTTTCAATCAAAGTTATCTCATTAAATGGATGCTGACGAAGACAATAATTAAATTGATAGAAAAGGATGCGGGCATCATTATCCAAGATGATACGATGAACAATTGGATCGGATAATTTGGAAGACTCTGATTTTTGTATATCGAATCTCATCAAACAAAGCCACCAAAAGTAAAGCCAAAGTCCTTGAAGTGATGAGATATTTAATAGACTTGATTTGATTGAATTAAATTCATCGTTCCAAACATTCTGATTATCTAAACTCGAACCATCTCCAGCCATAAATGATCCCTTTTCTTTCAAGTGATTGAACAAAACACTTTGGTAATGGAAGGCGGAAAAGTTATCTGGATTTTTCTTAATCATGCTTTTGATGAAATTCAATTGATTGGTGATTCCTGCATCCGGACCATATAATAATTCACAGATGAATTTACGATAATTCCAACAGTGAAAATTTCTCGGATCAAGGGAGAAAAAGTCAGCACAAGCATTTAATTCTGATTCAAGGGGTGGTTTTTTCATCCATTTGATAATAGTAGTCCTATGATGCCAAGTAGCATAAGATTTAAGATGTCGGGTTAAACATTTTGTGGTAAATGAAAGTTCATCGATGAAAATTTTATCAAAATCAATTGTCTCCGATTTTCCCATTAGATTAGATTGAACTGAGTCCAGAATTGAGAAAAGTTCATGATCACTGAAACCTTCAAAATAATCACGACATCGGATTTTAGTCACATCGTTAGCGACTCCATGGGTTTTCCAGTGCAGTAAAATTTCTCGACGAAAATTCCACATCACATGGAAATCAGAATTATTGTCAATAATGAAACTGGTTAACATGTAAGCCTCCAAATCAAATAAACAATTTTTTCTCTGAAACAAAAAAAACAATAAACATTCAAGAGAGAAAAGAGAAAATAAAAACAAAGGTTAACAAGGATAACAAGGATAAGAATAGCATAGAATCAACATAAGATATTGGATAGAGATAAAAATGAGTGCGAATTGAGTAATTTAGGTTTAAGACAACAAGAGATAAAAATCTTTATAAATTGAAGAAATAAAAGAGCAAATTGTGCAGAAAATTAAACCAACCAAATAGAATAGAGAAATCAAATCAAAAATGACAGATACCTTTTCAAAAGCTCTATCCAAATAATCCTTGAATCTCAACTGTTCAATTTCATCTGCCGATTTTTCAGAAGAAGAATCTAAATTGGTTTCAGAATTATCGACCATCACTGATTCAGGTTCACCAACAACACCTTCCTAGAAGAGTAAAAGAAAATTAATAATTACAATTAAGTTAAAAGAAAATTGTGATTCAACAAATACTATGGATTCTTGGAACAAACAAAAGGAGAAGGGATAACAATGGACTAAGAAAATGAACCAATTAAAGGAGAACAGAAAATAAAATAAGTATCAACTAATGATGGACACAATTAACTAACAATTTGAAAAAATTAAATACAAACCATTGTAAATCAGTGAATTAAAAAGATGAAATAATTGTTGAATTTGATTGTTGAAGTAAAAAACGTTAGCCTCAAATAGCAACAAATGTCAACAAAATTGCTCACAAAAATCACAAGAATCTCGATTCTGCCTCCTGTTGGCTCGAAATGCAACTATAAATTTTCATTCGCAAAGTTTGACCTCATCATCTCTTGGAGTTACAGGTAAGCAATTAAATCTAATTGCTGACAAATATAGTTACACTTTATTATCTTGACATTTAAACATCGAAAATTCATATACGCCCTGTATATTTTTCAGTTACTTTTTCTGTTTTCTTTTCGCGAAACTACTAATACTTTCGTCTATGGAAGTTTTCTCGATACTTAATTGTCATATTCCGATGTCAAGCTCATATTAATTTCTAGATTAGCTCAGTTAAGTTATTAATTTTCTAATAATTTATCAAAAAATATGCATTTAGCTCCTAATTGTAACAGGGTTTTATTCGTGTATTCATATTTTGATTCAAATTACTAATAAGTAATAATCATTTTGTATTTATCGTATTTGTTTTAATTTTTCCGATTTTGTAATTGATTTAGATAGAAAAAAGAAATTAAATGTGATCAACTTTTTGTCTAACGAATGGTAAGAATCAATTATGGTAAATTGAACGTTAAATTGGCTTTTTTAAGGTTTGTTTATCTTTTTCGTGGTTGATAAATAAATGAACATTTGAGAGAATCGCTTTGAGAATGATTCGTGGCTTCGATGATTTGATTTTATTGTGAGATTAACAGTTAGATACATTTTTCGATTGATTGTTAGAATATGTGAAAGAGGTAATTATCTGGTGGAGGTATAGATTTTACTTGAATTGTATTCGAAAGATGATCCAGCATCTCGATTGTTTCATGTACTTTATCCGTTTTGATGCCTTAGGGCTGATTAGTTTGGCTCTCTGATACACTCACCAAGGTATTCCAGGTCCATGGATTAAGTGATGAATTCCTGGTTTATTGAATATTTGCCCTCGACTGATTAGATCAAGAATCGGGAACCGAACAACCCTAAATTCATTTACCAAACAACAATTACAAGGAAATTAACAACAATCGAAATTTTCATTTTCCAACAATAATAATATTGGATAATAATTTGATTTCTAAATGTATTAATACTTACGGATGATGTTTAACTCCATCAGTGGCGAATCGAATATGAATCGGAGCAATTAAATCAATTAGATTACCCAATTGATGTGGAATTGGTAATCTAAAGGCATACCCACCATTAGCCGTAGAGAAACTCACCCAATTAAAAGAGATGAGAACAATTAACACCAATGGAATCACTGATTTACACATTTTCGATAATAAATTTTTTCAAACTTCTAATTGTTAACGAAATCTGAACAATACGAATCGAAGGGCTGACAAACTCAATATCAATAAGAGTTAAATAATTTATAATCTTTTACTAGTTGGTTGTTGTTAACTCGGTGAAGATGTTTGGACAAGTGAGACAATTTAAATGTCCACCAAATTAACTTAATCATTTGATGGTTCGTTTAATTAACAACAGGAATATATTAAAATTTGGTGTAAATTAAAAAAGTCACTCGTCCATTTTGTTGTTTGGACAATAACTTTCATCTCAACATTTACAACAATAGTAATTAGAGGTGAAAATAGTAAATAAGCAATCTAAAGGAAACAATTACTACTGTTGGCCTACTAATTAATTACTAAATTAAGAAGCCCAATTGCCTCCTGATAGTTAATTAATTAGAATTAGAAAATACATCAATCGTAACTAAAAGACAAAACTTTACCGAAGTAAAAAATTTGAATCTAGAGCTTTGACTTTAAGTTTTATCTCCTTCCAACAATTAACTTATTCTTAATTGATGAAAATGATTCTAAATGGTAAAAAATCAGTTAAATTAAGGAACTGATTGTTGATTGTTGACTAACGTGTGAGTAGATTGAATTGAGAATAATCAAAAATTTTAGACTGTATGTCAAGGAAAATGATCATTTAATATTAATCAGTTTTCTCGTCACTTGATTGTTTCAAAACAATTAACTGATAAATTGTCAAAAATGATGTCGTTTGTCAAGAGATTACGCTTGATTGTTAGTTAATTTTTGTGTCAATTGGATTGTAATCGGGTGAATAGTAATCAATAGACTATTGTTAAAAGTGATATTAATTGAATTGATTGGATGATCAAATTTGGAAACATGTCATTAATCATTTCAACACTTTGATTCAATCAAATTAACTCTAGACTGTAAACTGGACAATCAAACCAATAAGATGACAATGAATTGTGATAATTAAATGAAAATTACTGATTAGATGTATGTCAGATATTCATGTAGCATCTTAATTGTGTTCACTTTCATTTTGATTATTATTCAGTGGAATCAAATCATCGCTATGGTTGGCAAATCATCAGTTTGAGGTCATCGTTACCATTGGACACAAAAGTTTGAGATTCGTTAATTGCGATTATAAATCCAGTTTATCTTTTCAATCAATAAATTATAATCGAAAATTGGCCGAAAAAGTTTTCCAAAATCAAGTAGGTAAGATGAGTTCAGGTAAGTGAAACCATCAGATGATAAAGAACCGTTGAAATGACCAATTTCATGGTTTGATGTCAATTCTTTCTGGATGAAGATAATCACTTGATGATGGTGACGATTATAATCAGTGTCTTAATTGAGTGTCAGCAATAAACAAAAAAAGAGAGGAAAAAAACAAATTCTGACACTTGGGTAACTCTCAATTCTCATTTCGCTTTCTCTTGATCATCAAGTGTGGATGAACCTAAATATAATTTTAAGAAAATGATAATTTAAATGTTAATAGCATTAAAATGACAATAATAGTTAATCATCATCATCAATATAAGCGTGAAAGTAAATCACTGGGTCTTAAAAGTTAATAGCATATTTATATTGGGATGAAGAAAGAAAAAAGGAAAGTTAATATTAAGGGAAAGCCCTAAATGACCTGAAGGGTCGGTCAGGTTGATCATTTTTCTTTTAATGTTTGTCCAAGAATAGATAAAACCTACTCTCGAACTGTCCAGTTGTCCAATAGAGAGAGAAACCAAGACAACACCCAGAAAATCTTGTTGAAAGATTAAAATGAAAATGAGAAGATTTCGTCAAATGTGGGTCACTGGCGATTTAAAGGTAAATCGCACAATTAATATAAACCTTTAAGCCCGAAACTGGAAAAGTGAGAAAAGAGAAAGCTGAAAAAAAGAAGATAAAAAATGAGTGAGTGTGTATGTGAGAGAGATAAAGGGAAGATATTGAATCGACTTAAGGGCGGATGAAGATGAAGATACGACGATGGGGAGTAGCGACCTGAAAAAACAAATTAACCAGAATAGGTCACAAAAAGAACTGTTTTTGATTATCGACACACTCAGACCAATTGATGAGATTTTCACTCTCTTCTCATCGTCTTCATATTCTTTGTCACTTAAGTGTTTTCCTCGGAAGAGTCAACTTTACCTCCGTTCTTCTTTTTTCCTCTCCATTAGAAAAGTGATCTTTCGATTTTTCTTTGAATATTTTTTTTTTTACTTCAGTTCGATTGCCACACAATGAAAACAATCATCTCTGTCTTTTTATTGTTCTCCTTCATATCTTTGGGTTTTGCTGGATCAGAATCAGAAATCAGCGATACCACAAAAAGACCTGAAAATGGGACCAATTTCCAGTTCCAACAACCGGAGAAAGTGAAAATTAACTTATTGGAATTGGTCAGTGGTGTTGGTAAAGCCATTCACTTGATGTTGAATCAAAATTCCAATAGTTCATTGTTATTGAACCAAAGGTCATCTTCTATTGTTTCGGACACTCCGGTTGCTCCTATTAACGGTAGTTTAACATCTTCAGCTTCAACGATAATCGGTTCTACTGATACTCGAGCTGCTCGGGAGAAGGAGGAAAATAGTAAACGCGCCGAGGAACTGCGAATTGAAATTGCCCGACGAACAGCACAATTACAGAAGATTGTTGGCTCAGCAATTGAGATAATGCGTGATCGAGGCGATGTTATGGTCAGACGAATCTTGGAACATCTCAACACACGACTTGATCAGGCTCGAACCAATGCCGATAAAATTTTGAAAGAACCAGCTACTTCCGAGATGGCAGTTCGAACCTTAAACACAATCAATCAAGGTCTTAATGGTGTTAATCAGATGATCCACAATGTCCTTAATCGAGTTAATATTAGAATCAATGTCGACCTAAAGAAGCCAAATGGGGAGAACGAGAAAGTAAAAGAGAATTAGAAAAATAAATGTTAAGATGATAAACAAAAACGCTCATCTTAAACTAGACTATTTTTGATGATTCAATATTTTTTGTTTCTAATTGTGAACAATTAACACATATACACAAATAGAAAATCTAATGGAAAATTCATATAAAATATATACATAAATAGGAAAAACCAATTAAAATTATGATGATCGTTGATCACAATTAAAGTAAGATAACCCACCTTTACAATTGAAGAATAAAGCAAAAACAATTCATTAATTTGTCACTGACCTTCCATTAATTGTACCCATTAATACACTTGATTATTGTTCCAAAAACGTGATCAAATTTCACTCTCATGTGCTAATTAATAGAAGAAGAAAAAAAAACAAACAAATTGAACAATTAAAAGGGAAAAGAAAACAATAAAAGTTAAAAAATTGGAATTGAAGAAAAAAACAATTACCTATCAGGTGAGAAAGAAAAGAAAACTCATCATCAGATGAAAAGCCAAAAAAGAAAATGATTCCATTAAAAGAACGAAGTTAATCCATGAAAACAAATCCAATTGAATGACCAACAATCAAAAGAATTAAAGACAAACAATTAAAATTCACAATCATAAACAAAGAATTTAAATTTGAATTGAGTATAGACAAAAAGATTACACTTGTTCCTCTTAGGCCTTAGGCCTACGGAAGAGCAACAGGTTGACCAGAAAGAGAAACAACAATGGAAACGAAAAGTGTACAGATTGATTTCGAATCAATTCCAAGTGAGATTAATTCTTCTCGTCAATTAATCATGATCACAATTAATCAACAACAATTAAAGATGGAAGAGAAAAAGAAAAGAGAAAAAGAAAAAACAATTTACACTTGTTGTCATTTCCGCCGCTTGTTGGGGCTGAAGAGCCAAAGATCTTTTGCTTTCATCACAACACAATTTTGTTTCTTTCTCTCACTTGACTCTTCCTCTCTTTTTGTTTTAATTTAAATTCTATTTAATTAATCAATGACTAATCAATATGTTTGTACTCATCTATTTAACTAGTGTTTAGTTTAATTACTGTTTCCATTCTGGTTCAACTGTTTGGTATTTGTAACTTTTAGGGTCTACCAAATTACCTTAATTGGATTGAAGTTCAACTTGGTGTCTCTCCCTTTCATCATCATCAATCCATATCATCAATTTATCTTTTACTCTTTCTCTCTTTAATTGTTTATCTTAAAATCAAAGAGAGATAATCATCCTAGTGGATTGACTATTATTACTTTCTGGTGATCCTAATTGTCAAAGTAAGTGAGTTCTCAGAGATCTTGTTTTCTTTTCTTTTCTCTCACAAAGTGTATACACAACGTTTCATGTTTCATTTTTCTAAACCAATAACTTACTATTATTGCTCCTCTTTCTCTTTCTTTCTCTTTCTCTTTCTCTTTCTCCTTCTTTCTTTCATTTTCTCTCTCTTTTTCTCATGGAATTTCTAGTCATCTATGTTTCTATTTGAATGGTTCCATTTTTAATTTCTCTAATCTAATTGTCCAACTGATACAATGGATGAAAATTGGACTCCTGTTGAGGATAAATTCAAATATGGAGTTGGTAAGATTTCAATGAATTTTTATTTCTCTCTCTCTCTCTTTTCTCTCTTCTCTCCCTCTCTATTCCTCTTTCACTTGTCTTGTCTATTATTATTAATAATTATGTGTAATTTTACTCATTCATTTATTTTCTCTCACTCTCCATCTATTACATGAAACAGCCATTTCCAACTTCTCGCCATCATCATTGGTTAACATTAAAAGCGCCTTAGAGTTGACTGTTGGTGAAACTATTGTCATCCAACTGACCACCAAAGATTGGTTTTATGGCCATAAAACGGGTGAAAATATTTCCGGAATATTTCCTAAAAGTTATATTGCAATTAAGGAACCAACTGATGATAAGAATGGGTAGGTTTCTGATGACATGGTCAACTTGATGTGTACAATATGTAGATGATCATCTGACCATTTAATCTCTCACAAAAATGAAGTAATTATTTTCTTCGTTTCATCACAAACTTTCATCTCATTAAGAGATTTAACAGACTGGAAATTGTTATAATTTCTTTGGTTCATCTATTCTTCATTCTTATTATTCTACTTTTATCACATATTCTCTTAGCCAAGATTGAAAATTCTCTTTAATCAAACTTTTACCAATTCTTTTCTTCTTCAAGCTCCACAAGAGAGCCAAGTATAGCTCTTGAAGTCGCAATAATAATCCGAGAATGGAAAATAAAATGGAGACAACTTTACATTGTAAGTTCCAATTTCTCACCCTTTTACTCTTGGAACAAACTTTTATTTCTATCTTCTATTCTTTGTATTTATCTTTACAGAAGCGAAGTAAAGACTTTGACACTGTCAGACTGATGATGATTGAGATGATTGACCTACGAAGTAAAATAATGTCCGGTGCCTTACCTGTAGACGAGCTTAAAATAATCAAGCAAACACTAACTTCTAAAATTGATTTAGGGAATGTGTAAGTTGATATTATTGATTATCGACATTTTTTACTATCATTTACGCTAATGTTATGATATATACATTATCTTTCTAGTTTACTTGGATTTGATATGATTGTTCGGGATGATCAAGGAAATGTTCTAGATCCAAGTGAATGTAGTGCCATTGAACTTTACCGTGCCCATGAAAATTCAACCGCTAAAATAAGGAAAGAATCAAATCGAGGTCTAGCAATCGCAATAGAAAACAAGGAAATTCTTCAAGCAATGAAGGGTGTAAATAGTCTTCATTTCTCTCTCTATGTAACAATCAACAATTGTACCTGTCACATTGGTGAAGATGCCGACATATTGATAACCCTTTACGATGGAAAAGAGTCCAAGTTCATCAGTGAAAATTATGTTGTTCCCTGGAGCTCACAAGGATTAATGAAGGAATTTGCTAAATCCAACAAAGGACGTGTTGTATTCTGTGTATGTGTTTACCTTTATTCATTGATAATCTAAAATTTGATTAGTGTCTATTTATGGAATTTACTTGGAGATGATTGTCAAATTAACAGGAAGAGGAAAAGAGGCAGGATGATATTTTCATTTCTACATTTCTACTTGATTTCCATCTAAATGATAAAAAAAAACGAGCTTTAATTATTTTTCTAGTTCATTGAACTACTTCATACGAGTTTCAAAGCTCATGTTTATGTTAACTAATCATTAGAGATACAAATTTTTATTGTATCATTAGTTTCTCTTGTTAACCTTCAAATTGATAACAGAAATTGGTATCGCTCTTTTCAGAGCTTCGTTCTCAAATAAGCTCAAATTGAAGCTGTAATTATAAACTCTTCTTACATTTCCTGCTTAATTGCTGAGTATAATAGTCAGTTTGTTGAGATGAAAGTGGATTTTATTTATTTATCTTTTTTGGTGGTTTGTTTATTTTCCCAAATTGATCCACTATTTCTGAGAATTTAATTTTCTCTTATTATTATCATTATTTCAAACAGGATCTCGGAAGTAAAGACTTAAAACGGGAAAAAGTTTACATAATTTGTCAAATCATTCGTAAAGGTGCAATGGAATTAAAGGAAAATGATCAAAGTCATCGAGGAAAAAGTTTATCACAATTGAAGAAAGATCAGCATAAACGGTTAAATGAAGGTATTCGACGTCCATTTGGTGTTGCCGCTTTCGATGTGACGGACATTTTAAAAGGAAAAGTCGAAAGTGACGGAGAGAAACATTTTTTTATTCCTTTCATGCAATGTATGGAAAAGGATACACTCGATTCAACAATTCGAAAACTTCTTTCTCTTAAAGGTGAAATCAGTGAAAAAGATCACAAAGGTCAAGGGCTATGGATATCATACAAACTATTACTTGGTGATCTTGAAAAGGCTCGTGGCGATTCACCTCACCTAATCTCTCAATACACCAAAATAGCTCGTCGAATGGGTTTCCCTGAGATTATCCTACCAGGTGACATTCGCAATGATTTATATTTAACTCTGATTTCTGGTGATTTCAGTTCAAAGGCAAGTAATGCTAAGAATATTGAAGTAACCATAAGAGCGTGCAATGATAAGGGAATGGTCCTTTCCGAAGCAATTAGTATTGGCCCTGGCCTACCATTAGGATCAGAGTACAAGTCCGTTGTGTATTATCACGAGGAAAAACCGAAATGGATGGAAACTGTCAAAATTTCACTGGACATTGAAGATTTTCGTAATGCCCACCTAAAGATAACTTATAAACACCGATCCAGTAATGAATCAAAAGACAAGAATGAGAAACCTTTTGCCTTTTCATTTATTCGTCTTATGAATGAAAACGGTACTACTCTTAAAGACTCTGTCCATGAGCTTTTAATTTATAAAATTGATTCTAAAAAATATGATGAAACCGATTCCAATGTTAGCTATTTCAAACTACCTTCAACACGAGCTGAACTTGAGACCAAAATCCCGAAGGCAACCTACTCCAATTCCGGATCTAGTTTGAAATTGGCCTTTTCCAATATTAGCGTCCCTGGTTTAACCCTTAATCCTCGTGATGTTTGTCTTGTTTCCTCGATTGTCTGTTCAACCAAATTGACCCAAAACATTGACCTTCTTGGCCTATTGAAATCACCTCCATCTACAAACGACGAGGAACTGAAAGCTTGTCTTTAGCATTTATGAAAGTTGATGGTGAAGATATTGTCAAGTTTTTACAAGACATTTTAGATTCACTTTTCAAAACCTTAACCGACAAGGAATCAGATGAATTTGTTGACTTGGTGTTCAAAGCATTGGTCTTTGTGGTTGGTTTAATCTCGGATACCAAGTATCAACATTTCCGTCCCGTACTTAACGTTTACATTGAGAAAACCTTTTCGGCTGCTTTAGCTTACAATAAATTGATTATTGCACTTCGACGATACATTGACAAATTATCCGCTGGACGATTACAGTGTAGTAGTGACAAATTAAATGGACCATCAGCACTTGACGCTTCCATTGGATCAGTTCACCGAGATTTTAATGATAGTCAATTTGTGATCAGTATGATGAAAAGTTTGGAATTTCTTTTCAAATTTGTTGTTCGATCTCGATGTCTTTTCCTTGAATCCCAGAGACTCCAAAGATTTGACCATGTTTCCCTCGATCATATGATTGAATTTACTTCAATGCAAGATTTACTCATTTCTTTTACTTCACTAATGTCACCCCGAAGTAAAGCAAGCATTGAAATCCAAGCATTGTGCCTTAAATACATTCCACCCGCAATACCTGAGATACTGATTGTCTTTGAAAGGAAAACTTTAAGTCACATATTAACTGAATTAATTACTCGAGTTCCTTACGAAAAGTTGAAACAGCAAAAGTTAATCTTTATGTTGGATATCATTCAGTGTGATTGCCTTTTCGGTGACCCGGAAGCAAGGAAAATATTATTACCCGTGTTTAGTGAACATATTCACCATTTTCTCGAGAAGAAAACTGAATTAGATTATTCTGTTCAAGTGCTAAGTGAAATTTTAATAGCTCTAAGTCATCGTCCATCCGATGAAATCGAAGCCGATATTGCCGACCTAATGATGGCCCTCCTTCGAACCGTTATACTCGCCGTTATTGGTCGAGGTCGTGATCAACTATTAATCGGCAACCTAGTTGCCATTATGATTGATATTCTTCGCCTTATGACCCCAGGTCATTACGATAAATACATGGAACTCTATAGTGACCATCGGCAATTGTTAGAATTTCTAATTGAACTACTTTTGGTCTTTAAAGATCTTGTTTGTGCTCCAGTTTATCCTATTGACTGGATTGAGATGTTGATGCTTCAAAATTATGTCATATTAACATCGTTGAAACAATTTGCGATGAAAATTCGTGAACGTTTTGTAGGCACTCACTTTGAATATCAATTATGGAACAACTTTTTCCACTGTGCAATCGCCTTCCTAACACAGAAAGCACTTCAATTGGAAAACTTTTCTCTCACCAAACGGAACAAAATTTACGATCGTTATCGTGATATGAGACGTGAAGCAGCCTCAGAGATTCGTTGTATGTGGTTCCATTTAGATACTCACACTATTGAATTTGTTCCTGACTTAATTGGTCCCTTTTTAGAAGTTGCTCTTATTCCCGATCAACATCTTCGCAAAGAAATTATCCCAATTTTCTTTGAGATGATGCAATGTGAATTCTATTCAGCCCGTGTACCCACCCAACGAACATTTAAAGGCTGTGAAGATGAAATGATTACACAATTAGATAAAATGATCGAGGCAGGTAAAGGAGATATTAATTTCCGTGAATTGTTGAAACGAGAAATTGAAGATAAATTTGAAAATCATTCTCACATGAGGGAAAAAGGATTAAAATTTGTCAACATGGTTGACAAATTGATTCGTCGGTTACTCGAGTATCGAGCAATGTTGAATGACGATGTTGAAGAGAATCAAGAATGTCTAATGATCTGTATTGTTAATCTACTTGAATTTTATCATAAACACAAGAGAGAGGAAATGTATCTACGATATTTGTACAAATTGGTCGATCTTCATATCGCCTGTGAAAACTACACTGAAGCTGCCTACGCACTCTTATTACACGCTACTCTCCTTCACTGGACCGATGAACCTTTACCGCCTCAGTTAAGGTCAGAACGTAATCCGGAAAGTAAATCTCATCGAGAGTTAAAGGAAAACCTTTACAAGACAATAATCGATTACTTTGAGAAAGGTCAACAATGGGAGGAAGGTTTAAAAGTTTGCAAAGACTTAATAATCAAGTACGAACGAGACATACTCGACTATGTTCAACTATCAAATTTGTACCAAAAAATGGCCACACTTTATGATCATATTGTGAAACAAACTCGAATCAAGCGAGATTATTATCGAGTCGCTTATTATGGTAAAGGATTTCCTGCTTTCCTCCGGAACAAAGTATTCATCCACCGAGGAAAACCTTATGAGCGTCTCGGTGAATTTACCAAACGTCTTATGGACATGTTTCCAAATTGTATTAAATTAGATCCACTTGCTTCACCTGATCAAGAGATTACCGATTCCGATGGTCAACATCTTCAAATCAAAACGGTTGACCCATTGGTTGAATTGAAAGACCGTTTCAGAGGAAAACTACTCCATCCTCATATAATCTCCTTCTATGAAGGTAATCAAGTTCAAAAGTTCAGTCTCTCAAGGATATTTAAACGTGAATCTTATTGGGGTGAAAATGAATTTGCCTCTCGTTGGGTTGAAAGAACAGTCATGAAAACTCAATATCCACTTCCGGGAATTTTAACCTGTTTCATGGTAACCGAAGTTAACTCATCAGAGTTTTCTCCAATTGAAATTGCTATCGAAGACATGGAGAAAACTAAATCTGATGTAATCCGAGCAATATGTTCCCATCACTATCAATTACCCAATTTAAATATCGCTGAGATACTTTTGATGAAAATTCAAGGTATTGTCGAGGCTGCGGTCAATGGGGGTATCGTTAATTATGAAAAGGCTTTCGTTGAGAGTAGGGAATATATTCAGATTGATGATGGAATGGACATTGGACGTAAAGATGATCTCATCAAAAAGTTAATCAATTCAATTGCTTCCCTGATTCCTATTCTAGAGATTGCATTTGCTCTTGTTAAACCTTTCATCACTCCCGATCTTCAACCTTTGTATGAACATTTAGAGGAATCGTTCCGTAAAATGAAACAATCACGAGAAGTGGCCTATGGTAAACGACCACCTCCCAAGGAATTAACTTTCCTATTAAACGAGATCAACAAACGTAACTCATCATCAACTGAAGGAGAAGAGAAATTGGATCGATCAAGGTAAAAGTCTAATTCTAATTTATTTCTCTAGTTTATTTGTTAATATATTATCTTTCTCTTCACCTTTTAGTCTCAATCAAAGCGTTGGTAAAGGACGATCTCGATCGGTGTTTAGTCTTGCTAATCCGCCCAATTGGTCATTTCCCTCTGGGGCAACAATGAAGGAAACTCTGAGATCCAAGAAAAATTCATCCAATTCCAATGCCAATAGAAAAGCTAAAGGTGAAAGTAGCACCAAATGGTTTGACGTTAATGATAACAATCCAAGTTCGTTAGGTGATAATACCAATAACAATAATAATAACGAGATAAATACCGCCCGTTCCTCTGCAAACGATGTCTCAATGGACTCACTTTTGGTACGATCAGCTGCTATACGAACACCTAGACCTCGAAGTGGAGGACAAATAAGACCCTCTCCAGGTCGAAGTCCAATGAATCACACACTCTCAGCGACCTGTTTAACTACTTTTCCAATCCAATCCGAGCCTGAATACAATGAATCATCAGATATATTACAAGATTCACCAGAACCACCGCCACTTCCAGTTAAACAACATTCCACCATGGATCTGTCCATTGGTAGTCCCGATCGTGAACCCTTAACAATAGATGATCGAACTTCCTTTTCTCGTAATCGTAAAGGCTCCTTGCCCTCTAAATCATCAATCTTCAACAAACCCCTTCCACCACCACCACCCACCGTTGTTTATTATGCTCACGCCCGACAAACATCAGTTCCTAGTTATCGAACAAGCTCTCGAACCTATGTGTCACCCGAAGATAATACAGAACCACCTCTTCTGCCAAAGAGACCAAGTCATAGTACCACCAACCTCTCAGTGCCAATTTCCTCCGAATCAAGGAAAGATGCTATTTGAAAGAGGGCCAATAATCATACAATTAATTTCCATTTACTAATTACAAGGAAAAGAGGATCAACCTAGTCTTTAATTATCCTTAAATTGTCCACCTACTTTGGCCTTATCATATTTTTTTACCCACCATTGAGTAATATTTAAATTCCAATAATTAACAGTATCATTCATCAAACAATTATTAGTGCTAACTGGATTTAAGGTATTAATCATCATCATCATTATCAAGGAAACAAAATGAACCAAACAATTATTGCCATGAAAAAAAAACCATTTTTTATACTTACGATTCTAAGCTCTATTTTTATAAAACTGTGATTATTATCAACCTTGGATAATCAACGAAAATCATCCTAAATCATACCAACACAATCAAAGTCAATCAACAAGAAGAGAAAACAAAATCAAGGCTAATTAATCAACTTGACTAAAGTTATCAACCAAATTGTTTCTTTAATTTTTCTCTCTCTCTCTCTCTCTACCAAAACCATAAATGGGACACACACTAAAGCATATTCAATATGTAATCAATCATAATTGTAGACTATTTTATTTATCTTCCTCTCTCCAAATCATTCACCTTCTAATGACTTTTAATTGCCTTAATTTGATTGAAAAACATTTATCTCAATTGTTAAATAAATTCACAGGTAACAATTTATTTCTATTAAATTAAACATTTCAAACTCGAGACTATCAAAACCCTCAGAAGAAAATCGTAATTTATTATTAACACTAGAACACAGAATTTCAATTTTCCAATTAAAGTAAATCAACCAAAAGGGACAATTAAAAACCGAGAAAAAATAAAATCAAAGTTTACAATTAAATCGAAATAATTTGTATTTGGCGCCAAGAAGAAAAATTCATTTTCTCTTTAACTCCAAACACATGGTTGACTTTTCTTTTTAAATTTCCTTTTGTTTTCCAATTTTATTTTGATTGTTTATTTTATTCTCTCATTAATTTTGTTCATTATTTAATTTATTGATCGTTATGAAGGTGAAACGTTACAAGAGGGTTAGTAAGTACTTACAATTTTATCGTACTAACTTTGGTTTCCGAGCTCCTTATCAAGTGCTAATTGATGGGACCTTTTGTCAGAGAGCTTTGAAAAATAAAGTTAATATTCGTGAGCAATTACCTAAATATATTGGAGATGAAGTTACATTTAACACTACTATTTGTGTAATTAACGAGGTACAAAACATTGGTGAGTTTAATGTGCTATTGTCTTATTGGTATATTCACATTTCTTGTTGAGAATTTGATTCTAATAATGTGACTATTTTTTAATTTTCATTCTCTCTTTGTTTCTGTTAAATTTTATTCCTTTTAGGTCACTCTGTTTATGGTGCATTTCTAATTGTTAAACAATTTAAACCCCGTAAATGTGGACATAAAAATCCTATTGGTGCTGCAGCCTGTATTCGTTCATTGGTTGGTAAAGAAAATTCAGATCACTTTATCGTCGCCACTTCAGACAAAGTTTTGACACAAGAATTACGGAAAGTACCTGGATGTCCTTTGCTCTATTTGAAAAATAATAATATGAATTTAGAAGCACCTTCGCAGGCTAGTATTGAAAATGGAACTGAGATAAAACGTAAACAAGTTGGATCTGAACAAGTTGAACTTGAACGTTTAAGGGAATTGAAAGGTGAACTATTAGGAGCCAATGAAGAGGATGAAGCAAGTAAAAAGAAGAAAAGAAAAGGACCCAAACAACCTAATCCATTATCTTGCAAAAAGAAGAAAAAAATTGCAAATAATCAAGCAAATAAAACCAATTCAAAATCAACCGAAGACTCGAAAACTGAAAGAAAACGAAGAAGAAGAAAACAATCAACAAATTTCTCTATCATCCAAAAAGTTATTGACACTTTCACTAAACCAAATAACGAAGAAAATCCAGACAATTAACATGTTAAAATGATTTTTTTATTCAATTAAATTAACTAATTTAGTTTCTCTTCACAAATCACCTTACAATCAAAAATTTTTACTTTTCCATTTCCATGGTAACCAAATCAGCTGATACTTTTTCTCATTGACAATTTTTTCCTCGTTTTCTCACAAAATCTAATTATCTTTCGTTAATTCTGTACTCATTTTCCAAGTTAATCACAGTAATTTAATTTAAAATCCTCTCCAAATGGCCGGTAATAAATCCAAGTAAGTTTTAATCAACTCCTTTCGTGTCTATCTAATGATTAAACCTCCTAATCAAGATGTTTACTTTTCGCTTCACATTGAATCACATTTTTGTCATATCTTCATTGGTTGTTAATCTGGATTAACTTTTGCTCTTAATTTTTTGTTAATTAGGTTTATCATGGTCTGTATTAGAAGTGTCGTCACTGGACATCGGAGAAACGCCATTCGCCCAAGAGCCGGGGAGAAACTGGAAGTGTTAAGATACGATCCCAAGATACAAGACATGGCGATTTACCTTGAGGATAAAAAAGTTCATTCTTGTAAATATTAAACAATTAACGATGCTCATCAAATGGGTTGTAATTTAGTGCTAGCTGATTGTATAAAAGAAGCAAAAATGTTGCAAGATAAACAATTTGCTAAATAATTTATTGGGTTAACAATTATTTCCATGGTTTCTTTTGCTGATTCTCATCTAAATCAAATTGAATTAAATTTATTTCGTGAATTTTGTTTCCCTTGTTATCAAATGATGAAATCAAACACAAAGATATTGGTTTAATTTTGGGTTGAAACTTATTCCAACCCTTGATATCAACCAATCTGGTAAGAGAACATCAAATTGAGCAATTAGCTAATTGTACAATCCATCATAGAGATTATGTAGTTCAAGTGATTAAAGATTTAAAATTGCCACTAACTGTTAGTTTTTCTCACTTAAGTATCTTCATCAACTGTCGCACGTTGAAAGTATTAAGTGTCTTTTTGTTACTCTACTTAAGAAAGTCTAATCTTCTCAGTTAATTAGTTAATTACTCGCAGATTAAACGATGGATTTTATAGTTAACCTTCTTGGTCCTAAACCAATGTCACCTTACGAAACGGGGGAATATGTTCACTCGGTTTCGAAAAATGTTCGTGTTAATTGGGATGGAATTCGGTTCGTGGCCAATGAAGTAAGGAAAAAGATTCTCGACCTTTAACCTTGAACTAATCATTTCTTTTCCATGACCTGTTACATATTTAGTTGTACTCAACTCTAAGTGCCAATCAATATGATTTATCGGCTTGGAGGAAGCACCCGTTACATCCTAAAACCCTTTGTGATACAACAATTAACTGGATCTTTTTAGTTGATTCGCTCAACTTTTCCTTTTGGGCCAATAAAGGTGAAGAGTTCGCAGTCACTTGGCGAGGAGTTGAATACATTGGTTATTGGGCACTTTGTGCGGCAATTAATCGAGCCCTTGACCAAGGAATCCCAATGGTTGATCCCGCTTATTATGGTAATTTAACTTTGTACCAAGTGAAACGGATACTTAAGGCTCATCGTCCAGGTAAACCCAACGAACTGATTGACTTTCCCTTGATGGAGGAGAGACATCGCATCATGAGGAAACATGGTAAAGTGCTAATGGTGTCAGTGCCAATTTTCATCATCTTAATCACAATTTGTCCACAATCAATCCATCGTTCTGATCTTCTAATCAATCTTCTAATCAATTATATTCCAGAACTTGGGTAATAACTTTGCCGCTTTGATTGTTAAATCTAAATCAAGTGCGATGATCCTGCTAAAGAAGATACTTGATCGTTTTCCGAGCTTCAGAGATGTAGCTGAATACAATGGGAAGAAAGGTAACAATTAATTACCTGAGTTGTAAACCAGATTAATATTTAGATTATTTGATAATCTAATCTTATCCCATTGCAGTTTCTTTCCATAAACGAGCTCAGATCTTAATTGCTGATATTTACGCTTGTTATGAGAATCAAGGAATTGGACATTTCCATGATATTGAGGAATTGACAGCTTTTGCTGATTACAGGTAATTGATTATCATCAAATGAGAAGTGATTTCAATCATTAATCGTCTAATTTGATTTACAGAGTTCCTCAGATTTTGTACTATTACAATGCTCTAACTTACAAGAATGAACTAATTGCTCGTCTTAAATTTGGTGAATTAATGAGACACGGAGATCCAGATGAGACTGAAATTAGAGCGGGAACAATTTATGCGGTGGAAAAAATTAAACACCAAGTACGACGATTGGCACGAAGGAATCAGAATCATTCACTGATAATTAACTCGATAATTGTTGATTTTTGGCTATGGGACACTCGTCGTAGCAATGCTGAAGCGATTGATTTTAAATTGCCACATCATAAAGTTAGATCAATTTACTATTAGTTTTCCTATTACTTTACAATTAGAAATTAGTCAAGAGCTGTGAAATATTCATAACTTTTCATGATCAACAATTACTTTCTGAATCCCCTTAACTTCATGCCAACTAATTGCTCAAACTGTAATGCTAATTGTCCAAACATTGAATATTAAAATTTCTGCTTTGATATCAACTCTTAATTCAAATCATTTCAATTTCCACAGATCTAAATCTTCATTGATTGTTTCTATTAAGATCAAGCTCTCCGATAATTCATATTAAATACTTAATAATAATCAACACTAAGGTGATCAGCTGATTAGTTTAAATCAATCATCTTTCTACATGCTTATAAAAATGAGTTTCCAATTGAATGTATTGTTGAATCTACGGACGCCTCGGGCTAAGATTGACCTTCAATGTTGATTATGCTAATTATGAAATTTACATTCGGTAAAAAGAAATCACTTTGAATAACTAAAAGTTCGAGGAAAGGAAAAAGAAACTAATTAACTTTGTAAAACTAATTTAATTGTTTACTTACTATGAACTTTGGGAATTCCCTGATCGGTTATAAAACATGAAGATGATTATTTTGACTAAGAAATTTATTAGTGACCAGAGACTTGGTTATGGTCACTAAAGTTGTAATAAAAATCTAAGTCTTTGGTAAGATTATCATTAAATCTTATGATTTGATTGACAAACTGTTCAAAAATCAGCTCGTGAATAGTTTAATAGTTAATAAATTGTCGATATGAATTTAATTCGTTCATCACTGAATAACTTATTGATTGATTTTCTTTTAATCAATGGACTATTTCATTTAATACAATCGATTGATGTTCATCTTGATTATCAACAATCAAAACTTATGCAATTGGGCTTTGATAATATTTTCTGGTCGACAATTAATACTACACAATTAGAAACAATTAATGTCTCATCATCTTGTGCAAAAAGCTTAATCAATGTTCAAAAAGCCTTGACCAATGGACGAAAATGGTCAATCAAATGTGAGTAACAAATATTGTTGTTAATTAAATTACTTTACAATATTCTAGTTTTCTAATACGATAGTTTATCTTAATTAAGTGATGTCCTCGTCAGGCCACTTTCCGAGAAACGCACTTTCAACGGGATATTCAGATTTAGGAAATTTCGACCAATGTCTAAGTGTCCAGTGGACTAACGATATTAAAACAAAATCGACAAGTGAATTGGGACAACATTGTACAATATCATTTCTACCGACACTTAATCGATCCGAATGGTCTATCAATCCATTTACACGGAATAAAGTAATCGAACCAACTCAAGAAGCCGTTTTTAAGATTGGCCTTTGTACTCCGTCATCATGTTCACAAATCGATATTATCAACATTTTCACTAAAGGTAATTCCAATCGTAAGAATAATATTAGAATCGATCAATTAAACAATAATCTCTGTGTGAATATCAATTATTAGCTTTGCATCCACATCATTGGCACCTCATTAAGATTGATCAATGCAAAATCAAATCATCATTAATTACGAGAATCGTTGAATCAAATTTATATCAAAAATTGTCTCTGTAAGTTTTTCCTCACAATACAAATATCGAAACATTAATAATTAGGAATAGTTTAATTGTCTATTCAGCATCTTCATACTCGCACTTTTGTTGGTCAATATTTATGGAACTCTGTTGGACTGGTCATCTGGACACTCGTCAAGTTGGACTAATTGTTTCTCGATAATTAAAAGCTACGATCGTCTTGTCAATCCAAGTTCAGCTGCTCGGTGTCAATTCATCACCAAACTTGGCATTTCTCTGCACTTATACACATTGGTACTCCATTGCTCGGGCTGGTTTTTCATTTGCAAATTGATTGTATTTTTCTGTGAGTATTAATTGTCATCTACTGTCAATAATTGCTAGAGAATTGAGCTTATTAATTATCGACGATTTTGATGTCTTTCAATAATAGTTGATGTTTTTCTCCTCGAGTTCAAAGACAATAAATATTTACTCAGTTTTATACCGATTTATGTGTACGAAATACTCTTCGTCTATGGGTGAGTGCAGAAAATTTTTCACCTTAACTGTACTTGATTAAGAATAAATTTCGTTCATCATTAGAGGACTGACCAGATCACTGGAGATGTGGAGAGTTACTGGAAAATCAACAACAATTATTTCATCGTTTAAACATATAATCGACAAGATAATTCAGTGAGTATTTTTATTTAGTGTATTTGATTGGGTAAAAGTTAATTTGATTTGATTTTCGTTTCGTTCCAATCAGAATTTTGCTTCTTCAATTCGTATTGTTGGCGATCACTCTGATTAGCCCGTTAATTGTTACTGGTCCATTTAGTGTGATAGCTCTTGATTGGACTGCTAATAATTGTATTAAATCATTTTGGGCTAATCTTTTGTTTTGGCAAAACAATTATCGTCCATCTCAGGAAATGGTAACAATCAATTTGGAAAATTGTTGTCGTCACAATTAAACTAACACTTTTATCATTATTTTAGTGTTTACTTCACACTTGGTCAATTGCTCTTGAATTTCAACTCTTGCCTTTAATTGTTACATTGATTCACTTTTATAAACGAAAACCCAAATTTGCTGTAACGTTGAACATTTTAATCGTCATCAGTGGACTGATCTACTTTGGTTTAAACACACTAATCAATAACCTACCAATTAACTTTCATATGGGCAAACTTGATATCGGGTAATAAGATAAATTAATTATGTTCAACTAAATCGAGACAGTTAATAACTAATTGTTTCCACAGGACAATGATACTCTTTGCTGATTCTATTTATTTCCCTACACTGATGCATCTTTGGATATACCTGATGGGACCACTTTGGACTTACTTGATCATGAATGATCATCAAATTGTTCAGCAATTAAGAAAAATTTCTCTTTCCTGTGTGATACTTTTTCTTACGATTTTACCGTTTATCCGACTTTCATTGGAAAACTATTGTAAAGGGCCAACTTTAAACTCTATTTACGTTGTCATCTATCGGCTATTGACGATAATATTTTATTCAGTTATCATAATGTCGAGCAGTGAACAGTTGAAATCGTTTTTCGCTCATCGGGAGGACAAAACGTTGAATAATAATAACAATAACATAATTAAACTCGCAGTTAAATCAACTGACACTCAACGAAATCATCGATTGCTTCATTTTGTATCGACAGTATTGAGATCATCTTATTATGTCCACACTGTAGCAATCGTCATGGTCTACACGTACCAAAGAAAAGAAATCTCGTCATTCATAAGCCTTGTAAGTTTCTTTATATTGAAAACAGTTGATTAACATGTTGATTCATTTCTCACTAGGTTTTCACTGGGATTAAATGTGTAATCGCATCAATTATCGGTGGATTTATTTTCCATTTAATTGTATTCGATCCAGTCGGTAAATTGATTTGGTTTTGCAAATCGAAGCCAAAAATAAGTTGAAGCGTAATGGACCATTAAATGCTCTCAATGAAAGTGAAGAAGCTTTTTACTATCGACAGAGATCAAAATTGATTATAAATACAATTAATTTGTATTTGAAATTGAATTAAATTATCATAAGTCTAATTCTAACAATAAGATCAATCAAAGTCTTAATCATTTTCAGATTTCTACAATTAAACTAATTGTCGTTGACAACTTGACTGTTGGATAAAACTGATTTGACAATCGGTTATTCATAATCGGTTTAAATATTCTGAATGATTTGCTTGATAATAATTGTAACATAAGAACAAAAAAATATCTAATCTGATTAATTAGTAAACTATCATTATTTGGTCAACATGAAAAATAATCAAATGATTATTACTCTGGAAATCAATCAACTCAATCAACTTTCACTAGAATAAAACTTAGTCCAATTGTAATTAAATCTCTAAACAATTAACCGTTAACAATTATAATAATTAACAAAAAAAAATTAATTTATCAACAAGAGTACATACAGGTCGGTACATAAAACATTTGAACAATTTTGAAGCTCAATAATTAACAAAATACTAGCATTATGTATATATTAATAGTAATATGATTGAATTCCCAATAATCAATCAACAAAATGATCAAAGGTCTGATTAGCATTGAAACCAGAAATTAACCAGAATCAATCGATTAGATTATCGGTTAGCAATCAATAACACAATTAGATTGAAATTTGAAAACAATAACTGTTAGTAATTAACAAGGATTCGGATGTTATAATCGGATGAAATAATCGTGGACTTTAAAATTTGATTTTCCATGAAAATGAAAGTCGAGGTTTGGACCAGAACTTTAATTTTTTCGTTCTTCCATCTGAAAATATGGTATGAGTTGACTCGTTGGTAAGAATCACGATTTTTTTGGAGTTATAGTTGGAAAAATCTAATCCTTTCTTCACTATCAATATTTTCGTATTGATTTTTCGAGATTTTTGTTCAAATCAATCGAGGTTATCGTTGAATATTTTCTCGACGATTGTCAGCGAAAGAAGAAGTCACCAAGTGAATGAAAGAATTGTGATCCGCGCATTTGCATGTGAGATTCGCTGTCGTGTTTCCATCCATTTCATCCCTTCTGATTGAAATCTATTCTTGGTAACTCTAATTAGGTGACTAGGAACCATCTTGGTAGATTTGTCTTCTCACTATCATCATCCTTTGAGAATAACAAACATTTCGTTTGAACATTTCTGTCTTCCCTCTTTCCACTTTCCTCTTTCGTCTTTTCTTTCCTCCTTTTCCTCTTGCTCCTTCGAAGTGTAAAGATGATCATTTACTCTTGTTTGGGTTGAACCATTTGTTTATCACCAGTGCAATTTAATGTGAAATTGTTCCTTTGTTTCGTCAATCAATTTGCAACATCAAAACATCAACAACAGCAACAATTAGTCGTAATGCCAAACACGGGAAAGTAAATTTTGTGAATCAGTGGGAGAAGAATCAAGATTCAAATTCAACAATCAACTTGAAACATTAACCATAACATAGAGTAACCATTTTTTTTTTCATCTCAATCATCATTATGGGAAATCAATTGACCCAATGTATTGACTTGGCCAATAGCGCATCATCAGTCTTGTCTCCGCAGGGGAAAAATCCAGCAGCCTCGTTCATCGGACCGGATACACTGAAAAAATTGAACGTTAATGAAGAGGTGATAACCGAAGGGATAAAAGCTCTAAGTGAATTTATATTGAAACCAAAGGTTGTAAAACCGCCACCAGCACCAAAGCAACCGAAACAATTTCACAATGTAAGTGGTAATCATTACATGTATGATACTTGACAATAATAATAATACACCAAAGTGAATCAATTTGAGATAAACATCCAGTAGTTAGACTAGTAGATTAATCAAGTCCTTTGAAATTGAGATAAAAGTAAGACACTTGAAAGATCTGGTGGTTGATTGATAATCCTAACAGATGATAACCAATTAATGGTTTTTCATCCGATTGTGTCAACCAAATTTCTGGTTCATTGATAACAAGAAAATAACCAGACAACACCGGTAGACAAAGAAAATCACAAAATTAAAGGTGAACAATCAATTGGATCAACGCAATTACCACAAACAAAAATATTGACCAAGGTCCAAATATAAATGCACAAGAATCACATGTAACCTAAACACATGGAAAAAGCTAAAAGGCAAATTCATTTTCACCAAAACGAACTACAATTCAATAGCTTTGAATCTGTTCACAACTCTAATCACATCTTAATAAACCAAATTAAGAAACAATTAAGATAAAACAGATTCAAATTGTCGAGAAAAAGAAAAACAATCAACTGTAAACAAAGAAAAAATCTTTGTTGTTATGATCGCAAAAGAGAATAAAAAAAACCGGGTTTTCTTTTCTTTCCCCTGAGGGTCGAGTTATTTTCTATTCTAATAGAAAACGAGAGATTCTAATCAATTTAATCGGAGAATTTGATAATTTGATCAAATCTGATGAGTTTCTAACAATTAAGATTAGAATAATTAAGATTTTCTCTTTCTCTCTCTTACTCTTGTTTACTTTTGTCTCTTTCTCTTTCCACTCAAGTCTTTATGTCTATTCAGTTACACATGAGTTAATCTCTTTTTCTGGTTTGTCATCATCTCTTTTTTGTCTTTAATTGTTTAGAATGTTTCATTTTTGTTCCACAATTAAATGTAGCAAATAGTTACAATTACCAATTTACAATTAGTTCTAATTTCCATCCAATCACCAGTTAATTGTGTTATTGTTTTTCTATGTTTGAAACCATTGAAAGGGATCATCAACTCATCTTCACTTTTCCACCATAACCAAATAGTGTTTGTTTCTTGTTGTTAAACAACATTTTCTTTTTGTGTATCATCATCATCATCATTTAAAGTAGAGACCCACCCGAAAATATAAAGTGTTTATCTCTTTCAATCGGATTAACTTGGATCAGCAATTTTTTGTGTTTAATCTTCATTTTTAAGTAATCACATTATCTCTGATTATTTGTTACCTTGTTTCCTGCTCTCTCTGTCATCAAAACCACCATCAAGTTGACACTTTTTGGTCCATTGAAAGTGTCCATTGGTAACTTAGCTCATCTAAATCCCATTCTTATTCCAAATTCCATTGTTTTTTTGTTCTTTTTTCCTTGTGTTTTGTTTTCTTCATCTCGGTGAATTTGTGATTTTATAGCCTCCACTTATCGTTTCCTAATCGAACCAGAATCTAAATTGTATTCCAGTGAACCCAATTACATGATAAAAGTACCAGATGAAACCAGGGGAATAGATTATTGTATTTAGAATCTGGTAGATAGATTGACACAACATTTATATCATTTATCCATATTTTTCATGCGTAAATTCATCTATTAATTGATATCATCTCAAAATTAATCTCTGTTCAGTTTGCCTGAAAGAAGAAGAGATTAGAAATTTAATTTGAGTGGAGAAGAAAAAAAAACTCATTGGAATTGTTGTCGTTGTTTTTTTCTCTTCATCTTTTCTTGTCTCTGTCTTGAATATATTCCAGTTAATTGTCCAATTGTTTACGCTTCATTTTTGACAATTTCCAATCATCAATTCATTTTAATCAGTTAATCTTCATCATTTCCATTCATCATCATCTTCCTATTCGAATGACAAAAAGCCTTTCAATCTAATGGGAGAGCCACATTTCTACAAGGTAAACAACTAACTAGACTTTTATCTCTGTCTTCATCTCTGTTTTCTATTCTTCATGTTCAATTCTCTTTTTCATCTTCCTCTCTCTCTCTCTCTCTCACTCTGAGTTTACCACGTCTTCGATTCTGATGTTCATGAGCCGATAAAACGTTTTCTCTCCATATTGTTCCTTCCACACCCAATAAGTTTCTCTCTCAATCAAAGACTGTTGAACTTTTTTGTGATCTTTTCTCGTTATGATTATTTTTCAAATTTGATGCCAACTAATTAATCACTTACAATGGTTATTCATAATGTTGGTTGTATTTCAAACTCTTTGTTTACCTTGTGTTGTGATTGTTACTTTTCTGTGTCAATTATTGTCATCTCATGTTAATCTAGTTACATGTTTATCTTTTTCGTATTAACGTAATTAATTTGTCTCTTTCTCTCTTTGGTGATATTTTTTTTCTCTCTCTCACCAATTGAACAGTTTGGTGAACACGGTTCTGGATTCAGAGCTCCTAATTCAGATGCTATTCAAGATTTTAATCAACTACGTGAATTCTGTCAACAAAATGGTCAACTGTTTGAGGATAAATCGTTTCCAGCTATTGGATCATCTCTTTACTTTTCAAGTAAAGAAGGAAATAAATTCAAATGGATGAGACCCAAGGAACTTGTTGATGATCCTAAATTCATCGTTGAAGGTAATTAATACCTTAATTATTTTCCATTTATCACTTTTATCATTCAATTGTATTAATAATGAGACTCATTTATTAACTGAAACTCAGATATCTCATGTCCTCCATGTAGGATTCATGGGTAATCTCTGTTGGAAAAGTTTCTTTATGTTTCATTCTCATTCCATGATCAAGGTTCTCATTTATCAGTTAACTCAACGAATTAACAATTTAACAATCCAGTCAAGCTACTTTCATCCTTATTTTTAATTCACTCAAGTTCTCATGTTAATTTATTTTCCACCTAGAATAGTGTTTAATTAAATCTAATCACTTTTCGTTAAAGTAAATTGTCTTTTACCTCACCAGGGACAATACATACAATTGTATTCACTGTATATTCATTAATTAACCATCTCTCTTTCATTTTGATACAAGGTTATGATTCCATAGTCTGAACATGATGATGATGACATGAATTTTACCCATGTAACCTGTTCAATGAACATTTGACACACCCAATTGTTTGATGATATATTAGATTAGGTGGATTAAAACCTACACACAAATTAAATCCCGAAAAAAGGGATTATCCTATTGAAAAATATTTTCCATGGACAATCTGTTTGTTTATATTTAGTGATAACTTTTCTTTCTCCAATTAATTACAATTCTATAATTTGTTAATCAACATGTTCCTCGTAAAATTAGCAACAACACAATTAGTTGAAAGAAAAAACTTCACATTGAAATTTGATGAGAAAAAAAGATCTGTCAGAATTCAGAATTTTCTTGGCTCATCGTTTGTGAATTAAATTGTTTACATGAATTTCTCTCTCTCCCCCTGACAAAAACTAGTTGATTTATCTGTAACTTATTAATAGTAATCAAATCATTCATTGATTGGAGGCTCGAAAATTTTTTACTCACTTATTTATCTCCTTTGTAAATATCAATCTACTATCAGTGTTAATCACTTAATCCAACACTAATCTCGATTGCATCATCTTAAAACAAAAAGAAACCATGAAAATCAATGAGATCAACATGTTGATTAACAGTAAATATTTATATTATCTTTCATTGATTAGCTTTCATGTTTATTTAGCTTAATCAACAATTAGTGATCTCATATTAAGTAACCGGTTTAAAGTTGATTGAAATTCATTTTTTCCTTTTAATTTATAATCACCTTACCAATAAGAATCAATCAAATCAACTGAGTATTTTTAATGACACTTTCATATTGAATTTGATTGAATCGATAATTGGTAATTAGTTTTCACTTTCACGAATTGATTCATCATTTTGTATAATTGTTTGGTTTTCTTGATTATATTTATATATGGTAAATATTAGTTTCAATGTAACTATGGTGAGTAAATGATATTGCCTGGAAATGAAATAATTAATACAACCATATAATTAATGATTAAACCATTAATTGTTTAAACGCTCAACTGTATTTCCTTTGGTTAATTCATTTCTCCTCATTGGTTTTCCAGCTCGAAAACAAACTCAATTCATCTCGAAAGTTATATTAATATCTCTTGATGTGTAGCATCATTTCATTTATCATGAAACAATAATTTCATGGGCTAATACATAATCTTAGCCAATAAATTGATCTCTCAGCTTTTTTCTTGTATCCTTGAAATCATTGATCAGTTATGACATGAATCTCTCATCTAGTTATCATCTTCTCAAGATGATTGACTTTACTTCATCTATTGTTAATTTCCAGTTAAATTAAATTGTCTATTTGATATTTATCACTTAAACGTTGACAATTAACACAATTTATTTCATTCTATCATTGATGCCAAAAAAAATACAAACATGAAAGAAGATAATTTGAAACCAGGATTGGTTATTGTATCTTCTTTACACTGACAACCTACTTTTCTAGTCTATCAAAATATTTACTTTCTCCTGAATCTGAATCAGAATTTCCGATGAAAAAAAGGGCGGGAAACATAAGAGTAACTCTTAACTTACTCTGTGATTATTTTGTGATTGTTTCGGTTGATAAAATTCTTATTCTATTCCAGGTTCTGTTTATCAGGCTCAGTTCCAACCATGAAAAAAAAGTTCATTCGTTTCATGCACCAACATCCAATTTTCCCTCTATTCTTCCTCCTCCTCTTCTAATAGTACATTTGACAGCCATGTATTCAACTAACAAGATAACTTAATTTCCCCTACTTAAAGTTCACAATTAAGACTTAATTTCATTCTGTTTAATCATATCATGGTTAATTTGAATCCAATTCCTGTAACTTTCAACATATCTTTTTGTTTCTTATCACAATTATAATAACCATGAGCTTGGAATTAAATCTTCTCATGTAATGTCAAATGTGATGATTATCACTCCATGTCAATTTGAAGCTATCTAATTTCTTGCATGATAGATTCATTCTCCACCCATATTAAGTTCATAGATTATTTTTTTTCTCATTCTAATCCAACAGGAGCATCTCGTTTCGATGTCTGTCAAGGTGAACTCGGAGATTGTTGGCTTCTTGCATCCATTGCCAATCTAACTCTCAATGATAAACTCTTCAAACGAGTTGTCCCTCATGACCAAACCTTTGGATCTGATTACGCAGGTAAGTTGACTGATTATATTGTTGTGAGTTTTGTTTAATTTATTTTCATATTTTTTACCATTATCAGGAATATTTCACTTCCGTTTCTGGCAATATGGTAAATGGATTGATATCTGTGTTGACGATCGACTACCTACAATCAATGGAAAACTTGTCCTCATGCATTCTAAGGATAGGAATGAATTTTGGAGTGCACTTCTCGAAAAAGCTTATGCAAAGTGAGAATAGTTTATGGAAAAAGTTGATTGAGTTGTGTTAAAATTCATTCATAATCTATTTCTCCTCTGAATTTTCTAGATTACATGGAAGCTATGAAGCTCTTAAAGGAGGAACGGTTACTGAAGCAATGACCGATTTCACTGGTATGAAAAAGTCACCGAAACTGGAACCATATAAATTTTATATCGATTTTTTTATCTACCCAAACTTAGGTGGTCTTACGGAATTTTATGAGATTCAGACTGATGAATGTCCGTCCAATTTGCTACAAATCATGCTCAAGGCTTTCCAGAGATCTTCTTTCATGGGTTGTTCAATAGATGCACTTGATTCATCAATGATGGAATCAGAATTGCCAAATGGTAATAATTCACTCGTCATGTAAACATAACCTTAAACTTGACATGTTTTTTACTATTGAGTATTAATGATGTTTTTCCTGCTCATTTAGGACTAATCAAAGGACATGCCTATTCGATTACTGCTGTGAGATGTGTTGAGCTAAAAACAGCGAGAGTTCAAGGTTAGTTTCTTTTTGGAAATTCTTAAAATACTCAGGAGAACATCTAACTTGATTCATTTATGTTTCTTGTCAATTTGTTTCTGTAGGAAAAATTCCCTTGATTCGTATTCGGAATCCATGGGGAAATGAGGCTGAATGGAAAGGTGCTTGGGGTGACGGGTAAGGATTATGCTTTAATCATTCAAAAAGATTATTGTGTAGTTATTAATATATTTTGAATTTTTCAGGTCTCGAGAGTGGACATTGGTTTCTGAGTCCGAGAAAAAAAGCCTCGAGTTAAACTTTGAACATGATGGTGAATTTTGGATGACTTTCGATGATTTCAAGTCCAATTTCACTAAACTTGAAATTTGTCATCTCACTCCTGAACCAGTTGCTGATGGTCAGTTTTAATTATTTGAAAATGGCTTCATGTAATTAAAATTCATTCACTTTCTCGCAAATTTTTAGGTCCCAAAATATTTTGGAATGAAGTGCAATTCGAGGGTGAATGGGTAGCTGGTGTTACTGCTGGTGGCTGTCGAAATAATCTTCAAACCTTCGCCAGTAATCCTCAGTATATAATCGAGCTGAAAGATCACGATGAAGGTGATGAGGATGATCTTTGTACCCTAATTGTTGGTCTCATGCAGAAAAATCGTAGAGCCAAACGTAAAATGGGTCTTGATTCATTGACTATCGGTTTCGCCGTTTACGCTATCAAAGATGGACTTTTCTCTTATGGAGATGAACCAGCCGCAACTCGTGGTTATGCACGTCGTCAATTGCTGCCAACAGAATTCTTCAAATACAATGCATCAGTTGCAAAATCACCCACTTTCATTAATCTAAGAGAGGTTTCATCGCGAATGAGACTCCCACCAGGTCAATATTGTATAATCCCGTCCACGTTTGATGCAAATGAAGAAGGTGAATTCATTTTAAGAATCTTCACCGAACGGCCACCAACAACCGCTGAAGAAAATGACGATGAAGTTGGATACTGTCCAGAAGATATCGACCAACAAAATACTATCATCATTGATGAATCAAGGGATAAAGTAAGAAACAATCGGAGTTCAGATTCGCCGATGTCACATTTTAATTCAGTTCTTTTTTTGTTTCGATTGCATGTTCATTTTATTAACCATCAAACTGATTAATTTTATGTTGTCATGTGTTCATATATCTTTGCCTTGATTGCTTGTACTTCGATAACCAATATATGTTACATTTAACTCGTAATTTTCCAGGTTGCCGAAGAAGATATTGTTCGTCGTGAAGTTAAACCACCTTCACCAGGTCCAGGCCAAAATATTCTCGGTGGTCAAGATATGACTCGTTATATTGAAATTTTCGGAACTGTGATGACCGGTCTTCGTTTTGTATTAACAAATTGTGTTCAAACTGAAGAGACTAAAGTTTGTTTATTGCTTCGTACTTGACCCTTTCCCTATCAAACCCTTTTAATCCATTAGATTATTAGAATATATTGTAACGTAATAATCTAATTGCTCGATAATCTAAAATTTACTTAACCGACAATAATGAAAATAACACAATTAATATGAGATAAAATCTCAATTTTATTGCTTGTATTCCAATAATAACATCACAGAACAAGTTCAATTCTGAACACTTCGGATTTTCATCGTTACAATGTTTTCATCAATCTTTATTTCTTGTCAATCAATGTTCACTTAATTAACTGTTATTAATTATTTTCTAATAACTTTTATTCTTAGGATCCAATGCAACAGACTCAAGGGACGAAAGTGCTATCAACTAAAACAGCCGATTTCTTTACTCGAATCGCTGGTGAAGATATGGAAGTCGATGCTGCTGAATTACAGGAAATACTTAACCATGCACTTAAGAAAGGTATTTCTATCGATAGATCTCAATCATTTTCCATATTGTTTTAATCCTTTGTGATACCTGTAACACCCAATTGTTATTCACTCTAATCTAATCCTTACTAACTTAAAGCTTTAATCGGTTACCTTGGTCTTTAAATGTTAACTTTGTCTTTCTCTAACTTTCTTTGTTCTAACAATTGCAACAACATAATTATCCTGATTAACAATAAATCTTTTCATATATGAAGATATTGGTAAGAAATCAAGTGCTTTCTCTTTGCTCTCAATTCAATTTGCTTTGCATGTTTTTCTGCTTTAGTGCTTATTAGTTAATCTTATAATGCTAACGAAATTTTATATTGATTTTGTCCAGAGTTCAAATTTGATGGTTTCTCCTTGGATACATGTCGATCTATGATCGCTTTGTTGGACGATGATAGATCAGGTAAGTGACCGAAATTGCGTCGACAAGGAAAATGTTATATATTAATTGATGATTTTTGTTGTTTTTGTTGTTGAAATCAATTCAAAGGTAAACTTGGCTTGGATGAATTTACATCTCTTTGGACCAAAATTAGACATTGGTGTGATGTCTTTAAACAACATGACAAGGATTTAAGTGGAACCATCAATACGGCTGAACTACGCTCGGCTCTACATGAGACTGGTCTATCTGTGAATAGACAAATATTAATTCTGATTGTTCATCGTTATGGTGATATTTATGGCAAGAAACATGACCAATCAGTTAAACATGAAAGATATTTAACTTTTGACAACTTTATTCATGTTTGTTTGAAACTCAAACATAGTATTGAACTTTGGAATGATCAGAATACAAAATCGTCTCAAACAATATCCAAATCATCCTCAGGCGCTTCATTTACGCTGGATGAGGTGAGAAATAGATTATATTGTAACAATAGATTATTACCTTTGATTAACTTTTAACTTTTCTCTCTGTTATTTCAGTGGGTTGAGAGAGTCATGTATTGCTAATGACGATGACACTTTCTCAGGAAGAGAATGTAAATCAATTCGAATGCCCAAAAATGGAACTTCTATCATGATATCTGCTTGAATTCATCTCTTATTCTTTCCTTTTCGCTAAACTCTTATACTCGCCAAAATTGATATATAATTCGTGTTATGGACTGGAAAACAAATATTATTAATTATACGTGGAAATTTGCAATCAAAGGCCTGTTTTAATCATCATTAAATTAACCCGCAATCATGCATCATGTATTTGTATTATCTTTTCAAATTGGCAACGTAAAAATTGAAACTCATCTGTCCAAAATGTCCAAATTAAATGATTATGGTTCATGGGCATCAGCTTTATATTCATGAAACAACAACAAAAATATTCTTGCTTTCCAACCAATATATTACCTCCTTGTGTGCTCGATGTTTACCTTAAATTTTGACAAAAGTTATCATGCTGAACTTTACCTGAGATTGATGAAAAAAAAATGAATTACTGTCCCTAAATATTTACGATTCAAGAAAAAAAAAACTAAAATCAAAACAATCAAGAAACTTTTTCAAAAGTTGTAACTCTTGAGCTCTTAAATTCAGCTTTGCCTATTTAAATGCTCATTTATAAAAAAAAGTATTATCCCAACTCACTAATTGTTGTTTACTATTACATCACAAACAATAGTTAATTAGTTAAGTTGAATTTGTATCAATCAAGTTATCATTTGTAAACTTTACGACTTACGCTTTATTGGCCTGGTACTAAGAAGACGGAAATAGGAATGGACTTGATTTCCGTTGTTTTCAAAGAGGTAAAACTGATTAAATAAAATGTTTTTGGAAAAATTATCCAGGATAATAATCTCATAATCAACAATTGGAGGTTTTGAAACGATTAAGATTTGATTGATTTATTGACGACGCTGTTTAGTTAATTGCCAATTGTGGCCTGAAAGGAAGTGCTTCTGACCAATACTATGTGATAATAAATTGTAAATGAAAATATTATTATGAATTTTAGTTTGAAAATGAAGTACGATTGATTGTGATTGCGAAACAGTTAATTGTTTTGATTTCTTGATGTTTGTTTTTCTGATAATCAAACAATCAAACGGTTAACTTGATAATTGTTGATGGCTTAATCTTAATTGTCAAAGTTAATTGTATTTGTGAAAATTGTATCTTAAAACCACATTAGCTTTTTCCCTTAATCATTAAGATAACTTTTTATACTTGATACAATTAAGTATTCAACCTCAATTATAACAAAACAACAATAGTAACACTTAAGTAATAATAATAACAACAAACAACAAGACGAAACAATTTAAACTAATAACTGGACATCACTTAATTGTGATGGTTAATTTAATCATTTCTTTCCTTGCTTTTATTTTAATTTTGTCCTTCAATTGTTGTCGCTATCATAATTATTATTACATGATAATCAACAATTAACTCGTGCTGATGATCATTCAAAGTGTTTGACAATTAAAAATCAGAAGCAAATTTCAAGATCAAGCCTCAAGTTGATTAACTGGAATATGAATACAATTAAATGATGAGTATAAATCTCTCAGTTTACTTTAATTTTTACTTCATATCCATTGGAAATTAGCTGGATAAAATCAACAATTTAATCTCATTCATCAAGATTAATTCAATTATCTTTGATTAGATTTCAATTGTCACGAAAACTTTTCTCATTGTTGGAAAGTTTTTTTTTTCCTTATTCATGATAAATCATAAGAAAAAATTTTCTTCTCGAGCCTCATGGATTCTCATTACAATCCTGATAATGTGACAATACAAAGGCTCATGTTGCTTGATGAAGTGTCCATTGTGTGGTCAACGTTTCTCAAAAAGTACCGTTACAACACCAAAAGGGTAACATTAGAACTTTTCTCAATTCGAAAGAAAAAATCGACAATCGAAGAGCCGATATTTTGTTTTTCGATCTCTTTTCAAGGTTAACAATTTACTACAATCATTAGAACAATTTATTTTTACTTGCCGAGTCTCGAATTTAATTGGCGATTTTCAGATCAACACGAATTCAAATTCACTAATGATATTATTTAAATCGTTTGATAATATCAGTTGAATGAGAGAGAAAACAAAATATTATTGTTACTAATTAATTAAAGTTTCTATTAAATTGATGATTGAAATATATTATCATTATTCACACTCACGTCAAATTGTCATTAATATTGATTTAATTGTAAACCATTTTGAGATAAATTGTTACCTTTCGCGAATTAAATTACAATCATTTGGTAACCATAAATGATGAGGTGTTAATCAACAATTGATAAATTGCTAATGGTATAAATAATTGTTAACGGTTAATTTTATTTTTTTGATTGTTAACCGTTAATGATATTAATTGATTTTGATTGATGAAATTTTCACAATTAAGTTTCATTTTTATTTTACATTTATGGTCAACATATTAAATTAAATACACTCTTGTTGATTAAACTATTGGACCAGCAATCAATAATTTAGTAATTTCAATTGGTGATAATAACAATAATGATTGATATGGATCTGACTTACGATTGAAACATTGTCCGATTAGTTGTTAATTAAGTTAATTGTGATCTTGAAAAACGTTTTGAATCACTTTCATTTCAATTGACAATTAACTCGCAATCACATTTCAATCAATTCAAGTTTTACCATTGTAACGGTAAAGGAAAATAATACAATTTAATTAACTGTTAATCCAGTTTAACGGATTAACAGTTTAACCATAAACCGGAAATTTAAATTGATTAATGATTGTCCATAAGTGTGATTAGTTAATTGTTGTCTTTCTTATTGTAATCAAATTCAAACAGGTAACAAGTTTTTATTTTTCTTAATCAATCAAATTCAATTAATTCAATTCACTTATTAACTTTGATTACGAACACATTTTGATCTAATTGTTTTGATTAAATTGTCATTTCCTTGAATATTAACTTTCCAATGGTAACAATTTAGTTGTTCAGTTCCTTATGAGTTAATTAATTTACAATAATCAAATCATGTTCAACATCAAATCATTTGATTATCTTTTCCATCATTGAGAATTGATTGTAATCCAATTTACCTGTTAATTGTTATTGATTTTCTTAATCATTTTTGAATAAATATTTTCCTGACTACTTCCATTCACACTAATCACGTAAACAATTAAATGTCTATTATTTAAATGTAATAATTAATATTGATAATTAAGTGTTAGAACGTGATTTAGATACGATTATCTTAAAAAGTATCAACAATTAACTTTTTTAAATTAGATAAATGAATCAAAATCAAGGCTATGTGATTAACTTGATTATTTTATCACAATCATCGTCATCAAGAATAATCATCATTAAATCACAATATTTTGTTGATTGTTGATGATTAAAGTACAACAAAAGTTTTCAGTCTAAATTGTAAATCAACAATTAACTAAAATAGTTTAAATTGTCAATAGTTAACTGGTTGATTGTTAAAGAAAGTAAAAAAAAAATGATAATCATAATAATAATTATATTTTATCAAATTGCTTTGCTAAATTAACTTGAGGTCAGTAAGAGCCAAGGTCAAGATATTGACCAATGTACCATAAATTGAATCGATGATATTTATCATCATCATCTTAATCACCTAATTGATTGTCCTTCAATTAACCTACACACAATTTAAAATTGATAACAATTAGTGTTACTTTTCATTTCAAATTATTCTTTCAAAGTTAATCGATATCGATATTGACCATTCCAAGAAACTGGTCAATATTTTTTCAATTGAATAGGAAAAAAAAGCGGCAAAAGTGTAAACATTAACAACAATTAAGACCTAATCCCAATTACAATTTAATCTAAATTATCTCATTAGACTTATTGTTATCATTTCGACGATTGTTGAGTTAGAAAAAAAGTTTTCGAAAAGTTTTTATAAACAAATCGCTTCGAGGAAATGTCCAGTTTAACTTTCTTCACTTTAGGTGGATGGACATTTATGATGATAGAAACAATTGTCAATATGAAGATGAGAAAGATGATGAAGATAAAGGACACGAAAAGAAAGAGATTGTGAGAGAAGGTAAAAAATAGTTATTCTCAGTTGACCCTCTCAAAGTGACCTCAATCAACGGCGAGAAAATTACTTTGTAAGAATCACAATTAATGAGATGAGTTTGGACATCACAATCAATTTGAAATAAAGTCTCTGTTAATCTTACCAAAAGTGACCAGACTTTGATGGTCAATCCAATTATTATTCATTATAAGTTTGAACTGACTAAAACAACTCATCAATACACTAAAAAAAGGGTAATTAAATGTTGTAATTAAAAAGCAACATAAAAGGGTTGAATAGGTTAATCCACCTGAGGGAAGATTAGTAAATCCTGTTGAAGGGAAAGTACTTGAATCTAAATGTTAATTAACAAATGAGGTGAGTTAGTAGTCGATGGCTACTTACCCCTTACAGGTTAATGATGATAATTAAATAGTAATCAAGACTTGACAAACTCCTCCTAATGTTTCATTCACTTGTCTTTCATTACAGTTTCTTACCTACAGCTTGACCCATATTCAACTTAACTGGACACAAGTTTTATCCTCTTTCGTTTCTTTCTGTCTTTTCAATATTTTCCTTTCGCACTTGAATTAAATTTTACTTTCTCTTTTTTCGCATTCTTATTCATCTTCATCTTCTTCTTCTTTATCTTCTTACCTTGACAAAAGTGCTTCGACATTGGTTCAAACAAACGAACGCCTTCAAAAACAATCGCACGTCCAGAAAAGTTTTCAGATCAGTATAAAAACTCACAACTCGATTTCATGATAAGCTCATTGTTCAGTGAAGTTCAATTGGAACAGTTTAAATTGTGTCCACTTATATTCAACTAATAATAAAAAGTTTTTCTTTCAGTGACAAAATTAACCATAACCATCAACAATGATTAAGGTACATTTCCAAATCTTATTTACATATAAATCTAGTGATACTTTATCTCGGATAAACTAAAGATAAAGCTGATAATCAATCGATCCATTTGTTAATTGTTTCACCTTCTTCCCCTACAGAGTTTAATTATCCTCGGCTGTTTAACAGTTTGTACAATTTCATCTCCAGCATACTATGGATACTCTGGTCCTTCATCAAGATACTCACACATCCCAAAAGCAGCTTACGCCATTCCCGCTCCGTCTTATGCATCACCGAAAGCTTCTTATGCCGAACCTCTTTATGTAAGTAAACATAATCCTTTTCATAATCTCCATCATGAAACCGATAATCCCCAGAAACACTCTTGATCAATCCTTAATCTGCTCCCTTTCGATTCGTATCCTTTTCTTAGGAGCACAAACCTCAACCCTACAGTTTTGGCTATGACATAAACGATGGCTATGGAAACAAGAACCATAAACAAGAAGAAGGTAATATTGAACTTGGATAAGATTTTCCCTTATTCTTATTCTTATTTCGTTTATTTTTCTAAGGTGACGAATATGGTGCTAAACGAGGTTCTTATGGATACACTGATGCCCATGGAATTTATCGTAAAGTTGACTATGTCGCCGATAAACACGGTTTCCGTGCTACCGTTTCAACAAACGAACCTGGAACTGCACCAAAAGATCCAGCTGATGTCAAGATGATCGTCAAAGAATCACCACCAAGTCATTCAGTTTACGCTGCTCCAGCTTATCTTAGACCTTCATATGCTCCAGCTTACGATCATCCAAAACCTTCAGGTTACTCATCAAGACCTGAATATGGAAATTATCATGCAAGTCCTTATGGTCCACGACGACACTATTGATCTATTCATAGACAATTAGCTTCATTCACAACGATTAATATTAAATCTGTTACTCGTCTTCCCTTTTCCTGATGGTTATCATTTTTGTATCAATATAAATGAAAAAAATACTGCCCATTAACTGATTAATCAATTAATTAATCACTTTAGATTTGTAGTTAATTGTAATATTATCAATATAAATATCGTTTCTACTTTAAATTACTTCAATATTTTCGTCATTTATTTCCAATGAAAAGACAAAAGAAAAAGATTTAGATTTAGATTTCGAATTGATTGGAAAATGAACATTCAACTAATTAGCTTTTACTTAGAGCAATAAATTCAATATAATTCTAGAATTTTTAAATCATTTTCTCATCTCATATCATCGTAACTTTCGTAACTTATTACCGTTATTCTCTAATGAAGATCGATTCCATAAAAAATCGATCGAAATTTTCAATTTATTATTAATAAAATTATATTACAAAGAGAAGATGAAAATTTGTAATCTCTATAATTTATATTTAGTGATAATGGTAGAAAATCGTTAAATTGATTGTTGATTAGAGCTCGATATTCATTCAGTTGGGTGGACATTCTGAATGGACAATAGACTTTGTCTCTCAAAATCAGATCATATATTTCAAACTGTCGAGGAAGATCACAAATTAGCAATAGAAACTCATGTCTTATATTTGGTTCAAGTTAATTTGTGTATTTGGATTTTCAGTCCAATTATTCATGATAACCAACGAATACCTAAAGTTCAGAGTCGTTAATGTCACATCTTTTGAAGATACAAAAATTGTCGAGTTACCAGTGATCGATGTGAGAATACCATTAACATCGTTTATCAACACTACTGAATTATGTCTTCGACATCCTGAAGGAATGAAAAATCTACCTGAGAATGACGATGAAACTATGGATAATGATTTGAAGAAAATTGGTAAATGTTCAAAGTCAACATTGGAACTTTTACAATTTGGATCATATTTAAACGATTTCCTTACATTTTCTGATATCGTCGATCAGTTTTCGTTGGACAAGATCCAATATAATATAACATGGAACTACATCATTCCAACTAATGACAGTTCTGTAGAGAAACTGTGTAACTCGACCATCTATTTAAATGCTGATTCAGTTTACCTTCGATTGATTTGTAAAAATAATCGGAATCAACTATTGAATACCGTTAAAATGAACTTATTCAAAACGCTGTATATTCAACGATAAATCTGACTATTCCTTCACCTTTTGGACTGAGATTCAGTTCACATGAAAAGTTTCCAAGCACTTCGATTGGTGATTATATCGAGATAGATGAAGAAAGTTCAGTTCAGAGGATTAAATACTCGAAAAGCGTAGTCACCTCACTCGAATATCCATATGAAACAAACTGTCGTGATTATGACAGGACGAAAACGTTACAAAGTTGTATCAACGAAGAGACAATAAAATCAGGCTATTTAAATGGCTTCTTATTGCAACAATGGTCAAAGTTTCAAGAATTTAAAGATTACAAATTCAATTTTGTTCACGAAGAAAAAGTTTACCAAGATTGTTTGAAAACAGTTCGACAACCTGAATGTCATCACATAACATATTCACTCAGTTTACAAGGAATTAAGTATAATACTAACGACAAGCTCTCGAAAAATGAAAATTCTCATTATTTCTATCTGATAGCTCCATCAGAATCTGTTCGTTACATTGTCACTCATTCCTTGTTAACATTGGGTGAATATCTCATGCTTATCGGCAGTATATTAGGTACATGGACTGCGATCTGTATTCTTGGTATATCGTTGAGCAAATTAAGATGGATGGTCAGGGAAGGAAAACTGTGACAATCGGCAATGGCGATGACCACCAAATTCAACCCACCGAAAGGGTAACATGAAACCTCCAACAGATGAAACCAAAGGAATCACTCGAACTCGAATATGTAAACTGAAATCTTTTTTTTCCACTAAAATCAATCGATAAATATTATCAATAGAATCAATCATCTGAATACTTCTTGATTGGAGTTGAAGCTCTTAATAAACAACAGTTCCAATTGAATATTTGTATTAGTTAATTTCAAGAGAATGAAGATCAATAATATTGTTAATTATTTCGTAACAAAAGTTAACTCTAGTCTCTGATGATTCGTTAACTTTTATGATTAACAATCTTCATGCTTATCGATTTCAATTGTTCTGAATCTCATCCCCTGGTTTGATTGATATTGATAACAGAATCAAAGTCATTTGTTACAATTGTTTTTCAATTCTTATCTGATTGAAAATCAATGTTAATACTCAAAATTGACAACCTTGGGATAGTAAATTGAAAATTTAATAGGAAATTAGATAAACCAAATCGTTTCAGTTAATTTTTATGACAATTAACACGGATAAAAAGTCGCTCCACCAATACTTCCAACTACGTTTCGTGGTGATTTGTCAGCACAGAATTTTTTACTCGACGAAAGACTGATAATAATAAAAGAAGAAGATATATATTAATGAATAATTCTAGTTAATTACTATAATAAACTACTTACATTGATATTGTAGTTTGAGTAATTGTTGCAGTATCGAAATTAATATCAGCAACAGCTCCATAAATCTCACCTAAGTCTTGCCATTCAAGAACAATGTAATCAATTTGATCAAAAGGCATATCGGTTTTGATATCAAATTGATACTTTGAATTTGCTTTGAATTGGAATCTAAATTAGATTCGAAAACGGTTAACAATTAAAACAGTTAACAATTAAAGTGATTGTAATAGATACTCACGATGGTGATAAATCAACTCCATCTCCTACTCCTTCATAATTATTAACCTTTTTCAACATAAGTAAAGTAATCGGCATTGGTTTAGGCTGATAGTCCATTGGTCCAGTTATGAATTCAACATGATATGAATGTTGAATACCATCTAACAATTAGTTTGAACAATTAGTAGAGCCAATTAACAATTAATTTCACTCTTACCTCTTTCATAATCTGCTGGTCGGTCTAATTCAGCATCCATTGATTGAGTTGAAACAATCAAACAAGTTACAATCGTAAACAATATTGATGAAAACATTTTCATTTCTTTTTTTCACTTTTAATTGCTGATGAGTTGTTACTTGTTGAAATTAATCAATTTATAATAAAGACAATCAAGGGATATCAAGTTTAGCGTTCAGGTGCAACTAATTACAATCAAATTAAACTTGTAATCAACAATTGATTTGCTCCAAAGTTAATACGTCTGAATAAGCTATTGTAATGTTATCAATTGTTGTAAATACAATTGAAATTATCGTATTAATTGTGATTATATTATCATAACCGATTCATTGGAAAAATATTATCATAATTTGATATCTTCCCTTCAGATCTAAGATTTATGCTTAAAATTATACGATTGTTATGAATAACGGGAGAACTTGAAATGAAAATTCAATTTGCAGATTTAAATTTTATTTATTGAAACATTTTCGAGTTAATTGTGAGCACAATTAAAGATCCTTAGAGGAGCAATTTAACATGGCCAGAAAATTGCAGAACCCATTCCACCCATTACGAAAGATTCGTACTCTTTGTTTGTACAGAATAGCTTACGTGAAGGTTTCCTAAGAATTGCGAAAACAATTCAATCAATTAGATAATTAATCAGGTTAATTGTTAGCTCGTATTCGAGTTTCTTACATTGAAGGTGTAGTTTCAGTGATTTTTCCAGTTTCGAAGACAACTGAATCATTTCCTTCTTCGGCATCAGCCAAAATGACCCATTCGATTGAAAAAAGATCAATTTGATTAAAAGGCATATCAGATTCGAAATCGAATTGATACTTGGTATTGGCCTTAAACTGGAATCTAAATTAAATGAAGAGACAAAAAGTTACCCGATAATCAATCAACATGATTATTGGTACTTACGATGATGATAATTGAGCAAAGTCTCCTGATTGTCCTAAATTGGGAATTTCTTTCAACAAAACCAAACTAAGTGACACTGGTACAGGGTCTTTTTCCATGGGTCCAGTCCTCAATTCAACGGTATATGAATGTCTGATTCCGTCTTAATAGCAGAGAGTTAATTAGTTGATTATCATCGTAACAATTTAAATTATGTTTACCTTTTTGATATTCTGTTTGTATGGCCCCACCAAATAATAACTGTGTTGAAACAATTAAAGTAATCACAAACAATGAATACATTTTCAATAATATTAACGACTCGGTGAAGTTAATCAAAGCAAAAGGTATTGATAATTTAACAATTAACTCTAAGGACTATTTATATTAGTAGTTGACTTAAACTCTAGGATCTAATAGAACTGAAACTTTTCAATCAGGTGCAATTAGAAACAATTATTTTGCCCGGGCAACAATTAACTAGTGACAATTATCCTTTGTCATTCGATTGTTCAATCAATCAAACTTAATGATCCTTTTACAAATCAACAAAATTATCTAATAATTTGATTGATTAATGTCATAACTATCATCAATTTATCACATGAAATGAAATCAATCTCAACAATGAAACAATTTGTTTGAATAAAATTTGTATAAAAATTTAATATCTTGTGTTTTTTGATTGCTTTGAATTTTGTACTTTAAAAAAGGTTACAAGATAATTAACAGTCCAAAGAAATGATTATTATTTAAATAGACACAATTTGATTTAGATGTATAAATCATTTCAAATGCATAGATAAATTGTATAACTGATTAATTGAGATTTTTATAAACACAGATGAAAAGTCGGGAATTAAAATGAGTCTTGAGGTGGATGAAATCTTATCAATATGAAATCAACAGGTAAATCTTGTTGAGTTTGCCAACTGAACACTTTAGTGGCCCGTTTATGTTGAACATTAATATTATTTGATCTAATTGTTAATCGTCAAGCAAGATTATTCCTTCTTGAGTCGTTCATTGTTCATCCTCTGTTTTGGTTTAATTAAGTCGACTAAATTGTTGAATGGTCCCAAGATGAATAAATAAAAGACAAATCCACTTGCAATAGAAAGGAAAACCGTTAAGAATAAGTGACAAATCTAAAAAGGTAAGAGAAAAATAATATTGATTAGAATGAGCAAGAAATTTAAATTGTCCATCGTCTCTGTAATATTTACCCATTCTTGAGTTGTTAGAACTGGCCATTTGTGTTGACTGTAGTACCAGATCAAAACAGGAATATGAATACAATACGTCGATTTGAATATAACTGTTGCAATGTGAATTATTTTATATTGACTTGGTTCTAGTTTGTATTTTTCACAATTATTGGTTGGTTGCGATTGATTAACCTTTTGTGTAGTTTCAGTTGATTTGATGATACCATTAGAATGGAGAGTATCTTCATTACATGGAGTTGAATTGTTATTGTTATTATTATTAGTTATCTCGGATGATTTGGAAGATTCTGTTCCAAAATATTGTCGGAATTCATCTGCATGACCGAGAACCAGAACAAAATAGAAAAGTCCAGTGAGCAAACGGTAAATAACAACATAAATCGAAGCAAATAATCGAGACTCATATGAGCTTAAGGATGATGACCATATATATGGATAAAATATCATTGCAATTCCATAAAAGTAAAGGCTACGTTTTACTTTTGATGAATTGTCGTCGAAAAACTGGAAAATAGAAAAAGAAATCACCTTTATTCACTGATCTTGACAGTAGAATGTTATGGAAATGGTTTACCTTTGTAAATTTGAATAAAGATGGATTCATGATGACATATACAATCATGGGTGTACTGAGATAAAGCCATAGGTGCATTTCTGATGGTAAATATACCAATTCAGCCCATTTTGCTAAAATACTTGAGAGGAGAAACCAAAAGTTAAAACAAGTAGATTTAAAGTGAGAAATTAATGTAAACATGATTGTGAAATGGTTACCTTGGATGAAAGCCTCGGGCAAGTGGATGAGGAGACAAATCATTCATGTAAAATACTCGAGCAACGTAAGCTAACCCACCAAAACAAACCATCATGTTCAAAGTTAATGCAAGTCTAGGTGATCGTTTGAAAAGCCAAACCAAACCAGCGAGAAAGAAAATAAGTTGATATTCAGCTGCGACTGACCATGAATGAGCATTACACTGAATAGAAAAAGTTTCAAATAAATTGTGATTAAAGTTGATAAATGATTTTCTCGTAATCAATTTGTAGCAGAAAAAAAAATAATGATAATTAGTTAAACTTGGAAAACATACAACTTTATCTATATTACCAAGATAATTTTGGTAGAAGAGGAGATTCGCTAGATATGTTCTAGAACAAACTTCAGCTTTTCTTTCAGCAATCAATGAGGCAAAAGGTCCATAGGAAAACAATGGTGTAACTATTTCCGCCATGATCATTATACAGAAAAGTGAATTGAGTCTAATGAACAAAAAAAAAAGAGGAAATAACATGAAAAACAAATGACAATTATTCAAAAATTAATTGTTAATCACTGAGAACAGTGATGGTCAGTGATCATTTACATGTCTTACATTAACATCTTCCAGAAGATGATACTGAAGATACGCCAAATTGGTGTTTTAGGTGTAATTTTTTTCCAAAGTTCCAATGATTTGTTGAATCCGCTGAAAGAAATTGTGACAAACAAGAAAATTAAAATTTGCTCCATTGTGACAAACAAAAAGATTTGATAATAATGATACATTGATTCAATTTTCTTCATCTCTTATTTGTATATTTCTCAGGAAAGGAAAAAGGATATCATGTAATCATCATGATATCATAAGCTACAAGTGCATCATGTTTACACAATCAATTCCCAACGATAACAGGTAACACAAAATGTAACTGATATTACAAAAGTTTTAGCAATAATCCGTTGAGTATATGCTGAAGTGGCTATTTTACTCATTTGAGAGATCTCCTGATTCTTGGAGAGAATTGAAATCAATGGAAAGGATAACGATCGGAATATAATTATTTATCTCCATCAAGAAAAAGGTTAAAGGGTTACAAGGGATAAGATAAAACTTACGCATAAGCAAAAAGACCATCCATGAACCATTCACCGAATAAATTTCGAATCAGTTGACTGTCTCTGTATCGGACAAACGGATTACCAATGGCTTTTTAGGTGAACAAATGTTGATAGATGTTAATTGTTGAATGGATGAAAGGATGAACAAGAAGATGATTAGTTGATTTATAATTTTCATTGTGGAAAACAGGTAAACTTATTTACCATAAAGGGTAACGGCATTGGTCATCATTGGCCAAACGACTGCGTGAAAATGTAAAACAACAAAATGTTGAGTTAAAGTGAATTTTGATAATGTTGGACATTTAATCATTTCCTTATCCGGTTCTATCAGTTTTTTCCAATTATTTACAATTGAGAAACTATGAATCCATTGATTGGTATCACTGTTATCAATTGATTGTTGTTTACTCTTTTTCTCAGAGTTGTTATCATGGTGACCATGGGTTGAGATGTCCTTCCATGTTGCATAGGCAACAAGGGAGACAAATGCACTTAACAAGAGGCTGAAATTAAATACAGTTAATCAGTCAATTAAAATTATCTCTCTTAATTATTAATTGTCCACAAAATGTATAATATAACACAACTTACAAGCTGATCTTTTGGGAAGACGGAGCAGCCCAGAACTTTTCACTGAACGATTTAGAGATCTGACAAGTATCAACTCTTAATACACTCCATGAATATGGTTCCAAAGCTGATTAAAAAACAGAATTTTAAAGATAAATCAGCTAATTGTTACGATATAATTATATTCATTGGGGGAAACAATAGAAACTTTCCAAATTTCCATGGTAATCAACAGAATTTCAAATTGTGGAATTTGATGGAAAAGATTTACCTTTGTTTAAGATGATCTTCAGATCAGTTTGAGAGCAACTTGAGGGTATACAAAATCCTATTCTCAGTGAATATCCTTCATCATAATCCAACAATATCTTACTAGATGTAAACAAATCCGCGGCGGTTCCAGGATTAGGGGGATTAGGAACAACTGAGGTGAGACAATGTTGACCAACCTCTTTATATCCCGAGAAATTAATCCAGTCGATTTGTAAACATTGGTCAAAATTTCCCATATCAACATAACCAAAACCAGTTAAATCAATAGGAGCTCGACCGGAAGCATCCAACACTTAAAATTGTTTAATAACATGGAAAGTAATTAATACACATTATTATTAAAGAAATTGTTGGTTACGAGAATGATTTAACTTACTTTTGAAAGCCCATGGACTACCATTTTCAAGAGATCGATTTAAATTGATTAAACTGTCGATACATTTAGAGGTGACTTGATTGATGTGCAATTGATCAACATCGGAATCAATGTAATTATACAAAATTTGAGTGAATCCAGACCTTGTGAGAATCGCTTGTTTCCTATTGAAATCAATTGTTCTGTTCAATGAATGAGTTGATGAACTTATATTACCAGGTAATGACCAAGAGTAACAACAATTAATAAAAGTAAACAAGTAAAGGGTTAACAAAAGGCTCCTTGTAATCCCTAACCAGAGATTACCAAAGGTTGACAGGAACAGGAACATAATTGCCTTGGACACTGACGATTGTGACAATTACAGAATTAAACTCAAATGGGAACAAATTGTTTGAGCAAAAACAAAACTATCAGACGAGTGAGAGTGAGAGAGAGAGAGAGAGTGAGAAAAAGATAATACAACAGATATAAGATTAAGTGAGAAATCACATAGAAACTGGTTGTTGGATTTTCCTTAAAAAAAAGAGATACTAACAGAATGATGTTCCAATTTACCAATGAGCCATTCTAATTGCTCCAGGGGCTGATAATTAACGATTCATGGTGATGACGATGTTGGAAAAATGGAAGAGAAGAAGAAGAAAAAGATGATGATGGTGAAGAAAATCAAATGAAATCAGTTAGTTCAAAACACTTACAAGGTTAATTATTGGAATTATTACTCAATCGTTTTCTTTTCTTCCTTTTGGAACAATTTTCTTTTTCCATCAAGGGTTTTCTCCATATTTCATAAATTCTTCTCAATTTATGATCAACCCCTTTTCTTTAATTTGTTTACTAGTTTTTAATTGTTGTTCTTTTTTTTAATTGTCGAATTGTTTCAATTAATTTCTTTTTTTTTTGTTCGTCGCTTAATTTTCGGGGTTAATGATTCTTTCGTTTTTGTCAACCATCTTTGAGAATTTGTTCTTCTATTGTGTTGTCAGTCTCTCTTTTTTAGTATTTGAGCCTCTCTTCATCTCTGTTTATGATTATTGTCTTTTCGATAATTGTATCAACATTTCTAATTGTTGTCCATCATAATCATTAATTTAATCATCTCTGTTTCTATGTGAGTTTGTTTTTTAATTGTCTACGTGCTTATTGGTTTCATCTGATTGTCTTAACTTGTCTTTCTCTATGTTAGTTGTTGTTTTTTGGTTGAAAAGGTCAATTTTTTTCTTCTCTATCACTTCTATTGTTTTAGTGATCGATTCTTTATTATTCTCGTCGTTTTATCTGTCATTTTTTAATCAGCAATCAATTTATTTGTTCACTCAAATTGATCATCTTGCTTGTTTTCTTTTACGATAATTGTCAATTTAAAATTGATTCTTCATTAGTGTTCATCTTGGCTCTTCACTTAACACAAGGGTCATTAGCTTGATATCCAAAAATTATTCACTTTCCTGCCTTTGCAATAAGTTTATTAACTTTAATTGGATTTATTCAAAATCAATTTGATGGATTGTGTTGAAATTTTGCCTCTTGGGCTTGACAATTAAATGAATAATTGGGAATCCATGTTTACTGGATTAATTATGTTTAATCACTTCTTTGATTAACATCAAACATCTTGAAGTGGCTTCTTTCATTTCTAAGAGTCAATATTGATCAAAGTCAATCAGACCTACAAATTATACAATCAATTTAATCATTTTTCACAATCATTGCTTAAATTAAATGTAACAATTTTATTAAAATGATGATGATTCAACAATAATTTACAATCATGAGAGAGAAAAAAAGAGTAAAGTCTTAAGTAAAGCAATCTAATTATTCTAATAGATTTGATTCAATAATCATTGATTAATTGATCACAACACAAAACAATTTACAGGTAAAATTTAATAAACTTTTCACTTTGTAAACAAAAATCAATGACAATTATCACAATTTAATTAATTACCATACAATTAAGCTACTAAAGTGTTTGGATTTATAACTAAATTAAGATAAAGGAATCATTAAACTTAATCATGATTAGTTGATTATCTAAACAACAAAATCCAAGGTAAACTTAACCTTGATAAAACTTGATCTTAAAGTTGTGATATTGAGATTAATCAAAATTAGTTTTCAAATTAAACTGATTAATTCAAATCGATACGATCAGTTAATTGTTTGCAAGGCCGATCTCTTGTCTTCAAATATCATTAATTAAATTAGAGACATTATTTCACGATAATTTCCCAAAGGAAATTAAAATTATAAACAGATAATCGTTGGTAATTGTTGGTAATTGTTTTAATATTTTAATTAATATAACAAAATTATCATTCATAGTAATAATAATTGTTACATAAGTAAACAAGAATCAGTAGATTTTTTTTTGCTAATCAAGTCAACTGTTAATGTATTTTATAACTAATATAACTTTCAGATAAAATTAATTCCTGGATTAACTTATTATCTGATAGGGAGAAACACAATTAAAGTTGAATATTCAATTGGTAGATTGACTAATTATCAGACTAGTTGAATATTAATGAATAATTAGATAGGAGAGAGAGAGAGAGAGAGAGAGAGAGAGAAACTCTCATGTTGATGTCGAATTGATAATTAATGTAAATTGTTTTATATCATTGATCATCTTGTATAATAATAAAAGGAGGAAATTAAATTGTCGTCAAATAAAAAAAAAACTTAACAAAAAGGAAAATGATGATGTTCACTTGATTTAGCGAGATTAATGAAAATTAATTGCATCCAAATGTGATGTTAATGTTACATATTAATGTCCATTTAAAATGTAAATAACCACTAAAGCTAAACGCATCTAATCATCAAGTTAATAAATCATTAATTAGTATTATTTACAAGCTCTATAAGGTTTACACCTGATAAAACTTTTGCTTATATCAATTGATTAATTTGGTGATGATTAAAATGATGAGTGAATAAGTTAATCATTGAACTTTTTTCGCAAAGGTCACACATTAGCAGCAGTTTCTTTATTTGCTCCTGTGGAAGTATTAGTTGAATCAAATATCCGCTCTTTTGGTTTGTTAAATTGTTGTTGATTCATTTTTTGACTATCTTCATAAGGAGTAATCAATATCTTAAGCCGCTAGAAAAAAAAACAAGAAAGATAATGATTAGAAAAAAAAACAATTTACTTTAGAATTGATAGATCATCATCATTATAATGAGCTTTTCTGCTGACAATAGCATGAACTCCTATTCTTATTTCAATCTAAATTAAATTGTCAATTTTTTACTTACTTGAAGAAAAGTTCCAGGAGTAATTAGAATCTGATAAATGGCAACGATTGGTATACACAGAACGGAAGAAGCAGCAATACAAAAGCCCAAAATATTGGCCCATATTGGGTATCTATAATCTCCATAAGTTAACGGCTCATAACTTACAAGTCCATAGATAATAATTACCTAAACATTGAATATATTAATAGTAATAAAGTAATTTAAGGATTTAAGCAATCGAAAAGGTAGAATTAATCTTACCATGATAAATCCAGGAGCCATACAGACCCAACAGAATTTCCACCACCAACCAACTTCAAAACCAAGCATTCGTTTTAAATTACGAGAGAATCTATCATAGCCTAGATAATAAAATTAATCAGAAAAGTTTTAACGCCAATGGAATAAAAAAAGATGAGTAAAGAAAAAAAAATGTTGATTGATTACCATAAATCCAAGAAACAGCAATAGATTCACAGAAAACTGCAAAAAGAATTGAATATCCAGCAGCATAAGTGTCCAGTAATTGAACCACATATGCACCACCCTAGAAAGAGAAAGTGAATTTCAATTAATCATTTATCTAAATTACTTATGAAATAGAAAAAAATAATAATAAAAGAGAATTGGAAAATCCTTCTACCTGAGCACAGCTAAATTGGCCGATAAAGAAATAGAATGTAAATAATAAAGCGACGAAAATTTCTCGATTCCTTTTGATTAATGGATATTCATCACTTAAAGCAGTAATAATAGCCTCAGAACCGCCAAACTAAACAAAAGAATTTAGATTTAGAAAAGAGAAAAGTATTATTTGATATGTAATATTTTAAATGGATTGTTGGATAATATTGACTTACAGAGGAATCTAATCCAAGGGTAAGTAACATGAGGAAAAACATTATTGACCAAAAAGGTGCTCCAGGCATTGTTGCAATAGCTTCGGGATAGACAACGAATACTAATCCAGGTCCTTCCGAGACAACATCTTGAATAGACTGATTACTTTTATTCGCCATGTAACCCAGAATTGAAAAGATAACAAATCCAGAAAGGAAACTTGTTGCACTATTAACAGCACTGGTTAATAATGCATCACGGTAAACATTGTTATGGAATTCATTGTAAGAAGCAAATGCCAATAGAACACCAAAACCAGGTCCAAGAGAAAAGAAAACCTGAGTAGCAGCATCAACCCAAACCTTTTCAAACGAGATGAAGAGAAAGAGAAAGAAAAAAAAACAAATAATTCGCAAAAAAAGAAAAACAATTAAATCAACTAAATTGATAAAAAATTAAACAATTTTATAGGAGAAAAAAACTCACATTTGCTTTGGTAAGAGCACTAAAATCAGGAGTTAGGTAATATTTGATTCCATCCAAAGCTCCAGGTAACCAAATTCCTCGGATTAATAATATGATTAGAACAACATAAGGAAATAAAGCAGTAAACCAAACCACCTACAATTAAGAAATTAAATTGTCAACAATTAAAAAGAATTGAAAATTAACCCTTTCACTTGTTGGATTAAAAAGATTAGAAGAACAATTTAAAAATCGAATCGAAACTCGCCCCATCTATCGATCATAATCGATATTCATTCAATTTTTTGTTCTTTTTTTTCATTTTTTTCTTTAATTGTAATTGTTTTTAATTCTTTAGTTTTTCATTTTCTAAATTGTTTGTTTTTCGTTGATTTAATTATTTCTGTTAATTAAGTGACTTTGATTCTCGATTTAAATTTTATTTGAATGTTACAAGTTGTTAGAATTCAGTTAGGCCTATGGATTGATATTCATACTAAGATCATCTTGGGCTTTTCCAATTCTCTGTAATCTCACATTGTCAATACACTTGTTGAACATTCCTCTTGGATGAAATTGTTGAATTCTATTCTCTTTTTCATTGTGGCTTTCATCTTCTTCTCTCCTGGTGTTGATACATTTTATACAATAGAAGAACAGATGATGAAGGAATTTTCTTTTCTCCCTGTAAGTAGCCATTAAAAAGATTCAAGTTGAAGAGCTCAATCAACTATCATCATCAGGTGGTGATCACTTCTTTTTCCTTTATCTCTTTAACTTCCAATTGTAATCTATATACACAATTTATTGTGTTGCCTTTTCTTTGATGTACATTTAACCTCATCTTGTTAATTTTTACTTCTTTTACTTAGGCCTTTTGGAATTCTCTTCTTACATTACACTTAATATCTCTAAAGGTGATACAATCAATCAACTATCTGAAATCAATTGGATCAATCATCAATTCATCCAACGAAAAGAGAAACAAGGATCAGGCTATTGGTCAATATTTCCACCGGATATCATTAGATGCCTTAGATATTGATCTTTGTTGGAAATGTTTTCTTTTCTCTTTTAACCTTCATTTTGATTTCCACCCTTTGACCTTAAGTTGTTAATTAATATTTTTTTTTTGGTTTCTTGGTCAACCAATCAACAACAATTGAAACTTACTTTCCCTGATGTTGAGATACCTTTCCAAAGACTGAAATAACAGATAAGGTAAACAATCAACAGGCAGAAACTCATATCCCATTTAATGGTTCCCAATCCATCAATTCCAGAACTTTGGTCAAGTTCAAGAAGACGTCGACTGTAAACAAATATACACAAATTACAATGATTAAATAACCATCAAGATTTTAATCATAATCAATTATAAAAGGGAAATTATTGGCACAGTGAAAATCAAACCAGGAAGAAATGTTTTATTATTATTATGGTGTAAATTTTATTTCTAATCCTCAAGGAAAATATGAAATAATCAACAGTAAACCATTTTAATTAAGTTCTATGCAAATATCGCCAACAGAACTTGACTAAAGGTAAGTGACAAAAATTTAACCACTGATTGACTAATTACTAATGTTTAATATTACAAGTAATCAACTTTTTCAAGCTTGACCAGTCAAATAAAGGACAAAACGATTAAGTTAATACTAATAATGAAATGATGATTATGATGGCTCATGATTGAATGAGATTAATCATTCAACCAGATAATTCATCGGACATAAACACTTACGATTGATTTTAATGCTTTCATGAGCAAAAATGGTCCAATAAATAAGATCATTATTATCAATGATTAGAACTACAATTAACATGAAAATAAATTAATTCTTACAAATTTTTACTCCCAATTAGGTCTATAATATGAAATATCAAATAACAATCAGAAGAGGAAAAGATATAAAAAAAAAGTTCTTACTTAAAATATTCCATCGCTGGTGAAGTTCGATTTCGAGTTGGACTAATAACCTCATACGAATTGATGGTCGAATTTGGTAACAATTTAATAATCATTGATGAAGATGATTTACTTAATTGTGATGATGAATATAACAAAGATGAAGACGTTGTTAAGGATGATATCGAGGCAGAATCAGATTGTACAGTTAAGGTTAAATTTGGACTTGAATTGTTGCTGTTTAATTGATTATAATTATTATAATCAAGATAATTGTCTCTATTAATATCACTATTATCATTAATTGGTATTTCTGAGCAATTAATTGTATTCCAATAATTATTACATCGAGTCCAAGGCAATTCGGTTGCAAAGGAAGCAAAGAAAAAGTATAAAGCCCAAGCAATTATCACGTTGTAATAAAAGTCCACATAGAAAGCAATCAAAACAACAGCATAACCAACACCTGATAACAAGAAGTAATCAAACAATTAACCTGAACAATTAAAAAATCGCCTCAGTAATTACCTTTAAACAGAGGGACAATCCGACCCCAACAGGTAATCGCCCCTTTCCTAAAGTATTGGCCTAATGCTAACTCCATGAAAAATAACGGTATCCCTCCGATGGCCAACATGATTAAATAAGGAATTAAAAATGCTCCTAGAAAAGTAATCAACAAATCAGCAACAATTAACTTTTCTACTCGAAACAATTTCAATGAAAAAGTTTCTTTCTCAATGTTAAATGATTGAATCGCCTTTTAATTAACCAACAACCGAACAGATGAATTTGTTTATTGGATAATAAGATTGATTGTTTAATCTAATTAGATTGATTTGGTTTAATCATTTAATTGATTTTGATTAAAGAAATGAATTAAATTGTTCGTGCCTGCAGTTGACATTAGACAGAAAATCTTAGTTTGAGATTTTTTTTTCTTCTTCCTCTTTAATCAATCTCTTATTGCGCTTCAATGGACAATTAAATCAACCATGGAAATAAACTACAATCAATATCGATTGGTAACAATCACTGATTTACAATTTTAATCATCCCACTGAATTAACACTGATTAATTGGAATCTCAATTAGTACCAAGAAAATCAATCTTATTGGAAAATATTTACTCGATGTATTAATCAAATTGATCATATTAATATTAACATTGATGGAATCAACAACATGTAACAATTTAATTTATCGAATCAAAAGTTTCATCTTTAAATTATCAAATCTACTTTTTCTCATCATCAACACAATAGATTATTATATCAACAATATTGCCCGATATAATTGTTGTCATCAAGTTGATTGTCAAACATGATTAGGGACAGAAAAAAATTCAATCAGTATTGATTTTCTTACGATTCTTGAAAAAAAAACGGTTGATCTAATCAACTTTCTTGGTTTTACTCTAAAGTGTCAAAATGTTGGTGACACTTTCGTTATAACTAATTGTAGCAATTAAGTACTATCAGTGGGTAATTATAGTTAATTGTGACTCTCACCGCCTCCATTTTTGTAACACAGGTAAGGGAATCTCCAAACATTTGATAAATCAACAGCAAATCCGATTACCGAAAGTAAGAAATCAACTTTTTTATTCCAAACTTCTCGATCACCATCACCTAAATCATCATCATTTAATTGTTCATGATTAGTAATTGTTGCATCATCAATTTCAGTTAGCGGATTTGTCCGTAATTGGTCAGTTTGTTTGTTAATTGTTGACGTTGTTATTTTTGGTTCTTTACAATTTGTCTTATCATTACAATTGATATTCATCACATCAGTTGTCATTGTTGTTAATTGTTCACAAAACAAATTGCAATCACTTGAAAATGATGTTAAATTAAACAAATTGAAAACAATTTAGATAATAATAATAACCATTTGCAAACTAATACACTGATTTAATTAGACAAAATTATTGACAACAAGTAATCAAACTGTAATTAAATCAAAAACTACAAAGAGAAACTATTTACAAGTTAGTTGATTGTGTGAATGCAATTGGTTAACATTTGTAAACAATTAATATTCACAATTATCTTGTTAATTGTTGTCATTATTTACTCACTCATATAATCAACTGTTACTTTGTAATAATCAGGTAACATTCAAGTTACCGTTATGATGATGAGTTTGGTTATTATATTTTTCACTGGGAGTGATTCTGAGTCACTCTGAGTTGTGATACGATTGCGTCTGAATTTGGCCTGATAAATGTTCAGATGATAAAGATTCTGATCATGATGATGATCATGATCATCATATTATTATTATTATAAATGATGAAGGTTTTACTAAACGGAAATCCTGGATTATTGATCAAGGGTTGACTTCCGGCAAATAATTGACAGAGATAATTTTTCAATTGCTTTAATCAGCGTCTTTCATTTACCTATTCACCCTGATAATCATCATAATCATCATTAAATTTAATCATTCACCTAATTCACAAACCAAATATGTATCTTATTGTTATTACATTGTAATAATCAAATGGACAATATAAGTGGTTAGTATAACTGATTAAGAAACAATTGATTGTAATCATATGAAATACATCAAGCTAATTATTTGGAAATTCATTTGAATAAAATGCAATTTAAATAATTCATTGAATATCTAATACTATGGAATATGAGTTATGAATAAAATATTGATTGGAAAAGAAAAACTAATTTCAAGAGTGAGAATTTAAATCTTAAAGTAACTTTAAGTGTAAATAGATTTACAGTTATGATCATCTTTCATCTTTCACACCCTGAGAGAGAGAGAGAGAGAGAGAGATGATCATAACGATAAAGATGATCTTTCGAATATTATTATTCTTGAGAATTTCCATCTTGTTGATTCTCTTGTTGATCTTGATTCGCATTAAGAATCAAGAGAAAAATAAGAAAATATCTTATATCTTTTTTAACCAAAGAAAATGTTCAATTTTTTTTCCTTTCATCATGTCGATCACAATAGATAGAAAATGATGAGGATGATGATGATGATGGAGATGAAAATGAGAAGAAAAAAGTTGCTTCAATAGACTGAGAGAAAGAGATTCTTATTAACGTGGGGAGGGGGAAATGGCCAAATTCTCAGTGCCGAACATCATCAGAATATCATCTCTCTCTCTCTCTCTCTCTCTCTCATCTTCATCCACTTGAATTCCCTTTAATCCCTATTGTCGATTATAATAGATTTCCTCATCCAAATAAAATTCTTTTGTCCCGTTTTCTCTTCATCATCATCTTCTTCTCTCTCACTCTCCCTTTCCATCCTCAACCCTTAATTGTATTCCAAGTAATAGTTACTGTTATATTCATTTATCGACATTTATTTATCTTCTTGTTATTATATCTATAGACACCTAATTCTCAATCATCTAATAAATATAACAATCAATTGATTAGATGAAGTTAGTTGATCAGAAGAATATTTTAATAATAGAAATGATAACTTTTTTCATTTTTCTCCATTAAATTGATTGATAAAAAGCAAAGTTAATTTCATTTTAAACGAAACAAAATAATCTAAACATAGATTTGAATAGTAATTTTATATAATTTAGTGTTTTAGATAAAATAAAATTGATTGTCGATTAATGAATTAGATTAAAATTTGTGCCAGAGATTCATTCATCTTTCAAGCGAATCAAATATCAGATAAGTTTGTATTTATCGAAAAGGGTATGGAGAACTCATAGAATCGTTTCAAAGGTCAGCATCGACAATATCCTAGGCTGGAACTTTTAATTAACCTAAGAGATTGATGAGAATAGAAATAATTAGTTGCATATATTAAGAGAAAACTGAATAACAATCCACATACATAAATACAGAATCTTCCATCAATTAAATGAGACATAAACGTTGTGTGATTTATTGATTGGCGAACAATTAATGCAATTATGAGGTAACAAGCAAGTTCTTTGTCGCTTAGTGTATCAACGACCAGATCGATAAGGTCTTTGATAAATATTGTCCAAAACCCCTTCATGTGGGTCCATTAGGAAGATTGGTAATCGAGCATCGCTAAATTGATTGTATCTAAATCCTGTCCCGATGAACCAGAAAACATTCAATGTTGAGTAGGTCCAAATGACGAATGACAAAATTAACCAAAGATCGTTCAACAATTTATAGAGAATATGATCAAATAGAGTATCATAAGAATCTTAAATTCTTGTATCATTATTATCAAGCTCATCATTTGATGAGCCCAGTTAATTGTTCAGTTACAGTTCGAGTGTGTAACTGTCCATCTCTTTTCTGGTGACATCTTCGGGTAACCGGATCAGGTTCGATGGGTTCTAATCAAGGCAACAAAAAGGCAAATAATTTCAACGGGATTCTTATTGTGGATACCTAAAAGTAAACAGATCAACAATAATTTTAGTCAATTATTTTGGTCGCTTTGGACCACGATTGTGTTTTTTTACCATCAACGGTTCACTTGATTGTAGATTTGAAAATTTTCATTACAACTCGAAGTTTGTATTTCTGTAAAGTCTCCGAGTGATCCAATTAAGATCCATAATTAAGTCCAATTTTCCTAAAAATTAATTAATATGAGATAATTAAAGAAAAGAAACAAATATGAGTAAATCAATTGATCAAAATATTTGAACATCTAAATTTAAAACAACTTTTAAGGCAATTTTCCTAAGATTTGGCCATCATAAAGATCACTGGCCAACGATTGAACAATTAGCCTTTCAATACAACAATGATAATAAGAAAATTAGATGAAATAAACGTTAATTAACCTACACAGGCTCATCGTAAATCCGATTGATCAAAATTTAGAGCAATTCGTTGTATCCATAGTATTGACTAGATGATGGTTCCAATTTGCTCCTTTCCTCATATTAATCTTGACAATTAGATGAAATTAAAGACAAAAAATTAATCAACTGATCAAAGGGAGAATAACATTTTAATAATTGGATCGTTTAATTACCCAAATTAAATACTTCTGGTCAATTTTCAATCGTTGGTCCATCGATGGCAACTTTGCCCTGATTTTCAAGCTCTTCAACTAATTAAATTAACAAACAATTAACAAATTGAGAAAAAGTTAACAATGATAATTATGAATGATACTTTATCTCAATCATATGTTATAATGTAATCAGAATATAATGATAGCGGTAAATTTAATTTCTCAGGAATATAATCTTATTCAGATCATTTTACACTTTTGTTGATTTAGACATTAATTGTGAACAATTAACCATCTCACTTACCCACTAATTCATCTTACTTACATCGACCAATAGTTCCAAGGTAATCAACAAGAGAATCTGATTTGATTGTTGGTTGAGTCGAGGGTTAATTAAGACCTTGCGAAATAATCAAATCGAATCGAGAATAGCACAAATATTAGAATCAACTAATTTTTGATTGGAAATATCGATTAACTCATTGGAAGCAGAAATTTGATCTTTTTTTCATAGATTAAGGATTAAGAATCTAAATGCTACACATTGAGTTAGAACCATAAATAGAACTGGATTAAGATGCCAAACGATTATTTGGGTTGTTTACGTTTCCCTTTCTTTTTTCTTTCTAATTAGAAAGTAAATTAATCTTCCAATCTTCTGAATGAAAAGACAGAGAAAAATTCGACAATTCGAAGAGAGTAAGAAAAAAAAGAGACTAAAATCGTAAATGTATTGGTACTTTTACCAAATCGTTGTGAACATTTATTACCAAGAACGTGGAAACTGATCAAATGGATTCGTGTTTAAAGTACAAAGTGACTACATTGATCGATTAATTGTTGATAAATATCTACACGATTAGTTAATTGTTCAATTGGAAAATTTCCCGTAATTAAATGAAACACAATTTTGTTGAAAATTTTCTTTATTCACATTGATAAACTTTACAACGAACAAGGAAACTCAGCTGATTGTGACTGGAAAACTTGAACAATAATATTAAACTCGTCAATTTAAACCTGACAATCAACAGAAACACAATCAAATTCGGTATTAAATTAATTGTAGAAAATGAATGAAACAATCAAGGGCAATCAAAGTGCTGTTATACTTGATTAAATTGGATGATAATTATAATCATTTGAGAGGCTAAATTGTTTGAAGAGTTGACATTATGAGAGAGATTGGAAGATGAAACCAACTTAATCATCTTAAATTACCTTCTTATTAAAGTCAAATCAACAATTATCTTTGATCATTGTTGATTATTATTGATTATCAAAATTTATAATTCACTTTTTACATCAAATCAACCAATGAAAATGATAATTAATTACATTATGTTTCCTTTTGTATTTCCATCTCCATCTATTCACTCATTCAGATTATCACCTTAACCTTGAAAAATATTGAAACAATTATTCAAATGATTAACAATTAGAAAAATAATAACAAAAATAAATCAATTAATCAGTTTACAAATTATTATTATTTTCTCATTTCTTTGCAAATTAACAATTAACAGTTATTATTATGTACACATTTCACAAGTTAATTTCAGTTTGATTGTGTTAATTATGTACACGCATCATTTTAATTGCGATAATAGTTTTAGTTAGCAATTGGCTGTTGATTGTGATGGTTAAACGTTTTACTTTTTGCTGATTTCATTTAAATAATAATTACAAATGATAATAATAATTAGTGAATGAGATGAAAGAGATAAAAAAAAATTAAGATTATGATATTAATAGTAATGGTAATCATTATCACTCAACAATTTATTGACACAATTAACATGGTGACAGAGTAAGAGGAGAAGACACTTTGATAATTTAGTTAAATCCATTAAAACACCAATTTAATTGGATCAATAGCTAATCAAACTTTGTATCGAAATGATGATTACCATTAATAAAATTATCGTAATTGTTACAAGATCAAAATAATCAACAATTCGGCGGAGAAAAAATTAATTCTCTTTCCATTCACAATTAGTGTTGAGCTTTTCTCTCTCTCTCTCTCTCTCTCTCTATTATTATGGTTTCCATTTTCTTCGAATTGCTTTCGAGTAGGTACAAAAATCGCAACAATCGAATCATCGATAAAATAGTTGATTTATAATTTGTTTTGTTTTTCTCTTCGATTAAAAATATTGAGGTGGTTTGGTGTTGAAAACTTTTCTCTCTGGGATTTGGTTTACTTTTAGGTTTTTTTTTTATGTTTAATTTTGATTTTATTAATTAGCAATAGAGATAGAATCAGAAATAGGTATAGAATTAGGAATAGAATTAGAATTAATTGTTACGGTATTTGTTTCTAATGTATTAGACGCATTGATTGCGTTATTTTCTGTTAAAAATAATTCATTTGTATTTGGAGCTTTTTTGGTACTTAGCTTCCTACTATATTCACTTTGAACTTTGGCTCTCAATTCAGGTTTTACCCGTTGCCTTTTTAATTGTCCATCCCATTCTAAATCAACTAATCCACCCCGACGGGCGATTGCTTTCTTAACACGATTGGCAAAATCTACAGCAGACTCATGGTCCTGAAAAGCAAAAATAAATGGATCAATAGGTTAGTATTAGTTGAAGAGGAAAAAAAACGATTGGTAACAATTAAGAAAAGGAAATGTTATTATCTCTTTTCTTAATCAACGTTACTTATATCAACTAATTTACCTCTCTGGTCATAGGCCTCATATAAAAGACATCACAGACAATTGCCCAACTTGTCATCATTCTGATGATATAAGTAAAGTAACCATATTTACTTGAATCCCAGAAAGGATCACCAAATATTTGATCATATTTAATGGCAACTGGATAGACAACATCAGCAACCTCGAAGCTACCCTTTTTGAACATCATTACGGCTGAATTGTTGATACAAGTTCCTTCGGGAAAGATGAGGATAGGTAACTTTTTAGGATCCATGATGTGTGATCGCATTTTACGGACAACGGCACTTCGATCTTTTACTTCAAATCGATCAAAGAAACAATGGGAAGTGGCACGATTAAGGGCAGTTTCAATTAGCCCCAAGAAACCGCCGTGAAGTTGCCCAACAAGTGCATATGGATTATCATTGTGCAATATGAGTACATCCAATGGTGAGGTATGATTGGCAACACATAAAGAGCCACCTCTAGGTTTATATTGAGTGTCGTGATAATTTATGGTGGCTGATAAACTTCTGGAAAGTATTCGAAAGGCTATTACACTGGTATGGTCGTAGAGCCATCTTTTGAAAGCGCATTCTTTCAGCAGGCCAACCAGTGCCATGGTTATAAGTAAGTAAATCATACCAAAAATGAATATAAACATTCGAATAGGAAACAGGACACAAAATCTAAAAATCCAACCAATGGACCAAAGAAAGAGTAATTTGTAAGATACATTAAGGTAATTTTTGTTGGTACGAGTTAATAGGTTCCAGGTTTGCAGTTCTTCCGTTGAGAAACGTTTGGTAACCTCATCATCGACCACAGCTTCAATACCACGAAGAGAAAAGTCAAATATATCGGAGAGGACAAATTCATGTAGACAATCTCCATCCTCATCATCATCAGGGAAAAAATCTTTTATCACGTTACGCTTTTCTTCAGTTTCTTTTTTCTCATCTTCATCGGACGATGTTTCCAATTCATGTTTCCTTAATTGATGAAGCCTTGTTTTCCTCTCTTGTTTTTCAATTGTTTGCCGGCAAAACTGTGTAATTCCCATAAATGATTTCCAAAGGACCAAACAATAAAAGAGAAGGTAACAAAGAAAATAAAGGTAAAAAAAGAAGATTAAAACAACCATGTAAAAAAAAGGAGAAAAAAAAATTAGAATCAAATGAGAAAAAGAAGATGGAAAAAAGTGTTCAGCTTTATCGATATTCAAGTTGAGTTAAATAATAGTTGATTATCAACTTGAGATAGAAAAGGTTTAACATTGAGTTACATAGATAGTAGATTAAGAAAAACTAAAGAGACAAAGAGACAGAGAGAGAGAGAGAGAGAGAGAGAGAGAGCTTACAAAAAAAAACGAGAAAAAGTAAGCAAAAAAAAAAGGTAAATGTTAGCGGCAAAATTATCCGATCATTGTAACTATCGTCAAGATACTTAGGTCAAATTACGCTCATTTAGTTTGTATTAAAATTGATGAAGTTTTTTTCTGTCTGTCTGATTGAAGATTTTCTATTTGTAGAGAAAAGGTTAAAGTGATACTGAAATAGTAACAATTAACAGGTTAATAGAGAGAAAGGTAAAATAGAAATAAGTAAGGAAAGGGAAATGGAAATAGAAATGGAAATAGAGAAAGAAAGATAGAGAAAGGAGAGAGATACGGTAAAGAAAGAGATGTCTGATAGGATGAAAGAGAAATTAAAAAGCAAAAAGACAACAAAATGATATGAATATAAAACTAACCTCAAATGTTGACATTAACACTCTGATGTAGAATCGACTAACACCCGTTTGGATTCCAAATGTTGGTATAATTAAAAGATAGGTGGCTATCAGAATAGGTGTATAAGTGATCACATTGAGCCAAAGCTCACCAAGACAGTTGAACATTTTGTTGTTCTTGTTATTTAACTTATTATTTGATAAGAACAAGAGAAAAAAATGATGAGTATATAACAAACAAACAAAAAAGAAAGGGAAAAAAATAAAAGAGAATCAAGATCTTTCAATATTTTGTTGTTTGTTACTTGTTGTTGTTGTTGATGATGATGATGGTGTTATTGTTAATGGAAATCTAAGATAATTGGAGTTCGGGCGGTTGATGGTTAAATCGGCCAACAGGTGAAGTAAAAACATTGATCATAATTAGAAAATGATAAAGTAAATAATTAATAAACTCCAGGCCTATTAACGTCATTCAAAGTAAAACAACTTGACAATTAAATAAATTCATTTCCAACCGATATTGACACTAACAGAAAAATGATGAGAAAAAATATTCTTTTCTTTTCCATTGGAGTCAACCAGATGTCGCCACTTGCGTAGAACAAAAAATTGCGCGATTTTCAAATATGTAAATAAACGAAAAAAAACTTTTTTCATCAACAACTTCCGATGGAATTAATTTTCTGATTAATTTACTGATCATTTACTCTGTTATTATTAACGATTAGTTTATTTGAATTAACTTTCATTTTGAAATTTTCATTTAGAAATTTTTGATTTTGATTTACAATTTGAGTTTTCATCTTCTTTTAAAATTATCATCACATCGACTAATTGAAATCCAATTTTTTCATTTTTACCTTTGATTGTTTCAATATTTTTTTTCCTTCGGCTCTTTAAATTGATAATTAAAAGTAAACTAAGTTTGATTGTTGCCAACAAAGTCAAAAATACTCACACTTGACCTGACCTTTCAATGGGCTTCAGATAATCATGATAACTCTTGTATTTTTCACTTTATAAAAGGTTAGTTTGGTTTCTATTGATAATCTGTTAATCTCTTGTTTTCTCAATTGATTAAGGTTTAAATTGTTTTTAATCACTTAATTGTTGGTCTATTAAAGAAGAATTAAGAGATTCTGATGATGAAGAATAGAGAAGACAATTGATCGCACTTTCTCCTTCTCTTTTTTTCAATGTTTCTAAACTCGAAGAAAAACCTTAACAGAAATTCGTTAATTGTTACTTGATTTTCGATAATTTTTTCTGATTGTTTAATTTTTTGTTCTCTCTCTCTCTCTCTCTCTCTCTCTCTCTCTCTCTCTCTCTCTCTTCTCTCCTTCTCCATCTTTTATCTTCCTCCCAACAACTACAATCACTAATTACAATTCGTGTTTACATTGAGGTCGACCTGGGTCAAAATATATTGTAATGATTAATGTAATTGACTTAAAGACAAACCCACTAATTGTGTGTGACAATGTTTCAATTGGTGACATTTAACAATCTAAATCAAATATTAGTTACTTTTAATTTATCTCAATCAATCAAACAGTTCGGATTAATCTCAAATCATTTAAAAAATTCACCAAAATATGATTCAAGTAACATTTGAACTCGACGAGATATTAAAGTGAATAGTTTATTAAGTAATTGATAAACTTAGACACAAAAATCATAAGGAAAAAGTTAATTGTGATCATCTAAATCGTCTCATCTCTTTAATTACTCATCTTAAATATATCTAATAATAAGTGTGATTTCCACTTCAACTCAAATTGTGACCATCAATCAATATTTCATGTGATATGCTGTCAGGTCAATTTCCAAGGTCTGACCATCAATCGACCAACAATCAACAATCTAATTTGACATGAATCTTGGCTTAATTACTTTGATTGTGTTACTTTCAGTTTCTCTTACAATGGTTAATGTTGAATCTTGTCGGAATAAACAAAAATCAGTGAGTTACCAGAAACAAGGAGGAAAATTATATAAAATCACCGAAGTTTATAAAGGGAAGAAGAGAAAATGTAAAAAGGTCTGTAATGATGACGAAGATGATGATGATGATGATTCTAGTTCCAATTCGAATGTTGAAACTGTGGATGAAGATGATGATAAAAAGATGCGGCGAATTGTAATTAGAAAACCAAAGATAATTAAGAGAAAGAAATTACAACCAAAAGCTCAGGTGAAAAAGAAGAAGAAGAAAAAAAAGAAAAAGGTAGAGGAGGAAGTGGAAGTGGTGGTGGAAGAAGAGGAAGATGAGGTAGAGGAGAAACGAGAAGATGATGATGATAAAGAAGAAGATGATGATGATGATGGAGATAAGAAGAAAAGGACCAAGAAGATCAAAAAGAAGACCAAAAAGAAGAAAAAGAAAAAGAAAAATTAATGTTCGAAAATGAAATTGACTTACTGGCAAAGTCGATCTGTTAATTGTTCAAAAATTCGATATTTCCTTCTAATTGTTACCTTAAATTGCTATCTAATTGTTACAATGTCAATACAAGTTTTCTCTTCAATTAATTAAAATCATTTTCTATCAAAATAATTTGTGTTTATCTTTTTTTTCTGTGTTGTTTTTAATGTCATAAGGAAATAGAAGTTTTTTTTGTACAAAGAAATTTAATTATCATTTAGAATTAATTGTTTTCGTTAATCTATACGAAGAAATTTGATTTTTTTTTCATTTCAATTAGTTTAATTTCCAAGGTTGGAGAAGCTCAGCAAAAACGTTCAGCAATTAGAATCAAATTGTTGGTCAAACGATTAAATGGCAAATCATCAAAAGTTGATTGTTACCATTTTTTTTTCTCTGTCATCTCGGTTCCAATTAGTTGTAATCATTCAAATCTTGATTGTTGGGAGAGAAAAAAGTTTGTAATTTGATTTTTTTTTTACTAATTAGCAGCAAAACGATCAATGATCAAGGCAAGAAAAAGAATGATGAGTCTTTTGATTGTTGTTGTGTCTTTTCAATTCGAAGATGGTTAATTGTTTTTCTTTGAGAGGTGATGGTGATATTGTTGATTTTATGGCAGAAGAAGCAGAAACATGAAGATAATTAGAATTGGAATTGATAGAAAATTAATTGTAAAATCAAGGTAATTGTGATTTCCCGGAGAAAATTATTCTTTCCAATGAGTTTAAGGTGCAAGTGGGCGAGTTGATTAAATTACTTTTTGTTTAGGTGAAAACAAATTGACAATTCGGACAATCATTTTTAAATTAGAAGCTCTGAGAAGTAAATCAAGACACTGTTCATTTAATTGTTCACTAAGCCAAACGATAAAACCATCAACTGGTCCAGTACAACGGTAAAATTCAAGTGGACTTGAAGCTGTGACCGCTTCTTCAATCACATCGGAAACCTCTTTCAGGTCAGTTCGAGCGAGTAGAAAATGATTGGAAAGAGAATCTTTTAATTCCGATTTATATTGTTCACCATAAAAGGTTTTCACCTCATCGCCGGTCACTTTCCAACACGCTGATAGATCTTCGTCCATCTTTTCATCTTTGGTCATATCAGTTTTGTAACATAAAGGTTCAATACAGACAACTTTTACACCGAAATCATCAAGTTCCCGTCTCAGTCCATCGTTATAAGACTTCAAGGCATGTTTACTCATACAATAAGGAACTAATCCCTTCAGGGTGAATCGACCTAATTGACAGAGAAATAGATAAATAAATGACAAAATTAGAAAAACATAAACATGATCAGCAAAATTGGAAACAAATGAGAAACACTAACCAAAAACACTGGAAACATTGACAATTCTTCCCTTTGATCGTCTAATTAATGGTAAACAAGCATTGATCACACGAATGGCTCCGAATAGGTTAACATCCAGAACTTTACGGATTCGGCTGGAACCATTATCCCATTCAAGTGGACCATAATCAATCACTCCAGCGTTGTTAATAACTGCCCAAAGGGTCAGGTCGGATTCCTCGATTTCCTTAACTGCTGCATCAATATCATCTTCTCGGGTAATATCAAGGGATAATATTCTCAATCTATTGGATGTGGTCTTGTAAAGCTTTTGAGCTCCCAAACCTTTAGGTTGAAGGCAACCAGCAAATACATGGAAACCATAAGTGTCCAAAGCTTTGGCAGCCATTTGACCGAAACCAGAATCACAGCCAGTTATGAGAACGGCTTTACTAAGGGGAGAGACAAAGGTGAGTTGACACCAGCCTCGAATAATCTTTGAGATTTGCCATGAGATGTGAGGAAGAGCAAATGTTATTCCAACCAATTTGATGAGACCATTAAGACCAATTAGATAATTGGAAAGGTAGAAAAGGATACCAAAAGTAATTAAGAATATTCTCCAAAGAGGTTGCCAAGAGGTAAATCCCATTTTCTCACAATTTTTTGTGATCTCAATGAGAGAAACAGAAAGTGAAAATTTCCAAAAACAAACAGTTGACTAGGTAAGTACAAAAGGAGAATACAATTTGCGTGTGTAATCAGAAACAAAAAAAAACGATTAGTTGATTATGATGATCACAATTATATCGGAGTAACAGACACTTCAATTATCACATTGAACAAAAGGTTCCATCAGAAAAAAAAGAGCCACCAAATGATCAGAATTGATTGTAACCTTTTTCCTTTCTTTTTCTCACTGATTCAAAGTAATTCCAATGAGTTGTTGTTGTTGACACAGCTAAAAGATAATAAATAGAGAAGAGATTGAGAAAATTAGAGAGAATTAGAAACAAAATGGTGAGAAGAAGGTGATAGATTAGTCGTAAAATAATCAGAATAAAACGGAAACAATTAAAAAAGAAATGAAATTCATTCTACCAGATCGATATGACACAATAGACAATTGTCAACAAGCACCAATATAATAGTCGATTGGAACACCGGATCTACAGTAATTTAAACACAATGAAACACTTTCTCTCCTTGTCCACCGATCAATCGTGTCTACTGACCTTAGAAAATTAATTATCGACGAAGAAAAAAAAATCGAAAACAATATAAAACCCATAACATGGATAAAGAATGGGGAGAGAGAGAGAGAGAAAGTTAATGATAATCATTTACTCTTACCGACAACAAAACACTTTCTCTTTCAACCTTACCAATTGGGCCTTGACCTTGACCACCATCAATAAAAACACCACAATAGAGCCACACAAACACTTAAAATGATAATAATTTAATCATAAGAATATAGATTAACAATTAACCCTTTCAATTAACTCAATTATCCAAAGCCAAACCCATTTTCCTAAATATAAACAAACATAATCTTCACAAATCCAATGTAAACAACAAGACAGAAAAATTGACTTACCTTTTTAATTTTACAAGATGATTAATTGTCACAGTCTAATTACCATTTACTTAATTAACACTTTAATATGATTAGGTCAATTGTCATGTTTAATTAGCATGACATTAAATAAATTCTATTAAGTAATAACAATAATAATTAATGAAAATGTTGCAAGAAAAACAAACTCATTGGAAAGGAAATGGAAACAAAAACCAGTCAGTCAATCACATGTTCACTTGCGCATTTACATTATAAAAGGAATTGAATTAATTTCTTCTCCTTCATTTACAATTAACTCTGGTAATTAATCATTTATTCATATTCTTAATTGTGGTAACATTTAATCGTCTTGATTTCACTTGTGTTAATCTTGAAACAATCAAATCATGAATGAACCCAAATCCTCATTCGCCTCATGTGTTGATTGGTAATTTTGATTTGATTTTCTTGCCTTCGCTTTTTATTTAAACTCTAGATTGATTTACTAATTGTTTATTTAATTAACTAATTTTTACTTGTGATTATTGATAGATGATATTGATTGGATTCTTAATTAGTAGCCAAAAGGAATCATGGTTGACAAAATCGTTCACCGGATATTCAGTGATCCTAAGGTCAGTCAATGTAAACATTGACTTAATTGTGTGGTTATAAACAATTAACTTAAACCGATTTGATTGTTTCCCGTTTTTAAAAATCTAATTTCAACAATGAAAAACAAACTAGTCTCACCTCTTATTGTTACTACTACAATTAACTGAATCTCAAACAATTTACTAACAATTAGTGAATCTATTTTTCTTTTGATTACAGAAAAAAAAACTCGAAACTTTGGTTAATTTGACAATTTGACTCTCGAAATGATCATTATCGATTAATCAATTAATTGAATGGCAATTAATAGGATTGCACTTAGCTAATTTGATTGTTACAATTAGATGTTACATCTTTGAATTGAAACTTTTCCGTTTATGGTGAAAAAGTTGAAAGTTTATTGGTGAAAACATTGAAACTGTTACAATTTGTATCTAATACAATCTTAATCACCATAATTACCGTGTCAACAATTAAACCTTTATAATTAACTGATTGACCAGACAGAACTTTCCAGTGATCAAAGTGATAATCAATTAAATCAACAATCAACGATTACAATTTTCCGGCGATTATCTTGTCAGGGTCATCACTTGGTTCAGTTGTTATTGAATCTTTTTGATTGTGAAAACATAAACATGGAAACAGAAAATGAAAACAATTAGTAAATCATTTTAACCAATCAATTGTTTATTATTATTATCAACAACTACAATAACAGAATCATCATCACACCAACAATTAAACGATTACAACAATCAGTTAATCAAACAACGATCGATATAAAAAAAAATCAACTTACCCAATTGATCAGTTTCCTCCGTGATTGTTGATTGTAAATCAGTTGATAAATTGAATTGAAAAAATTTACTCGAGGTTGTATTGATCAACAAATCACTATTATCACTGTTAATTATTTCAATTGACACTGAATCATAATTTGTTGACCTTGATTGTTCCGTTGATGATGATGATGATTCTGTTGATGAAACTGTTATGGTTAACATTGGGTTATCCTTATCCTTGGAATTGTAATTTAATTCATTTAATTGTTTAATTGCTTCAAACCAAAGGCTCCTAAGAATTAAAATATTGGTTCCCTTAACAACACAACATTTACACTTCCATAAAGTTGATTGTCCATCATGATCAGTTAAATTGTCATTAATCAAAGGAATCACTGATTTAGTTTGATTACCGACAATTAGGCAAACCTTGTAAGGTAAAACATTACAATCGTTATAAATTTGACACCAGTAATTGTTTTCTGAAATCAACCCATAATCAGCTAATTGTTTGAAATTAAAGTAATTAGATGAGGTTGAAAAAATTGAACCGATTAATATAAATCCAATTGTGATTAACTTCATCATCAATGTTGAACGATTAAAACTTGGTGAAAATGAGAAATCAATTCTAATCATTGGAAATATATTCAATTTCAATCAATCAATAATTGTAAACAACAATTTATATGATTATTAAATTGTCATCAGTGACAATTTAGTCAATTCATTTGTAGCAATTTAATCAACTCAAATTGTATCTCAAATCAAATAGGTTAATTGTAATCACCATTGAATGAGATGAATGAAAAATTTAATTCAAATTGAATAATAATTTTCAAATGAATTTAAATTGTCAAAAAAAACATCAGTTAATCAAATATTATTTAAATCAATCAATACAAATCAATTTCATCATTTCAATTTAAAATTATCTCCTTTTTTATTGGTAATATTAATTCAATCACCTTGATTATTACAATTACCAAAATTTAAACATGATCAATTTCTTAATCAATATAACAAAGTAAATCCTGCGATCAACATGATCGCTTTTCTGATTTCAATTTTAACAAATCGAATTCATAAAAGTGATCTTTTCCGTCTTTTTTATGGTCAAACGGAACAATCGTTATTTGGACCTTAAGTTAAACAGAGTAATCAAATCTCTGATTAACCTCACGAAGTTTTAATATCCCAATCGCAGGGCGTCCGGTTGATACAATTGAAAAACTTTCAATCATCTGAAAAATCGTGAATCGTAATAATTGTTTGTGATTCGATAACTAAATTAAAGTTAATCAAAAATTAACAGGAAGTTGTAACAACAATCGTCTTATTGAAATGGATGAGAGATTAACAATTAACGAAAAAAAAGGATTGAAAGGATTGATTACGATTAAACAACCACAACAATTAGCAATTTAAATTGCCAGGAATCGGTAAAAACAAAACCCACAGAGTATCGAGACAATTAAACAAGGACAATTAAAAATCTAATCACACTAATCAACGTAAACACACAGGAAGATCAATATGATTAAATATGATTTTATTTCCAAGGTACATTTTTGGTTAATTGTAATCATCAGATTTAATCGAAGGATATTTAAGATAATTATGATTAAATTCAGTGGGAGTAAATTAAGACAGAGATGATGAGGAAGATGAAGATGAAGATGAAGATGAAGATTATGATGATGATGATGGGGATGAGGATGATTGAATTGGTGGGTTTTTTTTCAAGGTATTACGAAGGCCTTATTATTTCAATATGAATAATCAACATGATTAAATTTGATTGTTGCCTTTTTCACCCACGTTTAAAATTCAACAATTTAACAATTATTTACTTTCCTATGAACTTGTTTAATTAATATTTATCTTCACATTCAACAATCTAATCACTTGTATTTCTAGTTTTACCTTGATTACTTTGATTCCAGTTTCTTTTAGTTAAATTGTTAACAAACTAAATTGTGCTTCATTGTGTTTAACCATCTTAATCCATTGCGATTGTTTAAAAAATTACAATTTACTATTTGGTGTTGATTCATTGGTTAGTGTGTTCATCTTTTTAATACAAAGTGAATCTTTCAACAATTTGTTAATTGTGATTATCTATTATTAGTATTTATAGTTTTAACATTAATTTTTTGTTTCTTTTTATTTTTGCCTTTAGTTTATTGTTTAAATTGTAATAATCAACAAAGGAATTACAACTTTTGACCAATTGGATTTAAATTTTACTATTCACAATCAACTAATTGTTCAAAATGCCAACCGTTGAATTAAGTCGTCCTGAAACAATTTGGCCATGGATTAATAGTGATCGTAAGTGTCCAACACAATTAACAATTTAGTCCATAAATTACTTGATAATATTTTCATTAATAAGAGATTAACAAAAGAAACGATTTAATTTGTCTCCATTGATGATAATTAACTGATCATTTACAAAATCTAATAGAAAATTAGTTGATTGTTGTCCTTGGATCGTCAATTTTGGTTAGCTAATATATTGTCTATCAAAATTACTAGAATAATGTTGAAACATTGATGATTTAATTGCGTATTAGTGGATAAATGAGCCGATGAGAAAATTGCTAAGTTAATTGTGAGTAGGTTGTAGATTAATTATTCACCTTGAAGCGTTAATTTTAATCAAATTTAACAAACAACGAGATCGTTTCTGAAGCTTTCAAATCAATCCAAAAATAGTTAACATTCATATCAAAAGTTTCGTTGATTGATTGACAATCATCAGAATGTAATGAAAGAAATAATCAGATCAATCGAGATGATAACAATTAGCTGATTCAATTTGTTGCTTAATTTTTCTCTCTCAATTCAGAGGATACAATGATTGAAGAGATGAAGAAGGAATTGGAAAAAAATGGCGGCCGTAAAATAACAATCGATCAATACGAATTATCATCAACTGAGACGAAAAGTTTAGACCCGAAGACATTGGAATGGAGGACAATTAATAGTAGCTCATCACCCGAATTGTACAAGCAACTTGCTCTCCAATCAAGTGCCGATGGTACGATTCCCATTCTTAAGCAGAACCATTTTAAAATGTCCAACGGGGACATTAAACTTGAATCGGATTCTATGACCTCTTCACCTTCACCCTTACCTGTGTCACCGACCAATGAAATCAAATACAATCGACCGGAAAGTTCACTTTCTCAAGCAATCAGTATTGACATGGCCTCACGTTCATCAAGCTCAGCTCGAGATCGTTCAGTTTCACCATCAAGGCGATCACGAAGTGAGAAAAACGTTTCGATCGGTAAAATTATCGAGGAATCAGAAAGCGAGGTAACAGTTCAGGTAAGAATTTAGATCAGATTTGATCGTCGTGCTAATAGTTATTTCGATATTTATTTGTTCTTGGTGGGGAATTTTCTTTTAGCCTGAGAAAACAAATTTCGTTCATACTTCTTGGCCTCATGGAATTGATATCAATAATCGAAGTCAATCTCGATCATCTCGAACAGTTTCACCAGTTCGATCCTCTTCTCGAGGAATTTCACCAGTTCGATCTTCATCTCGATCAGATTCACCCGGTCAATGGGCTATCGTTGAACGAAGCCAAACCCATGAGATTAAAAGGTCACCTACACCTTTCGCTCAAATGGGTCGACCTGCATCAGTCCCACCCTTTGACGCTGAACTAATCACCTTACCAAGGTATAAGAAGAAGGTCATTTCTCAGCCCTCTTCCCCGCTTCCCGATTACTTGACGAAATTGAGACACATTAAAGTGGCCACTGTTCCTGTTCCCGTTCCTCCCAAATTTGGCACTTTAACCCAAGGTGGACGATGGCCCAATGAAGCCGCTGGTCCAGTCGACATCGGTCCTCCCTGTGAACTCTGTAAAAAGCCAATTACCGACACCCGATTCATTCATCATCAAGGTTTCCTTTATCATGTTGATCATTTCACTTGCTCTTATTGTTTCAAATCATTGAGACCATATGATTTTCAAATGTCATCAGATGATAAACCTTATTGTATTAATTGTTATCGTCGAGAGTTTCATTGAAGTTAATCAGTTGACCTTAAATTCAATGTAAATCCATTTACACCTTTTCTCATGATTAACCTTAATCAACGAAAAACAATTTCTTAATCATCTCTTGCCAACACAATCCAAAAGATGAATTAACATAACAGAATAACTAACTTTTTCTTTTCCCACAATTAACTAATTAATCATTGAAAGATCATCAAGGTTTGACAACAATCAAGATTGGTGTTTCCTATCCTTCATAATAATTAAATTGTAAGGTTACAGTTGATTAACTTTTGTATGTAATAAGTTAATTGTTAACTTTATTTAACGATTCAATTTGATTATCTCTCTTTTTCAATTTCAACAATTCAACTGAATCAAGAAACTGAACAATTAAAACTCATGAAAAAAAAAACTCCAACGGAAATTAATTTTTTCCCTTTCATTGATAATCATAAAATTAATAGTAAACAATTAAATCAATACAATAAGCAAATAAATATAATAATTTATAATCCAATCCAATGAAAATCAAACAAAATGATAACTTTTCATTGATTATCAATGAAATTTCAATTGATCATCTAGACTGATGATATTTTCACAATCTAATTAAAATTGATTAATGATAATAAATAAAAAACAGTCCATTGACCTAATGCTTAATTGTAAATTAACAATTGACACGGAAGTTAATCAAAAATGAGAATAATTTTCATTGGAAAACCAGAAAAATCAACTGACCCTTTATCATTCATGATTATGTTATTGATCAAGAAGATGATTATTATTTAGGAAGATGATGATGATAATACAAATGATACAATAGAAACACGTAGAAAACAAATTAATGTCATTAGAACTCGAGAATTAACAAAAATTAATCGAAAAAATCGACAACAATAGGCCAGTCATATGCGCGACAATTGAGTAAACACTGGAAGAGATGATGAAAGGTATCATCAGAATTCATTATTCTCATCATTTGTCATCTTTCATCATCCTCATCTCCTCCTACACTTTACATTAACAATCAGTAATATACAATTAACACCAAGGCGGAGCAATTAAATTTGATTGTCATCTCGCAAAGGGTTTATAATCAGAAGTGATATTAACCCACCGAGGCAATTACTTGATTCCCATTGACAAGGTTTCATCTCAATCGTTGATGTTGATTAAAAATCCCAACAAAATTACTACCTTGTTATTTGCTCAGTTGACTTTGAAATAATTAGTAAATTGTTATAACTGTAATCAACTTTGATTGATAACAATAACTTTATTTAGTGTATATTTAATAACTGTTATTATTTTTGATTCAGTTTTACCATCTAGGTAATTGTTTGCTGCTTAATTGTTACAATAATGGTTTCCAAATCAGTGGTGATCCCAATTTATTTGGGAGTCACTGTGGTTGCCATGTTAATTACGTTAATTGTTGTCGTTGAAGGTCAGGATACTACAGAAGTCGCTCCGGTTGATTTATCAAAGTATCGATGTCGTAACGCTAATTGTTCAGGTAAACGAGTGAAAATCTGTCAACAGGCAACGTCCGAATCAACGTCCATCCTTTTCGTGGATCAGGTCAACGGCGATAACAAATGCCAATGCTGCTTCGAGAAAACTTTAAGCCGACGCAAATTACGACGTATTTGGGCTAAGGCCAGAAAAAATGTCTCCAAAAGCTCATCGTCACCCGCCGCCGGAGATGAGACGACAATTAAGCCAGAATTTTCCACTTTCGCTGAACTACCAACTCTCCCTTCAGTTGATTTACCAGGAATATCGCCCTGAATACTTTAATCAAGTTAATTATTACCTAAATTCATCAGATTGTCACCATAATCATCTTGATTCATTTTGATCAAGAAACAATTTAAAGTAAACAAAAAAGTTGTTCCTCTAAATTTAAGGTGACAATCAAATCAAACTTATTATTTAACTTCCTGTAATTAATCCTTTCATGTTGTATTATTGTTGTTATTTGTTAGTTGTAATTGTTAATTTAGATGTACTCATGATAATTATAGTTGATTGACAAATTATACAATAAAAATTAATCGTCAAAATTGATTTCTCATTGTGTGTGTTTTTTTTTGGTGAGAACAATTTATTCCAACTAGTTAATTACTATACAGATTTGAATGATTTTCGTCTAATTGTTTCATTTATTTGTCTGGTCTTTTTGAGCGGATGAATTTTCTGATTTAATGGTTTTCAAAATGGCCGTTACTTGGTCGGGAAAAGCATCTGAATTGAAAAGGTCAACATATTGGTCAGAAAGTTCCCAGAACTTTACTTTAAATTGTTCACTAGTTTCATTAGATATTAACCAAACTGTTTCCGGAAATTGGCCTGTAATCAAGATAATAAATAGAGAAAATAATTTAATTTGATTGATTCACCAGTTTAATTAGTTACTGACCTGGAGCTTCAGCGGCTCGACATCTTTCAGCATCTTTGAGAAGAGCAAGTAGATTAGCGGCTAATTGATCATCTGCCATATTTAAATTACCGATTGGTAGATCGATGTAACCAAAATTGTCTTGGGAAATATTTTTCTTACACTCGTAATCATAACCTTCGGAAAACTTTTTAACCAACGAAACAATATCATTTCCGAAATTTCCCTTCGATTTGCTTGGAAAATTATTGCCAAGAATACCTCGAATCGCTGTCAATGGAATCAACATATCGGTATGAACAACAAGATGTTCATAATCTATGTTGGAAATTAGACCTGATTTAATATTCCTAATGATATCATCTCCTCCCGCTAGAATGGCCCCAGCGGCTTTAGCGGCTTCTTGTTCTTCAACTGTTTTTACCACTGCAATTATCCGACTTCTCCTTTTTAATTCAAATGGATGAGGAAAGGTAACAGTTGATGAGAAGGCTTCTTGAAATTTGGTTTTCTTTTTGGCTTTCATGTAGAGTTCAATTCGTGTATGTAACAGGGTCGATTCTGCTCCCCACATTGTCGATGAATGAGCTTCTCGGTGCATTTTAAGAGCTTCTTTAAATGAGTAACTAGGAACCACAAAACCTTGTGAATAATAAACATCATCTGGTGGCGGAGGTAAACCAGTTGGATCAGAACGAACAACTTGAACTTTTGCCGAAGCTCTTTCATGATGAAAACCTTTCTTTCTCTCTGTTTTAGGCATTGATTTACGGACAAGTGCCCGTCTTCGAGCTTCAATTGCTCTCTTAATTCGTGTACCTTTACGGGCAGCATAGTTTCGTGATTGAACAAAAGTATCACCAGTTGATGGAACCAAAAGACAAGAGGTTATCCGAGGTGAAAGAAATGATGAAGTAGAACAAGTGAAAGAACCCGAAGAGAAACTTAAACCATTTCTCAGAGATTTAATTGTCAAACCAAGAAACATTTCAAACAATTAACCTGAATCTCATTAATCTCATGAACAATTAAAGAGAAACAATTAAAACAAAAAATAAAAATAAAAACAAATTCTCAAAACATGTGATCCCTTTCGGGGAATGTATTCTAATTGCGGTTAGTTGAATATTCTAACGAAATTTTTTTTCGCAACAATTAACTGATTGTCTGAATAAATAATCATAGTTGTTTGATTTTTTTTTTGCTAACATCAATTAACGAAAGGACATTGACAGTTGATCTTGTTAATAATTTAACTGATGTAATTGAAGTAGACGAGGGAGAATCTCGAGGAAATTGATTTGATTGTAATAGTTAATTAAATTGTTATTGTTGAACTTGATCTTGTTAATCTTTGATTGTAAATCTATTAAGAGAAAATATTTCCAGGGTCATTGATTTGATTCTTGTCAAGATTAAACAATTTGAATTCAAATTGTTCCATTTGAAAAGATTGAATTTGACTCACGAATGATTAAAAATTATCATTTACAGTATGAAATGAAATTAACAGTAAATTTAAATTGCTATTAAATTGAAACTGGAAAGATTTAATTTTTGTTTTTCTTTCTACTCTTAATGAAAAGATTAACTTTTGTTTTCAATACATTTTTGAGTAATCAAACAGTAAAGGGGTTGAAGAAAAATGAAAAAATGACATTTTTTTAGAGGTTGGTTTTTGTTTTTGTTGTTTAAATCGTTAATTGTTTCATGTTGAATTTTGGCTTCTTAAATTGTTTGCTCGTTGAAAGTGAGTTAATTGATAATCTTGTGTTGTTGTTGTTGTTGTTGTTGATTAATCAGGCGACGAGAAGATGATCAAAAAGACACACCACAAAATTAGACTAAACAAATTGTGGAAACCTCAACAATGGAGATGATATAACCTTTAACAAATCAATTGGTGCAATAATTGGATAATTATTAATGCAACACTATTTTTAATTAATCATGTTCATCATTTGTTAAATATCGGAAGGAAAATAAGGATAACCAACATTATAATCAGGCTCATGTTGCTGATCTTGAACGGATTCAGGCATTACGTAGTTACGATTCATCATATAATTGACTGGCATCATGTTGGCCAATAGTTCATCATTGGGAACACCACCAGCCCCTGCAAGTAGCCATTCATTGGTACCTCCACCGCCCTCACCGGGGACATTTGCCATCTCTGTGTTGGGATATGGCCAGAGGTTGGGTGGTGTTGGTTGTTGTTGCTGATGATGGTGTTGTTGTTGTTGTTGTTGCTGCTGTTGTTGTTGTTGTTGATGGTGATGGTGGTGTTGTTGCTGTATGGTTACAATTCCTTGGGAATATGGGATTGAGATTGTGTTTGATAGTCCGTGGATCGGATTCTTTTTCTGTGCCCGTTCGGTGCCGATGGGTCTTGGTAATTTTCTCTCTTCACTCATTTCTGACTCTTTGGATAGTACAGACTGTGAAGGTCTTTGAGAACCTGATTGTTGACCAGGATGTGAAACTGGATGATTGTGTTGTTGACTAAATGATCGCTGTGATTGCTGCTGTCCTTGAGACGAGGGTATTAATCGTCCAGGTTGTTGGTGCTGTCGCATGCTCAGCGGATATTGCATCAAATTGTAGGGTTGCATATTTTGAGGTGGACTTTGGTGTAGAACCGCATTAGTAGCTGGAAAAGCGGTCAATGCTGTTTGTAGTAGTCTCAATGTTTCTGCTGAGGGTGGATTAAATTCACCACCTCCTAAGGCTGAAGGATTCTGTAATGATGGGTGAATCCCTAATGAAGAACAAAAAAATGAAGAGAAAAATAATTAGCCTAATTAATTCAAATTGCAAGAATAATTTTCTATTCTCTTTTATCCCTTTTTTTTTATTTTCAACTTCTTTGTTTGTTTTTCGTCGACAGTAAAAAAAAAATATGATAATGATAAATGTTTACCTTGAGTAGGCACACTGGAAGGGCCAACCTGATATCTCACATGGGTTTGAGCCACTCGAGCAGCTTGAGCTACCTGAGCTGCCTGAGCAGCTTGAGCTGCTTGTGCTGCTTGGGCTTGCAAAGTTTGCATTTGAAGACTAGCTCCAGCAGCTAAAATGGCGGCCCTCATTTGCATGTGCAATGGCGGAGCATGTTGCTGTGGATTTTGTAATTGGATTCCTTGGACTGCATAAGTAGCTGAAGTTGTTGAAACTCCGGTAGCAGCGACCGAAGCAAAGTTTGGTTTATTTGCTTCCTTTGAGGTTCCCCAAACACTGGCTTGAGCCACTTTACTGAACAAATTGTTGAAAGGATCATATTCAGGTGTATTAGAAACCGATTGCGATGATTCTGTTTCACCACCAATATTTCCTGGTGAACCTCCAGGAATTTCAGATGCTGGTATGGCTGAGTTTGATGATGTAACTGTTGTTACAGTTGTGGTGGTCATTGAACTACTATTGGCAACATTAGAGCTACTATTAATACTATCGTTACCGCTAATACCGCCACTGACATTACTCATGGTGTTACCGCTGTTACTGCTACTTGTATTACCGAAAGGTTGCTTTGTGTCTGCAGTTTTATTTGGTGTTGTTGGTCCAACTACTCTTGATGCCGTGTTAAATGGTTGAGTTTGTGGTCTCACGGGAGCTGCGAAAGGAGCACCGGTAGATTCTGGGCCCGTAATAAATTTAGTCGAAGATAAATTGTTACTTGGTGTTTGATTAGGCGATTCGTCTGTTGTTGTTTTGGGCTTTGATGCAACCGCAGAAGTGTAGGAAAGTGTTGTTTTGGTTCCTGAAGTTAGAGGTGAAGGTGAGGCAATTACGGGAGAAAATGAAGGCGAGGAAATTACTGAAGAAAATGATGGTGAGGAAATTACGGAAGAAAATGAAGGTGTTGAAATCACTGAGGAAAATGAAGGCGAGGTAGTGACCGAGGAGCTGGAAAATTGAAGGCTTGAAGATGGAGAAGTGGCAGATTGCATCCTGGGTGGTATTGGTGTTTTAACTATACCCCAAGCATTGGGTGTTGAACTTGTTGACCCGCCAAATGGAGGGGCAGAATTGTTTATTGGAGCCGAGGCTCTAACAGAGACTACACCGGAAGATGTTCTAACCGACATTGAGCCAGAACCAGCTGAAGCAGTTGTATGAGAAGCGGTGGTAAAAACAGCAGAAACTGAGGATGACTTAGTGACCCCAGAACTTGTGGTTACCATAGATGACGATGAAGGTGGAATCGTAGCTGAAGATCTAGCAGCTGATGAGATTACAGAAGTTGAACTGAAACTTTTAATTGGTCCCCCTCGATTAAAGGTTAAATCATCCTCGTTTGAACTGGCTGACCGACTTAATCCAAGTTGTGAAATTATTTGAGACAAATCTTTATCCGTCTCATTGACCAGACCATTGATTAATTGTTGAGCATGACGTGTGGCATCAGCCGATCCTTTAATTATAATCTGACGATCACCTTGACCCTTTTGTTTTTCCACCTCAATATGAGCACCGGAAATTTCTCTCACAGCATTGATATTACATCCACCACGGCCAATGACTCGACTAATGGCATTAGCTGGAATTGAAACTTTCTTTGATCGACGAACTACCTCTTTCCATCCTTCCTCTCGTTTTTGACCCTTTTTAAGACCAAGATTTTGATTACTAATCAAAGAGGACGAGCTACTATTTCCAACGGAAACATTTGACACAGAGGAAGAAGTTGGTTTGGTTAACACTGTGGCACAAGGACTTTTTTGAGAATGAGTTGTTTTCTCAGTTGAATTTTCTCTGGGAACTTCAATGGATAATTCATTCAAACTACAATAGAGTAACGAAAGAGAAAAACAATCAATGAAAAAAGATTAATAATCAATCAAGTAGTAAAAATCAACATGGTGAAAACATTACCCTCAAAAGTATGATTTAAATATTCATTAACCAGATGAGAGATTAATCATTTTCTATTTAAATTTAGAAGAAAAAAATACTTACAATTGGTCGTTACTGTTTTTCCGATTAGATTCAGTGTTTTTATCAGAATATGATTTTTTCTCATTGATTGCCGAATGTGCAGTTGACTTTGTTTGATTGATATTCTCATTGGTAATTGGGGTAACACCAGAATCATTATCTCGTTGTTTAGATTTACCCTTAGCAGAAACTGGCGAGGCTTCTAAAGGTGATTCGGTTTTCTTATTGTCTCGATTAAGGTGATTATCTTTTTTATCTGTTGACTGTTTATTACCACTAGAAATAACTTGATTCTCTTTTTGAGCTTGATTCTTTTTATTCTTTTCCGCTTCCTTTTTCTTTATCGTTTTACTGTCGATATTTTGATGAACTGTAGTTGGTGTTGTTGTTGTTGTTGACGATGTTGTTGTTGTTGTTGTTGTCGTTGTCGGCGTCATGACTGTGGTGGTAGATTTAGTTGTTTCTTGTTTTGTTGGAGTTTGATGTGATGAGTCTTCAGGTAACACTCGACTTTTCTTAGTCTCTTTAACTGGACTTTGATTAACTTGATTATTTTTGATTACAGTTATATCTTCAAAAATGGTTCCACTTTCATCGTCACCCGATTCTGATTCATCATCTAAATCAGAATCTGATTCTTCAACTTTAATTTCGTTTCTTTGTTTCTGCTTATTGCTTTGCTTCTGAGATTGTTGTTTCTGTTTATTATTAGAAGCAGTTTGCTTAGATTCTTGGGCAGCCTTTGCAGCAGCAGCAGCAGCTTTTTCTTTTTCTTGTTTCTCTTTCTTTTTAAGCCTTTTCTTTTCTCGACGTCGAGCAGCAGCGAGTTTCCTTGTTTCTTCTCGATATCTTTCCATGTCAATCTCTTCGAGTAAAATGGTCGCATTTTTATTGGCCTCAGCAGCTTGTTTCTCTTTGGCTGCTCTAATGTGTTCCATACATTGGTGACATTTTTTCAAAAGCTCATCTTCATTGATCATTGAAATATATCGGGTCATCTCTTGATCACTGGGAAATTGTGTCACATGTTTAACCATCCATTTGACCACTTTGACGTGACCTTTACGAAATGCGGACATTAAACAGGAAACTTTACGATTATCTTGAGAATCAATATCTGCTTTAGCATTGACCAGAAGTTGAACTACATCAAGATGACCACCATTACATGCTAGCCAAAGTGGTGATGATCCTTTTTTATTTTTAACATCAACCTGAGCACCTCGGTGAATTAACAGTTCAACAAATCGATAATGTCCTTTATCGGCACTGATTGTTAATGCAGTGTCTCGGGAAGATGGTACTGGTGGTGCGTTAACATCTGCACCCTTGTCTAATAAAATCCTTCCCACTTCAACATAACCACCAGAAGCTGCTTCCATTAATGGTGTTAATCCAGTTTTTGCTCGATGTTCAACGTTTGCCTTTCGATCAAGTAAAAGGTCAACTACTTCTTTGCGTCCTTGGAAACACGCTAATGTTAAGGCGGTGTTACGATTAGTTTCAATTTGAGCATTGATATCACTTCCCATGTCCAAGAGGAGTTTAACTGTACCAGTGTGCCCATTCATGGCGGCTAACATGAGAGGAGAGATACCAAGCTTAGATCCAGTCCTTGAATTTATTTCGGCTCCATGACTAAGCAGCAACTTGATTATATTCACGTAGCCTCCTGAAGCTGCAAGACTAAGAGGTGTATAGTCAGATACATTTCTATGCTCTTTGTTGGCATTTTTCTCTAATAAAAGTTCAACAACTTCATATCGACCAGATGAACAGGCAAGAGAAAGAGCAGTATCTTTGGTTCGTTCTGATTGAGCTTCTATATCAGCTGAATGGCTTAAAAGTAACTCACAGACACCAGCGTGTCCCGCAGTAGCTGCTAACATGAGTGGAGTGAAACCTTTCTTATCTCGATGTTCAATGTTGGCTCCACGTTTAATCAAAAGTTCAACCAATTCTTCATGACCTCCAGCACATGCAAGTGTCAAGGCGGTATCATGATTAGAATCTGTTTGAGAATCTAAATCAATTGGTGGATACCAAGGAGGCGGTGAACTTGCTGGATTTAATTTAACAGATGAAAGGGTTAAGCTACTGGTTCCAGTGGATATTGAAAAAGTTGTTGGTATTGTTGGGTCTGTAGTTGATGTTTGAGTCTCACTTTCGATAAGCTGTTCAATTGAAGGTGTTCGAGTCATCGAATCAGCTTGAGCGGTAATTATGGAGCTTGTCGAGGTAGTCACAGGTAAACCCATTGAACTTGCAATGGTACCTGGACTTGTTAGGATTGAAGGTGATTGACTAAATGATCCTGAAGAAACTGGTATGCTAGAGAAGTTAAATGATTCCATTAAAGGTCCCACCGAACTTGTAAATAACGCTTCAACGCTCGAAGGAGACGCTCGCGGACCTAATCTGCCTTCTTCTCTTGCTCTTGCTCTGTTGAGAGCTTGAGTAGCAGCAGCATAGCCTGAAAGTTTCAAGAAAAAAAACAAAATGATTATTAGATTCATTAAGATAACTAGTTGCTTGATTGCAAACTAATGGATTTTCTTATTCAATTTACCTGCGGCATATTCCTCATAATCAAATTCATCAGATTCGTCATCATCAGGTAATTTAGGAGGTGTTGATAGCACGAAAGAAGAAGACGAACCATCACTCATTTCTAAAGTGATCGGAGAACTGAAAACATTTGATGCTAAAGCAGCAGAACCTGGTGAGGTTGGTGATGAGGCTGAAGGAGTTAACGATAAATTTACTGGGATGGTTGGAGCACCCAAAGTGAAAACATTACTTGTAGGAACCATAGTGCTACCAAGAGCACAAACTGTTGGTGATGAAGTTGAACCAGCGGTCAATAAGATACTTGCTGTTGACATATTGACCTGCTCGGTGTTATCATTAGTTGATGTTGGTGTTATAGATGAATTGCTTTCAGCTTGTTGAGAGACAGCAACTGCGGTAAAATGTGTCTTCAGTGCTTGAAGATGTTGATTGGCCAAGGAAAGTGGACTTGATACTGGGATATTGGTCTGACTAAGCTGAGAAAATTGATTTGATTGTTGAAGATTTGCCTGACTGTTTTGTTGTTGTGCTAATCTATTTGCAGCTTTACTTGCTTTGCTACCTTTACCTGATATCGTTGATCGTGTTGACGATTTAACTGGTATCAGGTTTGCAATTGCGTCATTGGAGAATCCTTCAAGACTAGGGGTCTGAGTAGCCTGAGTAGATTGAGATTGCTGAGATAAATTTTGTAATTGTTGATTAGATGGTGACAATGAGCTGGAAGATGCAGGATCATTTGCGTAAATTAGCTTCAATTGTCGTCTGAAATTGCTATTCAACATGTTTGACAAAGATGAAATTAAAGTTTGTGTTGCTTGAGTCTGTTGTTGTTGGGTATTTACAACGACATTTGGTGATGTTGTTGTTGTTGTTTCCGATCCATCTTGTTGTTGAGCCTGTGACTGAGTTTGTGATGCTTCTGTTAGTGTACTCGGAGATGGCGGTGTTTGTGGAGTTGGAGGTTGTGACTGTGGCTGAATTGTCTGTGATAATGGTGGAGATGTTGTTGATTGTTGTTGAGCCTGACTTGAAAGTTGTGAAAGTTGTGGTAGATTAGCTTGATTTAAATTATCCAATGAATTTAGATCAAACCATGAGGGGAAAAAGAATGGATAATTGGCATCAAATTTCATACTCGATGCTGTTTGTTGAAGAAACTGCAGAGCATCAGGTTTTTGCTGACCAATGGTTTGAGCCCATTCCAAAATTGCTTGCTGAGATTTTGGGTCGATAGTTTGAGCTGAATCGATCGCAGTTTGAGCTGATAAACTTAGAGAAGAGGAAGAGGAAGAAGACGAGGAAGAAGAGGGAGTTACATTACTAACAGTAGCAGCACCAGACGAAGAAGCAGTTGTTGGTACTGTTATTGGTAATGGTGGTGGTGGTGGTGGTGGTAGTGAAGTTGTTATTGTTGCTACAGAGGTTGATGTTATTGGTGTGGTAATTGTTGAAGGTTGAGATACGGTGAGTTTTAATGGTTGACTTTGCTCAGTGTTCAAACTATTACGAAAATTTCGTGTCCCTGATAGATCAGCTTCATAACAAAGGGTTTGAATTAATTGTTGCTGTTGTTCAGCTTGTTGATTTAACAATAAATGCTCTTGGCGCTTCTCTTGTAATTCCTTTTCCACTCTAACCAATTCCTCTAGGATTTGCTGTTTATGAAGAATCTGTTGTTCCCGTGAAGATGGGCTAAGGTCATCAGATGAACCAAGTTTAACACTGATACATTGACTTAGAGTCTCGGTATCTTTGAAAGTAGAAATGGTTTCGGTACCAGTTGAACAGGAAGAGGAAGCAGCTTCAATCGATGAGCTCAACAAGTTAACAGTATTGAGAAGGTGAGAGGCACTGCTATCTGATAGACTTCTCTCCAAATGTTTACCTGATCCAATCGAAGATGAATTTCGTCCTTTTGGTAGAGGTATATAGGGTTCAACAGATTCTGATGGCTTGTTGAAAGATAAACTTTTATTTCGAGATGTTTTTGGCATACCATATTTACCGGAAGCATTTGAAATAATAGAACTTTTTCTTTGACTACTGGTTGATGAAGATACTTGATTATCCGAAGTATCTTGAGATGATGTTGATGATATTATTGACCCTCGTTGAACTATACGACCAGTGGTCGTAGTAGTAGTAGTGGTAGTGGTTATGGTAGTTGTTGAAGTATCACAAATATCTGAGGATGTAACATTATTATTGATATTATTGGTTAAAGTAATATTGTTATTATTGAGATTGGGTGCTGAGGTGGGTGAGGCATCTTCGGGTGGAGGAGATCGACTAACAGCATTTGGATAAACCAATAAAAGTTGAACAACTTTTGTATGGCCTCCTTTAGCTGCTTCCATTAACATGGTTGCATTATCCTTTAAACGATGGGTCGGATCTGCTCCTTGACTTAACAAATATTCAACAACATTTAGATGACCTCCAGTACAAGCAAGGGACAAAGGTGTCGCATCATTTGTAGGTGTTACTTTGTTTACATTGGCTCCACGAGAAACCAATAGTTGAACTGTACAAAGATGTCCAGCTCGTACAGTTTTCATCAAAGGTGTTCGTCCACCATCAGCTTCATGTTCTAAATCAGCTGAAGCATCTAAAAGGATTTCAGCAACATCCGTATGTCCATTTTCACAAGCATGCATCAATGCTGTCTCTCCATTACCATTGGTGGCATTAACATTGGCGCCTACATTGATTAAATGTTTAACCAATTCAATGTGACCCTCTTGAGCTGCTTCCATTAAAGGTGTATTACCACCGGCCTCAATATCAGCACCAGCTTTAATCAGAAAATCGGCCACTTCCAATGAATTAGAACAACAAGCAAGAGTTAAAGCTGTTTCCTGAGTTTCCTCAGTTTGAGCATTTATATCAGCTCCTTGACTTAATAATAAGGCAACCATTTCCTCTTGCCCTTCTCTAGCAGCTTCCATTAAAGGTGTATATCCTTCATCATTGACTTCTTCAATATTGGCACCTCTTTCTAATAATAACATGGCCAATTCAACATGACCCCCACACGAAGCAAGGGTAAGAGGTGATTCAAAACTATCAGCTGGCATGTTTACCTGAGCACCTGAATCAAGAAGTAATCGAGCCACTTCAACATGACCATCCATTGAGGCTTCCATTAATGCTGTATGCATTTCTTCAGTTTTATGCTCTTGGTCAGCACCAGCTTCCAATAGGAATCTTACCATTTCTAAATGTCCTTTATAACAAGCAAGGGTTAAAGCTGATTCTTTAAATTCATCTGAATGTGAATTAATGCTTGCACCTTTTTCAACTAATATTTTAGCAACCGAAACATGACCAGCAGAAGCAGCTTCCATTAAAGGTGTATGTCCATTTTCATTATGATCTTCAACATTGGCTCCAGCATCAATTAAAACTTTAACCACATTCACATGACCACCAGCACAGGCATACATTAAAGGTGTATTCCCTTGTGACGTCTGGGCGTTAACGTTGGCTCCATGTGTTATTAAAAGATTCACTATATCAACATGGCCCGCACTTGAGGCTTCCATAAGAGGGGTAGTGTCTTTTAATCCACGATCTTCAACATTGGCCCGTGTGGCCAATAATAATTGGGCCAATTCAGCGTAACCAGAGGAACATGCTAAAGATAAAAGGCTTTCACCTTCTTCCGTTATCTCATTCACATTTCTACCCTCATCCAATAATCTGCGTACAGCTTCAAGATCACCTACATTACATGCATCTATTAAACAAGAACCATCTACAACGGCTGAAGCAACAGCATCATGAGGTCTTTTCCGATCAAATTCACAGCTTTCCACCATTGATCCAGTTAAGATGAATACAAAAACAAAGGAAAAGGTAATCAGTTTACATTCATAGTATTAAATTAACAATTAATATTATCGTATTTATCTCTTTTTTTTATAGTTATTCTTTCAAACAATTCACTTCTACAATTTTACAAACAAAAAGAAAATGAATTCTCTCCGGTGCTGCTGTTGGTTAGATTTTATTGATGCCCAAGTGGCTAATGCTTTAAACATTAACTCCAGCGGACTGGAGGCTCTTTCGAGCACTGAACTAACCGCTCAGTTTGGTTTCGAGAATGGTTACAATTTGTTTGATTTTTTCAATTTTATCAATTACATTTTTTTCATCGCAAAGGTTTGTATCATCTATCCAGTATAATTGTGTTGATTTACATTCTTTTACATAGTGAAAGATTGATCTATTTTTATTTTTGTTTCTGTTTAATTGTTTAGTTAAGATATTGATTTTGTGACACTGATTGAGGAGATGTTTCAGGCTGACCCCATGGTACATTTGGTAGACCTTTCGCATCGGTACAGGAAAGAAAGAATGAAAGATATTGGGTGATTTGTTCATATAAGTCAGGTTGATTATCGCTTCTTTAATTTCTTTTTTCTGGTTTGATTCTGTCCAAATCATGTTGTTAATGATTATTGTTCTAATCGGTTCCAGTGGTAGATTATTGCTCATTTCCGCTGGCGTCCATGTATAAAGTCCTTTGTGGTTCTCCAATATTTTGATAATCATCTTGGTTGATGTCGAATGTGGATATTTGATTGCAAGGTTAGGGACCAGGTAGTTAACCCTCCGATCTTTGTGTTTCATAACTAACATGTAAAAGGCAAGTAACAAAGTTTTGAGTAATTTGAGTTATTAACAATGTACATTACCAATTCATTGTCTAATGAAAAACTGTTCTTATTTATTTTGATAGCAACTGTCTCGAGTCCACCACCTAACGTTTTCCTTTGCCAGAAGCATCTTTGAGATTCGTTTGTTGGAAGAGGGAAAGTGATCTTCCTATTTGCGATCTCCACGATCGGCCATCTAGTTTCATTCTTCGAGAATACCTTGATCGCTTTGATGATTTGAGATAACCAGGTGACAATCGGATTTTCAACTCGATATGCTATTATTGGTATCCAACCCGATTTAAACTTGTTGATGAGGAGAAGATGTTTTAGGTTTTGATTCACTATTTCTTGTAGATTGTGAATTAGATTAATGTAATTCTTATTTTCATAGAGGGCATGAGGACCAATTGAGTAGAGCATCGGGCCAGCGAAAGCTGATACTATGAGCCTTTGATAGTGTACCGGGAGTCGAGAGATGATTTGTCGGTCACCGATAATTTTACATTTGTTATCATTTACGATTTTCTGTAAATTTAGGTGATGTATTGAAAAAGATAGAAATTTACCTACTACCTTGATGTTGGTTGTTTCCGGATGTTTAAGAAACCTGGTTTTCGATGGATTAATGTTCAGGTTAACTTTTTTCAGCTCGTTGGTAACTATTTCAATGTGACGATTTGAACTGGATTCGCTGGTGAGGATAACTAAATCATCTGCAAAGGATATTATACTAACCCCGAGGTGCTTCGAGTTTCTAATAACCCTGTTCATACCAACTATGAACAGTAGCGGACCCAGTGACGAACCAGCAGCCGTACCGACATCATCTTTTTTATAAATTATTCTCTGATTGTGAACAAATCGTAGGACCCGATTTGTATGAAATGAGCGAATGAGAGACAAGGTGCCCGCATCTACAAAGTTTTCCAGCCTTGATAGATAATTTCAACCAGGATGTTATCAAATGCTTTAGAGGCATCAAGTGCTATTCCAATTCCATTGCTTAGATGTTCTCTAAGGATGATATGGAAGCCATTGGAGTCGACATTTTCTTGATATGCGAATTGAGTTTCAGGTACAAGAAGCTCTGGTAGAATCGCTTGTACCCTCTTGGTAAGAATTTTATCAAAAATTTTCAGAGGAAAACAAGATATTTTAATGAGGCGCAGTGAATTATCCGGTTTAGGAATAAAATGAGCACCAAAATTTTTAACTTCAACCGGAACTAGACCATCACTGAAAGCACCTTTGATTGCCGTAATTATTTTTTCCATATTTATCTTCCAGAATTTCAACCAAGTAGTAAGAGTGAAGTAGTCAGCGTTACCCGATTTCTTTTTGAACCTGAAGCCCCGAATCAACTCAATCTCATGTTCTCTAAGTTCTGATGGACAACCTAATTCTATTGATTCAACTGGTTTATTTGAGTTAAATGAAGACAAGTCTGGACTCGGTCCTACCACAATTTGATCAACTAATGAACTTTTTTTCTTAATTAGCTTATTGATGAAGGCCCATACTTCTTGTGTGTTATTCCTGATTTTGTAAAGGTACTTTTTAATTCCTAATTTTCGATTTATTCTTAACCTGGTGCATAGATTTTCTAATGTTCTAATTTCATCCTGATCAGCATTCTGTCTTCTCATTCTTTGTATTCTCGATCTGAGTTTACTGATTCTTCTGTTGGTCTGTCTACCTTGGCTTCTAAAGGGATTCTTTTTATTCTGAGCTCATTCATTTCTCGAAAAAAAGCTCGATAATTTAACTCAGGTGAACACTTTGTGTTAAGATTATAAAATTGTTTTTTGTGTGTAAATTTTTTTGTACTAAGAAACTTTTTCTGAAGTTTAACTTGAATTATAAATTGTCTATGATCTGTGAGAAAGAAACTATCAATCAATTTTTGTTCAGGTGAGTTCGTAAGGACAATATCAATCCAGGAGTGTCTATTAGCTAATCTGTAGGTGAAATTGTCGGATCGAGGACTGTTGAGAACATTGAGATTGAGGGAAACAAATGAGGCTTCAAGCAAATCACTACAGTTTTTATGACTTACACGGGGTGACCACATCTTTCCCTCGACATTCGCGTCCATCACTAGTACCATGGGTAAACCTTTGAAGATCGATAGAAGGTTGATCAGGTTGTTGATATTTGTTTTAAGGTCATCATGTGCAATATAAGCTCCTACGATTATAATTTGGAACTTTTTTTTCTGTACCAGAACAGCAATCACATTTTTTATTGAAGTTTCACTGTAAATTACTTGAAGATCATTTGAGGTTATGATGATTGTTTGATCATTTAATATAATTTTCTTGTTGATGTAATTAAGAGCTATTGCTCTATTTACTTCCACAAGTACTAGAATTTTATTAACACTGTTCATTGTATCTTGGATGAGATCATATGATACTTCGCGATTTTTTGCTGCATTAACATAAGTTAATGTTATCGTGGGGGATGAGGAGCCATTCATAGTCAATGGAATATTTTTTCGAGGCTTCAATGATTTGATGCTTTGTTATTTCACACTCAAGTGAATTCGTTGAGTGATTTTTCGAGCAAAAATAGCAGCACTTCGTTTGAACAGTACAGGGTTGAGGATGAATGGTAGAGCAGTGTACACACCTATTCCTCTCACGACAGAAGTTGAGATGACGTTTTTTCAAGCAAGAGCAAAGATTGAGCTTGATGTTGTCGTAGATCGGGATTATCTGGTTCCAGAATTTAATATATCCATCCTGGTCAAGTAGTTTCTCTCTATTTGTGTCACTGATGTTCAAGGTAACAGTGCAATCACCACTTGCATAAGAAAGGCTTGAAATGAAAGTTTCTTCATCCAACTGAAGATCATTGAGGTATATGTTGTCTTGGACACGTTCAATCTCAATATTTCTGAGACGATTCACTTTGAACTGAACAGATGAAGAAATTGGTTTATACTCAGAGATGTTGTGGTAACTCGTAACTTTGCTGATTTTTTCAACTATTTCCTCTTTAAAGCGTTCAGATATGAACCCGACTTCAAAGGTCTCATTTCTTTGATTGATGTAGGTAATTACATTCGAGTGATTGGAATCACTGGCTAAAATATTGGCAACACTAGTTTCTTCACTTAACGATGTTAGGTTGACACGAATCGAATGATTTTTATTTGTTCTTGGAGTGGGTTTGATCCAACCTAAGCGTTTAGCTTGTAATTCACGAAAAACTTTGTTACTAATCATTTTCTTCTGACGCAATTTCTGATCGTGTTGAGTGAGAGGTTGATTGTGATTGGAAAGTACTGACAAGTAATCACTGATTCAGGGAGTAAAAAGAGACTGATGATTGTATGTCAAGGGGTACTAGTTTTTTTACTATGATTCAGAGCTTACTCTTCATTTTATTCTAAGAGATATTTTGTCTTAATTTAAATTTTCCAAATTGAAGTTAATTATCTTAGCTACTCCTAATTAGCTGAGCCTTTAATTGTATCTGAGTTTTAACTGGTTTAACAAAGTATTGTTGATTTTCACATCTCAATGTAAATTGATTTTAGAACAATTTAACGCAAATTGTACTTAAACATTGTATTTATACATTGGTCATGTTTTAATCCGATATTTAAATAGATGATACTAATTAACAATTGTAATCACAAGAAAGATACAATTAGCTTGTTAACTAGTTGGGTTTAATTAACTAACAGAAAATTTGTGAAGTTTGAAAAACCAAATAATGAAGTTAATTGTTTGTTTCAATTAGCATTTTGATGTTAATTGTTTTGAATTGAAAAAGATAGAAGTAATTCTGAGTAATTAATTTTCAATTGTTTTAATTTACTGGCAGTTTAGTGAGATAAAAAGTTCACAATTAAATGTTGATAAGAGTAATTGGTTAACACTAAGAAGTTACAATTTAAGTTCAATTAGTGCACTTTTTTCTTGGGTATGAGTGAGTACCAGTATCGTAAGTAGTATCATGGTGGTTGAATTTCATGAGCTAGCGAGCATATGAATTCAGGCTTAGTTAAAAGTACTGATCGAGAAATTAAGCCATGATAACTTCATATTGATAATTTCTTTTTTCTATCTCATGGAGTAATCTTTCTTGGAAACGCTCACAGTTATAATCCCAAGCATTGTGTCCAAATTTTTTACAGTTTGGACATTGCCATTTATATTTATCATCTTTAACTGGACATTTATCATGAGAATGATTAGTGAGTCCACAAAAAGGGCATAAACTGAGTAAGGTGCATTTACTGGACATGTGACCAAAACGAGTACATTTCCGGCAATGTTTAATGTCAAAATGATCTATGGCATTTGCTTTTTTATACCCCACGGCGATCTGACCTTGTCTCTTTTCTATCCATTCTCTTAATGCTGGATCGGTTTCAACAATTACATCAAAGAATTTTCCTTGTCGATAGAAATGTTTAATGTTGCATTTCCATACTCTTTTCCATTTGTTTTTCGCAAAGAGTCTTGAAATCCATTCTTGGCTGTTGTTTTCATCAAATTTAACTCCTTGAATCTTTATCTGAGGATCAAATAGCGGTGGAATCGTAACAACCCAATCTTCTTTGGTCTTTTTCAAATAGTTAAAAATCTTTGTTCGATCGGTCATGTTTGAACACTTTATTTTTGCAGAGTCGAATCCTGCAGTAACTTCGTCAGCTGATCCAATGTCTTCAGTGGTTTCCTCTAAGATCTTCTCAACTTCTTCTGCAATTACCTCTCCAAGCCGTTTATCACTTTTACTTTTCGTTCCTGGTATTTTAACTATGATGTTGTGGTAGATTTTCAAGTGAGAAACATTGAACCAAGTTGACGGCATATTTTGAGTTTTATCAAGTTGTACAGAGAGTAGACTCTTCATCTGATTATTAGATAGATTTTGAACTTCTATCTGGTCATCTACCTGAGCTTCATAATCATCTTTTCCAATCTCAGTTAGACGGTCAGTGAAATGAATGATTTTCAGCATCTCTTCATCGTTTATTTCCTTTGAATAATTCACATCCTTTATCATTTGCTGCAAATATTTTATAATTGGATAGGCTTCAAGTTCATCTACAATTTTCTCCACATTTAAATTGGTGTCATTGTGATTCTTGTAGTAATCCATCACATCTTATATTTGGTCTTGTTGTGTGTCTGATTTCTTCTACAATGAGAGATAAACAAGAGAAAAAAGAAATAAATTGTGAGTATATGAGTGATTGTAAATTGATTTTCCTTGTGTTACTGTTAGAGTTTAAATGTTGAAGTTTTAAATCTTGAAGTTTTAATTTTAAATGTTTAAATCTACCTGTTTAAATATACCTTAGTAAAGGTAGCATATATGGATTAAGAGATTTCACTTACTTAATTTTTTGAGATTCAGTTTGCCCATTGTTTCATTGTTGAACTCCATTTTTTGCACTTTTACTGGTTGGAATTTCACTTTATTAGTATCAATCGGTGCGGACTGACAACAGGGATCTTTTTAAACACAGGTAGAAAGAATTTTAATTAAAATTCAGGTAAAAGGTAATTTTTTTCAGGAGCAAAAAATATGCGACTTCACCCAGTTAGAATAGAATATCCGCTCATTCTCCCGACAGATGGCGTAACATTAACGAATTCATGTAACATGTTTACTTGTGATTCCATTGGTGTGGCTTCAGTTGATTAGCCAATGGGAGACAATCACGAGCCAATTTACTTTTATTTTCTTTCGTTTCCAGGCCATTTTTCCATCGATTATCACTCGAAATAGTCAAATCTCACCGAACTCAATTTATTGGAACACAATTAAAACCAATTAATTAGTTAATTTGGAACATTAATTACCTGAGGAGTTTAAGTTTCGTCTTTGCCGCTGATTTAAGCCACACCAATGGAAACCTAAACATGTTTACCCGAATTCGAATTTAAGTGGTGCCATCTATCGACTTAGTTGGTTAATAATTGGAACATTTTGTTGATCATTGATTTTGTCTTCTTCTTGTCTTGATAATTAACTTTCTAAATTAAATTTCCTTTAGGCTTTCAATTTCTTTCTTTGCAAATTAATCATGAATCGAATTATATCTCGTTTTCCTCGTTATTTCCTTAATAATCCCAGAATATTATCCAATTCAATTCCATCAAGATTATGTGCTACTAATGTTGGTTCTCATTGTAAGTTTGTCATTTTTTCTCTCTCTCTTTTCATGGATTAGTGATTTTAATTGTTGACTTTTTTTTGTCTAATCTTTTTTTTATTATTAATATTTAGCTGAAAATCATACACCTGTTTGGAATGCTGAAAGGCTACTTAGTGCTGGTTTAATTGGTGTCATGCCTCTTTCTTTTATGTTACAATCTCCTATCATGGATTATCCATTAGCCTTGTCAATGGTTCTTCATATTCATTGGGGTGTTGAAGCAGTTGTAGTTGATTATATTCGTCCGAGAGTTTTTGGTAACATTATACCTAAATTAGCTCTTTACTCTGTCTATGCCTTATCGATTGCTACTCTTGCTGGACTTTTCTATTTTAATTATACTGATATTGGTGTTGTTCAAGGAGTCAAAATGGCAATGAAGATGTAAAAAAGAAAAAATAATTTATTCTCTTTTCTTTTTTTTGTGTAGTATATTCCCTCCGCTTTTCTCAATCCTAACTATTATCTGTGTGAATTTAGCTCATTATTTTAATCGGAACAAACATCAACCACCGTGAAAAGGAAAAAAAATCAAAATTACTAATCATTTAGAATAATTAATAATAACTTAATGATTAAAATTGAAATTCTATTGATATTCTCAAGAAAATTGTTTCTCGGTTAACCAAATCCACCCTGTAACTTATCATTGAAAGATCAGCTGTTAAAAGGAAAGGAGAGATTATCTTTTCAAGAGAAAAACAAAAAGAACATCAAGTGATCATCTCATTTACCAATTTCTATTCTAAAATGGCTCAATTGTTTAATAGAAAATTAAATTTACTCTTACCCTGTTTAACTAATTCAATTGTCGACTACTTACCAACAATTAACCTTTTGATTCCAAAATCAAGATCAATTTCCCATCTCACCAGTGATTCTAATCTACTTGAAGCAACAACTAAATCAAATCAATTCCAACTTCAATCAAGTAAGAAAATCAACCATTTTGTTTTTTCCTCTCTTCTCCATCTAATCAATTAATCTAATTGTAATTCTTTTCTTAATCATCTAATTATTATTTCTCTTATAGAAAGATGGATGTTCATTCAAACCCAAGACACACCGAATCCTAATAGTTTGAAATTTCTACCCGGTGTAACTGTCCTTGATTCTGGAACAATTGATTTCTCTGACCGATTAACTGCTGCGAAAAGATCACCATTGGCCAATGCTCTATTTCGTATCGAAGGAATTAAATCAATATTCTTTGGCCCTGATTTTATTACGGTGTCAAAGGTGGATGATGATGTTGAATGGAAGGTAATTAAGCCCGAAATTTTCGCTACTCTAGTTGATTTTTTCTCCTCTGGCCTTCCAATTGTAACCCAAGTCAAAGACGAACAATCAATTGCCGGAGGTAAGTTATACATCTTTAAACCTCTAATCAACTGGATGGAAATGATGTCAACAACAATTTAATGGTGAATTTAATTTTTAATTGTTCCAGAAAATGAACCAGAAGAAGATGAGACAATCTTGATGATCAAAGAGCTTCTCGAAACGAGGATTAGGCCTACGGTTCAAGAAGATGGAGGAGATATCATATTTATGGTTAGTTTAATTTCTGCATCATTGTCAAATTGTCAACTAATCAATAATTTTTTCCCATTTGATTGATTAGGGTTTTCAAGAAGGAATTGTTAAATTAAAACTCCAAGGAGCTTGTAATTCATGTCCAAGCTCAGTGGTCACTCTTAAAAATGGAGTCCAAAACATGTTACAATTTTATATACCCGAAGTACTTGGTGTTGAACAGGTAATTAATTAACACAATTAACAATTTACTCTTGACAATTTATCTTTGATTGTTTTTACTAACAAGATCAATTTTGTCTCTTTTTAATCTCATTTAGGTTGAAGATATTACTGATAAAATAGCAAAGGAAGAGTTCGAGAAATTTGAAAATGAAAAGAAATCAAATAACAACAATTAAATAACATGAAGAATTATTTTTATCATCACTAATTACCTATTCATCAAAATATAAATCATAAATCATCAAGATTAGAAACATAATCACAAAAAGACAAGGAAAGAGAGAGAGAAACTAACAAAGTGTTTTTGTAATCAAATCAATTAAATTGTTCCATCGTCATGAAAAATTTTCCTCTTTTCCATCAAACAATTAACCAATAATCACAAGAAAATTGATCTAAATTGCTGTGGGCCACCAAAAAGATGTAACTATTAACCAGCACTATGAGTATACCCAAGATTTTGTATAAAAAGGCAAAAGTATGTGATCAAATCCAACGATTGCTGTGATTGGGAAACGAAACATAATCAATTAATCAATTGAATCATCAGTAAATCCACCCTAATTGTTACCAAAATTAACTCACAAAAACAAAGCTAATATAAGATGGCTCATGAAAAGTGAATATTGAGAAACCTTTAAATTCACTAATATGCTCCATCGTTACCATCAAACGAATACCTTCAAATGGATTAGCCAAATCCTTAATCTTGGAGAAAATCCTTCTATTGACCCTGGAAATCTGCAAGCAAAAAGAATCCAATTAAATCGAAAATGGATCAATTAATTATTCCCTTAATTGTTTTACCTTAAAATTCATATAAGAAACTGTTAAATAAGGAAATGCGAACCAGAAAAGACAAAGGATTGTCCAGTAAACGTAAATGAGTCGAGTGATGACCGTTGATGGGATAAAGAAAATTGGATAAAGAATGTAAGAGTTAATCATGAAACTCATACAATGACCAAAACCATTGACAACTGACCAGTACTGATTATAAATGAACATCTCCTTATACAATTTGGCCATAATTTTCATATCACTAATTGTGTTTGTCTCTCTTACAGGAATCAAGGTATTACCATCAATCTTTGCCAGAGCGTTAATCTTAAGAGGTACAAAATGTGGGTCAACTTGTAATTAAAGGTGTAAACACAGATTAGAAAGATACATGGATAGATGATTAATCTTAATATTGAAATGGTTCCAGCGATGACATAAAATAATGTCCAATTTAAATGGATTAGCCAATAATCGGGATTAGCTAACCAAGTTGGTGTCATGTAGCCACAAGCTGAAAGGATTGACATTATCGAGGTGAATCGAGCGTATCTGATTACGAGGCGAAACTTTTCACAAACATCATTATATTCATCGTACCCTAAATGATGGACACGATCAACAATCGACGAGGCTAATGGATAATCGGCAAATAGTGAGCACATTTGTTTAGACCAGAAAATGGTTGATCGATTGTTACGATTATAAGTATCGGCGAGGAAATTGATGAAACAAAGGACAATCCAACCAGCGATTAAAATGCCAAGAAAAAAACGATTATCGCCAAAGGGTTGAAATGGATCACCAAGTAGGATTAAGGTTTCGTCATTGGTGTTGGCAAATAGACAAACAATTTGTTTAATTGATCCGATTGCATAGAAAATCAATAAAATGCTTATCGATGATAATTTACTAATTCCTCCCGTCGATGAGTAAATTGGTGTTAAACTTGAAATGAAACGTTCAAAGTTTTGTTCTCGTTCAACTTTCTGATTGTAAACAAAATTGTAAGGGAATTTAAATTTCATCTTTAATTGTTAATTGTGTTTGATTAAATTTCTAATTTTCACTTGTAATCACAATCGAAACGCCAACAATTAAAAACTGGGTAAATACAAGATGAGATTCGCTGGTTAAATGGTTAGAATTTTGTTTTTCTTTGATTAATTGTTTAGAGAATCAATTGATTTACTAATTTAGTAGATAATCATAACAATATTTGTTCATTTAGTTTATTTAGAAATGTTAACAATTAATTAATCTCTTTTCGTGAGTTGAATTCATTTTGTTGGAATCGCTAATTGTTTCAAGTGGAAAACAATTAAAATTATAAAACAAAAACAACTAACATTTCATGTTCACTTTTAATTAATTAATTCACAATAATCATTAAATTTTACAAATGTATTACATTTAATAATATAACTCTTATTAATAAAAGAGGTTAATTTGATTGTAACAATTAAAAAAAAATTTCCATTTTCTTGCTAATAATTATTACCTGAGAATCACAATCAATACTATTGATGAGAATTGATTTTTTGTTTAATCAACGAGAAGATTGATTTAGTTGATTGGGAATATGAAGAAAATAATTACAATTTGATGTGATGATCAACTAATTGCTGGATTTATACAGAACTTGGAAATTGATCACAATCAGACAATGAGAATAGTTAATTGCAATCAAGAGATAAATACACAATTAGCAAACGAAATGATTAAGTTGAAGGTTGAGTGAGTCGCAGGTCTTTAAAGTTTTGTCAACGAGCAATTAGTTGATTGTGTTCACCAAATTGTCCAAATTGTTGTACATTTACCGTTATCCTCATCAAACATGGTCAGTCTGGTGAAAACAGTTTGGTCATCAACAAATGAGATCAACACTTTATTAGGAGGTAATCGGATTAGATAATCAAATCGACCATTTCTAACAATTATCTCTTTGTCGGACATCGTCCATTTTAATTGGTACTTTCTGACCAAGTCTTTGAAGGGAATTGCAGTTGACATTGCCGTTAATTCAGTGTCACAAGTTGTAGTTAAGATAATTACCATAATTAACTCTGATAATCAAAACAAAAACACCAATTAAATTAATCAGAACAACAATCAAAAAGTGTGGATTCAATCATTATTAACTAAACGGTTTCAGTGTTAATTATGGTAAAATTGTCATTCCAATAACACTTGGCAATCAATTAATTGTTTGTTTATCTAGTTAACAAGTTGATTAATTGTTAACTTTTTCATCATTAAAATCATCACTTTAGTTAATTTTTCATTTAGATCAACCTGGAAAATTGATTCGGGTGACAAATGAAACGTCATTTAATTTATCAACAACAATCAACTGATTAATTATCATTGTCATTTGAGTGATCGCTACCTATTAAAATAGTAATTAGATCATCAAATGATCAAATTAGATTGTAACAATCAGTAAATAATTAATTTTCTAAGTTGAAAAACAATGGAAATTGCATTTCTCATCAATCGGCTAATCGAAGTTGAAAAAACTTTTCCTTCTTCGATTGTATTGATTGTAATTACAATTTTAAGTTTAATTACAATTAATTGTTCGACTAATTAATGACCAGTCGATATTTTCCTTCTATTTTTCGTATTTGGCTCTTTTTCTTTTTTTCTCCCGAAAAGTGACCAGTTCCCGAAACGGTTTCGTTTCTTTGACCATTTGAAGATTTTCTTATTTACAGAGAAAAATTTTCTCCTTTCACTTGACTTGTTTTTCTCAATCTTTTCACTTTTAGTTTAGTTAACCATGTTTACTGTTTCTTACAATTCCAAGTCAATTCAAATGTTAACCCTCAAGTTAATTGTAACAATTTAAATTCTAATCATTTAAGAGAATTTAATTTAATTTTCTATCCTTTTCTACTTAGAAAATAATCAATTTGTTCCGTCTAATTGTCTTCTTTTTTTCTTGTTTACATTTGATTATTTTCTCTTTGTGATAATTACAATTAATTTCTTTTCAAATTAATTTAGTCGAACTTAGTTAATTGTCATCATCATCATCTTCTCATTTCCAACAACGGTAACAATTTCAAATCGTTTCATCATCAAAGTGATCAACTCATTTGTTTACATTTTGTTTCTCTGTGATTTTGTTGTTGACATAAATCATGAGAAGAGAAATTAAATTGCCTCTGATATTTATTCAATTAGCGATTGGATCTGTGATTTTATGTGACTTAATTAATCATGGTGAGTATTATTCACTAATTGTTCCTCTTATATTATCATAAATCTCAAACAATTAACCTTTCCAACCATCGGTCAATTGGATTTATTTCCAATTCTCTTTGTTTGTCTATTTCCAATACAATATGAATTTCCTTTAACTCTTATCGGTGTCTCTTGATTTTGTGGGTGAAACGTTTTCTAATTGTTATTGATTTGATTTGAATTGCAATTTCTAATTTAGTTAGAGCCTCAACTAGTGTAGTTTCCGATGTCAAAAGTAAAGTGAATCCGTTCCTGTGGCAAGTGACCAGTAATGAGACAATTAAACCTTCGTATCTTTTTGGCACAATCCACGTAGCGTACACTCGTGTTTGGGAATACATCCCATCAATTGTGAAGCGAAAATTTCGTGAAAGTGATAACATCTACTTTGAACTTGACCTTCTCGAGCCAAGTGTCACCATAGACATGGATTTATGCAGATATTTACCCGATGATAAAAGATTATCAGATATTCTACCCCATGAATTATATAGTCGTTTAGTTGACCATCTAAAATATACTCGGACAATGATGCCTATATGGTTACCATCAACGGAGAGAAAGTATCAAGACATGAACCCATATGATCTGTTTCGTGCTAAAACTTTCGCCTGGAATCGTAAACATGCCATATGGACACTTTTAATGATCGATTCTCTTACCGAGCAAGAAATTCGTTCCCATGGAACCTCAACTCTTGATCTTTATCTCGCCCAAGAGGCTCAACGTCTTGGGAAAAAAACTGGTGCCGTTGAGAATGTGGAAGATCAATGCGAACCCTTGAACAATATTAACCTTAATCAGGTCATTTTCGCACTAAATATGACCCTTAATCGCCATGAATCCATACGAAAGGGAAACGCTGAAAGTACTCATGCTTTCGAAGATCTAATTGAACGATATAAAAATGGTAACATTGACACTCTACTTTCGACACAAGAACAATTACCACCGGTAAGTTTTGTTTGTTGTTCTTTTTACTCATTTTCCCTTCTAGGATTATCTTTAATCTCTTTTTCTCTTCCTTTTCTCACTTTCTCACTTTTTCTTGTTCTCTCTCTCTCTGTCTCCCTTTTCCATTCTTCTTGTCTTCTCATCTTCTTTCAGACCAAAGATGCTGCTGTGACAGCTCAACAAATCGAGGAATACTGGCAAGAGAAATTCATCAAAGAACGAAACCAGAAAATGGCTAAGAAAATAATCTCTCTGTTAAATGATCAATCGGATGAGAGTTTTTTCTTTGCTTTCGGTGTCGGTAAGTGAAGAATAGAACTGCTAATCCTCATCATCCATTCAAACGCTAACTACTATAATTAACCTCATCTCGTTTTCTTTTTTTTTCTCACCATCAACAGCTCATTTTCTCGGAGACCATTCGATTATTGATCTACTTCGGACAGCTGGTTATTCGGTGGAAAGAGTTGAAAACGCCAGAGAATCAAATGGAAGGTCAAATTATCGAGAACAGAATATGCAAGTTAATCCGAAATTCGTGCGAAACAATAACATTTGATTTACTCCAATTAACTTGCTGTGATTCCACAATCAAGACTAATTACTCGATTTCATCAATGATTCCAATCAACATGAAGTAACCTTGATGATAAAAAAGCTTTCAGAAAACCAGAATCACGCCTATGGTTGATAGAGGAACATGATGGTTAGTTTAATTTCTCAATGATAATTAATTTTCAATTAATCGAATTAGTAACTAATCAATTTTTCAAATTCATATTGTTCCATCCATTTGAATTAATTAGGGTTTTCAACAAGCAATTTAATTCCAAGGAGCTTGTAATTAATGTCCAAGCTCAGTAGTGACCCTTAAAAGCGGAGTCCATGCCCGAAATACTTGGTATCGAACAGGTAATTAACACAATTAAGGTTTTCCTTTGACAATTATATTTATTGTTTTACTAATTGGATCAATTTTCTCTGATTATTATATATTTAGGTTGAAGCTGATTAAATAGCCAAGGAATATGATCAAACAAATACCTCCAAATGGATTAGCTAAATCCTTAATCTCTTAGTGAAAATACTTTGATTGACTCTGGAAATCTAATCAACAGAAGATTCAATTAAGTCAACAGAACAATTTTTCTCTCACTTTAATTGTTTACCTTGGAAAAAGATTGATTTAAAATACTGTTAATTACTTATATATATTTTTATTACTATTAATACAAAGACTTGTTAATTATGATTGTTGAGAGAGAGAAAAAAAATCTTATGGTTAATTGTATGTACGAAATACCTTGAAAAAAAAGGATGAGCTACAAATCCCCTAAAGCAAATGGACATTGTCCAGTGTATTTGGACACACAATTGGGTCGAGTGATGATTGTCAAGGGAACAGAGAAAAGAAAAAGTTAAATCAACATTGGAGACAAACGAAGGTCAATCTTCAAACGACCACCGGTCATCGTAATGTCAATAGACTAATGATTTCGATCTCTAATTAAGAAGAACAAATTATCATTGTTACTTTTGTTTTCTAATTAAAATTCTCTTAAAATTGATCACTTTCTGCCCTCAAATACTTTTGGAACTTTACGATTAATTTTAATTGGAACTTCAGAATTAATTCTCTCTAAAAGATTAAATAATTTATTCTCTTTTTCATATTTACCTCTTTTCATGTTTTTCTCCCGAAATCAGTAACCAGTTTCTCTCTGTCGGTTTGCTCTTTCTTTTTTTCTGTCTAAATTTTTTTTCTTTTTTCTTGTTTACATTTGATTATTTTCTCTTTGTGACAATTACAATTAATTTCTTTTCAAATTAATTTAGTCGAATTTAGTTAATTGTCATCATCATCATCTTCTCATTTCCAACAACGGTAACAATTTCAAATCGTTTCATCATCAAAGTGATCAACTCATTTGTTTACATTTTGTTTCTCTGTGATTTTTTTGTTGACATAAATCATGAGAAGAGAAATTAAATTGTCTCTGATATTTATTCAATTAGCGATTGGATCTGTGATTTTATGTGACTTAATTAATCATGGTGAGTATTATTCACTAATTGTTCCTCTTATATCATCATAAATCTCAAACAATTAACCTTTCCAACCATCGGTCAATTGGATTTATTTCCAATTCTTTTTGTTTGTCTATTTCCAATACAATATGAAGTTCCTACAACTCTTGATTACTTGAACCGTTTTCTAATTGTTATTGATTTAATTTTCTAATTTAGTTGAAGCTTCTATTAGTGATCACTATGATTTGAAGACCAAAATGAAGGATCGTAGTACCAAGTTGTCCGGTAAAGAGTTTGAAGAGACCAACGTACAGAAACTCTGGGATCTCGCCTTGAATGCGGACTTTTCCCGAGAAGAAATTGAATCAGTTAGAGATGAATTAACTCACTATGAGAATCGGATTAAAAAACTACGATTTTTTGAAGAGCAATTGAATGCTGAACGTTTCGTCGACAAAGAGACCGTTAACATTTCCGAAGATGATGCTAAATTGTCGGAACATATCAAGAGAAAAGTGAAAGAACTCAATTACAAAGTGGATAAAGTTCACAACAATTTAGTTGATAAAATTCTCAAGCGACACAATGAACTTTAATTAACCTTACATTGAACATTTTCTATTTTCAATTAGCAATTTAAGGTCTTTCCAAAGGATAATACAAAAATCAACTGCAATTAATTTTCCAATTTTATACACAATTAACTAAATTGAATCTCAAATCAACTGTAAATCCAGTTTTATGTGTGAAATATTAGTCAACCGATTTACCTTTTCTTTACCATTGAGAAGCAATTAATTGTTCACAAATTACAATGAATAATTTACTTTTCTTTACTCCCTGATTGTTAATTAGTAACCCCAACAATTAAAAGCACAAAAAATGTAAACTAATCTTTTCAAGGTTTAAATTAACAATTAAAGGTTATGATTACTAAAAGTAATCATTTCAATCTTAACACTGATTCTGTTATTTTGAATTTGATTGTGAAAATCATTTAAATAAACCACTTAGATAATCAATCTGATTGAAATAATCAGTTAATCATTTCCATTTGCTAACAACTTTACTAATCAAACTATTGAGTGAAAACAGTGACCACAATCAACTAATCATGACAGTAACTTATACATTAAGTGTAGCCGAGTCTCGATTATCTGGATTTCCTAAATTGTTGATTAAATGGAAAGGATCAATTTATAAATTACTCTATCGAGAGATGATTATATTTTGTATTTTCTTTTACTTGATTCACTTAATTTACCATTTGTTACTTGATGATAGTCAAAAAAGGTAATTAAAACTAAAAGAAAATTAATCGGTGAACAATTAACTCTTTTTCCAACAATTTAATTGAACAGAATTTTCAATCAACTCTCTAATTATTGTGACACTTTCACAAATTTCATTCCACTTTCATTTGTACTTGGATTTTATGTCACCATGGTGGTGACTCGTTGGTGGCAACAATGGCTCGCGATTCCTTGGCCTGATAAGTAGATTAACCTGATGAACAATCAACTAATTGTTAACCATTAACAGTCATTTCACCTTCTCTATTTGTAGACTTGCCATGTTAATCTCAGCTTTTGTTATCGGGGACGACGAAAGGTCCAAACTAATTCGAGTTACTCTGATGCGATACATGATCACAATGGAGTGTTTAACTTTCCAGGCCATTAGTACATCGATAAGAAAACGATTCCCCGCCGAGGAAGATTTAATCACCGCTGGATTAATGACCCAAGAGGAATTGGACGTTTATCTAAGTTATGATGATTCGTATGGTCGCTGGTGGATTCCGGGTTGTTGGTTTACCTCGCTGATCACGGAGGCCGCGAAAGAGGGTAAGATCCGCCATGAGATGTTTCTTCGTGAGATAATCAACGAAATGCACATTTTCCGCTCAAACTGTGGGTCACTTTTCGCCTTCGATTGGATCAGCATTCCCTTGGTTTATACCCAAACGGTGACCATCGCTGTCTACACCTATTTCGGGGCTAAATTGATCGGACGTCAGTACACTTCATCTGAGACAATACGATCAATCGTCCAAGATCAATTGGCCCCTTTAACCAATCAAAGTGACACCGATTCGATTACTCCGGTGGTTGGTGAAGATCTGACGGCAACGATCACATTTTATATTCCTTTTTTCACCATCGCTGAATTTTTCTTCTTCATGGGCTGGTTAAAAGTGGCCGAACAATTAATTAACCCTTTCGGCGAAGACGATGATGATTATGACTGCAATTGGATTTTAGATCGAAACATTTTCGTTTCATTTTTAATTGTTGATAAAATGAACAATAAACATCCCGATTTAAATTGTTACACCATTCTACCAACAAAGCCGGATATTGTTACACCAACAGCGCAATTAACAAATGATTTAATCACTCGACGGGCATCAATTAATCCTCATTCTGGATCAACCATGAATCTTAATGTTACTCGGCGACCATCAAGGTCAATTAATTTTCTCGGCTCTTTATCCAGTGATAAATTAACTGATGATCATTATTCCGAAATGGTTGGTGGTGATTGTAACAGTTTCGATGATGAAAGTAATTTAGTTAATCCGGTTAATAGTAACAATCAAGATCCATTAAGTTGGGAACAAAGAGCGATGTCTTTTTGTAATCACTCGGATGAAATTTTCCCATTAAAAGGTAAATTGAAATCGAAAATTGTTTCATCAGTTATTATTGATTTTAATTGTTCTTCCGTTTCAGAATCACGACAATTAATTGAAAGAGGGAGGAAATTGTCTCTAGAAGAGAATCGATCGATACCCGGGAAAATGACCTCAATTAAATTACCGACTCATGTTGAGTGTAATGAGGAAACGGAAGGACAATCGCCCGAGAATCAATTAAATGATGAGTTTCGTTTACTGTTAAATCCAAAGGAAACTGAATCAAATTTGGAATTAGTTGTAAACAATTAGCAAATTAACTAACCTTTACTTGCCCAGATATGATTTAAATTTATTCACATGTAATCATTTTACAAAAATAGTTAAACAGTTAAACAATTAACAGTTACATCAATCGTGTTAGTTAATTGTTGTTTCTTTGGTAAAATATTGATGTTAATGGTTCCGTTGGTTTCAAGGTGAAATCAATTTCTTGGCCAATTTGATCAACCGGTTTAGTTGAGACAATCCGAAAGTGTTTAACAATTAGTCCGATAATTAACTTCATCTGAATCATTGCAAATCGTTGACCAATACAGTCTCTTGGACGTAAACCAAAGGGTATGTATGAGCCCGGAGGCAACGATGAAACTGATTGGGAATTAAATCTTTCGGGGTCAAATTTTGTCGGGTCATGATAAATGTTACCATCTCGATGAATTGAGTAGATTGAAAAAAAGATGAAAGTATCGGCGGGGATAATTACGCCGTCGAACGGTTCATCTTTGGTGACAATACGAGTGGCGATTGGTGCCGGAGGGAATAAACGAAGAATCTCCTTAACACATTGTTCGATGTAGGTCCATTGTTTAATTGAATTTAGATCGATTGATTTTTCGTCAATATCGCAAATTTCATTGTAAATCTTTTCCTGGATTTCGTCATGAAGACCGAGAACATAAATCAGCCAAACGAGAGCGTTATTTGGACCATCGAACCCAGCGATAAATAAGGTCTCCATTTCTTCAACCGTGGCCTTAATTGCTTCGTCCATGGTTAATCCTGGTTCACGTAACAGTTGATCCAACAGGTAGACCATAATTGGTTCATCGAGAGCGGCTCGATAATCAACACCAATTGATTCTTTGGGCAACAAATTTCCCAATTCCTTTTCTTTTAGGTGTTTAATTATCGCTTGTGTGACAATTTTATTAACCGAATCAACTTTTCCCTTTAAACCAGTAACACGAGCATATAAATCATAAGACCAATCCGGCCATAAGAACGGATTAATTGATCGGAAAAGTGTATTCTTAATAAATGAACTAAGAGAAACTTCAAGTGAGGCCAAAGTCACTTCGTCCAGATCAACGCCCAAGGTGATATTCATTAATATGGATAATGAAGTTATCGGAATAACTTTGGTAATATCAATCGGAATACCTTCATAATAAGTTGATAATTTGGATGACAATTGTGATGTCTTCAATTGTACAATTGGGACAAAATTGGCCACCGAAATAGCGGTAAATTTCGGGCGAATCATTCGCTTACGATCTTTCCATTTAGATGCCGATGAACAAAGGATTCCATCTCCAATACAGTATCGTAAATACTCAAATGGAAAACCTTTATCAAGAATTGAGGTTTTGCCAAAATCTCCTGGGATAACAATTGAAATTTAATGGAAATCGTAATTATATTGAGAAAAGAAGATGAAAATTAACCCAATAATTACCTGAGTTTTGGCATAATCAACGACTCCAATCACTGGGAACCAACTTAACCAGAAAATACTGTAACCAGAATAATTATATTCAACAGTATAACGATCAAGTGTACTTCTTACCACTATATATATATATTTATGAATGAGAAATCAATTAAGTTGATTGAAATTGAATGATGAAACTAATTGAATTCTAATGAATGTTGATTACAATTAACTTACAATGAGTTTTATCACCGAAAATGGGAAGCACTTCAAATAGATTTCCAAATAAAAAGTTACCTCTCTTTTGAACCAAACCTTTGTAACGTTGAGCTGAACGAAAAGAGAGAATCAATTTAGTTAATAAAAGATAGAGAAGATAAATTAATAACAATTTAAAGGAACAATTGATAATATGGTTAATTGAATTATCAAAGAGAAACATTTTCAATTGAGAGAACTGATTTTTTATTGATAATTGATGATGAAGAATTAGAAATGAAATTTTCTGTATATAAGAATAGGAATGAAAAGCAAAAGCAAACTTTTCGTGGAAAAATTGATTCGAAGGGAAAGTTTTCCGTTAATTGCTCACCAATTGATTGTTTTTACCAATCGTAACTTGATTATTTGATTAAGTGTTGATTTTGTTAACCAGTAAAGAATAACAATAATAAATAATTTACATGATTAACTGTTAACAAGTGAATGGTAAACATAATTGAAGATGAATATTATATTTATATTGTTCAATTTGAGTTCTTTCAATTATTTAAGAGCCTTAAACGTAAACAATTGCATCAATTGAAATGATCAATTCAACAATTTACTGATAGATTTTAGTAATAATAAATTGTTTAACCTTGATCAAGGAAAACAGATATACTCAGGTTGATTATTTGGATGGTTAATAAACAATTGACAATCAATTGAATTGATTAGCGATTCAAATGATTATTTAAACAAATATCGTTGAGTTGATGTGATTTTTTTACTCATTTAACAATTAACCAGCAACCTAATTAATCAATTGGTGATGAAAGCAATTAAACAAAAGAATTACAGTCTTAAATTAAATTAGAATCTATTAAAATGATCAAGACTAGACACAATAATCTAAATAACGGTAAATCTAGAAAAGAATCACTTGTTAATCATTAGAATTGATTTGAATGAGAATAATTTTCTTTCTGATCAATTGAAATACTCACACTTGCAATTGTTTCATTATATTCCGATTGATTTTTGAAATCACCTCAATTGAGAACTGGAATAATAGAAGATTGAATTACATCATCATTAAGGTTTCTCATTGATACCAATTAAATTGTTTGACCAGAAAAAGATTAACATTAAACTGGTTGTTAGCCTCTGACCTCTAAATTGTATTGGATAAAAGAAATCCCTTTAAATAGAGTTACGTTAATTAACCTTTTCGCTTGAATAATAAAGAGAAAACTTTTTACTCGACCTTTCGTCCATTCAGATTCCAAATTGTGGACATTATTAGAAAATCTCAGTTTATTATCATCTTTGTGGAGAAAAAGTCGATAAATCAAACTGAACAGAACAATTTCTATCAATCGAAATCGTCGTCGAACTTGAACTTTTCAGAGAACTTTTGATGCGATTTAATTCGAGTTTTCTATCACAATATTGACTTTATTTCGACAATTTTATGAAGGTCAATTTTGATTAATTCACTTAGCAATCAAAAAGAAGAGTTTTAATAAGATTAACAGTTACTATTGTCGAAGAAAAAATTAATTGTCTAATTTAGAAGAGAAAAGAATTAAGAAGAAAAATTAATTATGGAAAATATGTAAAGGTGGCGACTCTTTCGTTTGGTTTTCGATTGGAGGGAAAATAATTGATTACTTTTTGTTCACAATTTGATTATCGCTGTTAATTGTTACAATTTACTTTTCCTTCTTCTCATAATTTCTGGTTAACAATTAATTTCGATTCTATTTACGACAACAATTTAATCTTTACCCTGATCAAAGTCAAAATTGTTCTCGCTAAAACAAACCAAGTTAAATGATTTTTTCTATTCTGAAAGTGATTCTACCCTTGAGGTTATACAATCAATGGAATCTCAACCTTGTGGAACTTAAATTCATTCATCTTTCAACAATTTAACATTATTTCATGTATTTACCTTTCTACTCCCATTAAACTGGGGACAAGCTTCTCACCTAATTAACAGGTTTATCATCATCATCATCTCCAAAGTGTATCAACAACAACAAACCAACCAATCAACCAACATGTTACCCTCACGGTCAGATCAAAGTTGTTGAGGTAAATTCATTGATTCTTGATGAATTTTACTCAATTCATTAAATAATATAATTCATTTGCCATCGATGGTTAAAAATTCGTGCTCATTATTATTTTATCATCATCATCATCATCATCACAATAACAACATCATCATTATCATTTGATTATGTTTTCTGGTTTAAAAGGGAAAATGGATCAACAAGTGATCCCTTTTATTTGGATTATTTGATTCTCCACATTATTGATTTATTAATAGTAAGATCAATTTCTGTTGTTACTCTTAATTTCTCATTATTATTATTATTATCATATTATCTCATTAACTTTAACACAAAACAAGAATTAATTCCGACAATCAGGTCAGTTTACCTGACGGGAAAATTGTCTTCGTTTTCACATACACATTAAATTGTGGCGAAAAAGAAATTCATAATTAATTAATTCTCTCTCTCTCTCTCCTTTAAAGGTACACAATTAACTACTGTCAGGGTAATCATTAACTCTTGACAAAATGATTACAAGACAATATAAATAATAATAATAACAATTTAATAATAACAACGAAAGTATTTTTATTCAGTAAACAATTTAACATTCACCAAGTTATTTATATACACATTAATTGTACATAACAAGTGAACAATTAACCAAAAAATTCAATTCCTAATGGAGGTTGAATTAATCACTAATGACAATATAAGAACATCATTCTAACAACAATTAAACCCGCAAACTTGAATTAATCCATCAAAATTAATTGTAATCGAAATACAATTAGCATCAACTAAATATCATTAATTCATAAATCTTTCAATAGATTTGAAATGCTATCAATTATTTGGTTAATCCAACAATTAATTTATTAACCAAAAAAAAAATAATTTCCTATCACCAAAGTGATCCCTTGACTGACCATCCAAACTGGACAATGTAATCAAATATCATCATCCCAATACCATCCACTGGACATCACAAATTGTCAAAGCACAGGATCGTAATCAAAACCAGCAAACTGATTCAAATGACAATTTAGTTTAATTGTTGATGAAAAAAAAAACTACAATAATATTAGGAAGCCAAAGTTTTGATTACTAATCATCAACATTGAGCAAAAAAAAAATGATGATGATGCTGATGAGATGGTCAAGCTTGTCATTAACATTGCACTGACCTCTAATAATTTGTTTTGCAAATTGTTACCCAACGATGATGATAATGATTTAGATGATGAATCCATGAAAGCTCATCATTTTTTTTCATGATTAAAACCAGATGATTAAATGATGATTAAGCTTTGGTGTGGCCACCCAACCAACTTTAACGTTCGTTGTACTAATGTAACGGTAAAAAAAAAGAAACCTTCAATCGACTCAAAGTTCTTGCCCTCGGGCTGTTTGCTCTCTTTAGTCTCACTCTTCCTCATCATCAACATCTTCTTCCTTTGCTCACTCATCTCTCCCTCTCTTTTTTCAGCTCATCTTTTATCATCTTCATCTTTATCCTCATCATTTGACCAACATTCATCTACCTTGAATTGTTGTTTTTACTACTGAAAAAAAGTTGATTTGTTTTCTCATTTCAAACTATTCATTATTATTACACCTCTAATCCAGTTGATTAACTAATTTCAAAGAAATTTATTTGACAATTAGCTGTTTAATTTGTGAATTAATTTTCTGCTTTTGTGACAATTTAAGTTAACTCATCTCGACTTTTCCGATATTTGGATTAATCTCCTATGGACGTTATCACAATTAATATTAATTGTTCCAAGTGAACATAATCAACTGTCGATTTAGTTATCAATCAACTAATTTATCATTTTAATTGTCTTCTTCTTCTCTGGGATAATTTTAATTGTTGTTACCAACTCACAATATGAAACCTCAAAAGGTAAGTTTTTGACAATCAACTTATTCACTGATCATTTCAATTACAACCAAAAATCAACAATTAAGTGTCAATATATTCAACATTAGAAATACAAAAGTTAATTACTTGACAATTACACTTAATAATCAACCAAAATAACAGTTCTCAAGTATTGATAATAGTCAACTATTGTAGCGAATCAATCAAATTATGTTAACTAACATATGATGAAGTAAACAAAGTCAAAAGAAATTAAATCAACAATCAACCATTAAATAATTAACTTAATTAACTCAATCTTTACAATTTCAGATCATCACTATATCAATTGCTATCTTGTTGATAATTTTAATGAGATTTGATGAAATAAATTGTGATAAATCTGGTTCATCATCAACATCAACATCATCATCTTCATCCTCGTCCTCATCTTCATCATCATCATTAACATCACCAACAGGATTAATCAAGGGCTCATTAATTACAATCGCCAATCCATTGGTGAAAAGTTTAATTAAGGAAACATTGGCTTTCGCTGCTGCCCCGTTTTTCATGCCGATAGCCATTGGACGGACACTCAGGTCACCGCCGGGGTTAGGACCTGATGGATCACCGGTACAACGATTCGCTCGTTATTTGTTCAAATTAGCGACAATGAGGAAAGATGATGCCGAGGAACAATTAAAAGAGGATCTATTTCATTTACTTAATTCCCATCGACGAAATATCGTTTTAACTATGAAACAATATCGACAATTAGAGCGATCATCAAAATCAGCTAAATCGTTACGAAAAAATCACCGAAAGTCAACTTAAATTAAACCAACAATTAACATCTAATCACTTGATAATTAACAAAATCAACAAAATCAACAAATGTAAATCAAATTCAATTGATTGATATGATTGAATTTACAATTTAATATATATTTTTTTTCATATTAATTGTTATCAAACAATTTAAATGTACTTTTTATAACATTTGATATCAAATGATTAAAATAAATTATTTCAATAATTTACTGTATTAGTTTTAATTGTATCAATCAAAATGATGATTTATGGTTGACCCTGTTATCATTTAACAATTAAGGTGATAATCTAATAACAGATTTAAATCACTTAGGAGTTGATCAATGAAACTAATCACTTTAAACTGTTACAATTGAACAGCCTTTTATTAGAACTGAATTAAATTAATTTTTTCTTAACCAAATGTTAAATTGCAATTAAATCAATATCCTTTTCTTGATTTACAGAAACCATGCTGTTAATTTAGGTTAACACAATTTAATTTAACAACAATTAAGAGGTTAACTTATCATCCATGAGTTGTGATTTATAGTTAGATTGTCACAATTGATTAATTATTTCATCGACAATCAAAATGATGGTTAAAAATAATCATTTTTTTGTCATGTTTATATTAATAGTTAGAAATTAAATTTGATAGGAAAAAAAAACAAATTGTAAACAATTAACTTGATTTAAATGACCAGAGTTAATCAATCTTAATTTTACAATTAACCCAATGATATTTAAATTAATTGAATAACAATTAGCGTTTGACCTTAATTAAGTTTTCAATGGTTTCTCATTGTTTATCAATTAATCCAACTAATCTATTAACAGTTTGATTAACACCTTAATTGTAATCAATTGTAATCAATCTTAATATGTTACATGTAGTGGAAGAAAAAATAATCAAGTTAATCACTGGAAAAATGGTTAATTTAAATGATTAAGATTCCCCAACGAGAGTTAATTAATCGGATTAACTTTCTAATTGTAGTAACAATTTGAAAGTTTTACCTATTTAAAACCAACCCTTTAAATGTTTGAACAATTAAATGTTAATCATTAACAATTGAAATGGTTATTTTTTTAATTCTTTAATTGTAAATGGGCAACAATTTTGATTGTTGGTGTAAATTTACATAAATGGTGTTTGATTTAATTGTAATTGTAACCAAATTAAGGTCAAGGCCTAAATCTAAATGGTTTAAATTAAGAAATTTCCACCAAATTAACTTGATTGTTACCTATGGTTAGAATTAAATTAACTTTCACAATTAATTGAAATCTTTTTCTGTTTGTCTTTTATTGCCTAAGGTTAATTGTTGATTAAAGGTTTCGTTTCCTATTTAATTGTTTCCGGGTAAATTGTTTCAAACTTTTTGTTCAACGATAAGTTAATTAATTGTTATTGTTGAGTTGATTACAAACAATCAACTAATTACAAGATAATATTAAATCATCAAGATATAAATAAACAAAATTTGACATGGACAAGGTCAGAAATTAAATTAACAATGATAGTGAACGTTAATTGTGACAAATTTAAATTGTTATATTGTTAAAATGTGAATTGACATCTAATTTTAATTACAACCGGATTGACAACAATTAAAATTGACATCGTTTATATTATAAACAATTAGATATTTAAAATAAATTGAGACGGTTAACCAGCAAAACAATTAAAGGTAATCACTACATTGAGATTGAATCGTTTTGATAATAAAATTTAAGTTGAATCAATTAAGATGAATTATTTTTATATTAATATTAATGATATTATTAACACCTACGGAAATATCTCAATCAACCAGAAGCAATTAACTTTTAAATCATCAACTTTAATTGTCCTTCAAATGAACCTGAACATTTAATTGTATTGGAAAATGATATCAACGTAAACGAAATCCTTTGTAGTTTTTTTCCCTCTGGAAGAAAAAAATTTCAAGGATGAAGATTCTGAAGATGATGAAGATAATGAGGTTGATGATAGTTGGTGATAATCGTCAAGCCTGAAGGATGAATTGCTGAGCAGAATCAGAATTGAAAGAAGCCAAGTTTTCATCATCTCCAATGAAATTTTATCGATTATCATCTGGAAGACAAAGAGAGAGAGAGAGAGAGAGAGAGAGAGAGATGATGATGATGATGATGATGATGATCAAGGAGTCTCTCTGATGATATGAACAAAAAACAACCATATGAATGTAAAGGTTTCGTATGAACATTTCCCTCATCATATCTAACATACTCATAGAGATATTATTGAAAGTATTAATCATCACAGATCATATATTGATCAATGATCAACAATTGAAATCATTTGCCTGTTGATATTTTGTTGATAACAATTAATTATTATATAACAACTCGGTTGATTAACCCATGAAAACCACCGTTATAATTGAGTAAAATCAATTCAACACCAATATAATTATTCAACCCATTGAACCGAAGTGATTTTGATCAATATCCTTTCATCATCATTAAGTCAACAATCATATTATTAACCATAAAATCATCAATAATCAGCAATTTTGAAAGGAAACAAATTATATAATCAACTAATTGTCTTTTCTTTCTGATCTTAGTTTTTTTTTCAGCTTAAGTTCATTAATCGTTTATTGTGAAATCATTAATTGATTAATCAGCTGATTTGAAATTACGAAGTTATTGATTCTGGATAAGTTAAAATCATTGTGTCAATCAATTGTTGACAAAATGACAACCACTTTGAGTGAAAATAGTAACAAAATTGTTGTTCACAATAACAACAGTGGTCAGTTGGTCAAGGAGGAGGTTAAGGTGAACATTGATGATTCAGTTAAACAGGAAGATACAAAGATGATCCTTTCAACCGGAATTACACCTGATGGAATCAAATATCATGTTCGAAGGATGAAATTCGAGGACATTGATGAAGTTCTAATGGTATGGAAAGAAATTGGTCTCTATGAGGGAACCAATACAATCCAAAGTTTCCTAACCATCGATCCTGAAGGTTTTTATGTTGCTGTTAATGAGAATGATGGTAAGTTTCCAATTGATAGAGAAAAAAGAATCAACAATTAATCTTAATCATCTATTTGAATGTCACCCTAATCACCTAATCAGATAGTTAATCAATCACTAGAATTCAATCTAATTGTCTTGTATTGTCGTTGGTTGTTTGTTGTCATTTTCTTGTTTCTCATTAGTTTGTTTCTTGTTGTTTCCCTTTTTTTTAGAAAATTTAAATTGTGCTTAATTGTCAATCTAAATTATTACAAGTTGAATCTCAATTAAGCTTTTCAATTGATAATATTTGCATGAGATTTAAATTGCTCAAAGTAACCAACTGATTGTTAATCCGGATTATCAACAATAAATAATGATTAAATTAACCAAGAAAATGAATAGAAAATGTTTAAAATTAAATAAATCCGATTATCATGGTAAATCATGTTAATCTGAATTTAGAATTACAATTTAATGGTTTTGTTAACAATATGAGAGGAAGAGGAAAAAAAATTAACTAACTAATACCTTGAAAGAAAACAATTAACCAGAATTAATATTATCAATATACCAACGAAATAATTAAAGTGATCAGTTAATTAACCGTCAACGATTAAGGGTTAATAATAATGATTAAAAGGGACAGAAAAAAATAGATTTACATTGATTAATGAACAATTAATTCTTACAGAATTCAGGAAAAAAATGTATGATAACAATGGAGAAAATAATTAATGAGATTTTTAATCAAGTTTAATGTGAATTCCATATCAACAATTTAGATGATGATTAACATACATCAAGTTTAATCATCGTCATCTTTGTATTAAATTTACATTTTCACCTTTCAACTGAATTAAATCCCATGTAAAATATACGATGAATGAATAGAGAGATGATTCATAATGATTAGTTTAATTCTGTGAGTTGATTGTTTGACATTCCAACCAGAATCTCTATTGACCTTATTTTTTTTTCCTTTCCATGGGAGATTATTCAGTTTCCTGGAAATCATAATAATCTTCATGATGATAATAACTCTTAGGAGTTTAATATTAATCTAGGGAGAATCAAAAATGGCGAGAACAATTTAGTTGATTGTTGGATAACATTTATTGATCACCTTCGAGTTTATTATTTATTATTATTTGTAGTTTATTAGGTAATAGAGAAAAAAAATTTTCTAAATTCTTTTTCCTTCCAATATAATTAAATCACCTTAATCATGATGATGACAATCAACTTATTGAACCGTTTAGTTGAATAGACAATCAATTGATTGATTGTGAATAGATGATGAAAATAATGATCAATTTTTTTGCTCCTTGAACACAAAAAAAAACGTCAATCTAATCAACTAAATTGCTTGAATCTATTGCCTGAGCATTTAAATTGTTCAATTGATTATGTTTTTTGCTTTGTTATATTTTAACTAATTTTTAATTGTTGACTTTATTTAAAGGATGGTAAATGTTTCCAACCTTTTTGAATGAATTATTATAAGGATGATAATTTTCAAGGTGATGATGATTAAGTAATAATAATATCATCTTAATCAACAATACGTAAACCACTATGCACACAAACTAATTACAATCACAATTAAGGATAATGATGGTAATTGTAGCCTGAGAATTTTGTTTTATTATTAAAACGCTTTTTGTTGTTGTGGTCATTTACCTATTGAAATGTTGACCGAAGCGCGATCAAGGTTAATTTTAAATTGTTTTCGATTGTAAGATTGATTAATTAACTACAATTTGAGGGTAAATTGTTGTATCTTCTCAAGAAAACTAACCATGGGTTCGTTACTCAATCTCAGGAAGTATCATCGGTGAAGTGGGGGCAGTTTTTATCGAACCAAGTACCGCGTTCATTGGACTTTATGCCGTTCGACCTGAATATCAATCTAAAGGTGTCGGAATTGCTGTTTGGCGACAAATGATGACCCATGTTGGCGATAAGAATGTTGGACTTTTGGCCATCGAAGATCAATATGAAACATATAAGAACAAGTAAGTTACAATTAGTTAAGAGAGAGAGAGAGAGAGAGAGAGAGAGAGTGAGATAGAATTGGAAGGAAAAAAGTTCTAATTCTAATTATCTTTTAATTGTACTCAATCAAGAGCTAAATTGGAGATTGAAGATGAGGTGAAAATAATTGAATATAAAAGAATTGGATTAACATCACCAGAAACCATTTGCAATTTAATCCAATCCATAGATAATGTTAATCTGATTAGAGTGATGGTTAATGATGGTGATGATGAGATAATGAATAAAATTATCTCCTATGACCAATCAGTGACCGGACATGATAGGAGTAAATTGTTACCCTTAATCATATCAGAACCTGATGCTTTGTGTTTAGCAGCAATTGAGGTTACAACGGGTTCCCTATTGGGCTATGGTAACATACACACCACGAATATGGATCGAGCGCTTTTTGGTCCACTTTTTGCTCAAACACCTGAAATTGCTGAGCTTTTGTTTGGTCAGTTGATTGACCAATTCCCTTTGGCTAAAACCTGTGGCTATCATTTAATGGCACCAAACACCAATCAAACCTTCATCAATCAAATTGCGAGCAAGTTAAATTGTCAACAAGATCACATTCTACCTCGATTGTTTCGCTCCTTTTGTCCGAAACTCAATTGGAATCAAGTTTATTGTATCACCTCACCAAATTATACAGTCGTTTGATTACAATTAAATCACCATCATCATCAGCACCAATCAACTATTAATAAATTACACGGACCAATGAAGGATCAACAATCAGATTAACTTAATCTCCTTCCTTTTGATTAATTCCTTAATGGATTTGAAAGACGCACCATGAAGCACAGACCATCAACCAAGTTGATTAAATAAATGACGAAACGAAAAAAAAAATAACAATTAAAAACAATATTAATCAAAAAAAGAAGAAAAAAATTAATCAATATAATCAAAAGATAATCAAAACTCGGGTAAAACAATTAGGAAGAAATTAGTTTCTGGATCGAGATGAAAATTGTCTCTTTTTCTTAATTGTTACTCTTTGCATGGTCACAATTAACTTGTTTCTGTTCCAGTGATTAAAAGACAATTAATCAACCAATAGACAACAATTAATGAAGATACAACAACGTTAATTGTGTTAAATTGATTATTTTCAATGTACCTGGAGATGAACAATCAATAACAATTAAGTGAGATATTAGCAGAGATTAAATTGAAATGATTAAAATATAATCAACAATTTATATTGATTAACTTGAATATGATTTCGTCACCAAATCAATAACTTGATTGATTAATTTAATTGGAAAATAATTAATTTTCCTCTTCTATTAACACAATAACCTAGATTCTTATTGTTAATAATAATAATATTTTTCTCCATTGATTTGTTAATTGTTGATGGAAGGTGAAAATATCTCTCAAATTGTTCAACAATCAACTAGATTAATTAATTTACAACAATGGTGAGTATAATTGTGAAGACTCTTGAATCGGAATATTTGATGAACAATTAAGATTGTGATGATTATTATTCGGAGGGTTAAATTGAGTTTCGATTTGATTTGATTCAAGATTAAATTGTTGTCAACGTTTATGATTAAATGTTCATCTACAATTAATAATAATCGAAAATAAGAAAGTTAATCACAATTAGAAATTAAATGTTTCCTATTGGATTTTAATGTTGATTGTTTGTAATTATCGTCAATTCATTTCTAGCATGTTGATGTGTTTCTATTCTTGAGTGTTTTATGTCACTAATTGTGATTAATTGGAGCACATTATGATCAATATATCTGACAGGCCAAATTGTCGGTTGTTGCGCTGGAGTCTTTGTTGACCCCAATGTCGGCTTCATTGGCCTTTACGCCGTTAAACCCGCTTTTCAGGGCAAAGGTATTGGCACCTCGATGTGGAAACAAATGATGTCTCATATTGGTGATAAAAATGTTGGTCTTTATGCTGTTCCCAAGCATTTGATTACTTATCGAGACAAGTGAGTATTTATTAACTAATTGTGATAGTGATTAAGATAATTAGTCAAGATTAGAGGTACAGTATTGACCGTTCTCAGTTGAAAATGATTTAGTATTTTGTTTTAATCACATTAACTTATCATTTTGAGTCTTTCGATTATGTTGATTGTTACATTTTGGGATAATCATTGGTTGATTGTCTTTGATTTGACAACCTGATTATAACATTTGAAACAATTTAGATTCATTTTTAATTGTTTAATCGATTGTTGTGATTAGTTAATTATTTGGTCTTGACGAAAACTTGATTTCTTTTTTTAGATGATTGATTTTCTGTTTCTCTTTTTGCTTGATTTTCCAACTTTTCACGTTAATTGTGATTAATTGTCTAGAGCTGGTTTTCGAGTTGAGGATACAATTAAAGTGCTCGAGTATGAAGGCACTTCTTTGAAAACGGACGATCTTGTCAAAGGAATCGCCAACATTGAGATTAAATGTATGACAAACGATGAGATTTTACAGAGAAAAGTGATCAATTATGATCAACGGGTAGTTAATTATGATCGATCCAATTTACTTAAATTAACTTTCAACGAATTGGATGCTCTCTCTATGGTCGCAATTGATAAGGACAATAATTCAATTGTTGGCTTTGGTTGTATTCGGACCAATAACATTAATCGAGCAATGGCCGGACCCATTTACGCCAATAACGATGCCGTTGCTGAATTAATTGTCTACAATTTAATCACCAATTTACCTGTTGCTCTGACCACTGGCTTGGACTTTATGACTCCAGATTGTAATCCTGGAGGATTAAGAATAGCAACTAAATTGGGATTAAAGAAAAATGAAGATTTACCTCGATTGTTTGTCAAATCAATTCCAAAAGTCGATTGGAATCGAATCTATTGTATACATACCCCGAACTTTTCTCCATATTAATTTCCAAAGGTATGTTACACAATTAGAGAAGTTAATTAGTGTCTTAGCTAAATTGTTATCGAATTGATTCTGTTGCCTTGGTGTAAAATTGTCCATTTAGTTTTTGATTATTGTGAAAATGTTGATCAATTACAAGGTGATTATATTATTCAGATTTACTTAAATTAAAAGTCAATCAATAAAAATGATAATTATCAATGTTGACCTTAATTGTTGTTAATTTCTTTCTATTTGTTTGTTTCTTTCTTCAATAAACAAGTTTTCATTCACAACAATTAAGCTCAAGTAACAATACGCTATACATGTTGAAATGATAGCTTAATATGCACTTGAGAGATCATATAATTGATTGATTATTAGTAATAAGAAAATATTACTAATCATGTTTTTTTTTTGTTATCAATATAAATTGTTAGGTTATTTACATTTGTGAAAACAATGAGAAACACTTTTGAATAAACAATTGATAGTGATGAGATGAAAATGATAGATTTGAAGGATTTATCAGTTATGTCAGTAAAGTTATAACAATTTGACTGACATTTGATTTTCTATCAACAATCAATAAAATTTTTAAACTTTGTATAGACACATAAACATATAAATATGAACATATCCTTGGAATGACAAAGATGATCAATAAGCCAGGAAGTTGATGAAGGTGAAAGGTAAGAATTGAATTTTGCTCATCAAGGGAAAATACTGAAGAATATTTTTTGAAAATTTTCTCTCCTTTAATGGTCTTTCTTGTGTCTCTTCCAAAATCTTCTAACATCATCGTGTCCAGCATTTGTAACGACCATCACTCGTTTACTTGGATTATCCCAAATCAGGTGACCAGCGTCCTAAAAATTAGAAAGATTTAGAAACAATTATTAGTAAAGGCTGATTGGTGTTAGCTGAATTAACTCACATTTGCGTAATTGCGAAGCAGTTGAAAATCTCCTTGAGACAAGAATTGATTGTAAAGTGATCCCTCTTTGAAAATAAATCGATCTCGTTCAATTTCCCATAATCTAATTTGATCAACAACAGTTGGAGGCAATCGTTTCATCTTGGGGTGAGCGTGGGCTCGAAGAAAGCAAATTACCTGCTCAGCGGTGATTCCATTTTTAAGTGCTTGTCTTATACTATCACGATTTAACAAACCGATTCCAACATTGGGTAGTCGATATTGCATCTCAGTAAATAAAGCAACTAATGCCATTTTTAGAGATGAATCTGAATGAAAGATTGAAACAAACAATTAAGAAAATTCTGATCAAATAGTTTTAGACTTTTTTTATCTAATTACTTGTATAAGCAAAGACACGAAAATTAGTTTCCACTATGATGAAACCTTCCCGTTTAGAATCCACTTGAGAGCTACTTGAATTGGCGGTTAAATTGATGACTAGTTTGGTTGGATAGAAACGTCCATCTTTACGCTGTAATTTAGTAAGAAATTGATAAAAATTAACTTTTTAAATGAGATAATATCAAGAATTTCATCGAAATTTACCTTCCTTTGGTAGATTAGACCAAATTCTCTGAGGTTTTGAAAAAAATTCGCCATTGATTCACTGACAGAAGATGTTAAGTAACCCTGAAAGAAGAAGGAAAAAAAAAGAGAAGCTGAAAAATGACTCAATCTAATAAAAGGAAATAATCATTTACCTTTCCTAGTGTCAAAAAGCTAATTTGAAATAGGACTGTTAAACATTCAACCAAATCCATCTTTTTACTTTCCACTGTACCTAAATATTGTAACAAGAAGTACCAAACTTGAGATTTGGTGTCCATAAGAAGAAATTGAAAACCATCAGCTGTAATCGATGGAGGTTCCTGAGTAGATGGATCATATTTTATCAAACCAGCGTGAGACAATGTTTTAACTGTATCAGCCGAAACACTTTCTTTATCCCCCTGAGATCCAACCATGAAATGTAAGATACATTCCCATCTTTCTAAAGCATATTGATTGAGGAAAGAGAGATCTCGTCCATGTTTATCTTTATCTTCGGCCGCTTTAATTACCCAAGAATCGCCTCTGGTAGAAAACATAGGAGAAATAGATATAAGACACGAGTGGAATGATGGTTTTGAATAGAAGACAAATTTAGATGTGTAATCACTAACCCTCCGAGAAGTGCAACTTGCAGGTTGTTCTTGAAGGTACTATTCAACTTTAATCCAGGTAATCCTCCATGGATTGGTGATTCAGACCAAATTCTTAAATCGGTGAGCATAGAAACAGCCTCATTGTGTTCACTTTGTATAGAAAAAGAGAAGGAAAAACAAGATGAAAATGTGAGTTTGAATTGTGAATTTTGTTTTGATTTCTTTTTATGGATGGACTTACATGATGGAACTTGAGGTGACCCATGAAGAGATAACATCCTTTGGAATACCTTGATCGATAAATAACAATCTAATTACATATGTTTTCGCCAATGGAGGTAATTGTCCGAAAATAGCAAGACAACAAGAAGAGCTTTTTGAATAGAGTTTGTCAATAATTTGAGGGCTGAGATTCTTGACATAGTCACCGAGATTGGAAGATTTGATTGCAGATTTAGAAGAAGATGAGACAAGAGACATGATGATGATGATAAAAGTGATGATATTGGTTAATCCTTGTATTCTTATTAAAGGAAAATAAATGGATGCTAATCAGCAAGAAACCAAAAGAATCCTAAACGAGGTCTCTTTCCAATGGTAATAAAATCTTCCAGTTAAATGGTTATTAAGAGATCAAGACAAGTTGACATTTGATTCAATTGCGACACCAAAAGTATCAAGAGAATGATAATGATGATATTAATTAAAAATCAACAATAGAAATTCAAATATAAATACAAATATAAATATGGAAACAATTAAAGGTTATTCTTGAAAAGAGATAAACAAAAAAAGCCAAACCGGTTGATAAAGATGATCCCTTGTGTCTTCACATGGAGACTCATAAACATCAATAACATGAGATGACATCAACTGGTTTCGTCTTAAATAATAATCACAACTCTTGATTTATTGATTAGTAAATTAAAAAGAATAATTAATTTCACTTTTATTCTTAAAAAATAAACATTCAATTTGTTGATTGAACAGAAAATGTTTTAGAAAATGAGATCAGTTTGAATCTACGTTTCCAATGGCAACACTTTTCTTTTCTTTCTTTTCATCTTTTTTCTTCTTCTTTTCTGATCAATGGAACAACCGAAAGTGCAAGGGAATAGAAGCAAAAACGCTTTAGATTGTTTGAGAAAAATAGTATTGATATGATGCAAGATGTAAATGGAAGCATGATTAAAATGAGAGATGTTAAACAATTACAATAATCATTTATTGATGATGAATGTTAATTACTGTGGTTTGATGCCTAGAGAAGGCGAAAAGGAAAAAGCTAGTTAGAGAGAGAGAAAGAGTTTGTGTGTGTGTGTGTGAGAGATAGAGAGAGAGAGAGAGAGAGTGGAAAGGGATAAAGATGGAAGAGTTGATAGAAAAGAAAATAGAGGCAAGAAGACATGAGACGAAATGATTCCATCTCAGTAATTTGGTTGTTTGATTTGAAAAAATGAAAGTGGAAAACGACGAGAAGAAAAAGAGAAGAAAAAGAAAAGGAAAGAAAAAGGAAAGGAAAAAAGGAAAAAGCGAAGAAAAAGAGAAAAGAGAAGAAAATAGATAAAGATTGAGATTGAGAGGTAAGAGAAGGTGACGCTTTTTTCTTTGAACATGGAATCACGAATCTTTTGTTTTGTCTATTCTTTTCTTTTAGCAGCCAAAAAATATGTTGCCTCCAAAGCCTCCAGATTGTTCTTGGTAAACCTCAATAACATCGTCATTTTCCATTTCCAATTGCTTAGGAGTATCTGTATCATTGATACGGCGACCATCAAATAAGAACCTCAAAGAGGTAACTGGTACACCCTGAAAAAACAATCAAACAAAAAGATAAATAAACACATTAGTAATCTTTTCCATAACAAATAAAAGACACTAGAAAACATCACATTAACTATAGATCATGACAACTTACCACTCGTTCACTGTAAGATTTTTTCAATTTTCCCATTGCTGTGGTCATTTTAACTCTAAAATGAATCTCATTTGAATCTTGACCGACAACCTTAAGTTTAATATACTCAGAATTGGCATCACCACCTCCTTCAACACCGGATTTATTATCTTTAGGTGATTCCATAGTTCAAAAAAAGGTAAGAATTTAATTAGTCAAAAGACAATTATTCTATTAAGAAATAAAAAGAAATGATAAAACAATTAAAAATCTCAATCTTTGGTTTCAAGAAAAATGAAATTGAAAAAAAATCCGACAACAAAAAAACTTCTTCACATCAACAGATGTCGCTACTTTCGAACAAACAAACTTACCCGCTCTCTTTGAATAGAATCAAATTAGCAAAAATTAATCGTTTTTCCTAATTTCAATCCAATTCAAAAATCCATTCACTTAATCAATCAACCTAAAAACATTTAATTCAACAAGTTGATGATTTAATCACTGGTAAAAAAATTAACTGCTCTTCAAAAAGTGTCGTTCGATCACCACATTCAACAGATGTCGACACTTTCGAATCAAAAAGTTAACTGGATTATTTGAACTCGACCAGAGTTTCAACTTAAATTGATTCTTTGTCTTAATTGAAGATCAGCTTGTTGAATTAAATGTTTTTGGGTTGATTAAATGGGTACAGGTGAATTAGTAGGAAAAACGATTATTTTTGCTATTCTATTCAAAAACAAGTATTTGTTCAAAAGACGTCTGTTGAAATTTTTGTTGTCGGATTTTTCAATTTCATTTTCTTGAAACAAAGATGGATTTAATGTTTTATCTTTATTCTTAATAGAATAATTGTCTTTGACTAATTATCTTGAACTATGGAATCACTAAGATCGGTGAGGAATGCCTGGTATATTCTGGGTTGTCGATCAGATTCAAATGATTCAGTTAAAATGACCACAGCAATGGGAAAATTGAAATCTTACAGTGACGGTTGTCAGATCATAGATGTGGTTGTTTTGGTGTCTTTGTGATGGATTACTAATGTTTTATTTACTTTTTCGAGTTTGAGGACTGTGATGATGTATCAATGATACAGATACTCCTAAGCAATTGATGGAGAATGAGGGACCAGGCTGATGAGGCTTTGGATCACGGCTGCTAAAGAATGAACAAACAGATTCGTGATTCCATGTTCAAAGGCGTCTTTTCTCTTTCATCTTTCTTTCTCTATCTCTTTTTCTTTCGCTTTCCTTTTTCCTTTCTTTCTTTCCTTTCTTCTTTTCTTTTTTCTCTTCTCGTCGTTTTCCTCTTTCATCAAACAACCAAATTACTGAGATGGAATCGTCCGTCTCGCCTCTATTTCTTTCTATCAACTCTTTCCTTATCCTTTCCTCTCTATCTCTCTCTCTCTCTTTCACACACACTCTCTCTCTCCTAACTAGCTTTCCTTCGCCTTCTCAGGCATCAAACCAGTAATCATTCATCATCAATAAATGATTATTGTCTCATTTCATCATGCTTCCATTTACATCGCATCATATCTCACTATTTTCTCAAACAATCTAAAGCGTTTTGCATTCCCGCTGCTCGTTGTTCCATTGATCAGAAGGAAGAGATGAAAAGAAAGAAGTGTTGTTGGAGTAGATTCAAACTGATCTCATTTTCTAAAACTGTTCAATCAACAAATTGAATGTTTATTTTGAATAAAGTGAAATTAATTATTCTTTTGCTAATCAATAAATCAAGAGTTGTGATTATTATTTGACGAAACCAGTTGATGTCATCGTGTTATTGTGTTTATGAGTCTCCGTGGAAATCATCTTTATCAACGGTTTGGCTGTTTATCTCTTTCAAGAATAACCAATTGTTTCATATTTATATTTGTATTTATATTTGAATTTCTGTTGATTTTTTATATCATCATTATCATTCTCTTGATACTTTTGGTGTCGCAATTGAATCAAATGTCAACTTGTCTTGATCTCTTAATAACCATTTAACTGGAAGATTTTATTACCATTGGAAAGAGACCTCGTTTAGGATTCTTTTGGTTTCTTGCTGATTAGCATCCATTTATTTTCCTTTAATAAGAATACAAGGATTAACCAATATCATCACTTTTATCATCATCATCATCATCATGTCTCTTGTCTCATCTTCTTCTAAATCTGCAATCAAATCTTCCAATCTCGGTGACTATGTCAAGAATCTCAGCCCTCAAATTATTGACAAACTCTATTCAAAAAGCTCTTCTTGTTGTCTTGCTATTTTCGGACAATTACCTCCATTGGCGAAAACATATGTAATTAGATTGTTATTTATCGATCAAGGTATTCCAAAGGATGTTATCTCTTCATGGGTCACCTCAAGTTCCATCATGTAAGTCCATCCATAAAAAGAAATCAAAACAAAATTCACATTTTCTCTTTCAACAATCAAAAACTAATTCATTCAGTTAAATTTTTTTCTTTTCTTCACAATTTTAGCCATCGTTAAGTGTATTTGTTTTCAGAATCCCACACAATATACACAACCGAGAGAAAATTTCGATACAATTAAAATTACCTTTAGAATCATCAATAATTATCGAATTTTCGAATAATTAATTCTCAATATTTAATTATTCTTTCACGAGGTCCTATACCTTTTCTGGCTTTCGTTCACCTTTATGAAAGATGTAAACATTAGTCTCTGCATCGAACTCGAACTCGAACTCGAACTCGTAACTTTAAATCTGAGGCATGACCAAAGTGAAAATCCTTCGGTTAAGCCTCTTGACTACCGATGATGAAGAGAAGAGGAGGAAAAGAGGAGTTGGTTAATATCACATTTTCCTCCAATAGGATTTGGCGACAGGCGGAGTTTCAACAATATGATAACAATCATCTTCTTATCATCATAGAACTGAATTAAAATGATTGTAACAATTTACGTTTAGTTACAAACAAAGGTGATCATCTCGAATCGAAATCATGATCAAACTTATCAATGTATTAACAAGAAACTAATTTCCAATCCTTTTAGTTTCCAAATCCTAATCTTGTCAAACTAATCTAGTCTCTCTCTCTCTCTCTCTTTAACATCCCAAGCGTTTACCAATTATTATTATTCAATTAACTCTCATTAAATTTGTTTCTTTTGTTACAATTAACTAATCATTTTCAATTATTTTGTTTTTCTATTTCAATTTGTCAAAGTTTTTGTTTTCGTTTAAATTTTTCTGAATCTTCATCATGCCAACTAACGATTCATCTGTTGATAGTGATTCTTGTACAACTACATCGCCATCAACTTCCTCTTCATCTCCTGCAGTTGCAACAATTAACTACAATGTTTCATCAACAATCAGAAATTCAGAGGTAAGAACCGTAATGTTATATGGTGTACCAATAATCGCCCTGATCATGGACGGAGTAGAGCGACTTTGCTTAGCTCAGATTTCAAATACTCTGTTGAAAAGTTTCAGTTACAATGAGATTCACAATAGGTAAGAACTTTTAAGAATATTTTTTGTTTCCTTTAACAAAGTTGATTGATTTTCATGCTGATTCTTTCAACTTGCTCAACAATTTAGGAGAGTTGCACTTGGAATTACGTGTATCCAATGTACTCCCGTACAATTAGAGCTGTTAAGACGAGCTGGGGCTATGCCAGTTTCGTCCCGTCGATGTGGTATGATAACCAAACGTGAAGCCGAGCGACTTTGTAAATCTTTCTTAGCCGAAACAGCTCCACCCAAATTACCTGATAACTTTGCATTTGATTGTTATCACCATTGTTCATGGGGATGTAAGGGCAGTTTCATGCCCTCCAGATATAATAGCTCAAGGTAATTAACTTATTTTACTTTGATAGATTTTCACCAATCAAATTGAATTGAATTGAATTGATCTCTTTTGCAGAGCGAAATGTATCAAGTGTACATATTGTGGTTTGTTTTTTTCGCCCAACAAATTCATCTTCCACTCCCATCAACTGCCCAATTCGAAATATGTCCAACCGGATGCTGCGAACTTCAATTCGTGGAGACGACACATTAAACTAAACGGTAATCCCACGGAAGAGGTTTATCTAGTCTGGGAAGATGTGAAAGCCATGTTCAATGGCGGAAGTAGGAAACGAGCCATGTCTTGTGGACTGAGTGGTGATGGAGGTGGAAGTGGAAGTGGTGGTGGTGGTGGGCATCATCTTCGCCATCATCACACTCATTCATCATCTTCTTCTAATGTTATCAGTGGAAGTTTATCTTCATCATCTCCGTCATCTTCTTCTTCCTCTAATGTTTCATCTTCTCTTAATCGGATATCTTCATCTTCCTCCCCATCATCAGGTAACAATAATAATCTCAACGCTACTTCGGTCACAAGTGGCGGTGTGAATGTCAACACAACATCAAATTCTCATCAAAATTTATCTTCCTCGTCATCTTCATCTTCATCATCTTCTTCCTCTCAACAACACTATGATAAAAAACAACGACTTGAGAGTCCAGTTGATTCAATTGAATCAACTCCAACTCCACCTCATCATCATCATCATCATCATCCTTTGCACTCCTTTCCATCACCATCTTCATCACTATTATCACATCATCTTCCTCATCATCTTCCACCTCCTTCAAATCATCACAATCATCATCATCCACCTTCTCATGCTCATCCCAATTCACTTCTTGATCCAAGTTTAATCAAAGGACTAACTTCATCTGCAATCGGAGTTAATTGTTTATCCCTCTCATCACTCCCAGTTAAACCTCCTTATCCACTTCCTGTATCAATGTTGAACGGATCATCATCAACAACCACAACATCTTCATCCACATCATCAAGACTTTGCCCACCGACCGGAAGTTCAAGTGCTTCAAATAACAATAGTCACCAATCAGGTCAACCTCCACCTTCACCACTCCACCCATCAAACTTACCGTTATCATCGGGAGGAAGTAAATCTTTCAATGGAGTCAATCCACACCATCCACATCTCACTCCAGCTGATTTTAGATCAAGTTTTGCTGATTTAATGTCTTGGAGTTCAGGGGAGGAGGTGGTGGTGTCAGTGGATCAATGAAGGGATCATCATCAACACATAATCCACCGCCATCGTCATGGGGTCTTCCTTATGGCTGTGTATTTTGGCCTCGTTCCCCAGCTACCGCAGCCGTGGCAGCAGCAGCGGCAGCGGCGGCCGCAGTTTCAACAGGTTCTAATGTTGCAAATCGTTTGCCAAGTGATTTACTTTATCCAGTCATGGACGCTGCCGTTGCCGCTTCTTCTTCCTCGTCTTCAAATGGACCAAAAAGTTCATCAAATCAAACTCATCATCTTCACTCACCACATCTCTCCGATTCTAGTCCACACCATCAACACCACCCTCACCATCACCCTCATCATCCAGCCCACTGGCTGATGCCAATCGATGCAGCGGCCAGCTCATCATTCCTCTTGACCTCAGCGGCAGCGGCAGCGGCAGTTTCTCAGAATCGATCACTAATTGAATCAAATTCATCCCCTTTCCCCGCCAATGGACAAGGGCCAATTGTTGGCCATGTATCAGCTTTCAAACCAATTAACATAACAACCAAATCATCACTGTTATCATCACAATCATCCAAACATAACAATCAATCAATTTCATCTTCAACAATCAAAGATTCTGATCAACAATCATCATCACCCAATAATCCGATGACCATTACACCAACATCATCAACAATTGATGATGCTGATGATGTAACTGAATCAACAGCAGCAATTAATTCAAGTGACAATGAAGCTGATTTAATTGATGTGATTGGTGAAGGTGAAGATGATGAAGATGATAATAATAACAGTAAAAATCAAGTTGATTGTAACATTGCAATTTCCGTGTGTGGTGATAACAATCAAGAGATTATCAAAAGTGGGACAATAACAATTGAAGATCAAGATCAAGACAATCAAGATAAAATTAACAACAACAACAATAATAATAATAATAATCTTAATCAACGTCCTAATTGTCGTAAAAGAACTCGTGTTAATTTAAATCGTGTCAAGAAAAATTATCTCGATTCAAATGAACTAATTAAAAAGGAGCAACAATCAATACCAATTAATAAACAATTAACTTGGACAAGACAAGAAATGATTGAAAAAATTAATTCTAACCACAAGCAAGTTGATAATCATGATTACGAGGTAAGTAAATAAAGAAATACACTAAATCAACATACAATTAATTCAGCCAATTGTCCATCTAAAGAGTAACATGATTAGTCTGTTAATTAACCCTAATTAATTTTCTCAACAATTTAAAATACAAATAGAAAACAAAAGTAAATTGATTCTCTCTCCCTTTCTTTTAATCTAATTTGATTGTTGGCATCAACAATTTGTCACCATACAATCAAATTGTCATTTCACAGTTAACTAGACACATCAAAATAAAGGTAACACAACAATTTAACAACAATCAAATTAGAAAATCAAAATCAATGATCCACTCGATTGGTTGAAAGGGAGAAGATGAAATAAAAAAGACAAATTGAAAAAAAGTAAACAAACAATTTAACCTGAACATGAAGAGAAACAGATAATCAACTACAATTAATCAACTAGACCAATAATAAGATAATCAAGTTGAGTTAATCATTGAATCAAAATCAATTTCCATGATTGAGACTATGAATAAAAAAAAAACGTCGAAAATGTTTAACCATGAAAATCGTAAAGGTAGAAGATGAAACTCTCCTGATCGATTGTAGTTCGAGTGACAATTACAAATTGATTCAGTTGTTAACTCGAACCTCGTTCCACCTCAACGATCACCTTTCCCACCTCTCATATTCCCACTCCCACTCCCAGTTACAATTTCCACCCTCAATCTACAATCATTTTCATCTAAAAATGTTTCAAACTCTTCTGGGAATCCAAGTTAAATTTTCTTTTTTCTCTCCTTCAATGTTGATTGTTGATGAACATTTTATCTTAATTAGTTTTATTCATGACTTAATTGTAATCAGTTTGACTACTTTTGTCTTTAATTGTTATAACAATAATACGGAGCCTTAATTTTGCTCTTAATTCTTGTAGCGGGTTAATTGTTGTTACCTTTTTTTCTTGTTTTTTCTTACTTTTTGCTTCAACTGTTTAACTTTTATAATGATTAAAGGTTTGATTATTAATGGTTAATGGTTGATAATAAATGATTGTCACAATTTACATGGTAACAATTAACTTTGATCAACATCGTTTGTCTTTTCCTCTTGACTTTGATTAAATTGAACAACAAAAATACTGAACAATTTTCATGGGAAATCAAATCTCGGATCATTGATCAAAAATAAACAATCAGTTACAATTGATTCAAGTTAAATTAAATTTAATCACAATGAATCAATTGAGAGGCAACAATTTAAATTATAATACTAGAGACACATTGATTAATATTGTAAATAAAGCAAAACAATAATAATTAAATTTCAATTGATATTAAAAGTTTCAAACTCTCAACATAATATAACAGTTAAAAGTATTTAATTGTAATCACTAAATGATACATATATTAGTTAATTAAATCTTAAATTATTGTGAAATTAAATTGTTAACAATTTTGATCAACAAAAGGAAAGAAAGAAAATCTAATTTGATTATTATCATTAAGATACAATCAATATAATAACAATTTATAATCAACAGGATCAATAATATTAACAATTGATGAGAATGATTTAAGTTAATTACTTGAGAAAATAATTAAAACTTTAATTTGATTGTTGACAATCAAAATGAAACATTAAAGGTAAACATATACAAGAAAATATCTCAAATGAAATTCAACTTGAATCAGTTTCATTTTCATCATTATTTTCATGGAAACAATTTAATTCATTAGTGATGAAGATGAAGATGAAGATGAAGATGATGAAGATAAAGAGGATGAAGAGAAAAGTTCATCAAAAGAAGATAATCTTTTATCTTCTCTTTCTTTTCTTTCTTTTCCATTATCACATATTATCATGAATTCCCATTGGAATCCCCTGAAAGATATTGATAAATGTTCATATTCAATGTTATCATGAAAGAGAGAGAGAGAGAAAAAGAAAGATAAATGTGATACAATTAGAAAGTAAATTAAAGAAACATTTTCTCTTTCTTTTCATCATTTATCATCTTTATCTTCATCATCCTTTTTATCATCTTCCTTTAATTTGATAAAGATGCGGATTCATTTTAATTGAATGAAAATGATGAACATGCTCAAAGTAATTTACCTTCAATATCATATAGGGTTAGTTAACTAACTAAGTTATCACAATTGGCTAATCACTGTTAATTTAATTGATTGTATGTAACTCACAACCTATTTACAGTTAATTAAATGTTGATATAATATCATTAACATCATCAAATTGTGAGTTAATTGTTGTCTAATTTTTCCCTTTTCTCATTTTGGATCCAGAAAATTGATGTTAATCATGAACGATCAACTAAATCACAATCAACTGGTTTAATGGTCTCTCCTAATTTAGCTCTTGATTTGTCTAATATGGGATCAATATCTAAAGGTAACAATCAAAGTTAATTGCAATTTCTTACCAGTTTTTAATTGTCTAGTTTCACAATTTGAATTTAATTGACTTAAGTTTGTCAGTCAAATTAGTATGATGGATTCAAATTGTTATTGGTTAATGAGGGAATAGCGTGATAATTAAACCACCTAGTTAATTGTTAACCATAATCTCAGTTTAATCATCTTGTTTTTTTTCATGATTACCAAGTATCTTTGGTTTCAATTAAATCAACAATTTAGTTATCATCATCATTGAATATTAGTTAATGTTAGCGTGATGATAAAGACTAGATAACAATTTAGATTTAGATTTGGTTTGTTGATTGATACTGAAACCTGTGTGGCTTAAAGTAAACAATTAGTTAAATTGTAATGAACAACAATCAATCATTTTTACTAATCAATTAATCAGCGAAAACCAGAAAGTCAATTACATGTTTGATGTAATAAAATGCTAATGATAATGTTGGTTATTATTTGGTTTTCTAACTAAATAATGAGTCAAACAATTAGTTAATTTTTCTTCCCTTTCATTTAACCAATTAATTAATTGTTCTAATTGTTCAATAGGAGATGATTTAAATCGTTTAATGTTAAATGGAAGTGAATCTCGACAACGATTGGAAAAAGAATTGGAGTTGATGCAAAATCTTGTTCTAAATGGACCTTATAGCAAATGTAATCCTCCGAGTTATCAGTTAATTGGTGATGAACAATCAAGATCAACGGAACAATTAACTCGAGATGAGATGCACAAGCGACTACAATTTGTTAGTTTACTAAAACTTAATCAACTTAATTACTATTCAAGTTAGTTAGTTGTAACAGAAAAACGATAAATTTCACAAATCAATCAATTCCTCCGATCGTCACAATTAACAAATTAATCCAGTTCCATCATTTAATCACCACCATCATCATCGACATCATCATCTCTAAATCATGAACAAAATTAACAATTTAAACATATCCACAATTGAATGATTATGTTACTATAATTAACCACTAATCAAATTAATCCTTTTGATCTCATCTGAAAACCAAACCAAATTAGTAACAATTTAGGTATTTATTTGATTAATTGTTACACTGATTATACAGTTAATTGCTTTTTTTGAGTTGAAAGAAAACTTTTTGACCCTTCTTTATGTAAAATGATTTAATTGGAAAACAATTAACTAATCAATAATTGTTGATTCACAAACAAAACGTAAACAATTATGATAATAAAATGTAAATAACATTAATCACTTTAATTGTCTCATTTATTGTAACTAATAAATAAACATGATTATTGGTTTTCTGGTTATTGTCTCAATCGGATCATTGATTTAATTAATACAATTAACTCTTGAATTAAATGATTACCTAGCATGAGAAATCAACATGATAATAACAAACCAAATCAAATCTAATGATGATAATAATAAGTTAATTTTATCAAATGAAATTGTTGAGGAGCAATCAAAGTGAATATATCTTAATCATGATAATCAACATTATTATTATTAAATTATAGGTATTGTATTTAATTCAATAGACTATAATGATAACAATTAAGGGTGTTAACTATTGTTGATGATTAAATTAAATCAGTGTAATAGTTTGAAAGTAAATTGTTGATGTAAATATATGAAACACTCACTTTGATTGATTAAGATTCAACAAATATCATCATTATTATTATTAATTTTCATGTTATTAGTTGATCATGATGATGATATTTAATGATGATGATGATAAAACCATTAACTAAATCAATGGTTGAAAGATAATGATGATCAATAAAACATTACACCAGTGGATCAGTTAATTATTGATAGGAAACGTTTATAAGTATACAAAGTGATTAACTTATATGTTGATTTAAATTGAGTAATTGAAAATTTATCAATCAAAAATGTTTTATCATTAACAATAAGTTCACTAATTGTAGCAATGAAAATGAACCAAGAAAACAGGAAAAAAAAATAATATTATCAAGTTAATTGTGATGATTTAAAAAAAGGATTTGATAGTTACTATCATTAAAGATGATATTACTTACCATTAATGAACAACGTGAGTATATCTTAATCATCATCATTAAGGATTAATAATGATAATTATGGTGAAAATATTGATCATCATGATTGACCAATAATCGTTTGATCAAAGTTAATTGTGAATGTGGTTATCGATTTGGTTTGTTGATTGGATGAGATGATCAACAATAAGAATGACAATTTATAAATATTAATATATCGAGAAGAAAATTAAACTTTAAGGTTAACCAGGTAATTTCGTGATTCTGATTCTGATCTCATGTTCACAGGGAATCATTTTCTATCTCAGTTAATGATGATAATGATGAATAACATTCAAAGGCGTCAACATTTGATTCGATAATAATTGTTACCATTTAGTTAGAGTATAATAATAAAAACCGTTATTGAGATAATAAAGTTATCCGGTTTTCCTCCTCTTCCTTTTCCTCCTTCAGCCAAAGTGTGACTGGAGGTTGGAGTGGTCAGTGTTGACCATTATTATCATAGATTATTAGTTAATTGTGATACGTGAGATGAACAAGGAATAAGATTAGATATAAACATGGATAATAATCCGGAGAAAAACTTTTTAGATTATAAAGTTAACTGAGTGATAAGTGCGATCGCCATTGATTTTGACGCCCATCAAGGTAGATATTATATCGTTTTCATGATTACTAACACCATTAAGAGGTGAGAGAGTGAGAGAGTAAGGGGGTTAAAGGTGAAATCCACCAAGGGTAACACAATATAATGATAATAATAATCCAGGTAATCACCTTTTCACACGGAAATTAATGTAACATGATTACAAATGCATCATCAATAGGGAACCACCGTAAGGTTAATCCAACACTTAAATCAAAAACCCTAATCATTAATAACTAATAACAGAAAAAGTTAATTGATAAATGATGGAAAAAGACAATTAGAGATTAATACTCGTAATTAGAGTTAATTTAATTTTCAAGAGCCACTTTTTGTATCATCAAGACCTTAATTGTGATGATTGTTTTCTTGTAATTGTTATTTTTTTTTTCACCAGTAAAGATTAAGTTAATTATCACATTGATATATATAAATGTTAATCAATTAAAAGTTAACAGGTTACAATTAACGTGATCGACAATGTTAAAGGATCAATTGTAATATTGATTAAGTAATAAATGATAATTGTTAATCGGTTCCGTAAGGTTAATCATTCAAGAAGATTAAATTAATGTCTAAACTAATCAATGTTAAAATTAATCTTGATTAGTATAATTATTGATTGAAAGAGGAAAATGTTAATTGTTGTTACTTGCCTTTTGATTAGATGGTTAATGATTAAAAAATTGTAAGTCAAATGGAATCAATTTACAACAATCATAATCAATTATAACAGTTAATCTAAAATTTTAATTCATTCATAATCAAGTTAATTGCCATGAGATATTAAAACTAATTGTTACAATAATCAAAAGATACATAATCAAATACATGGGAATCAATTATATCCATTTTTTTTAATCGTTATAACAATTAGTCCAATTGTGATGATAATAATAATTGGAAATCGTTATTGTTAATATTTCAAAATCAGATTAAATTTTAAATTATTTACAAATTGAATGAATTGACATAAATTAATTTTCAACAATCAAGTTAATCATTCAAATTGTGAGACACTTAAAATCATTGATATCTTTTGTTTATCCCAATGAGATTTCAAATAATTAACAAACAGGTAAATTTTTGTTAAATCATAATGATTGTTGATTGTAATTGTGATTGTAATTGTGATTGTAATTGTTGTATTACTTTGATAATAATAATACAAATTGTTGACAAATAGATATACATGTTAACATGGTTGATGGAACAGGAAAAGTAAATAAGACAAAATCAAATAAATTGTAAATTTCATGTTCTTTCATTGAATCACTTGATGATGTTAATTCAATAACTAACAATAGTTGAAAATCACAATTAAATTAGATTTGATTGTTTGTCATCATCATTGTGAAGTGTATGTAAATGTGTTCAAATCAAAATGAAGTGAAGTGATTTTTCAACAACAATCAAGAAACAAATCAAATCAGTTACTTGTTATTACAAATTTAACAACAAACCATTGAAACAACAACAGCAATTAAATTATTAAATCAATGATTTACCAATAATTTACTTTTGATTAGCTTATATCATCAAATTAATCAACATTTGTTTTTTTTTCTGTGGTTAAATTATTCATCCAATTACATAGCCTGCTAATTATGTTAATTGTATTCATTGGTAATTGCTGATAGTTTATAAACTTTGGATATAAATATTGTTCTTGATTGTGATTTAAAGCTAATGATTAAGTTAATTGTTTGAATATTAGGTTACTGTTTCCAACGAATATACATAAATATGAAAGTCTCACAGTGAATCCAATTAAATTGGACAATTGCCTTTAATTGTAACAATAATTTATGACCACAATGGGATTTATTAACTAAACATATTACCCAAGATTAAATTGTTACATAAATAATGATAATAAATAAATTAACGATTAATAATCAAGATAAATATATTTTTCTATATCATTATCAATGTAACAATGGAAAAAAATCAATTATCAAACTGTAACATGATTAAAATTGATTATTATCAATAATTTTTCATCCCTAATAAACAAGAAACTAAAGATAATTGTTCCAATCAAATCAGTAATTAAATATCTGTCTAATCATGTAATTAAATTGCTCTCAAATTGTTATGATTAAATACTGAAATGATCGAGATGAAAAGATGATAAATAAAGATAACATTTCGAGTCGAGGAAAAGTCCAACGATAATCTGTAAAAAAGTTTTTCCAATAAGATAATCTTGTGGAAAACTTAATCATCAACCTTAATTGTCCAACCAATATCATCGCCAGCAATTTAAAAAGTTGCTTCAAACTTGAATCAACAAGGGTATTAACAGGTAACATCTTTTTATCATCATCTCCTTTGGATTAAAGTGAAAATAACGGTAAATTTATATCCAAGATGAAATCGCTTCTAAAATGTAGTTCCATCATTAACTTGAGTCTCTCCAATTGTATGGAAACAGAAAAACTAACCACATCATCATCATCATCATCTTTTTATATCCATCTTCATCTTTTATGACCTAAAGAAAATCAGATGAGATTAAATGGATTATCATAATCATTTCTAGTCTTCTATTGGGATAACAATTGTTACATTGTCAAAATATTAGTTTGGTAACAAAGAAAATACTTCCCTGTATGTGGTTGGATATACAAGGTGACTGATACAATCTAATATCAGTGGTAACAATTGTTGAACCATTAAAATACAAATTTAGACAAAAATAGAAACAAAAATAACATTTAACACTCTGACAATTAGTTTGATTGTTGTAAATGATCACCTTGAATTACCATCAATAGAATTGGTTAAAGTCCTTTAATCTTGAAATTTCATCAGCAAAATTTTCCTCAGCCTCCTAGAGATTTAAAACAAATTGATTATTGTAAATGTGATACAAGGTAAAGAAAAATAAATTATCATTATTATTATTATATTGTTAGTATATTGATGATGATGATGATGATGATGATAAGGAGGAGTGAAAGTGGGAGTTAAATGATGAGGATAAAAAAAACATCGTAATTGTTATCACAATGGAAGTGATAATAATCAAAACAAGATGATTGTAAATCTTACCTAATAGTTGATCATTAAATTGTTGTCATAGATGATGAAGATTGAAAATGATTAATGATATCCAGAGGAAAAAAAAATGATTAACAAACGATTGGAAACAAACAACAAAGTTAATCCAATTGTATCACCAGAATTGATTGCAAATATTGATAATCCATTTTTACCTTTAATCATAAATATGAGGAAGAAAAAAAAAGTTACTTTCCAATCCAATTAACCTTAAAAAGGTGCCAGTTGATTAGTTGATTGATCAACAATTGACCTGTGAAAATTGTTAAACTACAGAATCAATTTACTTTAACTAAACAACAATCTGACATTGACATTTTAAACTCTACCTATGTAATAATATTATTATCATAATCTAAATAGAGGATAGATTATATTTCTTATGTGTTAACATAATTATTTATCATTTAAATGTTAAGCAAATAAATAGAATCATCATCATCGTAATCTATTAAACACACTGTCAATTGAATGGACAATCAAGGTTACCATTTGTTGATCCATTTTCCACCTATGCTTTTGTTAACCATCTCCATCCAAATTGAGTCTCATTTAAAATCTATTCAACTACAAATAGAGAAAGAGAGAGAGAGAGAAATGATGATGATGATGATGATGAGAATCGTTTTCACTTTTCCTTTTTTTCTGTCCATAGGTTTATCCATTAGTTTACATCACCGAATGAACCAAAGTCTCTGTTATGTTGTTGGGTAAACACCGAGTAAGAGGCGTAAGGTGTTGGTCCATTTTTTTCACCTTCATCACAATTCAATTCCAATTGAATTCAATTGAATGTTTGTGTAGAGGTTAACATTTAATTCAACCTTATAATTAGATGGACTCCATTTACAATTGATTCGATTAGGAACTTTTTTTCGTAACTTCTCCTTTGAGCTTTTTGATGATTCTTCCTCCGTTTACATCAACAGCATTTACTTTTTTTTTATGTCTCCTACTTGGTACATAATAAATATATTATATATCTTTTCAAATGGTGATTGTAACATTTTCCTCATCCAATGTTAACTGTATCAATTGATGAATTTCCTTCCTTGAGATTAGTTTGTAAATATAAAGTTTTTTTCTTCTTCTTTTCCTCCTTGTTAACTATAGATAGTTGCGATTCAGATTGTTACTCTCTGTTAACATGATCATCATCATGATAATTCCCTTGGTGATGTGATCTCTCTGTTTGTATTTTCAAATGTTTCAATGATTTGTAGATAAAGAGTAAAAGTGAATCTTTGGAAATCACTTTTTCTTCAACAACAAAGGAAAACTGACTCAGTAATTGAAGGATAATCAGCATATGAATGATCAGATTTTGTTTGTTGATTGTTGATTAGAATGGTGAAAATGATAATGGTCACCAAACAACAAAAGTCACTGTATTGTTGTCTTTGATTGTATTGTTAGAATCCAATTGTTATCAATCAATTTCCATTTAACGTTTATCAAAGGATGGATATTGACTAATTGTTTAAATGTCTCCAGAGCAAGTCTATTGTTTAATCATGATGATTAAAGTAAATCAGTATAACCTGAATCAAGAAGAAGAGGTAAAAAAGTTATGTTAATTTAGATATTCAATTGATGATTGGAAAGGAAAACAATAGATTGAGAGTAATAATAATAATGGAATAGGTAAAAAGATTAACTCACTGGTTAATTGTCGACAAGTTTGTTGAAACAATTAACTGTAGTGAATTTGTATTAATAGGTAAAACTATCAAATTAACTTTACAAGTAAATGAGGATGAAGATGATCAAATTATCTGTAGGTGATGAAGAAAAGATTAATAGAAAATACTTACAATATTGTAACAATTTGTTGTTGACTGTTGAAAACGTGATTAATATCAGCGAAACAATCAGATTGAAATCTAAATCAAGATGATTAACATTTCCGTTATAAATACTTTGTAGAAACATTTAGATTATAAAAAGTTAATCCAGTAGAAAGTCAAGTTGATTAAGATACTATTACAACAGATGCAGCGAAATGATTTAATTAGTTAATCAATGGTCCATAATTGATTTAATTCCTAGTAAAGAAATGAAAAGAATTACAATTAGTTTGATAATAAATATAAAAGATTAACAAGTTGATTATTGTTGTTCTCATACAATAATCATACACTCGTAAAGGTAAAAGAAACTGCATCAGATTAATAATATTACTGTATTAGAGTTAATTCCTGATTAGTATTAAATTGTTAATCGTCTTGTAAAAAAAAAAATTAGTAACAATATAATAGATTTTTTCTTCACAAGTCATTTCATCTTGTCCACTTCTTACCTTTGTATACATACAATTATCTTAATCATTGTTGTAAATGATTAACAACATTGATATTCATGTTGCTATTATGATTGTAAGTGTAGCTTTTTTTTTTAAGTCAACTGATTGTCAATACATTCAATCAGAATCTCAATTGGTTTCAATTTAAAGCTGATCATCGAGTAATCCAATTTGGTTAACCATTTGAGGTTAATTCTTCCTTTTAAATTGTAGATTTGATTGAGGAAACATGTAAACAGATGATTCTTTGCTCTCCCATCTTCTTTAGACAGTTACAGTTACAATTTCATCTCCATCCTCATCCCGATTATTTATAATTGTGATACTTGGGTCAATATATTGATGTAGATCTAGAAAAATTAAAAGAAATACAATAATTTAAATTGTTGTTGAACAAGAAAAAAAAACATTTCATTGGAAAATTCAACATTAATATTTTTTTCCTCCTTCTTATCATCTTCATGTAACAATATAATGATGAAGATAAAATCATTACCCATGATTATATATTATTATCAACATTTTCTTAAGTGGATCCTATATAATAATAGGTGTATTCATTTAATATTGATGATGATAATAATAATATTCAATTGTGAATGATTAGTCGAGGCCACTTGAAGAGCATAAGATTTTGTATTAACTGTGAGTTAAATTGTTATAGAAAATTAATGTTAAGATACTAAGTACATATATCGATATTGGATATATTTCTCCTTGGAAATTGAAGCCTCTCTTGAGATGGTTAATCGAATTAGAAAGCAAATCATCAGCTAAATCGATCATTAACAAGTGATTTCCATGTTTTCCATTAATAATACATGTGTAGAAAAGCATATGTGTCGATTTCGAGTAGATAAATGGGAGATATCGATGATCAACAGCGTCAAATGCTCATTGTGAGGTCACTTTGTAACAGAAAATCTTAAGCATCATCACCATTAACATACACACAATATCCTTTGAGTCCTTTTCCTCTTCTTCACCTTTTTTTTCCTGGGATGATAATGATGATATCGCTTCATTTGATTCTCTTTTTCCTTTTCATCTCCATTGTATGGGCGATTATTATTACAATAATATTATAAATAATGTATAACCATTTGAAAGATGCTTATTTGACCAGGAGCTTTAACACCAGCAGATTAGGATTGACCATGTTAATAGATTACGATGATGATACTGTTAATGATGGTGGTGATGATTAAGGTTATCAGTAGATTCAAATAGAGACAATATAAGGAAGAGATGAAGATGACAAAAAAAAGGAGAGACTGTCAAAAAGGGATAACAAGGATAAAGAAAACAACAATGGGATGTTGGCCAGGGAGGGAAAGAGCAAAATGTTCATGGTTAAGTCAATTGTCTTGAGAATTAAATGTGATAAAATGTTTCGAATTGTTGTTTTCTTTTCTTCTCTGTTGTTTTTTCTTCTTTCATCTTTTTTTTCCTTTCCATTCTCTTCCATTGTCGATTCCATTGATTTTACCAATCTCTTAATGGCTTTGAGTCTAAACCTTGAAGGTCCTTTGAAAATGAAACAATAAGAAAAAAAAAGTATGAAAAGAAAACATTGAGAAGACAATTTTGTTTGTTTTTACCGTTGATTATTTGGTTGATTGGATTTCTCAAGATGAAGTTGATAAAATTGATTAGAAATTGAGATTGGTATTAAGGTTAAAAGGGTCAGAGTATAAGGTTAGACAATTTATCAGACTGATCATCTTGGATTGTAATCTGAGAATCAATATCGTAATTAGCATAAGTATTAATTGCTACAATCATTTCAATCGATACCTTTTACTTTTGGTTAGATTGTTAATTGAAACAATAATTGATTGATTCAAACACGAGCACAATCAGAAAGGATATAAAGCTGAACACGTTTTCAATTCCAATTGAAAATGTAACCTTGATACATTGATTATTGACACAATTAACTTTGTATTCTTATTACCACAAGCAAGTTTAACCAATTAAATTAGTGTAATCTGATAAAGAGAAGTAAAAAAAAAGAAAATTAGTAAAATCGAAATTGATTGAATTTTTGAAAGAGAAATATATTTTAATAATAAAAGATTAAGAAAAATATATTACCAATAATGAGAGATTAACACGTTAATGAGATTATCTCATATTCTCATGTAAAGATGAAATTAATTTGACACCAAACTTTTCCTTATTGTTGATCTTTTATCATCATGTTACCTTATTAAATCAATTATGATTTTCTCCTGATAAAAGCTAATCCAGAATCGGGTAGATGATTAGTAGTAAATGGTATTGCTCACACTTCTCGTTGTTTATATCAATATGTTAATCGAAAAGTGTTGTCAATGTTTTGAGGGTTTGATTATCAATAAAAGGACATAAATTACAGGCAATTTGTCACCGGTGGAAGGAAGGAAGAGAAAAAATCTTACAAATAGATTCACAGATCATTAACAGGAAATTGGCTTGTCAACAGTAAGAGTCAAACACTTAACAATTTACCTCTACTATTATGATTATGATTATTTGTAACATAACAAAAAAAAACTCTTCACCATTGGTCTCCCTTTGGTCACAACTATCCACTGGTCAACAATTGAATCAAACCCTTTTTGAATTATGACTTTAATACCTTTTCATCACTTTAACTATTCCTCTCTTTTTTTCCTCTATGGTTTGATCGCATGGACAACATGACTAGAATCAAGTGGACAATAGTAGTGGATAATATATCAAATAATATGTCATCATTATCCCAAAGACCCGATGGTCACCTAATGGAGAGAGAGAGAGAGAGAAATGAAGATATGATCTGTAGATTATTATGATTATTGGAATAACTCAATTGGTATTACACATAATAGAGAGAAAGGGGTGAATTATGACCTGCCACTTGAGAAGAAAAGAAAATCAAACAAAGGCCTAAGAAAAGAAAGAGAAAAGAGAGAGAAAAAAACGCTTGATTATAATCACCAAAAGATCATTAGTGTTATTATGATTACTTGGTATCATTAGAAATCAATTGTAATTCTTTACCTAAATTGTTACATTATACTTGACCTGAATAACGAATCCTAGTTGATCACAGCCAACAGTTTGATGTCTTCATTTGGTAACAATCAGAATATGTGCCAGTAAAGTATCACAATTACATTATCATCATTAGAGTTTAAATCATTAATTCATCATCACAATGTTTATGTAAGAGAAACACAAAAGGAGGAAAGAAATACAAATGATTAGCTTGATTGTGGGAGAAAAAAGAGAAAAAATATTAATTGTTGACTTACTGTTATTCTCAATTTCTATTATCACTGGAATCCATAATTAGTAAACCGTTGGAATAAACAAATTAAATTAATCAACAGTTGAGAGAAAAATAAATCAATTCTGTTGTCAAGGGTCAACAGAATTGAAAGAAAACCAATTTCCCGCCTTTTTTGAATTTCTTTGTTTTTCTTTTTGTTGTCAAGGAAAAAGTGTCAGAGAAAAGGAATAATTAATTAATTTCCAATCAATTTACTAATTGTAGTTACAATTATTCTTGAAATGTGAATGTTTAATATTTGTAATCAATAGAAGAACATTTAATTTGGTTGATTCTTTCCTTTTGTTTGTGGTTTTCGCTTTAATTTCATGTCCATCAAATTGTGACTTTGATTTGGCTGTTAAATTGTTGTGGTCAAATTGATGATGATTATTGGTGATCATCATGATGTGTATTCACATTTTGTTTGAGACAGACAATTTAGTAATTGAAAGTTGATATGTTTAACCAACCAAATCATCAATTAACCGACATCATCAGGTATCTTAAAACCTAAAGACCAATGGTGATTATTTGATTTTTTCTGTTGCTCTCATCATCATCATCTTAAAGTGACCATTGTCTCTGTTAATTTCACAATCATTTCATTTGACCAACAAATGATGGATATCAAGTTAACTACTCCAATTAAATTGTACATTGTCTTCATGTTCAACATTCTGATTGATTGGGAACAAAGGTGACTTCAAATTAACTATTACATTTACGGTAAGTATTTCTTTCTCATCTCATGTCCATCTAACTTGAAGTTAATGATGTGGTCACTTGATGATGACCGTAACTCTGTATATACAAACGGTGTATCATTTTTATTTGTCAACATATATAGTCAACAATTTGGGTGAATTGTGTGATCTACAAATTAACTAGATTATTTTGTTTGATTGAAAAAACGATTAACTTATTTTCTCTCTCTTTCTCTTTATAACAGTAACAAGATGACCACTCACATGGTCCATGGTGTGCAATAGATACTGATGATGATTATGACGACGAGGATGATGATGATGATGATAAAGCAAATGATCAAATTAAATAAGCATTAGTAAAAACAAGACAATGGTTAAACTAAGGTTACCAATGACCAACCTTGAATAAACATAATCCAAAGGAGGAAAATTAATGTTAAAGAAACTCAACTGGACATCGAGATGAAGGTAAGATAATTAGACAAATGGACAATTGATTGACTTTTCTTTCTGATTATTTGTATTTATTGGAGAGCAAAAGAACAATATTTATGTTGTTAATAAGATGATGATGATGATGACCAATGGTCAGTGTAATGTTATTTAATTAATGATCTTTCTTATCTTCCCAGATGATTAAATGGTAAAGGATCAATATGATTATCACAATCCAATCATTGATTAGATGTTGATCATTGAAAGGGAAGGAAAAATATTATTAAGTTATTAAGATAATTGTTTATTTGTGATCATCAACATGATCCAAATTAAGTAAATTGTTGATTCAGTTAACAGATGAGTTAATTTATTGATTTTCCAATTTCTTATATATATTTTTACTTGTTGAAATGTTTACCAAAGATCATGATGATTACTCATATATCCTAATGATTGGAAATTTAAATCTATAGACAATTTAAATATCAACCTTTTAACATTATTAATCTTTGATAATAGTAAATCAAACCAAAGGATTTTCCTGATTGTTACCTAAACCACCAAGAGATTTGATTATCATCATCAAAAGTAATGATCAATTTTTGCATCTCAACATCTTAACAAGTCAATAATTTACTAATAGCTTTTGTTAACCCTTTCGTCTAATCATGATTACAATCAAGATGAACAATTTAATATTCATCTTGTAATTTTGTTTTTCTCATCATCTAATCATAAATCCATTAATCTCTTAATGATTGTCATACATAAATCCCTAAATCCCCATGATATTGATATCAGATCATTAAGGTCAATCATAATGATGATTATCATGATGATAATGATGATAATCAGTAAATCATTTGAGTTATAATATTATTTAGTCATTGGAAAAACATCCATTGGATTAGATAATGGATGTGGTTAAATTAATTTTACCTAAAAGTAATTTGCTTAATTAAAATAATCACATGATACAAAATTAATGAATCTAAACACAGGGAAAGCAAAAACAATACCAAGAGAATTGATTAACTTGAGTAAATTAAATTTAAATTAAATTGACAATTAACAAGAAACACAACAAAAAAAATCACAACAAACCTTAACCATAGTCTTAATCATAACATATATAAAGTTTCAAGGTTTATCATAGGACTTTGATTATTATGATTATATTACAGTTACAATTGATTAATTAACCTATTCTAGTTTATTCAACCATATCAATGTCAATGTTAGTAAAGTTTTTATCACTTTAATTAATCAAATTAATCGATATCATCAATTCCTCATCCTCTTTGATTATCATAATAAAATGATAATTAAACAGCAAATGAGAGGAAACAAAGGAAAAATATTCAATTGAATTATAATTAATTTATTAACCAAAAGAAAAACAAACAAAATGTTTTGATTGTTTGAGAATGAGTTTAATTGTATTAATTAGTTTTCAGTAATAATGATAATTAATCTGGTTTTCTTGTTGATTTATTACAGGATTAAAGGATCATTTTGAATGACCAAGTGACTTTGTAGTGGTCAAGGATGTTGACAAATCTGAAGGAGAAATGGTTACAATATATTAATTCATTTCAGGATGAAATTTTTATAATCCAAATAATCATGACATTTTCATCTTAATCATCATCATCATCACTAAACCTTTCTAATCATCTTTTGATTTCTGAATCTTCATCATCCTCATGGGTCCAATATCATCATCTAAGATGAAAGAGTAACTTGTTACCATTAAGAAATCAATCTTATCCATGGAGAAGATGAAAAACTAACTAAACAATTCCCAATGAGAATCAGTGATCATCAAGCAATCAAGATGATAATATTGTATAATCAAGATGATTATAAGTATTAATGTGTCAACTTACCAAAGATGATACAACAATTAACATTAATCACTACCATATGAAGATAACTGATTATAAAAGTTTGATTGTTTCATTTACTATCTACTATCAACCGACCAAATCAATCAATGATCCATTGAGTTAATTGTTTTCCCGTTATAAATATCAATGAATTACAGTTAATTTTTTTTTCTCCTCTTCTCCTCTAACAATTAACTTAATTATTATCATTATTACAAGGTATTCAAAGTTAGTGTGTGTATGTCAATCAACTGAACTAAACTTAATACTAAACACAATTATTATTATTGTTACTGATTCCCATCAACCATTAAAGATTCAAGTCTCAAGTTAATCAAATCGCAGGTATGTAAATGTTTATCATTGTTGATTGTTGTCTCAATGATAATAATATAATCAAATACAGTGAAACTTAATAGTAACATTAATAGTCTTTCTTTATTTTCTTTATTTGTATTATCAACACCGGAGAGTTACAATTTAATAGTAATTCAAGTCTCAAGAAGGTAACATGATGATGATTATAATGGTTAACAATACAATTCAAATAAAATCCCGTTGGAAAGATGATTAAGAAGGAGCAATTGAAGCGGGAAAATGTCACATATTTTATTCAATGGGAAAAAGAGACTCGGAAAAGTTAAATTTGTAAATATTATCAACACAATAACAATCTGATTGAAATTGATTCAGTTTGTTGATATAATCATGATGATAATGGTAACGGAGTAACAATAACAACTTGTAATAAAATGAAAAGTGTTTAGTTAGTCACTGAATTAGATGAGATATAAACATTTACCATTATCATTGTTATCATCATCATCATCATCATCATCATCTCACCTTTAAAACGATAATAGTATTATTATGATGACGATGATGATAAAAGAAGACAAAAAGAGATGATAACATGAATAGTTGTTCATTAATCCATAGGAAAAATATAGTTTCTTATTGTAAAGTAAATTGTTGTTGGTAATATGGAAAAGAAATGTAAATTTAACGATTCGATGTTAGTGTAACAATTTACTAATTCAGTTATTTCAATTTCAGATTTGATAAAATTTACTGTTGAAGTGAAAACAATTTGATTTGGATGCGTTAATAGTTATTCAAACTGTGTTTTCATCAAGAGGTGATGAGGATAATCAACTGATGGAATCAACGGAATCAACAAAAACACCATAATACAATTTCATCGCAGCGTAAACATGATTTAATTATGTTATAATCCAATGATGAGAGACAATCAAGATGAAAGTGGTTGTCATCTTGGTGGTGATGATGATAAAATGATGATAATTTAAAGCAAACAATAAGTGAACAAGAATCAAAGTCAATTGAATTACATGGTAATGAGACAATGAGTAACTAACAGAACAATAATTGTAACAATATTATTATATTTTCACTTGATTATAATTATATTGTTATCAACACAATAACAAACGTAAAAGTTAATTTCTTTTTCTATATTTAATTGTAATTCAAGATAATTAACAAAATTTTGTCTCTTCATTTTCCTCTCACTTTTACTTTCACAATCATATTGATGTTTTTATGGTAATTTGTTGATTACAATGATGATGATGATGATGATGATTTGATGATTTACTGATTATGATTATTGAACAATTGGCAGCTGGTTGCATCTTTTTAATTTCATTTCCAATAATTGTGATCATGTTTAGTTAACCATGATGATTATGTCAATGATTAGGATTCAAGTTTTTTTTCTTCTTGATTGTTATCGGGAAAGAGACCAATCAATATATTTTGATAACAATCAAATCTTATTCAATTAACTTGGTGCTGGTAAAGATAAATTATCATAATCATTATTGTGATTATTACTTTTCTCTGATCATTGTGATTAAGTTATAAATTGCCCTTTGGTTGGTTGATCACCCACTCACTCCCGCCTCTGTTGATTGTTAAGACAAAATGGTTAAAAAAAAGTAAACAATTAAGTGATTGATTGTTAAAGAATTGACTATGAAAAAGATATCATTCACTTTTTAGCTTAATTGTGATGATTAAAATGTCTTTGTAATTGATGCTTCAATTGGTTTAAATGTAAACAACTAAAAGGAAATCAAATCCATCAAATTAATTAATTGCCAATTCTGAGATGGATTGACAACAATTAATTACTTCTTATACAATTAAAGATTATTATCTTTACCTGAGTTTTGATTATCAACACGTGGCTATTGGTTGATTCACAATTTAAATCATTTGATTGTCTTTTTTTACTTGTAATCCAATTGTTTGATCATTTTGATTGAATTTCGTCATCGAAAATCAATTAAGTTATTATGCAAACTATTTTATAGCCGCAAGGGTTTTACTTATTGATTGATTATAAAAAAAAACTCAACAAATTTGATCAGTTGCTGAAAAGTAATCATACTAATCAGTTAATCTTTCTGATTATCTTAATGGTTTTTAAGTTGATTGAATTTACATTGAACATATTCAGAAGAAGAGATTAAGTTGATTATTGTTTGAACGTCGTTCGGATGATTATGTTGATTGCGTTGATATTAATTGTTAGAAATGATGAATGATCACTTTGATTCCAATGACAATCAATTAATCCATTGAAATGTTTTTCTCTCTCAAGAAAATAATTCAATGTTTAACCAGAGATTTGAAAATTTATCGTAAAAATATTGACCTGTTTAGTTAATCCGGATTAATTTCTTTGGATTAATCATTGTTATCGGCACAAGTTAACAATTGATTTATCAAATACTCAGATCAGATTGTCAATCAAGTGTTGGTCTCATTCATCATTAGAAAATTTTTGTTTACAAGTTAATTGTTGAAAGAAAAACAAAAAATTAATCCATCAATGATAATTTAAATCCACTCTTCAATCAAACAATCAACTGATTACCACTGAATATGGATAATAGTAATGATGATAAGCAGATAATCAAAATTATTACCAATAACAAACAAAGATAATTAATCAATAATCCAAATTAATGAGACTCGAAAATCAAACAATTAATATTAATCATCATCTTTCAAATTTCATTGATTGTTAATTGTGACACTTTTTTTTCTTCCTTCAATGATTATTGTTAATGAAAATATCGTTAATATTCATGATACGTAATAATAATCAACACCACTGATTAACATTCACAACCATTTTACGATTTAATTTGGTAAACCTAAATGTGAGAGGAAGAAAAAAAACTAAATTAATGTAAAAGTTAATTTGATAATTAGAGAGAGAGAGAGAGACAAAAAATCAAATCTTCACAATGTAACTTAATTACCACTCTCACAGTGATAACTGAGTTTTCATTTAAATCAGTTAACTTTTTTTTTAATTAACTGGCTCTCAGTTATTACATATAAATAAATATAATATGACATCAATACTAATTAGCTAATTAATTAACTGAATTACAATACATACATAAGGTGTGATTGTGATAAGTGAAAAATTGACTTTCCAACGGTAAGGTAATCAAATTTAATTTGATAACATTATTGATGAAATGGTTTCCCAGTGTGGTTTTTAAATCTGATTGTAATGAGAGAGAGAAAAGTGAATTAATCAAATTGAATAATAACAATCACAATAATAGAATAGAAATGATAATAGATGATTTATCAATGATGCACGAGTAAACTCTTACTTTTTTTTCCATAATCTGATTGTCGCAACACGTGGCAAATAGGGTACGCGCCTTTTTCTAATGATCTTTTTACACCAAATTTGTTCAAACTTTTGGAATTACATTTTCAACAACAATTTAAACTGCGAAAATATAATTAATATTATCGTTAAAGGAACGAGTGAGATTGGCAAACATTGAATAATAAATGAATACAATGTTTAGCATTTTCTCTCACCATTGAATCTTTTCATTACTATTCTAATGGTATGAAACACTTACCAAAAGAGTGCGAGTTCAATTTTTAGTAAGTAAACTGATTTAGTTGACTTTTTCTCATAGTGAAAATAAATCGTTATTAAGACGCGTGTTTATAAAGAGAAAGGCAAATTATCATTACAAGTGATAATACTCTTAATAATAAACAATTAACGAGTCGATAATAATGATTGTTAGCAGAGTATATGAAGAGAGTGAGAGAGAAAACAATTAAAATGTATCAACATTATGGATCCAAAAAGAAAGTTACAAAACCAAAAGTGAGAGAGAGAGAGAGAGAGTCAGGATAGTGTCAATTTTACATAGTTGATGATGATGATGATTGGAAGATATAAACACAATTGAATCACTGTCCATATAATATGATAACCATAGGAAAATTTGACATCTTTATACAACAGCAGAGAGAGAGAGAGAGAGAGAGAGAGAGAGAGAGAGAGAGTAATCAAAGCAAGAAAAAGATATTGTAACTGAATCTATTGTTGTTTAACAAGTCGATGATTCTCAATTCAATTTACTTCATCAATTACTTTAATAATAACAACATAGAGACTCTCTAACAATGATGATGATGATGATAATGAGAAGATAAAGAAAGAGGTCATATGAGCGTGACCAGTAAGTTATAAAGAAACGATTAGTAACTTAATATTTTACCTTCTTTTTTTTGCATTGGCAAAAAAACAGGGAAACGAATCAAATATTTGTGATGATAATATTTTTCTATCAACAGGAAAAGGAAAGGTTGTTAATAATAAAACGAAAGGAGCACTTTTGTTATCCAAAATACCTAAAGGAAAAGATAATAGAAGAAAAAAAAAGAAAAGTCAATGAATATATAAATAAATGTTCATCATCATGATCAACTAATATTTTGATTGAATCATCAATCTCATATGAAGATAATAATTCAAATTGAATTATATCAACCATGTAAGTCAATTCATCTTCATCTCTCTCTCTCTCTCTCTTCCTTGTTGGATGACAAGAAAGAGAATCTTCTGACTCTTTCTTTTTCCTCTATAAAGAGAGCATTTCAACCATATTCCATGCTCAAATAGCTTCACCCTGTTAACCAATTGAATTTACTCAAGGTAATATTTTCCTCCCTCTCACCCACAACTATTATCATCATCATCATTCACCATCTTCTTCATCACTATTACTACTACTAACGGGAATCTTTTTCTCTTCTTTAATAACTACTCAATTTTATGTTACTTTTTTTCTCTATGTGATATGAATTAAGATTATATTATCTGTGTATTATGTTGATGAAGACTCAATCATTATCAAGGATCATCACTGGAGAAAAAGATAGTTAACAAACCCACTCCTTTTTATCCTCTCTCTCTCTCTCTCTCAGCGGACATTGTTGTATCATATTTTGTTGCTACACATCAGAACCTTAATGATGAAAATGATGACGATGATGATGATAAGCAGTTATTACAGTTATTCGAGGGAAAAAAACATTTTTTTCTAGGTCTATACAAGTGAATATATAAGAAGAACTTACCTCTTAGGCCCAATGGTTGTTATTCCTTCATCTTCTTACCTTGTTGTTTTCGATTATTACAACTTCTTATTATTACCTTTTCTTTTTAACGTCATATCCTTCAAATTTCCAGTCAACTCTATAAACACAGGTAACCTATAAGAACGATAATAATTTAATATCGAAATTGGTAAGAATAAAAATAACTAAGAAGATGATAAAATCCGAATCAACGATTTTAATAAACAAAAGAAAAGGGGAGAACATAAAAATTGAAGAAAACAAAATGTTTCATTATTATGAGATTTTCCCTTTTTTGTCAAATTCTTTTCTTTTTTTTTTATTTATTGTTAATCTTTTATATTTAATTATTGTTTCTCTTTTTCATTGATTATCTTTTAATCAAATGTTTCCAATTTTGGTTTATACAGTTGATGGTAAGCGTTTAATGATTGATTTCATTGTGATTAACTCTTTTCTCACCTTGGTTTTCCTCTTCTTCTTATTTTCGGTTGTGTCATTTGGTTTTTCTCTCTGTTCTTGTGGTCGCCATTTTTAATTGTATTTGCAATTAGAGTTTTAATGGCTTAAGGGTCTTTTCCGAAAGGATTTCGAGGATAATAAGATATGTATCATAACGTAATTAGGGTTGACAAGTGAATTGATTACATTTTGTTCGTATTTTTTTTTTTACTATTCCATTGGTCACTTATCTTGTAATGTATGAATTTTAATCAACTAGTTTTTTTTTCTCTCTCTCTTTTTTTAGATTATATTTGTTAAGAATAGCTTATTTTGCTTCTTGGTGAACCATGATCATTCCTTTGGAACCAATAGTGATAAAGAATATAATCAATATGAAAAGAAAACCCCCGAAGAAAAGAGGATTTGTAACAGATTCACATGCAAATCAAAGTTAATCTTCAACCCAATGAGCCATAAACTCTTAAGACTAACATTTTGTTGTTGGTTTACAAGTTTTATCCTGTCTTGATGTTTTTGTCGATTTGATGAAAATAAAAAAGATAAGAAGACAAGAGTGAGAAAGAGAGAAAGAGAAGAGGAAGATGTGTACATCAAGGATCCAGAGAGATGAAGGAAATCCATCAATACGGAAAAGAAAGAGAAGAAAACTAAATATATTCTCTCTCGTTTTCATTCCCAAGAGGTGAACGATTTATTGTCATTGATAACCAATTGAAAGTTCACTCGATGTAAATTAAATATTGTGTCTATGTAACTGAGAGAAGTGAATAGATCAGACAATCATTTTAATTGCTTTGATTCTCTGTCGATACGATGTAATTTAACTTGTGTGTCCAACTTTTGTCAAATGATTATTCCAATTCTGTAATTTCTTTAACTCACTTTGTTTCCATTTGAAACGTAATCAATTTCCTCAAACAGATTAATTGTCTTCACGATATATCACCTATTTCAGAATCTTTGATATTTCCTCTCAATCTTCAACTTCAATTCAACTTTATGCTCAATTTCACCTGAAATAATTTCCTGCGAAATTCAATCATTCAATTGACATCTAATCTTATCTTTAAATTCAAAGACGAGAAAATTTTCCTTATAAATTACCAACAATCAACTAATCTAATTGAATCTCCAACGATAATAGAGCGAAAACCAATTTATTATTTTACAATTGACTTTTTGTTTCAATGACATTTCTTGATTGACTTAATTCTAGTTTCATTCTCAACAATTGACGAAAATCAATTAAGTTAATTTTAATTCTTCTTAATTCACAATCAATCAGCTTAACGAAATTAACTATTGATACCATTTACCGTTTAATGTCGATTCGATTCGAAAAACTTTTAGATAAATTATGAGATCGTAAATTTATGGATTCTGAAAATAATCGATATTCGTCCATCACTACAGGTGGTAAGATTCGTAAATGGGGTTAGAGATGCAGAAAACATTTACATTTCGAAATTCGTTCATTTCACTACGAATTTTCTTCTATGTAATCATCTCAAACTGAAAGACTTTCAGTGAAAGTCATACAGATCGTGACATCTATTGATTCATTTATCTATTTCTACATTTTTATAACTTTGAAAGTTTCGATGTATCGATTGTTTGTTTTCCTTTTTTCTTTTTTTCTTGTGTTTCCATGGAAACCATTGAATCGTAAACAGCTGATCTTTTCCCGCTTTTTTTCAGTTGAACTTTTGTTTGGATTAATTGCCAAAGGTAAAGATCGTTTTCTTTATCCACAAGAATTTCATCAATTAACTGGACTTGCTTAGCAACTTTTTCTCTCTTTCATCTTTACGTTTTTTTAATTCCTCTTTCCACTTTTTTCGCTTTCATTTTCTCTCTAAAAGATCTTCTCTCTCTCTCTTTCTCTCTCTTTCTTTTTCTTTTTCTTCTCGTTCCTTTTTCTCTCTTCTCTTCTCTCTTCTCTCTTCTTCTTTCATTTTCTTTCTTTCTCTCTCTCTTTTTTCTCTTCCTGTCTTTCTTTCGTTCCCTTTATTCTTTATTCTCTTTATATTTTTTTCTTTCTCTCTTTTCTCGTCTTTTCTCTCTCTCTCTCTCTCTCTCTCTCTCTCTCTCTCTCTCTCTCTAACCTAAAATCATCGGTGGGTCCTCATCTTCACAATAAAGCTTTTAAGTAAATAGTTAATCTTTGGTTTAATCCTTTTGTCTTTGTTAATTTTCTCAGTTTTTAAGAGGAAATTTTCTAAAAATTCATTACAATTGATATTAATTTGGTTTATTTTGGTGCTGTTCTGAATGAAGTTTGGTCATTTTTGGTTTGGTTTGGTTAGATTAGGTTAGGTTTGGTTAGGTGTGAGACGTAAACCTAATTAATAATCAATTAATGGCCCGGAGGGCCTCGGACTCTCAACCTAATCAATACAATGAAGAAGTGGCCCGGAGGGCCTCGGACTTCCAACCTATTCAGCAATTAATACCTATGAATCAGTGACTTTTCAACTTTACTCTATTCAAAACTAGCAAAGACAAAAGGATTAAACTCAAAATTCACTATTTATCTTTATTATGAGGTATCAAATCATCTGGTAAATATTTTCTCTTCACCTCTCACATGTTTCTGGTTTCGCATCCGCTTCAACATCAACTCTTTGTTCAACTTTTGGTTTTGGCGGTTCTTTTTTCCTCTTTCTTTTTACTTTCTTTTCTTCTTCGCGTGTCTTTGTTTAAATTTACCTTTTTCTCTTTAAATTAACAGTCAGGAAATTCAATTTCTTCCCCTCAAACGTTAATTTGAGTCTTGACAATTCAAATCAATTCGATTCCACTGTCACTTCAATAATCTTCTCCTAATTAATTCGTTCTTTATATCGATTTGACTGATTTTCTTTCCAACATTCAGACAAAAAACCAAATTCTATATTTTTTCTTCTCTAATATTTTTCTCTCTTTTTCCAGAGTCCAGAGTCTAAATTTCAATTAAACACGTGAAATACAATTTAATTGTAATTAATAAATTTTTCTTCGATAACATTTTCATCCAGAATAATATTCAAATCTAATGTTTACATTTTCAAATTTAACAACAATCAACTAATTGGATACTTGATGATGAAGTATTATAATCCTTATTCAATTAGAAACAATAAAATTGTATCTACCAAATTACCAATTAACTGTTTAATCAACACGATTTAAAACTGTGATCCACAATGATTAATGTTTAAACACGTCAATAATTAACCTGATTATCTGGTAACAATTATCTGATTTTAATAAGGTTATGAATTAATCACTATCACAATTAGGAATCAGATTAAATAATTAATTGAATTAAGTTCAAAGATCAACTAATTATTAATAAACAACAATTAATATGTATCATTGATCACAATCAACTCAACTTAATTATCAATTGATTATTGGACAATCAAGATTAACAATATATTAATCTTAACATTTAGTTTTTTTTTATTCATTTTCATGTTTCATGCTTAAAATTAATCAACAGTGATTAGTTAATTGTTATCAATGTATCTTCATTTTGATTAATAGCTAATCATCATTAGTTAACAATCAAATCTTTTAATGGTAAAAAATTCAAATTTATCAGGAAAAAAACAATGAGTGAGAAATCAATGTCGATTAGATTGATTTAGTAACTCAGTTCATCTGATTAATTACAATTAACACCAACCATTGTTTTAATTGATTCAGTTAATTAAAACTAAGCTAGTAGTGGATTAGATTTTAATTGTTGTTGATTTTAATTTAATTGTTTTAAAAATGTTTTCAGTGAAAAACTTTCTCGCATTTAATAGTTTATCAATCATCTTAATCACAGTTTTGAAGGGTAAGTTAAATTGTTGACAATCAAAATGTTTAATTTCATATGTTTAATTGTAACCCTAATTGTCTTGTAGTGTCCAATGCTGCTCCAACGACAATTAACTCTGATGACAATCAAATTAACTCACTAAATGATATTGAAACTGAATACAAAGGTAAATAATTTTTTAAGAAAATGATTTAATTGTTATGATAATAATTTAATTTTTCTTTGCAATTGAATCTGATTTTCATGATTAGTTGATGATTATGATTATGATTCAATTGATTTAGATGGTGATTTTAATTTAGTTTCATCGACCCCACCAACTTTAACTTCATCAACTTTTATTTATTATGAATCAACTCATCATGATGATTTAGTTGATTCAGTTTCCAATAAGTCAGATAATTTACCAAATGATTTTGTAACTGAAAATACAAAGACAACTGATTATATTGAAACAATTAAAGTTACTAATCAAGATACAACCCAATCAACACTTGATATAAATGATTCATCGACAACAATTAACGACAATAAGAAATTAACTCCTCCATTGATTAATCCTTTTGAAGATTTCATATTTGAACCACAAGAAATTGAACCGACAACAAGAAAAACGATTGAAACAGATCAACAATTAACTAATTTTGACACAACCACTCGATCCGAAAACTTAATCACTGACAATAATGAGTTAATTGTTGATGGTCAAACGGCCAAGGTAAATAATAGAAATGATTTTTGGATATCAACAGTAACTCAATCAACTAATTACGATGATGAAACTACTAAATCATCAACGAAAACTGAATCAATTACTGATTATATAACCAGTACAATCATATCAACTACTGATGGACAACAATTAACAACAACTGATTCAGATGATTATCAATCAACAACTTTCGTTTTTACTGATAGACCAGTAACTGAATCGATTCAAGTTGAAACATCAACAATTAACTTGACCACTGATCAAAGAGATGATCCAACGACCATTGAATCAATTAATTCAGGATCAACTCAACAAATAACTGAATTTATATCTACAACAACTGAGATGCAACAATCAACAAGTGATTCAGTCACTGAAATGATTTCAACTCAATCAGATGCAACCATCTCAACAACTCAAGGACAATCAACAACAACAACTACAATTAAATCAGATGAGCCGACAATTGTAATCACAGAAACACCTCAATTTACAGTTACAATTACCACCACAAACATGATACAATCAACAACAAGTGATTCAAGATCAGATATTTCAGCAGAAACAACAACAATAGCATCACAATTAACTTCAACAATCAGTGATATCACAACGGAATCAATTATTGATACGACTACACAACAAATTATTGAATTAACAACAGTCTTAGAAACTCAGACTGAGCAACAATTAACGACGACCCTTGAGCCTGAAGCCACAAATGAACCACAATTAACAACGACAGTCAAGCCAGAAATCAAGACAACGACAGAATCAACAGTTTATACAACAACAAATCATCAAGATGAACCTGAAATTACAAAAAAATTAACCACAACAATTAGCCCTGGAATCGAGACTACAACTGAATCAATGGTTGATACAACTACTCAACAAACCATTGAATTAACAACAGTCTTAGAAACTCAGACTGAGCAACAATTAACGACGACCCTTGAGCCTGAAACTGAAGCCACAAATGAACCACAATTAACAACGACAATCGAACCAGAAATCGAGACAACAACAGAGCCAATGATTTATACAACAACAATTAATTTTGAAACTTCAACAACTTTTCAAACTCAGACTGAACCACAATTAACCACAACAACTAAACCTGAAACTGAAGCAACGACGGAGCCAATGATTTATACAACTACAGAGCAATTAACAACGACTCCTCAAGATGAACCTGAAACTACAACACAATTAATCACATCGACAACAATCAGTGAGATTACAACTAAATCAACAACAGCCCCACCGACTCAGACTGAGCCACAATTAACCACTACAATCAAGCCTGAAACCGAAGCAACAACAGCAGACCCACAATTAACAACGACAATCAAACCAGAAATTCAGACAACAGAACAATCAACGACTCAACAACCAGATGAGCCAATAACACAATTAATCACAACAATTAAACCCGAAATTGGAACAACAACCCAATCAACTAAAACAGAATCAATCACAGAAACTGAACCAAAAACTGAAACCACAACAACTAAAATTGAAGATATAACAACTGAGCCAAATGTAAGTGTTGAATAGTTAATAATTACTGTTAATTAATCAGATCATCGATGAAAAATTTTATTAACAACAAACAACTAATCAATTGTAATCTACTATTAGATTCCCTGTGATTGTGATCAATCAAACTTTGACGAAAGACCAGATTGTCAATTCATTTGCAGTAAGTTTTCAAACAACATTAATTGTACCATTATCATTAATTAATTGTTTGTAATTTTAATTAACAGCTTCATCATCATTTTTTGCTAATTTCCATATCAATTTAACCTTTTTTGGACTTAAAATTGCAACCATTTTATCAGATCCTGATTACTGTAAGTTAATGACTTTAATTTATTTTAATCACTAATTAATCATTATCATCTTTTCTAGTGATTTGTATTGCACTTGGATTAGGATTTTTATTGTTAATCAGTGGACTTACATTACGGTTAATTCATAGGAGGAAACAACGTAAATTAATTGCTCAACGTAACTTTGATATACTTTATCAAGACTTCGGAACAATTAACGAGAAAGATAAACAATGGTTAGCCGATTTTAAATATCAATCATCAATATTATGAAAAAGCTAATTAATTTATCGTTTTTTTATATCAATTGTTAATTTTTTAAATAATTTTTTCCTGATACCAGGAAAAACAAAGTTCAATAAAATGTATTTTCAATTCCGATGATAATTAATTGTGACTGTTGATTTAATATTGTGACGAACTTGATTGTATCGAATTAATTATCAAAAGGTAACTACCAATTTGGAAACATTAAGAAATTAGATAAGAAAACAAGAGATTATCTCAGGTATGGAATGAATTTCGGAACAAAATGAGAATAATATAAACACGCAAAGAAATGAAGAAGATGAGAGGTAATGAAAGGAAAGAAAGAGAAAGAGAGAAAAAGAGAAACCAAAAAAATATGTAACCAAATGGTAGAGAAAAAGGTCAATCAAAAGGTAATCCAATCGAAAAAATTAAAGAAACGGTTCACAAATAGACGAAATTTTTAGTTTCTTATTTGAAAACTACAGATAAACACCGAGAGAAATTAAATTTGATTACTTTATGTGAGAGTCTAACCGACCAGGTGACCTAACCAACTACCCAATCGTCTGTCGGGGTCAACTAGTTGACTCCCCCCTTTTTGTCTTGCTCAATACCTCAGTAGTCAAGGTGATAACCCTATCCACCTTGACTGTCACAGTATATAAGGTGTCATAGACGCAACATAAAGTATCTATCTCTCTCTTTATCTCTCTCATGTACCTCTTACTTTTTCTCTTAATTAAACCTTTGACCCTTCAAACTGTATTCTTGACCTGTCGGTCTGTTCACCGCTTTACTTTGAATACCTCGTTGGTTCACTCTCATGGTAGCAGAGCGTGGTTTGGGCTCTACAAGTATTCAATTTAATTTAGTGTTTTGTGTAAACCAGTCAACTGTTCAACAATGAGTAACCTTTTGAACATTGAGAAGTTGGTATGGAAATTATGATTCCTGGTCAACCCTCATGAAAAGTGTCCTTATTCACAACCAGCTTTGGTCGTATGTCTCGAGCCCTGACCCTAAGGAAGCAGATTTTACATCAAAAGATGAACGAGCTTTGGCTTTAATCACTTTAAGTGTTCACCCTAAGAACTTTCGGTTGATCAAGGGTTGCAAGACTGCTAAGGAGGCCTGGTCAGCATTGGAGGGTTCACATGTTCGAACCGGACCAGCAACAGTGGTCAGTTGCTTTAAGAAGCTGATGTGTTTACGAATTCAACAAGGCCAGTCGATGCAAGAACACCTCGATACATTTGTTGGTTTGTTGGATCAGTTGGCAGTTCTGGACATCAAATTGCCAGAATTGATTCTGTCGGTGATCTTATTAGTGAGTCTTGGTGATTCCTATGAAAATTTTGTTGTGGCCATGTCCTCAAGAGACAGTTTACCTCCAGTTGCCGTGTTGAAAATTAAACTGTTGGAGGAGGAGGAAAGGAAGACTAATGAGGTCGTCACGTCGACCCATGTAATGAAAATTTGTGATGATCGAAAGGTTGGAAAGAGGAGATCGAAGGTGAAATGTTACAGTTGTGGTAAGATTGGTCACATAGCCAAGGATTGTAATGGTCGGAAGTTCAACAAGTCGAAGCCCGATAATATTTTACAATTAAGATCATTCAATGGTCAAGTTAAACTGGACAAGTCAACGTGGATACTTGATAGTGGAGCAACTTGTCACGTTTGTTGTGAACCAAGCTACTTTAGTGCCCTTACCAAGTCAACTGGTCGGTCGGTCACCCTTCCAGACGAGAGGAAGCTCCAAGCTTCAGGTGTTGGAGAGATCAAGATGAATATCAATGGGAACAACATTACATTAAGTGAAGTTTTGCTTGTTGAGGAGTTAGAGGCTAATTACTTCTCCGTGTCCCATGCTGCTCGACATGGTTGCAAGGTGATATTCAAAGATGATTATGGTAAAGTGTTTAACAGTCGAAATCAGTGCTTGATCAGTTTTGACTCAGTTGAAGACCTGTACATCAGACGAATCGAGACCTGTCGATTAGCCAGGTTGGATGGTTGCCTTGGTGGCAAGGTCAACATTGGACTACTTCACAGGAGACTTGGTCACTTGAATATTAGAGATATAGAGAGGCTTATTAAGTGTGGTGCGGTCGAAGGAGTGTCAACTGATACAAGTAAATTTACTCAATGTGCCACTTGCTTAAAGTGTAAAGCTTCTCAGCAACCTTACCAAGCATCAACTAGTCAAACAAACAAGCGGTTAGAACTAGTCCATACTGACTTGTGTGGTCCGATGAAGTTGCCTTCTTTTGGTGGTGCCAGATATTTTATGACCTTCGTAGACGACTATTCGAGATATGTATGGGTTTATATATTAAAGTTCAAAGATGAAGCAGTCGACACGTTCAAGGTTTGGCAGCGAGAGGTTGAGCGTCAGACAGGTGAAAAGGTCAAGACGTTGCGGACTGATAATGGACTGGAGTACTCGCCATTGAAGAAACATTTCAGTTCATTAGGAATTAGACATGAAACAAGTGTTGCTTATACACCTCAGCAGAATGGAGTCGCTGAAAGGGTCAACCGAACACTTGTTGAGATGTCGAGGAGTTGTCTGTCCGACAGTTCAGTTAATGTTCGGTACTGGGCTGAGGCAGTTGCTTTCGCAGCTTATGTAAGAAACCGTGTCATCAACAAACACAATGATAAAGTTACACCTTTCGAACTATGGACTGGTCGCAAACCAAACATCAGTCATCTAAGAGTGTTCGGTTCGAAAGGTTATGTGTTGAATAAACGGGTCGGTCGACATAAATTTGATGAAAAAGGCAAAGAGATGATGTTTGTCGGTTATGGAGACACACAAAAGGCTTACCGTATGGTTGACCAAGAGAACAATCGAGTTGAGTATAGTCGAGACGTTCGATTCATAGAACTGGAGACTGAATCAGACCATTTCGAAGTTTCCTCAATTGATCAAGGCCTCGATCTATCAGATGGTGAGGACATCAAGGTAGAACCAGATCAACAAGAGAGGATCGACATCTCCCATCTACCAACTGAAGAAATTGAAATTGATTTGACTGATGAGATTCAAAGTGATGAAGCTGATTTAAGTAATCCACCAGTTCAACAAGTGGACGTCTCATCAAGTCAACAGGTCAAGCGTGGACCTGGTAGACCTAGAAAAGGTACAGAAGCTCCGAAGAAGGTTCGAGCCAATCAACCATAGCTATCCCACGAGGAATAGACAAACCAGAGCAACAGAGAAACTATCGAGTATCAAGGAAGCGACCATTCAGATCCCCAAAGATGTGACTCTAAGATCCAAAGAAGCAGAACATTGGATGGCAGCTATGGAAGCGGAAATGTCTTCGCTCAAAAAGGCGAAAACTTGGGACCTGACGACCCTACCAGCAAACCGTCGATCAATCGGTTCACGTTGGGTTTTTGCTGTCAAGTACAAACAAGATGGATCAGTGGATAGGTTCAAAGCTAGACTGGTTGCAAAAGGGTTTAGTCAAAGATTTGGAATCGACTACAACCAAACCTACTCTCCCACTGTTCGACCAGAGTCTCTTCGTTTGTTGTTCGCGTTGAGTGTTCAAGCCGGATTCCATGTTCATCAAGTCGATTGTTCGTCTGCTTATCTAAATGGTGACTTAGATGAAGAAATCTATATGGAACAACCGGATGGTTTTGTCAATGAAAAGAGACCGGAGTATGTTTGCAGGTTGAACAAGTCGCTATATGGTCTAAAGCAGAGCGGGAGGCAATGGAATTTAAAGTTACATTCGATATTAAGTTCGATTGGTTTAACAAGATGTGAGACTGAACGATGTCTCTACACTGGGCAAGTCAACAATCAAAAGGTCTTGATTGCTGTTTATGTTGATGACCTGTTGATCGCCTCAGCAGATGAGAAAGTCATCAACGAAGTTAAAGATTTAATTTCTAAACAAGTTGAAATCTCGGATAAAGGCCCAGCAAAGTACATTTTGGGTATTGAGATAGTCAGAAAGTCGCTTGGTCAGCTGTCTCTATCTCAAACCTATGCAATTAGTAAACTATTGGAGTCTCAACAAATGTCAGATTGTAAACCAGTCGCTACACCAATGGAAGCTAATCTAAATTTGGAAACGTGCGATGGTCAGTGTGAGAAGGTTAATCCTTCAGAGTATCGTAGCTTGATTGGTTCACTGCTACATATATCGTTAAATACTCGACCAGACATAACTTTTGCTGTAAATCGATTAGCTCAATTTAATCAAGAGCCTCATATAGAACATTGGCAAGCGACCAGACGAATACTCAGATACCTCAAGGAACAATCGAAGCCAACCTAGTGTACACACAAACAAGGAAAAATCGTCTTGTTGGATATGTTGACTCGGATTGGGCAACAAACAAGAAAGACCGTCGAAGCTACACTGGTTACACGTTCAAGCTGTCTGGTGGTGCTGTGTCCTGGTCGTCGCGTAAACAAAGTATAGTAGCCCAGAGTTCAACTGAGGCTGAATATACTGCATTGTCTGAAGCCACGAATGAAGCGTTATCATTAAAACAATTGGTCGAGGAGATTGGTTTTCCTGAACAGGTCGAGAGTCCAATTAGGTTGTTCAATGATAACACTTCGGCTATCAAACTTAGTGAGAACCCAATGTTCCATAAGCAAACCAAACACATCTCGATAAGGATCCACAATGTACGCCAACACGTGGAGGAGGCTAATAAAGGTGGATCATTTAGCAACCGAGGATATGCCAGCCGACGTGTTGACCAAAGCATTGCCAAGAGTCAAACATGACAAGTTTAAGACCGAATTGGGTCTGGTTAAGGGAGGGTGTGAGAGTCTAACCGACCAGGTGACCTAACCAACTACCCAATCGTCTGTCGGGGTCAACTAGTTGACTCCCCCCTTTTTGTCTTGCTCAATACCTCAGTAGTCAAGGTGATAACCCTATCCACCTTGACTGTCACAGTATATAAGGTGTCATAGACGCAACATAAAGTATCTATCTCTCTTTATCTCTCTCATGCCTCTTACTTTTTCTCTTAATTAAACCTTTGACCCTTCAAACTGTATTCTTGACCTGTCGGTCTGTTCACCGCTTTACTTTGAATACCTCGTTGGTTCACTCTCTCACTTTACCTTAGATGGAGTTTAATTTAAAAATCTAAATCAAAGGTAATCAGAGTTTGAGAAGAGTGAAATGAGTCATAACAATAAGATTCTGAAAATGAAAATGAAAGAAACAATTTCAATAAGAATAAGCCTAATAATCTTTTCTTCTATCCATAGATGGAGACACAATTAGAACAAAACTGTTACATTGAGATTCGATCCAAGATTCTATTAGTTAATATCTCCTTCTTCATACGAACATCACAATAGAATTGAGTGGATACAATTCCGAGGATTAGATAGAAAAATCAACCAGCTGAACATTCAAATTGTTTTGATTGTCAAATTAACGGGAATTCATCATCATCCAAAGAGTAATAGCAAGAGAGAGCAGTTGATACCTCTTACGATAAAATTAGTTCACACCGATGAACCAGGTGGAGGCACAAGTCAATAGTAAGAATGGTCAATACGCTGAAAAAATGGACTTTTGAGTTAAGAATTGAAACTTTGTAGTTTTGTAGGCACATAAGAAAGAACTCGTTTGTTAAAAATTTCATTGTGATCTGATCGTTAGTTTTCGAGCAAATCGCGTTCAAAGTCCAAACTTTAGATCATTTTTTCTCAGCATTGGTAGACTTTTTAGGAATTAAATTAAGAGTGTAAGGACAACTTTTTATGCGCTTTCAAAAAATCAGACTTTTACAGACTAGAAATATCTACAGTTATCAGGCCAAAGCGATGTTTAGTCCAGATAAGTCGAACGCTCTAGGTATTTTGTTACGAATTCTAAACGAATTTTTGGACTAAATGACGTAAAGAAGTAAGCTCAGTATCTATTCCGCAAAAAAAAATCTTAAAAAAAATCATACGAATAATAATTAATTAGAAAAATTGATTAATTAAATCTCCATTGACTTGCTGCAGTTTTTGCTATTTACTTGAGCTCCACCTGGTTCATCGGTGTGAACTAATTTTCTTGTTTTTTTGTAGTCTGCAGTCTCTTCCTATTACTCTTTGTCATCATCCTAATAATGATTAACTAATTTCATTCACTCAACTTTTTCTTTCATCTACTTTGTTGATTCTTTGTTACACTTGTTAATTGGTTTTTCTCAGTCCATTGATTGTCAATCTATCGAAGGTAATTATCATTATGATTGTTTCTTTTTCGTATTTACAGTTAATCTTTTCAATATTTTTCTTTTCTTTTCTTTAGCTGATTAAAATGGCGACTTTGATTGAAACATTTAATGATTGGTTAAAATGGTTAAGTGAATATGCTCATGATAATCCTGGTCAATTTATATTCACAATTATACTTATATTGTCTCCGTTTTTCGCTCTCAGTGCTCATCTTTCCTACAAATTGGCTAAACATATAGAAAAGGAAGAGAAAAAGAAAGCAAAGAAAAGTAAAATGATCGATAATATAAAAGCAAATAATATTCCTGGACGTCGAATTAAATAACGACAATTGTTGCAAAACAACAACATTTTGGTATCGACAGAAAGTACAATTACCAATCAATTTCTCGGTCTCTTTTTACCTGTTAATCATTACATTATAACCACTGTGATTGATGCTCTTGAATTATCATTTACATTCCCAATGATGACCATGCAAATTCATTTCACAAAGATACAAACACAACCAACCAAATATTTAGTATTTCAACCAACACAAATTCAATTGATGAAACAATGAGAAAATCAAAATGGTTAAATCTCTTAAATTCTAATCAATAATATTGAATCAATTGAATTGAACAAAAATTTGATGAAACTATTGAAATGATGAGTTAATATTTTTCATTTGCCATTTTTACTTTTCACTTAAATTTACTATTCCAAATTTCACAACAATAAATCATCATCAATAATTCAACCAAAATCAATTTAATATCAACTTTCAATCTTACAAATTCATCCAATCAAATTGAGATTATCAATTAATTACAAAACGAAGCAAAAAATATTGCCAAAAATTACTCAAGAAATGTCTCGATGTATCGATTGTTTGTTTTCCTTTTTTCTTTTTTTCTTGTGTTTCCATGGAAACAGTTGAATCGTAAACAGCTGATCTTTTCCCGCTTTTTTTCAGTTGAACTTTTGTTTGGATTAATTGCCAAAGGTAAAGATCGTTTTCTTTATCCACAAGAATTTCATCAATTAACTGGACTTGCTTAGCAACTTTTTCTCTCTTTCATCTTTACGTTTTTTTCTTTCCTCTTTCCACTTTTTTCTCTTTCATTTTCTCTCTAAAAGATCTTCTCTCTCTCTCTCTCTTTCTCTCTTTCTTTTTCTTTTTCTTTTTCTTCTCGTTCCTTTTTTCTCTCTTCTCTCTTCTTTCATTTTCTTTCTTTCTCTCTTTTTTCTCTTCCTGTCTTTCTTTCGTTCCCTTTATTCTTTATTCTCTTTATATTTTTTTCTTTCTCTCTTTTCTCGTCTCTCTCTCTCTCTCTCTCTCTCTCTCTCTCTCTCTAACCTAAAATCATCTGGTAAATATTTTTCTTCACCTCTCACATGTTTCTGGTTTCGCATCCGCTTCAACATCAACTCTTTGTTCAACTTTTGGTTTTGGCGGTTCTTTTTTCCTCTTTCTTTTTACTTTCTTTTCTTCTTCGCGTGTCTTTGTTTAAATTTACCTTTTTCTCTTTAAATTAACAGTCAGGAAATTCAATTTCTTCCCTCAAACGTTAATTTGAGTCTTGACAATTCAAATCAATTCGATTCCACTGTCACTTCAATAATTTTCTCCTAATTAATTCGTTCTTTATATCGATTTGACTGATTTTCTTTCCAACATTCAGACAAAAAACCAAATTCTATATTTTTTCTTCTCTCATATTTTTCTCTCTTTTTCCTCCATATTGGTTTCTCTTCACTCTATTTAAATTTCTTCTCTATGATAGATTCATTAATTGTCGATGAACAATCGAAATGATTAGAAATCAATGAGAATATTCAATGGTTTCCAGTTGATTTTCTTTCTCCTCCAGACTAAACAAGTGATTCAGTGACTTTTGTTTTCTCTCCATTTTCTTGGTTAACCAGAAACCAGATTTTGATAAGGAAAAAGAAAACAAAACCTAAAATTGTTTAGGATTTTAAACGAAACCCTATCCAAGTAATTGGGTTAAGTGCATCTCATCATCCTCATCATCTTTTATCAAACATCGTGATACCTTTGTTAATGTTGGAAGAGGAGGAAGAACAAAGTAGATATTAATTGTTTAATTGGAGAGCATTTTAATTAAACTTACATTCACATTGATTGGCGGTTAAATTGTATTTGTGTTTACATTTAAAAGACAAGTGATGAACAAAGTTGATTGTTGGTGACTTGTTGTTCTGATGATAATCAAATAAATAAATATGGTGGATACTGATTAAGATGTGATAGAAGGAAGAAAATTTTAGTCAGTAATGATTGATGTCGGTTAATTCAGTTACTCTTTTTAATTAAAATACTGAATCAAATCTTTAAGTGGGAGAGAAAATTTTGAACTTGATGATCATTTTTAAGAAAAATTTAAATAACTCTGAGATTTAAAAGGATTCATGTCAATGGAAAAACATTTAAACACCAAGAAATAAACAGATACATTTCCATGTATCTTTGTCTACAAATGGGTGTTAATTGTTTAAAAGCGATGAGAACTAATTTATTTAGATTAATTATTATGTAGTTTTAAAATCAAAATGTAATTAATAGTGATTACATATTGTAGTTAATAATTGGGAAGCGACAATTGATGTTGCTCTTGTAGTTGGGTGAAAAAAAAGTGAGGTGTCGACAGAGAAAAAGACATAGAGTGAGAGAGAGAGAGGGGGGAAGAATACAGAGAATGTGTATTAGGACATGAAGAACGAAGAAATAAAGAATATGGTCGGAGAGAGAGAGAGAGAGAGAGAGAGCATAAAGGAAGATGAAGGATGAAGAGGATAGAGAGAAGAGAATGAAGAAAAGGCTAGAATGGTTTTTTTTCCAAGGGAGTTTAAATTCAGTGTGTGTATGTTTGTTGATTGTGGGGAGTATGAGAGTGTGAGAGAGTGTGTGTGAGAGAGAGAGAGAACAAAAAAGAGTTGATTAAATTTTTCTTTGAAAAATCTCTCATAAATTAGTTATACCGGTAACATTTCATCAAAAAGATCTGCAATACCCTCGCTCTCTTCCAAGGCAAAATTATAATCCTCTTCGGAAAGAGGTGGCTCTAAATGAAGGAATGGCAATTCAGAGACAACTGACATCGATCTTGATGCAATCGGGGAGGACAGTAAGTCATCAGTTGTACTGCTTGTCATAAGGGTATCATGGGAAGAAGATGCCATCGATTTGCTGATACCATAAGTATGATCTTGAATGGCAATTAGGTAATTTTGGCCTGAGGTAGAACCGAAATCATCAGTCTCTGAGGCAAGATTTGATTTAAGGCTTGAACCGATACCTGTATCCACTGAAATGTCTATGAAAGAAAAATAGGAGAGAAAAAGAAAAGAGAGAAAGAGAGAAAGAAAGAAAGAAAATATGAAAGACAAACATTAAACGAAAGAGAAAACAAAAATTAAAGAGACTGACTAACAAAAAGATGTGTGAAAATGGTGAATAAATAATTGAATGAAACAAAGAAATAGATCCGAGGTAATAATTGTTAGAAGAGTCAAAGTAAAATGAATATTTACCTGTTTTAACCTCGGTTTTAACAACTGATTCTGCATGGGTAAGTTTACCTTTACCTTCTTCAGGCTGTGTTGTACCATCATCATCAGGGCATAAATATACTTCGATTTCACCTCGATCACTTTTGAGCCATATTTGTAAGCTCTGAGATGGCGGAGGATGAGATGAACAAGAAGGGGAAGAGAAGAAGAGAGCAAAAAGAGAAAGAGAAAGAGATTCAATTAGAAACAAAGTTATTAGAATGAGAGAAGGATATAAGGAAAAAAAAGAGAGGCAACTTGAAAAAGGGAGAAAATAATCATGACTCTTACCTCCGCTGGATCGGGAACTTCTAGTTTGGTTTCTGAAGGTGCTTTAATGGCTATCACAGTTTGATCGGCGAACTCTTTAATGTACCTCATATCTCGGTATGTCACATATAAATATTTTCTGTTTTCTTCATCTTCGGAGGCCTTTTGTAGTTCACCAGTTAATTTTTTGATAGCCTCATCAAGAGATTTCTCTTTCTCTTCTAACATAGCGTTCTCTTTTTCCATATCCATTTTACTGGTTATCTTGTTTGAAACAGAAGCATTACTATTATTACTATTACTATTATGGCTGTTACAATGGCTAAGCTGATTGTTATTGATAGCACTATTGTGCCCACCGGTCAACGGTGCTACTGGGAAACCATTTGATGAACCCAGGCAGGAGTCAAGTGAGCCACCGTTCCATTTGATATTGTTCTTACTGGTCTTATTAAGCAGGCCAACACCTTCAAGCACATTGGTGATATCATAGATTCGTCTCTTTTGTACATTCAATACAGATGAAGCTGTGTTTAAATTAAGAACCTGGAACAAGGCAAAACCATATCAGATATCAGAGAAATTGTAGAGAAAAAAAAGTAACCAAAAAAATAGAGACCAGATTTAATCGACAGAATAGGATTGAAACCAAAAAGAACAGAAAGAGAAGGGAGAGAAAGAAGAGAAGAACAGAAAGAGATAAAGGTGGGTTAGAATAAAGGTTAATTAAAAGGCTAAAAAGGGGGGAAGGGCCATGGGTCTTTTTTTAAAAAGAAGAAAAAAAGTAACAAGAATGTCTTTTCTCTTTTTTTTTCTTTCATTCAAAATAAGATGAGAAAAAAAGGAAGAGAAAAATGAAGAGAGAAAAAAAAGAGAAATGGTGGCATTGAGAGAAAAATGTTTTACAGGTTTTTCCATTGGCCTAAACATGGTTCATTTAAATGTGGACCATGATAGGTACCTAATGGATTAAATTTTAGTTAAAAATTAAAAGGAAATATAATTGGTCATAAATTAAAGAGAAGATCGTTTTTGTCTCTCATGCTTACCCCATCTTGAGAATCTTTAAGCAATGCAATAAACCTCCGGGTTAATTGGCCAAGAGAGGTTTCAAACCGATGCTTTGATTTTGTTGGTGTCACAGAACTGGGTGAAGGTGGAATGAAAGCTTTATTATCGTAAACTGGCTTCTTTTCAATAGAATCCATAATTTGAATGTGTATATGTGGTAATTTAAAAAATAGACAATTAGTTTAATTAAAGAGAAGAAAAAAAACCAAAAGTAGAAATAAGAAAAACTCAAAACCACCAATAATTCAACTGTACAACAAACTGATCCCTCTCATATTCGTACAAAAACGGGTGTGGAAACCGAGAGATGTCGCTACTTTTCGGGACTAAAAGAAAAGCGGTAAATTTGAATGACCGAATTCGTTTGGAAACTTAATTGGCTTTTTGTTAATTGTTTCTACCACAATCGAACTTGATTTGGGATTTTTGATGCTGATTTGGAATTGGAAATTTGGTTTAGATTATTATCATTCGATTGGAAAATTCCAATGAATGTTTTTCGGTGCAAATTTGAGTTTAATGATTTATTGATATTTCGATTGAATAATTGATTGGTTTTGATCTTCGTTCTTAATTTTTTGTTTGCAGATTAAATGATTATTTTGATGGATTTTGATTGAAGATTGAAAGTTGATATTAAATTGATTTTGGTTGAATTATTGATGATGATTTATTGTTGTGAAATTTGGAATAGTAAATTTAAGTGAAAAGTAAAAATGGCAAATTAAAAATATTAACTCATCATTACAATAGTTTCATCAAATTTTTGTTCAATTCAATTGATTTAATATTATTGATTAGAATTTAAGAGATTTAACCATTTTGATTTTCTCATTGTTTCATCAATTGAATTTGTGTTGGTTGAAATACTAAATATTTGGTTGGTTGTGTTTGTATCTTTGTGAAATGAATTTGCATGGTCATCATTGGGAATGTAAATGATAATTCAAGAGCATCAATCACAGTGGTTATAATGTAATGATTAACAGGTAAAAAGAGACCGAGAAATTGATTGGTAATTGTACTTTCTGTCGATACCAAAATGTTGTTGTTTTGCAACAATTGTCGTTATTTAATTCGACGTCCAGGAATATTATTTGCTTTAATATTATCGATCATTTTACTTTTCTTTGCTTTCTTTTTCTCTTCCTTTTCTATATGTTTAGCCAATTTGTAGGAAAGATGAGCACTGAGAGCGAAAAACGGAGACAATATAAGTATAATTGTGAATATAAATTGACCAGGATTATCATGAGCATATTCACTTAACCATTTTAACCAATCATTAAATGTTTCAATCAAAGTCGCCATTTTAATCAGCTAAAGAAAACAAAAGAAAAATATTTAAAAGATTAACTGTAAACACGAAAAAGAAACAATCATAATTATAATTACCTTCGATAGATTGACAATCAATGGACTGAGAACAATCAATTAAAAAGTGTAACAAAGAATCAACAAAGTAGATGAAAGAAAAAGTTGAGTGAATGAAATTAGTTAATCATTATTAAGATTATAATTTATCCCGTTAATTTGACAATCAAAACAATTTGAATGTTCAGCTGGTTGATTTTTCTATCTAATCCTCGGAATTGTATCCACTTCAATTCTATTGTGATGTTCGTATGAAGAAGGAGATATTAACCAATAGAATCTTGGATCGAATCTCAATGTAACAGTTTTGTTCTAATTGTGTCTCCATCTATCGATAGAAGAAAAGATTATTAGGCTTATTCTCTTGAAATTGTTTCTTTCATTTTTAGAATCAGAATCTTATTGTTATGACTCATTTCACTCTTCTCAAACTCTGATTACCTTTGATTTAGATTTTTAAATTAAACTCCATCTAAGGTAAAGTAATCAAATTTAATTTCTCTCGGTGTTTATCTGTAGTTTTCAAATAAGAAACTAAAAATTTCGTCTATTTGTGAACCGTTTCTTTAATTTTTTCGATTGGATTACCTTTTGATTGACCTTTTTCTCTACCATTTGGTTACATATTTTTTTGGTTTCTCTTTTTCTCTTTTTCTCTTTTTCTCTCTTTCTCTTTCTTTCCTTTCATTACCTCTCATCTTCTTCATTTCTTTGCGTGTTTATATTATTCTCATTTTGTTCCGAAATTCATTCCATACCTGAGATAATCTCTTGTTTTCTTATCTAATTTCTTAATGTTTCCAAATTGGTAGTTACCTTTTCTCTCTCTCTTTTTCCTTCTATTCTCTTTTTGATAAGCCAACATTTTCCATCGCCATTTAATTTTTGGTCTTTTTTCTCTTCTTTTCTATGTGATTTTCTATTCTCTTCTTCTGCCATCTTTTACTCGCCTTTGGATTTATTCTAATCTTCAACATTTTACTGTTCATCGAAAACACCCAAATCTTCTTCATCTCATTTCCATCGGATTTCAATAGGATTATCTTCTAACGCCTTGGGCCTACCTGGCCAATTAATATAATAATCAACCATGGGAGTATCCATTCCAGTATTAGTGTTATTCTGTTCCACATTTTTGGGCTATGGATTACCAATGTTTGTTTCTGCTAAAAGTGAGACCGTTTTTCATTATTTTACCGAAATTCATTTTTCCGATTATCTTTCTCTTAACTCAAACAGTTTATCATTATCATTATCTTTACCATTACAATTTCTCTTTCATTATAAAGATTACATCTTCATCTTTCTTGATCTTCTCGCTTTCTCTTGTGACACTCTATTACTCTCTCTCTCTCTCTCTCTCTCTCCTTCTCGATATAACATATTATTCAATGATCAGGAAATATTTTCCACTATTGATTTAGAGATAAATTTGACTTTGTTGTGACTTGTGTACACATCGCCTGTTAAGAAACGAATGAGAGCAGAGATAAATATAAATCTATCAATCGTGAAGACATATCAATAAATCCGACAGCCATAAATTCAGAGTTAAACTCATCATGAAGAAAATGTTCACTTGAAACATATCAATCTTTGTTTTGTCCAATCGAGGAAACAGTTATTTCTTAATTATTTCAATTAAACAGTTAATTGATAATATCCAGATTGCTGAAGCTTAGATTTTTCCTCAATTATAATTTTAATATCATCAGAAAGAGACTCTTTTCATCTTAATTTAATATTAATTTAATCCGATATTATTTACAGTTAAGCTTAAAGTTAGCAAGAAAAAGCTTCATAAATATCTCTAAATAATTTTCTTTACATTTTAAAATAGATGATTTTTTTAAATTGAGTTAATAAGTTGTAATACTACTTAATCGAAAAGTTAATTGAGAATTTTTTTTACCTTCGAAATCATTATCATATCATTTTTCATCAAAATCTAACAAAATTATTGATTAAGATATGACCTTGTTTTGATTAAATCTACCGTTTGTTGAATATCTAGAGAAATATCAAGAAAAAATGCAATCATATACATGTGATATTATATTGAGTGGAAATTCATATATTACTATACAGAAAGAGAGAAGAAGAAGAAGAAAAACTAGAAGAAGTAATAGAAAGGAAGAGAAAAAGAGAATAGAACAAAAAAATTGATACTCAACATACTAAGACCTTATTTTCGCCCTAATCAATAAAATTTTTCTTCCATTTCTTATTTTATTTTTTTTTCTATTCTTTTTTGTTTTATATTTAGTACCCCGATTCGAAGGATTAAAGATTACTGAAGGATTTCATGCAATCGTTCGTGAAAATGACCGGACTGTTATAATATCACCAAGGATTAAAGTCGTCGATGGTACAGTCAATTTTAACTTCTCTTGATGTTCAGAGATTTTTCCTCTCATTCTCTCTCCATTATTATTACATATTGTAGAGAAAGAAAAGTTTTCTCTCTCTCTCTCTCTCTCTTCGAAAGTTCATCAATCATCTCAAGCCAATTTTAGGCAATTGGTAATCATCTAGTTTCATCTTGCCTCTTTTTTCCTTTATTTATCCTCATTAGGCGGTGAAATATGTGACATTGAAGTTCTCAATAAACATCATGGAGAAGTTCCTTTCGAAGTGAAAATAACCGATCGTTTAAGTGGTGAAGCTATTTTGGAAGCACGAAGAGAGTTAAATTGTGAGAAACGTCGAGCTTACAAGTTTAACATTCGAGCTGTTTCATGTAATGGAGCTCATTCTGACAAGTGAGTAGTAATAATCATTTAGATTTTATTAATTATTAGAGTAACAACATCGATCAGTCGTTTAATTAGAAAAGATGAAAGAATAAGTATCAGAAAATCATTAAAAAAGCTCAATAGTTTAAGTTTTGATTCTTTAAAACATTTTACCATGAAAGAGTTTCACTTTAATAGATTTTTTTCTCAGGTTATCACAAAAAAAAACTTGAAAGATATCAACCCCTGAGGCGAATAAAAAAAATATCCTCTTGAACAAAAAATGGTCAACTAACCTAAGCAAAAATGTTGATAATATTGATAGATATTACTAAATGTTGGATTACCTGACAATTAAATATTTTCATGTTTATCTAATTTCATTAATCAGATTTTGATAGATTCCAATGATAACATTATCTAACAATTAATTAAGCAGCCAAAAAATATTGCTAATTTCCCTTAGAAACAGCAAATAGTTAATTAATTTTTCCCTTACCAATATAAAGTATTTTTCCACTACTGATTACAATTATTAAGTTGCAAAAGATTACAATCAAGGTAGAAAAGACCACCATCAGTTATATGATTATTGATTAGTTTTGTTGATTAAATTGTTATTTTTTATTTTATTGATTAATTTTATCATTTCTTTTTTCTCCATCATCGATTATCCTTTTCCCTTGTATTTTCTAGTGCCACTGTTTACCTTACGGTAGAAGATGTTAATGAATATTCACCAATTTTCCGACAAGAATCATACACCGTTACGATACCTGAAGGACGTTTAATTGACCCAATTGTTCAAGTTGAAGCTTCTGACCACGATTGTTCATCTCGATACAGTGAAATCTGTAAATATGAAATAATTGGCGGTGATAAAGTGGCCTCACCCTTTGACATTGATTCTAATGGTAACATTAAAAATACCCGACCACTTTCATGGAAAGAATCACATAATTACATTCTAGAAGTAGTTGCCTACGATTGTGGCATGAAACGCTCAAAATCAGCATTGGTTAACATTAAAGTTAACAAAGTTTGTCAACTTGGTTGGAAAGGTAATTCATAATTTAAATTTCATTTGCAAATATAAATTTCAACAAAAAAAAGGTTACAACAAATACTTACACACATTTGATTAACAATTGAATAAATATCAACTCTGTTACAATTGTGTTTTCAATTCAATATTATGAAACAAATTATATTTTGACAGTGACATTTTCTTAACCTTATCATATGTTGACATTGATTTGTTTCGATAACTATTTTACCTTTAACTTTGCTCGACAATTTTTTTTGACAATTTACTCAGTTATTATCAAAGACTAACTTGATCTCTCTCTCTTTCTCTTTCTCTCTTTTCCACCATTGGAATAATTTTTTCTTATATGTTCGTAACAATGATGAACATGAAAACTTCATAACGACATATATTCTTCTATTTAATTATCTTTGGAATTATATAAAATAACTTTTAATTGTGTCACTGTCATAGAAATTCATGAAAGAATTGAATATATTCCTACTTCTGGTCAAAAGATTTTGTTCCCTGAAGCTGAACTTCAATTATGTGATGTGCCATGTGATGTTCAGGATGTTTCAGTTCAACTTGCATTATCTACATCACACATTGGAAAAGGATGCGATCGAGATACTTACTCAATTGAATCACAACGTAAACTTTGTGGTAAGTAGTTAATAGTAACTGACCTTTCTACCTTTACAAATCTACTTTCCAACCTTAAGATTTTAATAGGCCCACTTATTACCCTAAATTTGGCTTCTACTTATAATGTAGTTTCTTTTTCACCATAATCAGTATATTCTCTAAACTTTCCCTCCCTCCCTTTTATTCAAGTTAATTCTTCTGTAATGAGAATCTCTGTTAGAAATTAATTCTAGTTTAGTCTTAAGAATATTATTCTTCTCTCATCTTCTTAAATTACCATCTCATCACTTATAATCTTACATATGAAACCCAAAACACTTTTGATTTTCAACAATGAATGGAATGTTTTCCTGATGATAGAAAGACAGAGAATATAAGAAAGATGAAGATGCTATTCTTTAAATCGAACATTGTAAGAGAGAAGGTTAAATATAAGAATAATTATAATGTTGGATGAGAAAATAGTTCCAACGAAGAGAGTATGATGATTGTTATTATATCAGAGAGGAAAAGGATTAGGATAAAGATGATGTGTGTAAGAAAAAGTCAATGAATGAGATTACTCTGCCTACTATGTGAATAACTTACTTATTAGATTATCATTCATTTATCAATACATGGATTGAAAGTAAAATTGTTTATATTTATCCTGTTCATTGTTGATAATATTTATTCATATAAAAAAAAAGTCTTAAACTAATTATGGATGACGACAATTCTACTCTTCCCAATCAGTAGTACTTGAAAAGCTTAATAATAAACAAGCTTCATAATTATAATAATAATGATGATGATGATAATGATGATAATATATTGAGAAAAAAAAAGTTTTGTAACAATCAGCCTTTGAAGAGTCTTCAAGAATCAAAGTAATACAAACAACAGCTAAGTACGGTTCTTGTTTCTCTTTCATCCTCTATCTTTTTCTCATCGCTCTTTCTCCTGTTTGTCATCATCATCATCATCATCATCATATTCTCTTTATATCTTCATCAGTTTCATCCTTCTATTTTCATTCATCCAAAATGTAATTACTCTGACCGCCCAGAGTATAAGATAACTGTTAACTCCTACTCATCCTCAACTTTGTTTTCATGTTGTTTTTATCAAGTTTACTGAAAACTCATCAACCTTTAAATGAAGCAAACATATGATACTTATAAATTTTATGAGAGCAAAAAATTGTTACTCATGATTACATGAAGTTTTACAGAATCACTGAGATTTTCATTAACATTGATTATTATTATTATAATTGATAGCATCGTTGATTTTGAAATTTTGCTAGTTACAATCTATTAATGTATTTTTAATAAAGTAATTGAACCTAATCATCATCAGAATGATTTAGTGAAAGTGAAAAGATATCTAGTAGCAATTGGTTTAGCTTAATCATTATCATGATCAAAAATGTTTGTATTAGTTTGTTACTGTATATACATCATAATAATGACAAACAGAGACCATTAAATCAGAATTGGAAAAGATTTTACCATTACCTATGATTGAACGAGAAAGCGAAACTTGAGAAATCTGTTGCAAACTCCAATTCCAAGAGTTTTCTGTTCATACTCAGATGATTTCATGATACTCTTAATTTTCCCTGATTATTTCATTTTCTTAACTTTTTTCTTGCTGTTTCTTAAATTCGTCTAACCTTTTTTTTTCTCTTCCACTAATCATTATCATCATTAGTAACCAAGTTATAATACCTGAAAATCTTGCAGGGTTTCTTATTGCTCGATTTTCATGTATTTCATTTGCTTGTGTAAGTTGATAGTCGTTGATCAGTTATTAATCAGAAGATTATTATATTTACTAGAATATAAGTAGAAAAAAGAAGGAAAAATTCGTAACTAAGGATTTTTCACATTCCAATATACACCCCACTTTCCTCCTCTTCTCTTCATCACCATCACAACTCACACTCGATCCTCATCCTCATCCTTTTCCTCATCTACTCACTTTGAGTGCAAGTAAAATCTATTAACTAATGGATCCTGGTAATCATAATCACAATCAGTGAATATCTGGTTTACTTTTTTTTGCTCCTATTGTTTACTTGACGTTTAATCAGACCCACACCTTTAACAATCATTATTTTATCAAATATAAACACACACAAAACCAATATTATCAATTGTGATTGTCATGATATCCACGTAACCTCTTAATCTTACCCAAAATTTTTCCTCTCTCTCTCTCTCTCTCTCTGTTCATTGAATCTGTTACTTTGCTTAATTTATCCATATTTCTAATATGATATGGAGAAAAAAATAACAATAGAAAATGTTACTCTACATTGTTACCTTGTTTTCCATCCATGGAGAGAGTTGATTGGATGGAGAAGGGATGAGGTAATGATGATGAAGATAAAAAAAACGATCCTTTTAAATTTATTCAAGTAGCAGACTGGGTAAAGTTGATGATGAGGATGATAAAAGTTACCACCTCATCTCAACCATAGCCGTTTGTTGTATATACTAACCAATCCATCACTTGAATGTGTCTTCTATACACATCAAGATAACTCTTTTTTCAATATATATTTTTCCATCTTCTCATCTCATCTATCATCATGAATATATCATGAGGAAAGGTGAGAGTTAGTTCAATATATATAAAAGCCATTACAATTATGCATCACCTTAACTCACTTGTTAATAGCATAATTATAATCTCCATCATTTTCATCATCATGTCCTCTTAATATATCTAATTGGTTGAATGACGATCTTCATCCCTATCATCTTATTAGACCAAATACAAGTAAATTTTACCTCTTTTTCTTGACAAGTTAATTGTTTACTGTTATCACTTTTATTCATCTTCATTTCTCATCTAATTCACTCCCTCTCCTGATAACTTTACTATGTCATCATCATCATCATAATAATCACCATTATCTTCATTGCAATGTGTATGTTTTTAGGTTATCATTATGTTGAAAATTTTGTGGTTACAGTTTTTTTTTATATTATTTTCTTCACTCATCTTGACATTACAATTACAGTTTCCTTTCAGTTCAGTTATCAGATTGTTTTTTTGGCATATTAATTTTTTGAATCTATTAACATATTTACCTGTAATTTTACATTCCATCATTAACTTTACTCAGCTAAATTATCAACAATGATTGTACACATTAATTAACTTTTAACAGCACTTCAAATTATACTCATATACTTTCAAGTATATTTCATATGATCAGATTTCAATGGAAAACTCAAAAGTTTTCACTTTTAATTTCACTTTTCTATCATTAGCATCATTATCATTAACTTCATGATGATATCTCTTTTATCATCTCTCTCTCTCTCTCCCCCCTCCCTTCTCCATTCTCTTACAAAGTTGATGCATTTTAGAGATGCACTGAATATGTTTATCATATAGATTCTAAATTATTCTTGATCCTCTGAATTTTCAGTAGAAACACTGATTATACCAACTTATTTTGATTCTTTCAATTTTTCTCTTTTTCCTGAAAATTCCTAATTCTCTGAATTCGTAGGAAACTATTTTTACACCTTGAGGGGAAACTTTTATTTCTCTTTATTTTTACTTACCTTGATTAATATCGAATATACTGAAAATCTATCGTAGAGACAATAACGAACCTTCCTCCAAATCATAACCCACCGGTGGTATCTTAACTTTTACACAGGGTGAACATGACCTGTTTCATTTATCATGAAAAATTCTTGCCTATGATTATTGTTTTATATTTGTTTCATTTTGCTCATAAGAAGTAAATTATTTTCATAATGGTAAGTATACATAGTATTTTTATTACCTAGAAATCATTAAATTGTTGTAAGTATATCATTTGACAACAATATATTAATAAATAACTAATAGAAAAGGTTGTAAACTTTACTTCAAACAGTATTTCACTTTTTATCATCTTCATCTTTTTTATCCTCTTTCTATGTCATGTCAATGTTTTCTTCAATTTACTTTGGTTTTTAGGTTCAAAGGAATGTTTTTATTTCCTATTATGAATTCTCACGCGATGAAATAGAATAGAATATCATCATTATCATGATTATCATGATTACCATCTCTCCATCATCATTATCTTCATCATGGCCTGTTCTTTGTCAAAGCAATGAAATCAATTGAGGATGTAGAGAAGCTCAGAGAATGTAGATAAAAGTTTCACCGAAACTCAGAGTAATTCTGAGGAATTGGTTCATGTAATGCTTTTGCGTGATACATACAAATTGGTTGTATATTCATTTCAAATCAAAAGAGAGGGACGTTTATCATTAATACCTTTGCTCCTTCACCAATGGTCTCCCTTTGTATTACTCTCTATCACTTGTCCTTGGGTGCGGGAGTAATATAAATTTAGTAATTTTTATTAGTGTGGTACATTATTATAATATATTAATATATAAATCTAAAGTTATCTTCATCAAGTAGCTCTGTTGATTTGTTTTTTACTCTTTTTTCCCCACTCATTTACGATCTTTTACCTTTATTCTGGTCAAGGAGTTGAATGTTGATTCTAATAATGAAGATGAATTAAATGAATGAAACTTTGATTATCTTTATCATTTACAAAGGTCGATTTGAACCCTTGATGACAATGAAAATCCATATCATGGCACATAAACTCCTTTACACTTGAGCTCATTTCATTCTCTCTCTCTCTCTCTCTCTCTCTCTCTCTCTACTCTCTACTCTCCTTATTTGATTCTCCTGGTTGTCCATCCTTTTCTTGCTTATCTTCCATTTCTCTTCCATTTTTATTTCTCTCTTTTTACTTTCTCTCATTTCTTTTGGTCATTGAATCTCTTTGAGTATAAAGCTTGTGTAAAATATCCATACAATTTTATGGTTTATCCTATTGGAATGAACAGAGATTTTCTCTTTGCATCATCTCATTCTTTCCATCTTACTTCTTTTTCTCTTCCTCATCATCTTTGGAAACCGATTTCATGATATTTTTTCTTCTTTTCTTCTTTTCTATCAAACCAATAGCGAAATAATAATAATTCAGTTCCACCTTAGTA